TTCTAGCCTGGCCTGAACTAGTCGACAACTTAAATTAACTTTAGTAAAGATAAGTAGGTCGTGGATAGGGAATTTTGTCCATGGGGTTTTCCATTTTTATTCATTTTTATCCATGCAGGAGGAGGTACCAAGAAAAGGAAACAGGTTCGGATGGAGACTGGAGCGAGAGAAAAGGATTTGAGAATGAATATCATGACGAACAAGACACTGGTGTGCCGCCTGATCATCGTCAAATTAATGAAAATGAAAATAACGACGGCATTTACTCGAACGAAGCAGGTAAGTCGCTCGAGTGTTAATGGTTAATGAAGATTGTGTGATTCACTGCTCTGAAATGCTACATTCAGCTACAATTCTGCTATGTTGACAATGTTATAACTGTAATAATTTTCTTTTAAGGCGATTTCAAGGAAAACACGCACTCACCAGTTCCTGTCGACGAGTTTGCGCATTTTGTGAAAGAAATGAAAGCAAATGAGAATTACGAATTTAGCAAAGAATATAATGTGAGATCTTTGTTGTGATATTGTGCCTGGATGTGTCTTTTTAGGAAAGTTAATGACTTAGTTTGGCAAAAAAGAGAAGTGTTTGTGTTTGCCCTTACTAAATTTTGTGTCTTTTTCGTAAAGGATTTACCTAAAAACATGAATTCATCTTGGGAGGTGTCAAAGAAGCCGTTTAACAAAGCTAAAAACAGATATGGAAATATCGTTACGTGTACTGTATCCAGTAGACATTCTTGTATATTGCTTTATCCAGATTTGATAATTATTGCTTTAACTTATTAATGAAATATAATTTTAGACGACCATTCTCGGGTGGTTCTCTCGGGAGATGAAAACAAAGATTACATAAACGCCAGCTACATTGATGTAAGTTGGAATTTTAGTTAGTTTTATGAGTAGATAAAAAATTAAACCACACTGAGCTATCATGGGCTTATCATGCCTAATACTTTCCTAATATTCAGGGAATCAAAGAAAAATCATACATTGCTTGTCAAGGTGAGCATTGAGATTTGAGATTTCATGTGATAGTTTTTCATCGCTCTTTCTTGTAACCTTCACTACTCTTGAGTATTGGTAGAGATTGTTAACAGAGCTGGCAATTATTTAAAAATTGGGCTTTCCCCATCCAGGTCCTAGGGCGAATACTGTGAACGACATGTGGAGGATGGTTTGGGAACAACGCAGTTATTCCATTGTTATGGTTACCTCTCTGGTTGAACTTGGCAAGGTAATCATATCTTATGTATCTGTAGATGTCAAATGTTGTTTGATGCATTTATTTATTGGCTATAAAAGAGAAACCTAACTATCGCAATGAAGCAGCTGTGATTCTATTAAACCCTATTAAATATCGTTTTTTTTGTAAAAGCAATTTAAGACCATAATGTATGGGATGATTTAAATACCTCAACTCATTTGCAGCCGAAGTGTGAGAAATATTGGCCGGACAGCGGAAGTGAAATGTATGGCGATATTGAAGTAACTTTGATGAAGACTGAAGAGTTTGCTTACCACGTGACGCATACCTTGCAATTGAAAAAGGTGAAAACAATTTATTGACATTCGATCAATCATACTATTGTGTGATTGTACTTTTTCACCTTGGCCACATTTGTGAAGAGCAAATACCTTGTACATATGTAGGATAACGAGGAACGCGAAGTGCGCCATTACTACTTTCAATCTTGGCCAGATCATGGTGTACCTAAATATCCCACTCAGCTCCTGGCCTTCAGAAGACTTTTCAGAACGCATCACATGCAGCAGTCCGGACCTATCGTGGTTCACTGCAGGTTATTTGCATCGAAATTTTCTTTCATATTTTGCATGTATGGAATACGTTGAATGATCAGTAACATTCAGTTGCCGGGCAACTGTTGCCCTTGCATTCTTGCATGAGATCCAGCGTTAAACACCGCAGAAGAATTCTTTTTAAACCCTAATTTAGACACTTTGCTTATTTACTTGCTTTGTCTTCTAGCGCTGGGGTTGGACGAACAGGTGTCTTTCTTGCAATTGACACAATCCTTGATAAACTCGATCAAGGTGTCATCAATTCCATCGATGTTTTTGGACACGTCTGCGCAATGAGAGAACGGAGGATGAATATGATCCAAACTCTGGTATCTCAATAATATATTTCAAAAGCCATTTGATACTCCTTGTTAAAAAGTCCAAACCGTTTATCGGGCTTAAAACAACTTGTTTCTAGTAATTTTTCAATTTGTTCAAATGGTACCAACCTTTTAGGACCAATACATATTCGTTCACGATGCTATTTTGGAAACAATCCTGTGTGGCATGAACGAAGTTGATGCCTCTAAAATCCAAAAGGAGGTCGCAAATCTTAGTGAAGTTAAAGCAAGTGGAATGACAGGATTTGAGGAAAAGTTCAAGGTTTGTTTAATTGTCAACTAGATGTTTAAAAAACCAGGGATTTAGCCCATGCCGGGTTATCAGTTCAAATTTAACAGGAACAAAATAAATTTCACAATAATACATTTTAGAGGTTGGTTGAAGTTTCGCCAAAGCTATCAGAAGATGAATGCGCTGCAGCATTGCTTGATGGAAATCACAACAAGAATCGCAATAAGAATGTCCTTCCAGGTATTATCTGCATCATTCAAACACTTCCCTGCTTAATCTTCAAATGAATCTTTTACAATTCACTCAGAAAATTAGTTATTTTTACAACTCATTTTTTCTTCTCTTCCCAGCCGAAGGTAATCGTGTTCCACTTCAGTACGTCGAAGGAATAGAAGACTCGGACTATATTAACGCTGTGTTTGTTCATGTAAGTATCGTGTTCAAAGCAAGTTGCCACCATATCATACATTACGATTTACAACACATTTAGATGTCTCAATCTTTTCACTTTAGGGTTACCTTGGTAGAAACTACTTCATCGCTACACAAAGCCCACTGCCCGGCACGATCAACGACTTTTGGCGGCTGATTCATTCGCAGAAATCTTCCACCATCGTGCTGTTGAACAACGTCAAAGATGGAACGGTAGAAAAGATTATATTATAATTTGAGAAATAACTATTTATTCAGTCTATCGTCACAAAACATTCCTCACAGCGCTTGACGCTGAGCTTCTTCTGTTAAACTTCAGAGTGAAGTTTTGAAGGGCATGTATGAAGATTTCAGTGAACTAAGCAATAGAGAATGATATAGGAATCCTGAGTATTGTTTTGCGCTTTTCCAGACCATCCCGATATTCTGGCCAACCGATAGGGGAAAACCGAAGCAATATGGCACTCTGACTGTTCAGTTGGACTCGGAGAATGAATCAGATGGGATATGGACAAGAAAGTTTATCATCTCGCCATATCCAGTATGTATGATATGTGAAAGACTTATATTACGAAATAGTTGTGCAAATGACAAAGTACTTGGAAAAACATGGTTTGACCTCAGAAATTTCCGTATGTAAATCTCAACCGCCTCACTGATGGTTATACCCTAAATCTTGCTCTAGCGTGAACCCACATGAAATTATATGAACCCACCTTTGTAGTAACCCTACGTTTGCCATCTAACTAGGATTTGACAGATGGTCAAGTTGTGAATATTTTCCAATACATCAGATGGCAGGACCATCGCGCACCTCCCGACGCTAATGGCGTCATCTCGCTCACGTCATTGGTCGAGAACTCAAGGAAGAGTTTTGACCCAGCACCAATCATTGTCGCATGCAGGTAACTGAAATCAATACATCAACGATGGCGTATATCATTCTTTCGTGGAAAGTCAGATGACTGAACTAGCGAGTTGAGACGATGAGATACGCTATGCTTCCGGCTCTACGTACGATACGGTTGAAGAGGAAAACACGCTTGTTTTATCTCATGTCTGTTCGAAATTTGTTTCACAAACTTTTTTATACCGTTCATTTCGATGAATTTTCGTATTTCAGCGATGGAGCAGGACGAACAGGAACGTATATCGCCATTTCAAACCTTCTGGAAAGAATAAAAATTGAACAAGCAATGGACGTCTTCCAAGCGATTAAGATCATCAGAGGAGCACGACCACTGTTTGTTGAAAATGCTGTGAGTATATCACACGATTGAATCTAACGTCGATCATGTCTGTAGTACTAGTGTTTTCTAATGGAATTGTAATATGTCCGGTATTTTGAGTACAAACACGGTTTGCTTATTAACTTTTACTTCTCTTCAGGAACAATACCAGTTCTGTTACAAGGCTATAACGACGTACTTAGACGCCTTCGGCGAATACGCAAATTTTGAATAAAGGAGCCGAATATCGAATCAACGCCGCCATGATGTGAAATAATAATTTTAACGTACGTAATAATTTTAATGATGGAAACAGTTTCTGTGTTATATGCAGAGTGATACAGCGTGAATATATATAGTGCATGTTCTCACTTTTATACTTATATTTTTAAATGGTACCAACAACGGGCGATATTAAAGCGATTGAAAAAACACTATCCTGCTTTCATACAACCGTCCGCAGGTTGTTAAATTTTCTCGCCCACTTTCACCATAAAATGTAGCAATGATTAAATAAATATGTTTAGTATATGTTAAAGAGTATGTTAAGTCTGTTTATAGTCGAACGTATATATTTAGCAAAGCAGTAAATTCAGCTTCCCACTTTATAAAATTCACAGTCTGAACGGAAGCCTATATACAGATAAAAACCTCTGTTATTATAAATATCCGGATACGTGTGGAAGGGCCTAAATCTTGGTATTTCTAAATCGAGGATAATTTTTAATAATTGTTGGTTCCAATTTTATTTCTTTTAAGCATTTTTGAACCGTTGAAAAAATCACTATCCGGTGGATAGCGCTGCCCGGCTTTCGATGATTTCTTGCCAAGCACTAGTGTCGTAGCCAGCCTGACAATTTAGTCATGCTATGCTAATATTTTGGTGTTCATCGATTGTGAAAACATTTAATTTCTAAAGAAATGAATAATGATAATAACATAAAATTTGCATAGCACTACAAAATCGTCAGGCTGGCTACGCCGGCCACAGGCAAGTAGCTACCCTTCGTATGGCTGTATGTAAGTAACGTACCATATATTTAAAGTACCGTTCTTTCTTTTTATACAATCCTAATTATCATACATCAAAGATGATAAAAGCATTGCGTGTTAGTTTCTTTGTTATATGAAGTGCGGAAGCGTAAAGCACTGAAGAATTTGTCATCTTATCATCGTCTAAGCTCTTACTCGCTTCGTAATAGAGAAAAATCACACGATGTCTTGGGTATTTCATCGATGGTTCGTTTTATGTGGCGTGTCATTGTTGGTGATTAAAGGTGAGGTTTTTGAGGCGTTGTAGTGAGAGCATTTTTTAGGTTAAAATGTAGATTTAAGGCTGTTTGTGAGTTGTTGAATCATCATACAATGTTAATCACCACCTTCTTGTGTAAATATTTGAGGGTTGTCGAAACTGGCGTCTAATTGACGACAATATGTCAATGTAATATTTGTAATTGGCATGCAGCATATACAAAGCTGATGTACAAGACTACAATTAAATCAAATGAAATATTAGGCGGTGTAATCCTTGCAGTGAATTACTTTAACACTATTTATGAATTCATGTTTTATAGAGTATCTCAATTAAGTCATAGTCATACAATATGATTCTAGCCTTTCCTTGGATGTGAGAATATGACAAACTTACACTCAGTTCACAAAACGAGTTGAAAATACTAGGTTAATGGAATGTCTTTTTCGTATTTTGTCCCAAATCGTATAATTGATCGATGAAAGACGCCATAAATTGGCAGAAAGACAGATTTCTCACTTATCGATTGGTTAGAAATACGGCGCATTCTCAGTAAAACAGTTTCATCGGTTTTACCTGCTGAAACCCAAACTTTTCAGTCTTGATATATCTGAGCAATCTTGATATATCTGCATGATGGTCGAATATTTGCCCGTCCCATAAGCTCGTAAATGTTAATCAATAAGTTTATACTATTTACACTTAATGTATGCTCCCGAGGGAAATAGTGAGTTTTGTTTTCCTAAGAGTCTGAATGTTGACTCGAGGGAAAACAAAACTCACTATTTCCCGAGGTAATGTATATCAAGTGTTTTGTTACATAGGAACAAAAACATTTTAAAAACACACTTTACTTTGTTATGACAAGAAGCGGGCGACAATTTTTCACTTGTTTCCCTCGCGGGAAACATCGGCATTTATTTAAAGTAATGTGACTACGAATGAACCAATCACATTTAAAATACACAGAACTTATTTAACAATATGGTTTATTTTACGTTTACAGGTTGTCGCTGTTTTTTTCTGAGACACACCAGTTCTGAAAAGTGTCTTGCCTCTGAAAAAGTCCCTTGGAGGATAAATCCTTACGGGCATGTATATTGGGCTGAGCTATTGGATTGCTTGGATTTTAGTGCTGAATTACGATATTTACGGGATACAGAGGTGCTCCACAACATAGCGAGGAACGGCTCGCTCATGTTTGTCGATGGCAGTGTTTACCAACAACGCATGGTCGCTTATGACGCCAACCCGACAAAGCTTCCAACTTGGGAAAGTGATCCTCGACATAGCATGAGACAAAAAGCTGCTGGATCTTTATTTTTCTACGATAGCAAGACTGACTCATGTGCTCAGCCTGATGATAATAAGAAATTTATCAAGCGGAAAAAGAATGGGTGCGACGATACGGAAGAACAACAAAAGTTCACTTTTGGTAAGATTCCGCGTATCTCGATGTAAATGTTCTGCCATGCAGCTTGATTCAATATAAATGTTTTGAACGCGAAAATGATTTATAATGATTTAATCTAAAATCAATTCACTGCATCATCGAACGTTTTACAAACATCTACATCACTAAAAAAGCCAAAGAACAAAATCTACTCTGTGTCCAAACTTAAGTCGCTGGGATTTAAGGCGACTTACTGCGATGTAGGGTGACTTTTATTTTGGGTAGTAATCGTACCTAAAAGGTTATCAAATTGGACTTTCAATGTTACGATCGTTGCCATACTCAGTCTCACTCTGAGAGGCGCTGCCCATAAATGGTTAGTTATCTCCTTTGTTAGGTTCAGTGACGCAGTTTGGCGACAAAATGAAAGATGTTCATTGTTCTCCATATACAACGTATGCTGATCCACAAAGCTCATTATGGTGATTTCAATAATAGCGGGACATTTAATGCGAATGCAGCTATTGATATCCAGTGTAGTGGATTGACAAGTTGTCAGGTGAAACCTCTTTGCGGTGGAAACAGATCTTGTGAATTGACCGTTGACAATAATTTACTGTCACCATTTTGTTCTGATACCACAAAACAACTTTATATCGAGTACACTTGTGTGGACAACTATCCTAACCCTATAACAACAGGTAAAATACGCTACTTTTGGTGATAAAACGTGAATTTGAGTTTATCATAAAGGCTAATTTCCACTCCGGAAAACGAGCGGCGGATCGGATTGGATCGGAACGAAAGATAATCCGCGCGTGCGCCGTCTGTTGAAATTTTTGGCTTATATTGATCCGAAAGCGTCCGAGATCGGATAAAAAAAGTTTAAATAGTTTTAACTTTTTTTTATCCAATCCGAAATCACTTCATGGATCGGACTAGGCTCGGAAAAAAAAAAAAAAATAGGCATTCAGAATAAATAAAACCCACCTTATTAGTAGGAGTTTTCTTGGAAACGACTTTGCAACACGATTTTCTCGGCTGGCCAATGCATGATAATATCTCTTTCACAGTCGCTCTTTTTTTTAACCTAATTTGAAAGTGAGCTACCTCAGTGGATATTGGTTTGTTGAACAACGCTGACAGAGCTATAAAATGGCAAAGTCGACTAAAAAGTCTCACAAGGAAACGCTAAGGTCCTTGCTTGACTTTACTCTTAGTTTTCAGGGTGCATGGGTGTATTTGAGATTTTATTTGCAATGTTTTCGTTCTAGCGTTTAACATAAGACTATCAAAGTCGCCCAACGAAGGTTTCATTGAAGTGAAGAATGACACAACGTGGAGAAAAGTTATTGAGGAAAATTGGGATAAAGATCGTCAAAAAATGTTGTGTGAACACTTGGGATTTGGCGAAACGAGCGCTAATACTATTAGAAACATGGAGATAACTGCAAATGAAGAAATTGCATCTGGAGATTTGGTGTGTTATAACACAGGATCTGGTGGAACATCCTGTTGTGTCCATCTTGTTCCCTCTACAACCACTGCAAAGGTTGACACAACATATGCTGAGTGTGAGTATCTGCGATAAATCGTGGCGTGCAAAAAATAGGATTTTATGCTTTCTTCACTCACACCTAACACACTCTTTACCTAGGTAAGATTTGTGACAATCAGTTACTAAACGACGAAAGTACTTTTCCTGATAACATATTTCGTGGCAATGGAGGTAATAGTTTTCACGAAGCAAGGTTTACTAAAGGTGGATGGTGTTCCTCGACGCCTGGCTCATATCTTACCATCGACCTTCAAAAAGAATATCACATAACACGAGTTTCAGTCATGGGTGATAAAGATCAGACAAAGTGGAGTGGATCATATTCATTGAAATACAGCCATGATGAAAGTTTGGTGGATAGCAGTCGTGTAGTACAGGTTAATACAGGGTCTAATTAGAAAAATTCTTCGAAAATAGACTTTTTACGTGAATATAGACGCCCAACGTATACTATAGCATATAGTTTTATGACATGTTGCAGTACTGCTTATTATTGATGTTATATTTTATTTTTATATAAGATTTTAGGAAACCAGAACGGTTATCAAGCATTGACTACAGACGTTGATATATATAATGCGAGATTTCTGAAGATAGAATCAACTGGAACTGCAGATTTTTGTCTCAGAATAGAACTGTGTGGACTGGGTAAGTTTTTTATGTGTTGGTATCATAAAACCTCGCATTCTGGCATTTTCTAAAAATACCTTGGCTGAGTGAAAACACTTGATAAAATGATGAATTGCATTCTCAGTTTTCTTTAACCCCGACATTTTTCACTTTTTAATCTCGCTCGTACAACCTAGATTCATCATATGATATCTTCATTCAACACCTCCATTATCACAGTTTCTTTTGTGAACTCTTCTATGATCTTGGATATTTTTGCGAGATAATTGAAATCATTCCATTTATTATTTGTTTTTGTGCTTTTATTTTGAATATAGCCCAAAAGCCAGCTTCTGTTTCCGACATTCAAATCACGACTTTCGAGAGATCAGCTCGTGTGACTTGGAGTATTGAGACCTCCCCAACAGCCTCGAGTTACATAACAAAGCTTGAAATATATTTAAACGATAACCTCCGTAAAACAATTTTACGAGGAAATTCTTATCAGTTTGATATTAGTAATCTTACGCCATTCACTAAATATACTGTTGGAATTGAAGCCGTTGATGGTTCTTCAGAGAGTAGCAGAATAAATAGAGACTTTGAAACTAAAGAAGCAGGTAAAATGAAAACAAAAAACCGTGCTAACAAATATCGGTTTAATAATACTCAATACGACATGTTGATGATAAATTTCCTTTATTCTAGTTCCTAGTGGTCCTCCACTGGATGTAAAGTTTGAATCTCGCGGTAAAACTACACTACAATTATCTTGGATGGATCCACGATCGGATCTGCATAATGGAATACTGAGAGGCTATCAAGTTTGTTATTCCTCCCAAAAAACGTCAACTAGTCCGAAATGCAATGAAATAACGACATTGTCATTCACCATCGATGATCTTCGACCTTCCACAAAGTACTTTGTAACTGTTGCGGCTGGTACAAGAGCTGGTTTTGGAATCAAGAGTGCAGAAATCAATAAAACGACAAATGGAGGTATCGGCCTAATTACAAGGCATCTTGTTTTTATATCAAGTTGTTTTCGTAAAGATAAAACTCTTGTTTGTCAAATTTGTCGTTCTAACATATTTAACTTTCCCAATGATCGTGATTAGTTTAATATCATACTAACTTTACATAGTTATCCATATACTGTACTAACTGCAGGGATGGCGATTTTGCAAGGTCAATTTTTTTTATGTGCCAATTCGCAATTCCTTCGTGATTGTCATAAAACTTCTGCATGGAACGCATCACGACCTTTTTTGTATTTCCATTTTTAGATCCTGTACAAACTGTGGCAAACTCGCCTTCAAGCCTGAAAATAGACCTCAGCAAACCAGACAAATATGTTCAGTAAGTTAACCCAATATATAATCAGTAAAAAAGTTAAACGGTGAAAAATCATTCATCTTAGATCTGTCAATATTTTAAACTAAATTTACCGTCGATCTTATTTTTATCCATCGTCTTGTGCCTTGTTTAGAGACGTCATGATAATCGTGAAAACTGCTGAGAACATCCTTAAACCGGTGGAAGAAATTAAAACAAGTGATCTTAAACCTTATCAGTCAAACACTCAAGATCCTTACATCACTGCTTATTTGAAGACTGATGTTCTCCCTTCATCGTTCGTGATCGGTGATGGCAAAGAATATAAATATAAAAACATGATCTACGTTAACCAACGTCTTCAACCAAACTCAAGTTACAACGTGTTCTTGAGATTCTTTGAAAGTCAGGTGTATATTCCATCAATATTTCGATGAATTCTACATTTTTCAGGATTATTTACTGATGACCGATTCTTTTAGAGGTTCTTTTACTCGACAGAATGGAGCAAGAGTGTCAAAACTATGGCAATTCCTCCGGGTATAGTCATCTCCAAATTCTTCTCTGTATTGACAAAGGCCAGTTCGTTCAATTAAGCATACCTTTTTAAAATATGTGATGTAAAAACGAAGTGATAATAGCAGATGAACTGATCCTAACTAATTTGTATCTTATCTTGATATTCATCCAGCTCCAGTCATCTCAAAAATCACGCCTACTGGTCGTAATGAGTACAATATTTCATGGTATCAACCCTTGTTGCCAGATCAGCAAACTGTCTTGAAGTATCATGTCAACTACAGTGCTTCGAATGAGCCAACAGAGCGATCGACCAGCAATAATTTCATCATTATCGAGGTTGACTATGATAAACGATATACGATTAACATTCGTGTTGAAACTGAGGCTGGAAAAAGTCAGGCAGCTTCAAAATCCTGGTTGTCTCTTTCAGGTAAGCGGCAACGTATCGAAAACAGAGACAGAGTGTCAGTGTTGAACTTCTCCTACGGCCTTAACACCTTTCGAGTTATAATTGATGAGCATTTAATGTTTTCCAGAGCCTTTAAAGCCCCCAAAGAGAACTACCGACAGTTACATAGTGATACTCCGGAAACCAAACGAGAAGAAGAATATAAGGTTTGTGTTCGATCATTTAAGATTCCAGAAAAAATATAACTACCAATGAACTTGAAACTTTAGATGACTACAAGAATATATTTTAATTTTTAGAACGGTCGCTCTTGTATTGCTGTTGTCTGAATCAAGTGTGCCTCCAGCACCGGGTGATATCAAGATAGAAAGCTCATTTCCTCCAAAAAACAGAACGGATGTCGCTTTTATTGCTAAGGAGTTTAATATAAGTGATTTTCAAAGTGATACAATAGAAATATCTCTTCAAGAGTCTAGAAATAACAGACGAAGAAAGAGGGAGGCTGTTAAGATTAAAAATGCACTAAGGCCGAATGAGACGTATAGAACTGCACAAATGAACACTGACGAGTCAGGGGTAAGTTAAATTTTATATAGTTTTAATTATACTTAGTTATAGCAAATTTAGTAAGGTGTAGGGGCTTGTTCAACACGTTTCCAAAGCTTCGTTCTTCCCTAGAGACTTCCATGAGTTTAATTTTGATATCTCAGTGACGATGCATTTAATATCGATTAAATTATTACAGCTGCTGAATTAGCACAATTGGATAACCACTGTTTGAAATTTAATTGGTTATATATTCTGCATGTTAGAATCGTACCTTGTCATTCTGGAGTGAATCATTCAAAGTTGGCGAAGGTAATTAGGAGGGAATAATCTTTTATATATGAGTCGAAAATTTCATATATCTTTTATTGATCTAAAAGAGCTCCGTGTAAAATAGATGTATCTAATATTCCACAGAAGAAGATAGTAAGGGTGAAAAAAATGGTGCTTCAACTCCGTCTACTGCTCCAACAACCACAACAACAAGAAAGGTTATTTCTGCTACTGAAGATCGTGAAGGAGGTGGAGGTGATGGTGCTTCAGTCGCTACTGCAGTTGGTGGAGCAATAGCTGCGGTTGTCGTTATCATCGCCTTGATTCTTGCTTTTCTCTATTTCAGAAGAAGGTAATCGATGTACAAGTTTTGTAGACGATGATTCATTCTAATTGTCACGACTCTGTATGAAAGTCTATCTTTATGTTTTTTTAAAAGAAAGAATCCCAACTGACAGAAAAAGATTTTCGTGCCCGCCATCTTGGATCTATAAGCCAAAGCTATATAAAACGCTTTTCACAAAACAAACGATGCATTTCTTAAAGTGTAGCGCATTGAGTACAATCATTAATTCATGTGATATTGAATTTTATCCAGGAGGACGAATCGAGACAAAGAGACGGGTTTGCATGGCGAGTGGGATGAAAAGAAAGGAATTAGAAATGATAATCTTGACGAAACAGACGCTGGTGTGTCGCCAGATAATCAACCAGTAAATGCGAACGACGAAGGAATTTATTCAAACGAAGCAGGTATGATTATGAATGATGACGCTCCAGCAGAGAGGAAAATATATTCTGTAATGTATGATGATTCTGCGGTCAGATTCACTGATCTGACATACCACTGGATCTAAATGCTTGTTCGTGTACGAAAAATGATGGCAAGATTTTTCTATGAGAAGAAAAAGTTGAAAAGCTGCTGAAGCCTGCTTTTATTATAACCAGCGGTCATCACATGCCGAATCATCTCTTTGAGACACTGATATAACTGCAATCGTTTTGAATTCTTATTTCCAGGTGATTTTGAAGAGAAACAGCATCCATCAGTCCCTGTCAAGGAGTTTGCGCATTTTGTAAATGAAATGAAAGCAAATGGAAATTACGAATTTAACAAAGAATATAATGTAAATATCAGATACAATTTGATCATCCTATATGGTCCAGGGTCCAGTTAATAAGAGATCGCCTTAAAGCCATCCTTCTATAATGATATAGTTCCGAGATACTGCTTATTATTGATGGTCTTCCCAGGTATTCTTCTGGGGCCGGTTGTATCAAGCCCGTTTAGCTTAAACGGTGGTTAAGTTTAAAATAGAAAGCAAGTCTATCGTTTTATTCAACAAGCAAACTAAATGTTTTCAACCTTAATACAAAGATACTGTTTACAATTACATACTCAGTGCATAATATTCAAGACTCATTCAAGAGAGATGTAAGAGTGTTATTTAATTTTGACTTATCCACCGTTTAAGCTAAACGGGCTTGATACAACCGACCCCTGCAGTTTAACCATTCAGTGATTATTCCGCTTTACTTTTGTCTCTATTCTCACAGGATTTACCTAAAACTTTGAATTCATCTTGGGAAGTGTCGAAAAAACTATACAACAAGCCTAAAAACAGATATGGAAATATCGTTACATGTACTGTATTCAGTAGAAACACTTTATTGCTCTGCATCTATTTACTGCTTTGCATTTCAATTTCAATGACACTTTTATTTAATTTTAGACGACCATTCTCGGGTGGTTCTCTCGGGAGATGAAAAGACAGATTACATAAACGCCAGCTACATTGATGTAAGTTGAAGTTCCGAGATTCACTATCTGAAATTTTAGCCCAAAATTGATCTAGCAAGGTAAAGATCGCCCTGGATGGTTCCACTCAAAACCCCCCACTTAAATTATTTACTTGACTATTCAGTCTTCAAATACCAGGATTTGTTTACCGCATTCACGTCTAATTTGGTTTGAAGGGAAATTAGGAAGTGATTATGTCATAATGTCAATCCAAATCCAAATTGAGGAATCCAAATTCATTTCTTCCAAAAGGATTACAGTCCCAAACTATAGCCTAATAGTGAATACTCTCCTAATATTTAGGGTATCAAGGAAAAGTCATACATTGCTTGTCAAGGTGAGTACGAAGTTCCCTTCACCACTTTTGTGTATAGAAGGATGTTAAAAGGCATGTTTTCTCATCCAGGTCCTAGGACGAATACTGTGAACGACATGTGGAGGATGGTTTGGGAACAACGTAGTTATTCCATTGTGATGGTCACCTCTCTCGTTGAACTTGGCAAGGTAATTAGCTCAATTTTTAACCCGAGATAAAATCAATCAATTTTGAAACAATCCCTTTAAATTCAATCAAAGGAAATGACCTATAACGTTTCAACTCATTTCCAGCCAAAATGTGAGAAATATTGGCCTGACAACGGAAGTGAAATGTATGGTGATATTGAAGTAACTTTGATGAAGACTGAAGAGTTTGCTTACCATGTGACGCATATTTTGCGAATTGAAAAGGTGAGAAAATTTTTTGGTTGACCATCGATTCAAAATGTAACATGCTTTTGTGTTACTGTATAACATTAATAAAATCTTGGTGAGTAAAAGTATGAGTCTTTCAGCTTTTTTCTTTGGTCGAATATTATGAATAACAAAATTGCCGTGTAACTATAAAAACACTTTTAGGATGACGAGGAACGCGAAGTGCGCCATTACTACTTTCAATCTTGGCCCGATCATGGAGTACCTAAATATCCCACTCAGCTCCTGGCCTTCAGAAGACTTTTCAGAACGCATCACATGCAGCAGTCCGGACCTATCGTGGTCCACTGCAGGTTATTCGCATTATATCTTTTTTTTCATATTCTGCCTGTGATGAATATGTATGGGAGCCCAGTGTTATTGCACAGGTGTTCAGGTTGAAAACACAGCCGTTTGGCAGTTTACTTTCACTGATATTACTTTCCGTGTTTTACAGCGCTGGTGTTGGACGAACAGGTGTCTTTCTTGCAATTGACACAATCCTTGAAAGACTCGAGAAAGGTGTCATCAATTCCATCGATGTTTTTGGACACGTCTGCGCAATGAGAGAACGAAGAATGAATATGATCCAAACTCTGGTATCTCAATAATATATTTCAAAAGTCATTTTTGTTAATACTCTTTGTTAAAAAGTCTAAACCATTAACCTGATTGCCTAAATGACCCAAACCTAATTCTCTTGAAATTTTGGTATATTTTGCTATTTCCTTTATAATCTTTTCAAATTGTACCAACTTAAACTTAAGGAACAATACATATTCGTTCACGATGCTATTTTGGAGACAATCCTGTGTGGCATGAACGAAGTTGATGCTTCTAAACTCCAAAAGGAGGTGGCAAATCTTAGTGAAGTTAAAGCAAGTGGAATGACAGGATTTGAGGAAAAGTTCAAGGTTTGTTTAATTGTAAACTAGATGTTTAAAAAAACAGGGATTTAGCCCATGCCGCGTTGTCAGTTCAAATTTGATAGAAACTTAATAAATTTCACAATGATGCATTTTAGAGGTTGGTTGAAGTTTCGCCAAAGCTATCAGAAGACGAATGCGCTGCAGCATTGCTTGATGGAAATCACAAAAAGAATCGCAATAAGAATGTTCTTCCAGGTATTATCTTCACACACTTAGATACAACGAACATTTGTCTGAATAAATTAGCCGCCCTATTCTTAGATTTTCGATTTCTGATCCTAGCCGAAGGTAATCGTGTTCCACTTCAGTACATGGAAGGAGTGGATGACTCGGACTATATTAACGCTGTGTTTGTTCATGTAAGTATCGCTTTTAAGATGTTGTAAAAGGCTATAACATAATTTGACACGCTAATGTTTGTTTATTCATCAAAACGTAGCTTCGTGTCACTGCTATACATTTTAAATCATGCATTGAAATAATAATACATTTGGACAACAATATTTATGATGTAAACTTTAAAATCAGCACAATAAATATGACTATGCACCAATTAAAGATTTTTTAAATGAAAGATAGAAGATGAAAGATATGTTTTCATCCTAGGGTTACCTTGGTAGGAACTACTTCATCGCTACACAAAGCCCACTGCCCGGCACGATCAACGACTTTTGGCGGCTGATTCATTCGCAGAAATCTTCCACCATTGTGTTGTTAAACAACGTCAAAGATGGAACGGTAGAAAATATGTTTTAATATCATAATTTAAACAAATTGTTCAGTTTATCCTATATCAGTCTATTTTCTTTACAATGCGAAAACATTCATCTACAGAGTTTAATGCAGAGTTTCTATTAATAGGCTTTAGAGTCATGTTAATTAACGAAGGAGTTCAGTTGAAGAAACCTGGCGAACCTAACCTTTACAGGCTTTTCATATGTGTAGAAATCTATAATTGTTTTGTGTATTTCTTCCAGTCATTCCCGATATTCTGGCCAACCAACAGGGGGGAGCCGAAGCAATATGGCACCCTGACTGTTCAGTTGGACTCAGAGAAAGAATCAGATGGAATATGGACAAGAAAGTTTATCATCTCGCCATATCCAGTATGTAAAACACAACTCAGCTCTGCAGATTTAGTCCATCCGTAATCCGTATGGATGATATGAACGACGATATGAAGAATTAAGATATACTATATTTACATGAGTAACTTTACACCATTTGATCACTCAAAACAGTTGCCGAAATAACACCATCAGTGCTTGGAAAAGCATATATAAAAAATGTTTATACCAAAACATGAATTTGAGCATAATAATCTTAACCGCAACGCAGTGGCTTACCAATTACACGAACTACCTTACCAATTACTACAATCTGTCTTAACCGTAACCTTGAAACTACCATTTAACTAGGATTTGACAGATGGTCAAGTTGTGAATATTTTCCAATACACCAAATGGCCGGACCATCGCACACCTCCCGACGCTAATGGCGTCATCTCGCTCACGTCATTGGTCGAGAACTCAAGGAAGAGTTTTGATCCAGCACCAATCATTGTCGCATGCAGGTAACGTCGCACAGGAGTTCAACTGTCTAAACTAGCTTCCACAGCTAACAGAATATTAGCTATTAATTGTATTATATGCTATAGATTAATGCGATTCGTAAATAGACAACTTTTCTTCATCTTGAAATTCGCAAACTCACACAAACTCGCGTAGCAGGCTCCGAACTCTTACTCCGCCTGGATCTTAACTACAAGAATTACAAGCGGTTTCATCTGCAATAGTAGGGTGCCGTAATCCGAGTCATAAATGAATGTGATAAAATTATCTCAAAATCTCTCAAACTCTCAAAATCTCCGTCCGGTGCAGTGCGTGTTTTCAAAATCGTATTTGTATTTTTGCCAGTGATGGGGCAGGACGAACAGGAACGTATATCGCCATTTCAAACCTTCTGGAAAGAATGAAAATTGAACAAGCGATGGACGTTTTCCAGGCGATTAAAATCATCAGAGGAATACGACCACAGTTTGTTGAAAATGCTGTGAGTACAAGAGCTAAATTAAGGCAGTTCCACATGCAAGGCAACTGGCAATATATTTCGTTGAACGAAATTTTTTACCTGATTGTCTTTTCAGTTGTGATAGTTCGACTTTAGCGGATTCCTTAAGGCTAGTTTCCACTCCTTTGGATCGAAACGGACAGGAAAATTTTCTTTGTCGGTGAGTTCTTAGGCGGCGTGTATAAAAAGAAACTTTCCTGTCCTGTCGGATCCAAAAGAGAATTTTCCTGAGTAGAAACTAGCCTTTAGACTGGTCACAAGCGAAAAATTTCGTTTGATGGAAAAATTCAGCCTAGTGAAAAACCGCCGTAATTATACAAAATATTAGCCCGCTTTTCACCGGAAATATATGATTCATCCTATTTTCAATTTTACGCACATTGTTTCGTTCACTTTTCTTTTCAGGAACAATACCAATTCTGTTACAAGGCCATGATGACGTACCTAGACAGCTTCAGTGAGTATGCAAATTTTGAATAAGCCGGATAAACGGACGCCATTTTGTTAAATAGTAACTTTGCCATAATAATATTATAAGTAAGATCACTAAAAGCGATCAAACCTACCAGTTTACAACGACTGTAAATTGTCTTAAAACTCTAGTTTTCTTCAAAACGTATAAATATATAGTAAATAAATATAAAGTCACAGTATAGTTCCATGAATTCCTGTGTGATAATATCTTTCTTGTAATCAGACTTAGACAGGATAGTTCCTAGAAAGTGTTGTTAGCGATTTTATTTTTCGATACGACTTTTAATTTTTATACATATAGTATATTCTATTTTTACTAATTCTGAAAACTATTTTTAAAATAGACATCCTTCTATTATGAATGTAATTTAATTAAGTGAGATTTAGATTTTAATCCATTTGAACTAATAAATGCTAACATGCACGAACACGTAGTAACCTGCTGTGTCCATGAACATTGTCAGATTGTAAGGTTTGTAGATAAAAGACTTAGTGCAAAGGATGGAATCGAGGGCGACATAGCTATAAAGTAATTAAGAACTGTCCACGACTCCACATTGTCTGAGCTTTCAATAAAATACTCATATTGAAAATATATCATAGTATTTCAACGCCAGCATGTTATGATTTTAGTCCCTAATTCCACGGCCGCTTTTTCTTGACGAAATGCCAAATATTTCGCGTGTTTCTTTTGAATTTCGACCACTTGAATAAATTATTCTGCTTCATTGCTCACAATTCAAAAGAAGCAGGCGAAATATTTCGCATTTCGTTTGAAAATTTGAGCCCGTGGAATCCTGATTAGTCTCTAAGAATTGAAGTAAAATTTCAACTTTTCTTTTTACTCAAGGACTACGCAAAGTGAATATGAAATTATGAATTGTCTTTATTCCGGTTTTGTTATACAACTTTACTCAAACTCATTTCAAATCAAGGCCTCAGCCGACGTCGGTGAAAAAACGACACAAGAGCAAATCAAATATATTCATACACAGGCACAGCACCCCCGTCAATAAGCTAGTCTATTCTTTGTTAATATCAAGTATAGCTCAACAAACTTCAAATCTGTCTACACAAGTTAAGCGTTACAATTAGTTAAGAGGAAGCTTCTTGCAGATCGCGTTTTCTCCGAATCTACTCATCTAGTTTTGTTTTCACCAGTTCAAGGAATGCGATTAATCACAATCAGGAACTCGAAAGTTTCTGAGGTCGTGACGGGATGGCAGTGATTGTAATTGTAATGCAAAACGTGCTGTGTAAACGTACGAATCAAAAAGGGCTTTGCTTACAGGCTCAGGGGGCGATCACTTGTGAGAGGAATTAATTGCTGCTCAACGATTGCTTGGGCTATTGTATAGTTCCACGCAATTTTTATAAGCGTTATCTATTACTTCGACTCTTCTCCTGTTATACTTCCTTGAATGTCCATGGCTTGCAGTTCGTGTATCGTGCAGTAACCCGATACTGGTTTGAATAGTCAAACAGCGTCTTAAAGTATTTTGTTTCATACAGATATCATGCTTTTATGCGGAAGTACATGACTTGAGCATTGCTGTGTCGGTTTCGAAACGAGAAACAATCGTCGAAATGCCGTTGTTCTTTTATCGATGGCTGCTTTTCTTTTGTACATATAAAATGATTAATGGTAAGGTATTCTTGTACGTATTATAGCATTATTAGATACACAACTAGTAAAATGGTGCTTTGTTAAAATGCTACATAAAACCTCAACGCGTATCGAATTATATATAATAACTTATTGCTTTCTTATACCAATGGTTGAGAACGTAAAGTCAGCTGTTTTGAAACGCTTACCTGATCTGATTTTGGCAATTTGAAAATCCCTGAAGTTACTGAAGTAAATTTGATAGGGGGAAGCGACAGGACTTACGGTGATACGGCTGGAACTTGCATGAAACCATAACACGCTTAGTGAACTTAAATTTGATATTCACGCTGTTCGTTAATGTCAATTCACGTAGTTTAAATCAAAACCATCCTACTAAGATGAGTCTGGTTAATCAGATGACGTATGTCTAATGTCTGCAAGGCAAAATTCAGACAACTTTCGCATTGTCATTTCTATCAGATATTTAACTTCAAATGTCAATACTGAAACGTGTTTGCCATAGATGATGCATGCCTATGGTTTGACCGAGAGAAATATTCAGGGGAAATAATCATCATTTTTTAATAAAATATTTGGCACCTCAGAATTAGGACATTCGCTGCAGTGCGAAAATTTAAGAAATTGTTTTTTTTTGCTTTGCTCCCGTCTCAAATATGATTTCGCATTTATAGTTATGCCATGCCACACTCACATGGGAAAGAGACCGAAAAAGCCCAAAAAAGGCTGTGACACTGTAATAATCAGGGCATTTTTTAACTATATAACTACTGGGGCATTTACCCCAGTAGGCCCTGTGCCTGCCCCAGTAGTGAACCTTGATTTCCTGATAGAATGGGCCCTTTTTTCACTGTAAAGGGTTGGTAATTTATCAGTTTTAACATATGGGCCTTGAAATTTGTTCGAAGAAATAAATACGTATGTAATTACGGCATTTACATGAGACGTCTGTCAGGGGCGGAGGAACAGGGGGGCTAGGGGGGGGGGCTTTAGCCCCCTCAAAAATTTCATGAAGAATGCCAGAATGGGAGATTAAATATACAAATTACGTTACCACGAAATCGTCAAATTAATGCTCGCCGGCGTATCAAATGCTAATAAGATATCCTATATTGTGATACGGATCAAGTGAATGTAAATTGACTTTCTTTGATCTTTCATAGTTGTCTTTAACAGCAGATTATTCGTGGTTGTATAATTATTGTTATTATTTTCGGACCGCCATTTTGCTTGGAAATTATATTGAGAATTTAAGAGATGAGTTTTTCAAATGCAGAAGATATCACAACACGCGCTGTGCCGTTTCAGTTTGCGGTGTTTGCCAAAAACTACGATGAAAGCAGCAAGTAAGATTCTGAAATGGCCATTTCCGATGATCTAGAGCATTGAAATTCCAAAAACAATTCGCTCGGCGCCAACCATGGTGGCGCCTCGTGAAATTAGCCCTCCCAAAATATATTATGTTCCGCCGCCCCTGACATCTGTATGTAATAACGATTCCCTTTATTAAGATTTAGTAGCGCTTTGCATCATGGTTATAGTGGTATCTTTGATTGTCAAGCCACATGTAAATTTTTTGTCTTCACCTGTGCAAGAGCGTTTGGGAAAGTTAGGGCAGGTGTATAGGAATGACCAACAGCAAAATCGTGAGGAAAACATTCAATATTTTCATTCAAACTGTCTTGAATGTCAGTGATAACACCATAACCATAATGCAAAGCGCTACTAATTCTTAGTAAGGGGAATCGTCTATTACATATTTGTCTTGCGCATGGGCCCTAATACACACTTTACCCCACTAGTCAAAATTCCTTAAAAAATGCCCTGGTAATAATATAAGTCTTCGTTTCAGACTTGTTCGATTGTTTAATTCGTCAGAAATAAAGTTAAAGGTGTCAGATAAATAGTGCCAGATTCTGTTCAAGATTTGTTGTTTGACACTCACCATCAGTCCGCGATTGTATCAGAAGACTTGAAATTTAAAGCCTGTGTTCCACTGCGCGAAATGAAAATGAATTGACACTGTATTAGCCTTTCTCACGATGACGAATATGCCGCCATTTTTGGGGTACTTGATGAGCGTATGACTTAATAACGGCGACTGTCTTTAATTTTAGGCTGGAGTTCAAGTGGTCTGTTGATTCTAAAAAATTTGCTTTTCATGTTGTTATAATTTTTAAACACATTTGAGAAAATTGAAAGTACCCCAAAAACGTCATCGTGAAAAAGGCTAATTACATCGCCCACAAGTCGTTGTAGCCACATGCAACTATCTAATCAAGTCCAATTCACTGATCTATATATAATATAAGCTCCGTTTTTGAGTGACTTCATTTCCTTATTCATTTCCTGATATTATGTCAGATGGTTAGCGTTTGGCTAAGATAATTCGGAATATCAAGCATGGATTGTTTTACGCGTCCCTCGTATTAATGAGTTCAAATAATGTTACGTATACCTTATAAATAACTGATTTAGAAAAATTGCTAACGTCTGGATATTCACTCCGGATTTTAATGTAATAGTACGATATGTTTACAGGACAGTTGAATAAATATTGTTTTTTATTTTTGTCCAGGTTTTTTTCTTAGGCATACTCAGTCAAGAAAGTGTATTGCAGCTGAAACTCCCACTTTTAACGATGATAAATATGGCACCCGTTATTGGGCTGAAATGATCACGAACTGCTTGAATGATACTGCGCTGTTTCGTTACCTGGATAGCAATCTGTTGCATAATATCGAGACAGAAGGGAACATCGTGTCTCAATATGGAAGATATAAAAATCGTTTGCTTATATATGACGGTAAAAATCAGGTTGGGAGAGACTTTGCAAACAGCACGAAACATCGTATAAAACAAACAACTGGTGGATCTTTATTTCTTTACGATGTGAATGATTGTGTTCAGCCTAAGCCTAGTGGACAGTATGTCGACGTAAAAAATGAAAAATGTAGCAACACAGCAGAACAAAAGTTTACTTTTGGTAAGTAAAAATATTTTACACTTAATTTTTCCAAAGAGTACTGTTGCCAGAGACGTGCCGGGCGGAAAGCGTATTCGAAATATAAATATTAAAGCCCAACTTAGTGCTTTCAGTAAAGCCATAAAAGACAATTTAAACCATTTGAGAGTAATGAAAATATAATAACCTTAACAACATTTAACAACCTTTAACTTGTAACAACCTTTTTTCCGAGTACGAGTTCTTTCAAGGCCTTGGCCGTGCTGAATTTGAAAAACTCTTGTCCCTATCTGTTAAGAACTGCCATGCATTTCACAGTCAATGATCGTCTATACCAACAAGTGGATGGCGTGGCAATGGGCAGGCCCTTAGGTCCACTTTTCGCGAACATATATTCATGTCTTTTTATGAACAAATATGGCTCCAAAACTGTCACCTTATTCAAACCAGTACTCTATCGACGCTATGTAGATGATTGCTTCCTTCTCTTCTGATGTCTTCTGGATCACGCACCTCTCTTCCTTGATTATCTCAACTGACAACATCCCAATATATCCTTCACATCTGACAACGAACACAATGGCAAGCTCCCTTTTCTTGATGTTGAGATATTACGCTCTAACGGGAAGTTTACAACTTCGGTGTATCGCAAACCTACGTTTACTGGTCTCTTCACGAATTTCCATAGCTTTATACCACTCAGTTATAAACGCTGCTTTTGTAATATCATGTTTACTCCATCGCATTTTCAATCTCTGCTCGAGCTATGAAAACTTTCACGCCCAACTCGAAATTGTTAGGAAGTTATTCCAAGTCAACGGGTTTCCTTCACATTTATTCGACCGTCTGGTCCTAAAATTTCTCGATAATACGTTCGATCCAAAACCGCCTATCCTAACACCACCTAAGAAAATCATCTATTTTTGTCTCCCTTTTACTGGTTTACACTCTATTCAGATTCGCAATCAAATCAACCCTCTTTGTAGCGCCGCTTTTCTGCATTTGGATGTTAGATTTGTTTTTCGTTCCACTAGAAGGTTCTTCACTCTTTCTTTTTAAAGATAAAGTCCCTAAGTACCTGAGATTTGGTGTAGTTTATTTATTTAAGTGTCGATGCTGTTCCGCGTCGTACGTGGGTCAAACTACGCATCATCTACATACCAGAATATCAGAGCACTTGGGAATATCACCCATCACTGGTAAACAGACCTCAAGCCCTGTTATGTCCAGTATACATTCTCACTTAAAGGCTTTGACGTACTTAGAATCCTCTCCTCCTCATCTGACTCTTATGAGCTAATGATACATGAAAGTCTCCCCATCACCAAACTTAAGCCTTAGCTTCTCTTAATGTTCAAAGCAACTCTATCCCTCTCAATTTATTTTAGTCCTTACTTCGTATTGTCATCGTGTCGTGACGTTTCTGTCCCTTGTCCACTCATGTCCTCACTTTGTCCTTGTTATATCACCCTTTGTAAATTGATACCTTGTAAATATATTACCATGCAGTCTACATATTCAAATTATCATGTAATTTATCATTTAGTCTGAAGATGTCTTAAGTTAAGACGAAACGTAACTATCTAATATATTTTTATTACTCTCAAATGGCTTAAATTGTCTTTTATGGCTTTACCGAAAGCACTATGTTGGGCTTTAATATTTATATTTCCAAAGAGTACATTTTAAAATCCTCTCTCTTGACAATTCTTATTGCATCTTTTTGAAAAAATCCTCGTCATTTAACTTAAAAGGTGGCCGTTTTTTTCTGTTGTAAATGGTGCATGTGACTCCGTAAATTGAAGTCCGGGTCATCCTCAGAAAAAATAACCTAAGGCTATGTCATTGCACTGTATAGGGTATATCCAGTAGCTAGATATAACTCAAGTGAGAGAGTTTAGGTTTGTGTCGCCACGCATACCGTATTACGTGCTGACCATCAATGTCATGTGAACACGCTAAAATGGCCAGGCCGCCATTATTCTGACGAGTTCATCGCGTAGAGATCAGGGAAAGTTGTAAAGACCGAGTGACCCTTCTGTTCGTTCCCTATATGTTTATCACGACATGAATGTGCATAGTTTATAACCGCCGGTCTCCATTGTTAGGTTCAGTGACGCAGTACCGAGACAAAATGAAAGATGTTCATTGTTCTCCAATACAACTTATGGTGATCCACAAAGCTTATTATGGTGATTTCAATAATAGCGGAACATTTGATGCGAATGCAGCTATTGATGCGCAGTGTAGTCGTCTAACAAGTTGTCAGGTGAAATCTCTTTGTGGTGGAAACAGATCTTGTGAACTGACCGTTGACAATAATTTACTGTCATCACAATATTGTCCTGATAAAACTAAAGAAATTTATATCGAGTACACTTGTGTTGATAGCTATGTGAATCCCATAAAAGCAGGTATGATATGCGCTATAGTAAATTCTTCTAAGCAATGAAGGCTTCTTTAGTTACACTACCCTTATAACAACAGGTATGATGCGCCATCGAGAATTCGACGACTGCTTTGGGTGCTTTCAACTTGCACTTGAAAGTTTTCCAACGGTCATGTTCATATGCGCAAAATTGAAGTCTTTTTGACCAAATTTTGTGAGACAAATAAAAGTCGCTCGAGTAGAAAGGAACCTTAGGACAGTTTGGCTTGATCGATGACAACTGAAAAAAAACATGAAATTATTATAAATATACATTGTCTGTTTTAGCTGCCAAAATAAGATTTTCAAAGTCACCAAACGAAGGTTTCGTTGAAATAAAGGATGGTTCCACTTGGAGAAAAGTAAAAGAGGAGATCTGGGATATCACTCTTGAAAAATCGCTGTGTCAGCACTTCGGGTTTGATGGGACAGTGGGGAATGTTGCTAAAACGAAGGAAATTAGCACAGGTCAGGAAATTGTAATTGGTGACCTATGCTATGATGCGCCTCTGAACAACAGTGTCCATCTTTATCCCTCTACAACAACGTCGGCAGTTGACGCGCCATATTTAACATGTGAGTAGAGTTTTAGTTAAAACATTTTAGTGTCTTAAATCATAGACTTTAAATACAGACAAAATAACATTTTGGTCTGGTTCAACTTGTCAATCACCTTTCAAAAAACTATTCTTTAATTGTTTTATGTAAGTTGTGCGAGCATGCGTTGTTACAGAACCAAACTAAATTACCAGGCTCTTTCCATATTAGTGAATTTCTTCCTAAACACAGAAAACCTAACCTTTTGCTCTTGTTTAGCTTGCTCACCTTCAAAAAACTGTTCTCTGTTTTAGGTAAAATTTGCGAGAATGCATTATTACAAAACAAAACTAAGTTTCCAGACGCGATATTTTCTGGAAGTGGTTCTACTGTCAATACCATGTACAAAGAAGCGAGGTTTTCTAGCGATGGTTGGTGTCCAACAGAGTCTGGAAACAAATATCTTAAGCTCGACCTTCAAAACGAATATCACATAACACGAGTTGTGGTTATGGGTGATAAAGATCAGACAAAGTGGAGTGGATCATATTCACTGAAATACAGTCATAATGAAAGTTTGGTAGACGGTAGTAGTGGTTTACAGGTTAGTACGTGAATATATCTCTGATACGTGATCAATATACCACTGGGAAATGTTGAAATGGGAAATATATAAATTAATGCCATCGTCAAGATTAATACCAACCGCTTTAAAATACTAAAACAAACGAATCGTTATAGCAGAAATGCCATGCACTTTTTGGAATGACTAGGAACAGATGACGAAAATATATCGGGGTAAAACCTCGAATTTATAGAATATACTAACTGCTGTTATTTTTAGTATTAAAGCAACTGCAACAAGATAAGAAAACAATCGTGTAACGCATTCTCAACTGAAGTAATTCATTTTTTTCAAAACCTCTTCTATAGATAAATGGTAATCATAACGGATTTCAAGCATCGGCAACAGACATCGACATTTATAATGTCAGATACATAAAGTTGAAAACAAATGAGAGCGCAGACTTTTGCCTTAGAATAGAAGTGTGTGGGGAAGGTGAGTCGGTAGAATCTTTAATCGCCGGAAACCGCATAATTTACTATTTAATGGTATGAAGAGAAGAGAGAGATGAGGTTGAGAAGGTTTTGTAAATGCGGCACAAAAATAAACCTAAAGACTTTACTATAAAGAGATATTTTTTCAGTTTAAATTCTCTCAGCTCAAGCATGTTCACCTGCTGTAGTATAAAGCGAATAAACGCTTTGTTATTCTCGTTCCAGTCCAAACGCCTGCTCCCGTACAAAGGATTGTCGCTGAACCATCGTTCTATTCTGTCAATCTATCGTGGACAATACCAGTGGCTAAAACATCTTCTTATATTACACATTTCATCATTTACTTGAACGGCACTGAAAGGGAAAGAATATCTCGTGTACAATATGGAAATAATTTCATTCTTCGAGGTCTGAAACCTAACACTTATTATAAAGTTGGCATAATGTCACAGGATGGATATTCAAAAAAGTCCATAGCGGTCTACAAAAGTTATAAAACTAAAAGAGCAGGTAAGAATAAAGATGCCAAGTGTGAACCTGGTTGGGCTTATAATTATTGAATGAGCCACTCTACCTGTTGCTTTTACTCCTACTTCTACGCTTTGGTTTAAAGTGAGCTTTAGTACGTTTGTAGTAAATTTAGATTGTTGATTTAGAAACTGACTGCATGTCTCCATTTTGCCCTATTACGTCATCTTCATTTGGTTTTGCACGCTAATAATAAAGGCTTAGTATACTGTCCTTTCTACTTCAACACTGCTACTGTGAAGGTTGTATTGCACCAATGACAATATTTTTCTCAAGTGTATAAGAACACTGGAAATACGGTAGTAATTCAACATATTTGCATGCAACTAACCGCGCTTCTAAAAATTATGTTCTAATTCTCCTTGTTGATAAAATTTTCGAGCTAAAAGTGAGTTAAAATAAAATTTTTGAATATTCCATCGTGAATTATGATTAGGTATCCTTCCGATCATGATTTAAGAGGTGTTTTTGGTTTTTTCATCCACCCTCAAGAATGAAGATCTTAAGTTCGTATGATCTGTATTAAAGAGAATGTTAAAAAACTCATTTTTATTCTTCCGTTGTCAAGGGTTTTTCCTCAGACACACTCAGTCAGGAAAGTGTCTCGCAGCTGAAACTCCAACCTTTAGCACAAATAGCTATGGCACCCGTTATTATATTGAAATGGCCACCAACTGCTGGAGTGATTTTGCGTTGTTCCGTTATCTTGATAACGAAGTATTGCATAATATCGAGACAGAAGGAAACGTCGTGTCTGATCATCCTCATTACGAAAAACGTTTGTTTATATATGACGGTAAAAATCAGGTTGGGAGAGACTTTGCAAACAACACAAAACATCGTATAAAACAAACAACCGGTGAATCTCTATATCTTTACAATGCGGATGAATGTGTTCAGCCTACTTCGCAGTATGTTGACGTGAAAGATACTTCATGCACCGAAGTAGCAGCACAAAAAATTACTTTCGGTACGTAAAATTACTTTGCCATTGAACTTACAAATTGGATCGTTTCTTCCTGTATAAGTGCAACATGCACTCTGTAAGTTGTAATCAGAGGGGGTATTCTTTCAACCGACTGCTCACCGTTATCTTGCTGTTTAATTGATTTAAAAATCTTTTGCCGGCCTTCTAAAATAGCACCGTGTAAACTAGCACAGTTTGCGGGGAGAGAAGATTAAAGAGAGGGGACTAAACCAGTGCCTTTTTAGGGATTTCTTCGTCGCGGAGGGGGGGGATGAAAAAAGAGACCTTTTGTCATGATTGAGAGGGAAAGGGGAAATAAAGAGAAAATATCTCAGTCACTTTTCCCATTCTCTTGCGACACACTATACTGTAGATATGGAAAATCTATAGATAGGAATAATACCTAGTGTTAAACTTTATGTCATCTGGCTTTTGCGACATTAATTTATTGCGAAAAATCAGAGCACGTTCTATGGGCCGAGTGTCTCTTATGTTTGTTTCTGATATGACATGAATGTGCATTTTTTATAAACGTCTCCATTGTTAGGTTCAGTGACTCAGTTTGGCGACAAAATGAAAGATGTTCATTGTTCTCCAATACAACGTATGGTGATCCACAAAGCTAATTATGGAAATTTCATTGATGCTGCAACATTTAATGCCAATGCAAATATTGATAAGAAATGTAGTCGACAAGCAAGTTGTGAAGTGAAATCTCTTTGTGGGGGAAACAGATCTTGTGAGCTGACCATTGACAATGATTTACTGTCATCACAACATTGTCCTGATACTACAAAAGAACTTTATATCGAGTACACTTGTGTGGATAATTATATGAGTCCCATAACCACAGGTGGGCTATGATGCGTTATCGTTCTGTTCAACAGAAAAAATTAAATTTTGTGATGCCATGTATAAAAATCGCTCTAGTAGAAATTAACCTTAGGACTGTTTTTGACGTCGCTCAGGTTTCTTTTCATTTGTTAGAAGTCGACTGATTCGGATCCACTCGATCCTGATCATTTAATCGAAAAATTTCGCCTCATGGTGAACCGCCTTCCACTAAAAATATTACTCGCACGAAATTTCTCGCAATTTCAGATGGAGGAAGTTGGGATCTGTGATGCAAAAGCAAAATGTTCGGATAATAACGCTAATTTGAAATGATATACATTGTTCTACAGTTTTAGCTCCCAACATGAGATTATCAAAGTCACCGAACGAAGGTTTTATTGAAATAAATGATGGTTCCGCTTGGAGAAAAGTGATAGACGAAACCTGGAACATCACTCTTGAAAAATCGTTGTGTCAGCACTTGGGATTTAAAGGGACAGTGGGGAGCATTGTTAAGACTGAGGGAATCGGGCTAGGTCGTGAAATTGCAAGTGGTGACTTATGTTATGACGTACCTCAAAACGAGAAATGTTGTGTCCACCTTAATCCCTCTGTAACAACGACAACAGTTAAGGCGCCATATGTGAAATGTGAGTATATAAGATTTTATCAAATTAATTTTAGTATTCATCTGTTTCTTATGATTCTCATGATTCACACGATAATCACGTGTCAGATCAAAAAACCGTCCTCGTTTTAGGCAAGATATGTGAGAATGCATTATTACAGAACCGCACCAAGTTTCCAGACGTGATATTTTCTGGAAGTGGTTCTACTGACAATACCAAGTACAAAGAAGCGAGGTTTTCTAGCGATGGTTGGTGTCCAACAGAGTCTGGAGACAAATATCTTAAGATTGACCTTCAAAACGAATATCACATAACTGAAGTTGTGGTTATGGGGGATAAGGCCCGAATAAATTGGGGTGAATCATATTCTTTGAAATACAGTCATAATGAAAGTTTGGTGGATAAAAATCATGCAATAAAGGTAGTGATAATAGCCATTTTAACGTGAAACTAAAATTCGTATTCGTCCTTAACAATTAGCTGTCTTGATGCTGGGGGATCTTGACCATAAAAATTGAAGCATGAAATGTAAACTAAGCTGTCGAAATCCTGTATAGTGTTCATACTTTCTAATGTGAATTAAAGTTTTCGGTTATTGGTTTGCCGTTAACGTCAAATCGTCAATCTTAGATCTCAAATAGTGCCTGTACCAGAATATTTTCAGAGATGAAATTCGTGTTAAAATCTTTTGAACTCTATTTTACGCTACAAATATTCCACTTTCAGGTGATAGGAAATCAAAACAGTCATCAACCATCGACTACAGACGTTGATATATACAATGCGAGATATATAATGATAAAACTAAATGCAACAACACTCTTTTGTCTGAGAATAGATCTCTGCGGTGAAGGTAAGGTTTCACTAGTGTTTTTATAAATCCTACCGAAAAAACAATAGATCAGAATCTTAATCTTGGATTTTTCTTTTAAGTTCAATGTATATAATTGCAGTGATCTGTTTCTTTAGCCCAAACTCCAGCTAAAGTAACGAAGTTTATTATCAAACCATCTAATTATTCTGCCCATCTGTCTTGGAACATACCAGGTCCTAATGAATCTTCGTACATAACACATTCTGTTATTTATTTGAACGGGACTGAAGTGCGTAAAATATCTCGTGCAATGTATGATAGTCAGTATACGTACACTCTTCGAGGACTTAAACCATACAAGAACTATACTGTTGGTATACAGACACAGGATGGTAATTCTCAGAATTCCTCAGTAGAATACAAAACTTTCACGACCAAAGAAACTGGTAAGCATATAGGGGAATAAAGTATTGCTTTGAAATTATTGAGATATCTCGGCGTGGTTTTATGAAGAGACGGCATAACTTCTGAACTATACGCCTATATACTCTGCCCCCCCCCCCCTCCCTGGATGTACAATCACCACAGATATGTACATTCTGTAACGCTAGAAAATTTGTATTGAAAAACCAAACGCTGATTTCTCAACAGAAAACATCCAGCGTTCCATATATATTAAGTTCAAATTCAATGACCTGCATGCAGCATTCATTCTTCCTTCATTATCCATTATAGTCCCTGCTAAACCTCCACAGCATCTTGCATTCAAATCCCGTAATAAAAGTTCGCTCGAAATAACTTGGAAAGCTCTCGATAAACGTTTCTGGAATGGTCGATTAACAGGATATCAAATTTGTCATTCTGCCGAAGAAAATGACAAACGTCCGGAATGTTCTGACGTGAATATTTCGTCAGACTTGTCGTTTGTTATTTCGAATCTTCAACCTTCAACGAAGTACTTTGTTACTGTATCCGCTGGCACAAAAGTTGGTTTTGGAAACAAAAGCTCTGAATTAAATAAAATAACAAACGGAGGTAAGGAAGGAAACGAGATTAGTTTTTGCTATACTATCTTTAGTGTTTTTCTTCAGCAAAATGACAAATGCTTTCTGACAAATTTTAATATTACCAAATAAATCTATGTTTAAAATCGATGAGCGCCTCATTTTAGTATACTGTAAATTTTGCGAATTGAAAAATTTGCTTCTTTCCAGTTCTTATATAACAACATTGACATTAATAATCAATAAATGTCCCTTTCATCATTTCAACTTAATTTTTACTTTTCATTTCTCTTTGTAACAATTAATTGTGTTATCTAGAGCCTGTGAATCTCACCGCGAAGTCTTACTCAAGCCTACAGTTTAATTTATCGAGACCAGCTTCATACATAAAGTAAGTCATTGTAAACATTTTCTATTTTGAAGGAAGGTTTAATAGTTTACGATTCACATAGCGATAGACTTATTTTACTATTTTAGAGAGAAAGAAATTGTTTCAAATAGTAAAGGAGATTTATGCATAGATGTGTTTCTAGTATAATTTATAATCCAAATTACAGGTCTTAGGTACCTGGTTTATAATGACAGTATACTTTATACTATACGTAAATTTATATTCATACAATTTAGAAGCGTCATGGTTATCGTGCAGTCTGCAACGAGCAGCCCAACTCCAAGCGAGAATATCAATACAAGTAAACTCGAAGCTCAGGCAGACACAGAAGATTCTTATATTACTGCTCATTTAAAAGCTGAAGATCTGCCTTTGACGTTCGTGATCGGTGATGGCAAGGAGTATAAATATGGAAATAAAACATTCATAAACCATGTTTTACAACAGAACTCAAGCTACATCATGTTTTTGAAGTTCATTGAAAACCAGGTGAAGATTATATGTACCGCTACAAAAGTTGTTCTTCCTAAATCGTTTGCCTTTTCCTACACTTTCGCCTATAAATAAATCCACGCTATAAAACCCGCTAACTCGTTTATTGTTTTAGAACTCTTTCTACACAACAGAATGGAGCAGAAATGTTTGGACTATGGTAAAACCACCAGGTATGGTTTTTTGAGCTACTCTTGCATGTTCTTTTTAGAGTTTCGGTTGTTCGCACTGACCGGGTGATGACGTTCCACGACATGGCCAAAATGTCTGAAAAACTGGATGGATTCTCGTGATCCTACCAGAGAAAATATAGAAAGATAAAAAGAGTGTTCAGCAATCAATATTTAGCTTCCCATGCAAGTATCTCCTTCTATATATATACCTGACCAAAACACTCAGAGACGTCGGCACTCATGCTAATTGCCAATGTGCTAATACAACTAGTTCTCCTTTTGTACAGAAAATACCCATAAAATGAATTGAAATCAGGATATCAATAAAATAGCCTTCTGTTAGATTTACCATTCATTGCCATTCATTTACATTTGCCATGCCACGCCACACCACGCCACGTCACACCACATCACGTCACGTCACACACGTCACGCCACACCACGCCACGTCACACCACACACGTCACGTCACACACGTCACGCCACACCACACCACGTCACGCCACACCACACCACGTCACGCTTTTCTATTATTCCTGAAGGTTCGTTTGAAATGAAAAAGGCTTCGCAAATGCTTGTTGTGTTTTGCTAATATCCTACACCATATTCTCTTTGCTTCTCTTAGCTCCTAATATATCAAAGATAGAATCTACTGGCCTTAAAGAATATAATATTTCTTGGTCTCAACCGAGTTTACCTGGCGTTCAGACTGTCTTGCAGTATAAAGCATATTACGGGGTGTTGAATGCGTCAAGAAATGAAACAACTTCAAAAGAGACGTTTGTCACCATTCATGTGTCTGAATATGATAAGCAGTATACGTTTGAAGTGCAAGTTAAGACACAGGCTGGACAAAGTGATCTGGCGAAGAAATCATGGTTGACCCATTCAAGTACGATCCCAGCAGTCTAATTTAAAGTATACTTAAAACTTTAAACCTAAAAGGAAGAAGTGATTATTATATTTTTATTCATCGCGTCTAACTACACTGCCCCTTTTCCTCGAGACACTGTTATTTCTACTTTTCCCTAACTACCACTTTCCTTTTTTCCCTAGCTACCACTTTCCTTTTTCCCTAACTACCACTTGCATTTTTTCCCTAACTACCACTTTCCTTTTTCCCTAACTACCACTTGCATTTTTTCCCTAACTACCACTTTTCCTTTCCATTTTTTGACTTATTCGCTATTGATAAACTCCTTTCGCACAGCCGGCCCCTGTCTTGCATCACATACCCTTACTATATATTCCCCCTAAAGTCAGTAAGTACCCACTATCATCACATCATATACCCCGCGATATAATGTTGTCATTTTATTTCAGAGCCACCAAATCCTCCGATGAGAATGGAAGACTTCTTTATCTTAATACTCAAAAAGCCAGATAGCAACCAAAATATAAAGTACGTTTTATGTAATACTGTCTTTAAATTACTCCACGGTTGTCCAAAACGTTTATAATTTGCATATGAATGAGATCATTTTTCTCATCAGGAATGTCTCATTGGTAGTATATCGAGGAAGTAATAATCCTCCTCCACTGGAAAATCTGAACGTGGAAGAGAAAACTCCTGCAGACGCAAAGAAAAATGCAGTCTTCGTTTTACGGGTTTTCGACATAGCTGAGTTTAAGAATGGTAAAATTGAGGTAAATCTTAAAATGAAAAAGACCTCTGCGAGGAAGAAAAGAAGTCCTGTTGAAGTTGTAATGCCTGGCTCAGAGGATGCGACGTTCAGAATTGCACAACGAAATACGGATAGGTCCGGGGTAGGTTGAACTTTTCGTGAATGATTGGTGTATATATGATTATGGTTCGTTAATTATTAGGTTAAATATGTTACGCAGTATTGTACGTTGCAAGCAGTGGATTACACTGCAGTCAACCTGGATACCGTATTGAATACTGGTCTTGTTCAGCAAGTCTTGGTTCGTTTGCACAAGTGGACCGTATTTGATTTTGGAAAGTTGAAATACGATTTACTTACAATCAAGTATTTGACTTTTCGTTTAGAACGTTTACTGGTCATACTGGACTGAGCCATTTAGTTTTAAAGGTAAAATACTTTAATGCTTGGGTGGTTTACTGAAATCACCCCAGAATTTGGCTAAAAACTTCATGCAGAATTTTCATATGTACGAACCACAACAGCTAGCAGTTAATAATCGTTATAATCATGGTAATTCAAAATCATTTTAAATCATAGTAACTCCCCCCTCCACCACCCCCACCACCACCACCACTAGCACTATAACTACCGGTTCGAGGACTCCTTCCATTTCCACAAAGATACCTAAAACAGAGGCTGCTAGAGGTGATGACAATGATATGGCAGCAGCCATTGGTGCCTCAATCGGTGTCATTCTTATTGTAATCCTAGTTGTACTTACCATCATCTTTTTATATAGAAGGTAAGAATCTCTACTCTTTACCCACAACAATCTTTCCTTCAGGATTATTTTTTTAGATGTATTCTCGCGATAAAATTCCTTCTATATCTTGCTGTTCACCTCTTTCGACCGTGCTTTCTTTAAAGGGGGACCTTCAGACAATATTTTCACAAAGATCCAGTTGATGAGAAGGACATTGGTGGTGAGATGAGGGGAATTGACAACGATGGCAATGATAGACACAACGAGGAGGCTGCCATTGATGAAGATATTTATTCAAATCAACCTGGTACGTCAGTAAAATTAAATGCTTTGTCGTTGTATTTTTTTTTTTCACAAGCTGCGAATGAAATGCTTCATTGTTCACACTAATCATGGTTTTGATAATTATCTTGACTTCCCAGAAGCGGAACAGAAAGAACACCCTTCTATTCAGATTGCAGAATTTGCGCATTATGTGAACGAAATGAAACAGAAAGATAATTACGAATTTCATAAGGAATACGATGTAAGTAGTAGTTGGGTACAAAATAGTACTTGTAGTGATTATCGCATTTACTCATTTATTTTTATTTATTTGTTTAAAAACTTCATGCACATGAAAAACAACGACACATACATAAGCAGGTAACAACAGGGCTATAACACCTTAGCTAAGGCCACCCACAGCTATTTAAAAACGAAAACAGACAGAAAGACAGACGGACCGATTAGACGGACATGATCTAATCACGATCTAACAGAAGATGAGTCAAGTGACAGTTGAAAGAAGTTTCTGATGGTGTTGCAACGTAGACATTTTTAAGGCATCTATACGTTATATCTTTGCGTGGCATGATTACTAATTTGATGGTTACTTTTCTCTCAAACATCGTTGTGATACATACTTTCCTGTGCAGTAAAACTGTGATGCTTTGAATTCATTTGTACTAAACCGACAATCTTCACTGCTTGTTCTAAATGAGACAAAATAAATCTTCAAAGAGGATTTGATTCCTCTTTGGTTTTGCTTCCTCTAAGTATAGAGGATGGAAGAGAATGGACGAAGTATACTGTATGTTTTGTGTTCATTGGTACCAAACAGCCATACCTTTATTGTTAACTCCAAAATAGATTAATATAGATCTTCGAAGAGAGCTAACCTTTCCTGCTCCAAATATATGGGTCCCAGTTAAAAGGATGATAGAAATCGTGAGGCTTTTCGTGCAGCATGTTCGCAATTGCAAGCCTTAAACTATCTCCATTGCTGTCTCCTTAGGGTTGACGTATTGTTTTTCTAAATTAAAACGCAGGATCTGCCTAAAAATACCAATACATCCTGGGAAGTGTCCAGGAAACCGTTTAACAAGAAGAAGAACAGATATGGGAACATTGTAACATGTAGGTTGCTTTGTCGCGTCAAATCTGTTCAAACGTTTTGCTGCATCCATTAAAATTGTTATTATTCCATTTTAGACGACCATTGTCGCGTTGTTCTCTCTGGGGATGAACACGAGGATTACATCAACGCAAGCTACATAGACGTGAGTCTTCTTTTGTTCAATTGAATAATTTTGTATGTCAAATTCATAGCGGTTTTGAATGCATACAAGCTTCTACGGAATAGAAATGCGTAGGGTAATGTAAATACACGATCGTTTTTTGCACTTAGGGGATCAAGGAAAATTCATACATTGCAACTCAGGGTAAGTCCTGTTCAAAATGAATACTTTTAGCAACAGTCTACGTAGGCTCAAAATTATGTTCAAATTAGTTCATGTCATATTGCCCTAAAGGCTAAAGCATGTTTTATTTCTTCCTCCACCACACAAGGGCCTACTCTTCAAACTGAGAATGATATGTGGAGGATGATTTGGGAACAGAGGTGTTACTCCGTTGTTATGGTAACATCTCTTGTCGAGCTTGGGAAGGTACTGCTGCGGATGCCCAATTTTTCGCTTCCTTTACTTCCTGTTAACGTTGGTGCTCTATTTGCAGCCCAAATGTGAGAAATATTGGCCTGACGATGGAAGTAAAATGTATGGCAATATTGAAGTAACCTTGATGAAGACTGAAGAGTTTGCTTACCACGTGACGCACACTATGCGGGTTACAAAGGTAACTTCAACGATTCATACTTCGAGCTTGGAATAATTCAATTTAATGTGTTCTTATTACGCTGTAGGATGGAGAGGAAAGAGAAGTGCGCCATTATTACTTTCAATCATGGCCGGATCATGGTGTACCCAAATATCCCACTCAGCTCCTGGATTTCAGGAGACATTATCGAACTCATCATCTGCAACAGTCTGGACCTATTGTTGTTCACTGCAGGTGCTATAATACAGTGCAATTTTTTATTATGAATATATTTCGATATTCCTGAAAGCCCATTAAGTTTAATGGAGGAAAACGGAGAAAAATAGTTGATCTTTTTAACAATCCCATTTCAATAGCGCTGGTGTTGGCCGAACTGGTGTTTTTCTTGCTATTGATACGATTCTTGACAAACTTGAGAAAGGTGTCACAAATTCCGTGGATGTGTTTGGACAAGTCAGCGCAATGAGAGAAAGAAGGATGAACATGGTCCAGACTTTGGTAAGGTTCTTTTTTAGTAACACTCCAGTTTAGTCGTCTTCAGAGCTCTTCGTGTTATTAAAAGGTGACGTAACCAAACTAAACTAAACAAGACCTTTAGGAACTGTATATTTTCATTACCTTTAGGAACAGTATGTTTTCATCCACGAAGCTATTTTGGAGACCATCGTCTGTGGTAACAATGGAGTAGATTCGAACAAAATCATGGATGAAACAAAGAATCTTTCAAAAGTCATGGCCGGCGGGATGACAGGTTTCCAGGCTAAATTCAAGGTTCGCTTTAACTGTTTGTTAAGTGGTTCTTTTGCAGCAATTTTAATCAGCAAATTCTTTGCATTGGTTTGCTATATTTTCAGATACTGGGTGAGGTATCTCCAAAGATATCGGACGATGAATGCTCTGCAGGACTGTCAGAAGAAAATTACAACAAGAATCGTAACAAGAATGTCTACCCAGGTACATCAAACTGCTTTTATGACGACTGGGGTCGACAGGGCTCGCTTCCATTTAGCATTTTATAGGAGCAAATGTTTTTTCTTATTCTAGCGGAGAGCAACAGAGTTCCTCTTCCGTATCTCGATGGAGTGGATAATTCCGACTACATCAACGCTGTGTTTGTTCACGTAGGTTTTTGTTTCTTGGTTTGTAGAATTTAGGAAGAAATATTATCATTTTGTAACCCTTCCATGAAGACCTAAGATATATTTCATTGCTTCTAAAATGAAAAATGGTCATTTCTTAACCCTTAGTACAGTCAGCCAACGAATTTTATCTTTTTGTTTAACGGAAACAATGTTCTCTTCAAACTCAGGGTTATTTGGGTAGGAACTACTTCATCGCTACACAAAGCCCGCTGCCTGCCACAATCAACGACTTTTGGCGGCTGATTCATACGCAGAAATCCTCTACCATTGTGTTGTTAAACAACATCAAAGATGGAACGGTACGTTTGATCATGTATCATGTAATTGTTAAGTCATTTTGAGCAAGCAGCACTTACAATGAATGGGATTTTCTAAGTTCAAGCACATACAATAAGAAGTTTAAATGGTATTATACTAAATTTTCGCTTTGAAATAGCTTCTTTCAGTAGTAATACCTTCAAGCTGGCATTTTCCATAAATCCTGATGATAGCGATGATATATAGAAGGTTTTCTTAAACATTGTACCTGGAAAATGTAATCTGTTTTCTGCATTGTATGTAGTCATTTCCGAGATTTTGGCCGTCAGAAAGGGGGAAACCAACTTTGTATGGCAGCTTGACTGTTCAGTTGGACTCAGAGAAAGATTCAGATGGAATTTGGACAAGGAAATTCATCTTAGCGTCTTATCCAGTATGTAGAGTAATTTGTATAGGATATAAACGCAGGATAATACGTATATTTTGTGCAGTCTTAGCCTAATTCAGAATCAACATAATATTTCGCTGCAGGATTTGTCAGATGGACGGGTCGTCAATATCTTCCAGTACACGAAGTGGCCAGACCATCGTGTTCCTCAAAACGGACGTGGAGTTATTAGTTTGACGTCATTGGTCGAGAAATCACGACAGAGCCACGGTGGAGGACCGGTTATTGTTGCATGCAGGTAGCACTTGTTCAATAATTATTATCACGATTCTCATAACGATTCTTTGCACTAACACATCAAGGCACGGGGGTGACACGCCCAATTATGCTCGTGACAAAATTATGGGACTCCATGATTTAAAAATTCGGGTATGCTTGCATCCCGGTCAGAAAAAATAATGCGACTCTTTACTTTTATTTCAGCGATGGAGCGGGTCGTACGGGAACGTTTATTGCCATTTCAAACCTGCTCGAAAGAATGAAAATTGAACAATCGATGGACGTCTTTCAGGCGATTAAAATCATCAGAGGAACACGACCACAGTTTGTCGAAAATGCTGTAAGTACATTGTATAATAGACAAGAAAAGTGAATTGAAAATGAAGCTTGTTCAAAGTGTATAGCTCCAGGCCATGCGAGCTAAAATTACTAATAATTTTACTTTTTAGGAGCAATATCAGTTTTGCTACACAGCCTTAATGGCATACTTGGATGACTTTGGTGAATACTCAAATTTTGAGTAACAAATGCGTTAGTCGGTAGAAACGAAATTTAAAACGTTTAAGGGTAGAGAATAGCTTAGTTTTCATACGCTCAAAGCGGAAAACGGTAGTGTTGTTGAATTTGTTTATACTTTTTATACATTTGTTGATGATTTGTTGCGATGGTAGATAGCGCAAGTTGGAAACCTCACAAACCTCACATATTATATACATAATTGTTCAGCTGAATCCAACCCATTCCATTGAGAAATAGAATTGATGCATGTTTGATGATCATAACAATAGAGATACTTGTGTTATATTTTAACAAAACAAGTGAACGTAAGCGTCAAACACATTCCAACTTTCATTTCGTATGTGTTTTTAATTTCATGCACCACTGCTTGCTGCAGAATCGATTACATATAAGAAGAAACCTTTCCATTATACATACAGTAAATCATTATGGTATGGTCGTATTATTCATAGATAGAATTTGTGGGTTGGAATTCGCTTGGTTGTAGTTCTTTTTACATTTAAATCCATTTTCTCGAATGAAACAAACGCAGAATTAGTATTAGTAAGCTGATATATTATATACATGCATGGAATTGCTCATTTGTAGAAGTTTCAAAAATGAAATAAGTTTTATAACATGGTAAATACTATATTTTGTACTTTGATATTTTAAAAATACAATATTTTGAGTAATAATAAAAGAGAAAAATGCAGTTTAGCGCCTTTTTTAAACGGCAAGAACGGGATGATTATTACATGGATCCGCCATCTTGGCGCTTGCATGTAGGGTGGGCAATGCATTCTATATTCTTTTGATGTAGCTAATAGCTTATATCATCTGTGAATGATATTATGCATGCAATATCATCCACTGTGTTACGCACTATGGTTACACTTATTGCATAATTTATGGCTGTTGGATGTTTATCTTCGATGAGTGTCAGTTGTCTTGAGCACTTGACCGACAATGTGGGACTATTAAAAGCCGAATAAAGGTGAGTTTATTTATTCCAGTGACAAATGTTCCTTTTAGAATAAAGACAACCTTAATCATTATGTAAAAAAACTCTCTTATATTGTCGGCGACAACGTTTAGTATATAAAAAGCCTGAATTTTGGCGAAATTGTTTTTATCCGGCTACATATATTGTGTATATATTGTCATGAGACAGTCTGACGATAATGACGATTCATGCAGCGTGAACCAAACACAAATAATCTCTTTAGGGGATTCACGGTGAGGGCAAAGCCAAAGGGCAAGGATGATGAGGAAATATATAAGTATAATTTTGATTTATCCAGGGTGGGACTCGTACAATGTTCGTCTGCTATGTATAACCGGCGTGTGTAATGGGTGATTGTTTATCGGTGCAACCTGACAGAATACGTGTATACTGAAACTGATTTTGGAGGAGATCGACAGCGACCGAAAACTCGCGGATTAGTATCACAGGCCATTGCAAAATAATAATTATGCATCTGAATATCAGATCATTTCGGCATCTCTGTGTTTGTATAGGCGGGGACAGTCTAGGTTTAATTATAATCACAGAGATGCTGGAAATTGCGATGATTTCCGCCATTTTTTAGACCGATCTTAACTGCGAATATACCCACGAAGTTTTGAGAGTAGCTAACAAGGCAAATTAAGGTTATAGTAATTCACGATACATCCAGGCATGTTGATAATTGGCAGACATCGCAAACGAATAATCAGTCATGAAGTCTTCCGTCAGTTCCGTGTGTTTGACGTCTAATTAACCTTGATATTTTGCATTTCAGAAATATGGGAGTAAGCAAAATCAAACTCGTTTTCATCATTGCGATAGTAATTATTATAGAAATCCTGTGTGTCAATGGACAGGGAGGTTCGTGAACAAAATATATTGATGATTATGAGATTGTGACCGCGTTGATATAGCTATCAATATACTGCTATAAGGAAATATTTAAGGCCCTGTTACACGGTGCAATTTTTCCTGCAACTTGCAACGCAATTCTACTTTAAGAGATGTAAATTAGTGAAGAGTCTTTAAAGTGTAAGAAACGCCATTGAGTGTAATAAAGACAAAAGTTTAGTAGTTGCCAAATTTACATCTCTCAAAAGAAGAATTGCATTGCAAATTGCAGGAAAAATTGCACCGTGTAACAGGGTATACGCTTATGCGTTTTTTCTTTGGATCCGAACACAGTCTGCCAATTTTCTTCAAATTTGCCCTGATGTGTGAGTCCCCTTATGTTGAACATCCCTAACTAACCCTCTCTTTCACATCCGTATTTAAATGAGAAAGCCATATAACAGAACATGCTAGTTCCTACACTATATATGCTCAGACTGCTCTGCTATATGTTTTGACAGCTCAAACTGTGTAACTTAGCTATATACAGATGCGACTTAAACGTATATTTCGATGAACTTTTCAGGTCCTTACAACGGGACAGAAGGCGAAATAACGACTCCAGGCTATCCCTTCAATTTGAGTTTTCAAGGTATCTGTAAAACTGAGAAAAACGTGGTTAACGGTTCAATCGAACTGACCTTTGAGAATGTCAGTTTACCGGATGGAGCTTTTATAATCTATGATGGTAAGATCATGAAAATTGGCGTACATGACGTACAATCAAAAGTCGTTTTCATTGCAAAGAAAGAAGTGATGGTGAATTTCGTATTGCCTCGAAATGTTAATGGAACGTATGGAGGGGTTAGGATGAAATATCGAAGAATACCCAAAGGTAAATCTATACCTTGTCCTCTCAGGAAAAAGAGAAATCTTTGAATGACATTCCGCTCGGATACCCGGTATATAGGGGTATTAATCCCCCCGGTGGTTTCTATATAAACGCTTTTTACGATAATATAAATAAGAAGAAAGGGAAATGCAAGGAAATTGGAGATTCCGACATCTTTTCCTCCTCATATGGAAATTGTTTCACGGCTTCGTTTAAATTTAGAACCACCTTAAATGAAATGGATTTCAAGTTTTACTCTCACGAGCCACGTGAGAAGATGTGACGTAATTACCGAAAACGTCTATTGAGACGACGTAAACACGACGTATTTTTATCACTACAAAGCATTCTGTTATCTGCTTTTTAGATGTTTGTAAGTCAAGTTACGAGACTTTTGAAATCGAGGACGAGATACAGAGTCCCGGCTTTCCTGACAACATTGGAGCAAACTCAAGCTGCGAATATTATATTGATGTTGGTCCTTTCTCACTGAACGATGTGATTCAGATACGTTTCAGAGAACTATCATTTGGACCCGATGATACACTGACAGTGTACGATGCAAAGAGCAACACCGTTATATTCGGTCCGCTCATTGGTCCTCAGAGACTCATACGAGCAAATACTACAAAAAGCACCTCCGTAAAAATTGTCGTAGAAACGAAATTTGTACCTTCAATTAAACAGAGATATTTTATTCTCTTTCGAGAAGTTCCTAGAGGTAAGTTGAACGCATATTATCCCTTTGGGACAGGGGCGGAACCAGACAGATTCATGCGATTGCATTATTGAAAAATTTCACAAACACAAAAAATCAAATAAGAAATTGGGGTAAATTAAGACTAGTCTAAATTGAGACACGATAAAAAATATTATTGGTCTAATACACCTGATCGAGTACCGTTTTCCGGTACATTCGACCATGGTCGAGTACACCGTTTTTCGGTATATTCGACTATGGTCGAGTATACTTATACGTTTTCTTACCTTTTCTTGTCCTCTCTTACCATCTTCTATCCTCTTCTACCCTTCCTCAACCTCATTTATCTTCTCTTATCCTGTATTATCCTCCTTTTTTCATCTCTACCATTCTCTACCGTTTTTGTATTTCCCCTCACTCCACAGCAACTCATTTCGCTTCCTTCAATACATCCTCCTACTTTTCCCAGTTTTATCTCATACAATTTCCGTCTAGATTCGTGTGTTTTGGATTACACTGGAGACTATGGTGGGAAATTCTCTTCGCTTGATCGCCCGTGTGTCTATAATATTCGCCTAAAGCATTCGATTCAACTTGATTTCAAATTGAACGGTCTATATGTTCCAAGTGGAGGCCTTATTAAAGTGATTCAACGCTCAAAATATTCGGAAGATACAACACTTTTATCTCTTGACAATGATGACACAGGGAAGACAAGATACTTCAGAAATGATCCTAGCCATGACGTTATTGAGATATCTGCAAGCGAACATGTCCGGTTTACTGTGAGGTTTAAGCGTTTCAAAAAAGGTAGAAATTCCGCTGATGATTGATAGCTGTGGGCAAAGATATTTTAGGTACAAATATCTGATATGGTTGTTTTGTATCTTTCAGATACAACGATCACCCTCCGAAATCCCAATGGGACCATTTTATCACCGTATTATCCATATACGTATCACTTCAAGGCGTTCGCGGATTCGACTTATACTTATCACATTGAAGTACCAAAGGGCCGCGTGAGGCTAAATTTCACTAAGCTTTCTTTATACGTCGAAAACAGATACCTCAGTGACGACCTGTTTGTCTATGATGGAAAATCACGTGATGCTTACCGAATCTGGTTACTTAGAACCAACGAAAAGTATCAATTACCTTTATCCCTTCTGAGTTCGGGTAACCATCTTACAGTGGTATTTCGGCCTATGTGGTCACCTAAATGGAAATCGGTCAAGGGTCATGTCTTCCAATTTGAGGCAATCTATTCCAGTGAATTTCAAGGTAAGAGCAATGTTTGTTCATCTATAAGGAGCCACCACTACAAACCACCCAAAGAATACTCGATTGGTTAGGTTCTACAACTTAGTTTAACGAATTAATGACATGGTAATCCTTTCTGTTTTGTGTGTAGTAAAAGACTGCATCGCCTTCGATTGGCCTCATTCTCGTGCGGAAAGAAATGTAACGTTGCCAGGTGAACTGATTTTCGTTGCACGTTTCTTGTATGATTCACATTGTTTCATAGCTATAATAACAAAAAAATAACCCTAACCTACAAATTAACGGATTAACATACATTCCTGCCGTCTTTCTTTGTTTGATTCCACTATCAATTTTTTATAGAATTATATAGAATTTGTTTTCTCCACTGTACAAATCTGCAGCCTTCGTGAAATACGAGGGCGAATCTGTTCAAACTTAACTTGCTTTTTTGTCTCACAGGGAGGGAAACGAAATTCTTCTGCAACAAGAATTATGTCAGCGGATCATATTTTAAGGACGTTACGCGGAGATGTGGATTTCATGGTGAATGGGAAGAGGGAAGGACATTGAACTGTTTGAGGGTCTGTCCTCCCCTGGGTTAGTATTACTTCAAAATATAAGTTGAAATTTTAAGTTGAAATTTTAGCATAGTCGTTGAACACCGGTCAGAAGATCTTACCCTTCACTAACCTTTAACCAAAGATTGGTTTCGTTCCCACAATTTACTCCAAATTAGTGCAGCGCCTTGCCATCCACCTTTCACCATCTTCATTTTTCCACTTCCGTTATCCAGTTTCACTTACAGATCAGTGACCATATTTTCCTCCTGAGAAATTTCCCCAAACATGTTACTTGATATTTGCTTTTTCTGTAGACGAAAAATTAAAAGAGAACTCGTCTTTATCTTGGTGGTACTCAACATTCAGCAAGGGTGAAGTATACGACGGAGTATATGCGTACTTTTCTTGCAATTATTACAAAGAGCAGTTGGTCGGCCCAAAGACAATCACGTGCACATCACATGGCAACTATACTGCGTTGCCTCCCATTTGTAAAAGAAAACCCAAACGTAATTCTGATTATGGCTCAAGTAAGTCCGTAGAAAAAGCTTCTGATTCGTAATGTAGAAGTACTTAAACCCTAGATAGGCCAGAGGTTGTCTTGAACTTGGAGAAAATTTCTAAAGGCGGTGTTATACTATGCAACTTTTCTTGCAACTTGGAATGCAGCTCTACTCCTGAGACATCTAAAGTTGTCAAATACGAACATTTCTTACGATCTGTTAACGTTTCTTAACATTTCAAACATTCTTCGCAAATTTACATCCCTCAAAATTATAATTGCATTGCAAGTTGCGAGGAAAATGGCATAGTGTGACAGCGCCTTTGGTAACTCAGAATATAAACATAATTCAAAAGAATTATTCATATTTCAAGTTACTAGTTACTACTGTTGTTATAGCCTTGTGCCTATTTGCATCTCCAAGAATTATTTCGATATGGATAGCTAAGGAATTTTAGCTTGTTTTAACATTGCCTAAAACTATAAAACATAATCCAACGGTATATTGGACCATATTTGTATCAAATGATTGGCACTTTTAAGAAAACAATTAAGCTTAAAGTTCAGTGAAGGGTAGTTTTGTGCCGGAATTAAAGGATTCCACGACACCAAATATTAAATTGTTAAATTCCTCGATCCATAACAGGTGGTAACGACGGATGGAAATACGGCGCTGGTATTGGTGGAACAGTATTCATAATTTCCATAGTCGTCACTGTATTGAAAGTTTGTTTCGGTTGTTGCAATTGTTGCAGTCAAGGCAACAGTGCCGAGTCAATTCCAATGAGTCAAGTAAAATACTCGCAGGCCTGAATATTCGAGGAAGAATTTGAAATTGCAGATTACTACATGGGGGATAATTTCAGCTATTCTTCGAGCCATTGTGTTCCAATGAGTTCCGCAATCCTAGCAAAACCCATCGACCACAATTCGGTTATCTGTCACTGTCACCTTTTTATGTTATTCTGTCTATCACTATCAGTCCTATGCATGACGGATGTGGTCAGTTATCATTCAGTGAGTATCTTCAATGTTTTGACCAGGATTGCTGCTTCCAATGATCTTGAGAATCCATCAGCATGAGTAAACTGAATAGTGTAAAATATTTTCAGACCTGACTAAATACTTGAGAGCCAAAGAGGTGATTTTAAGGATTATCGCAATTAGGATGATCCAGCGATTAAGATTAATATATAAGTTGTATTATATTCCTCTTTGTCCACACACGAGAAACATCCAAAATTTATAAATTTTAATCCAGAACTTCCCGAAACAAATGTTTGTCTGTGGGGCTCACGCCGCAGTAGTTTTCTCATAGAAAATATGCTACATTTCATAAAGACGAGTATAATTGTTTCAAAAGGAACAGTATGGTGCAAGACAATAATATACCGCCGTGCCCAATATTATAACGAGAACGGCTCAATTGATATAATTATATGATTGTGTAAAGAAAAGCTGATTAAATTATACATGTACTGATATATATCGTTCTTCAAACCTGTAGTAAAAAATGTCCGAGGGAGACTCTTGAACAGTCAAACTTTCCTTAAAATCTACGTTGCTTCCTGGTTTAAATTTTCTAGGAGTTTCACATTAAAATTTTGTTAAATTAACAACGGGGTTCTCGTAAAGAATTCGAAACCGAAATGGATGCATGTATATGATAATTACTGATAAAAACTGATGTCAACAATGACTTTAGTTTATGGTAATCTAGCGTAGACATAAAGTTCCTAAAGTCGATATACCAGTGGACGGTGTATCGCTTTAAACAACAGGCAAGTTTTAACATCAAGGTATAAAATAGCCACGAGATATGGCATCATCAAAAGGAGCGTCTGCCTTTAGTGTTGTCCTTGGCTTCATGATTTTGATCGTGGCCGTTGGCTGCATCGCAGGAGGAGCTTTTGCTCTTCACAAATTTGATCATGTTGGCGCAGCGAGCATGGGAATTTGGGCAGTCTATGTATGTATTCTTAATATTAAGTTAATATATTGAAATGAATACAATTGTGAGCCCTTTTTCGATATATGTTTTTCGATCACCCTATTTATATCCCGAGATACATTGTGTATCCAGTCTAAATCGACTATTCATAGCTATAGCCATCATTTGACAGTCTATTATATAAGTTTACTGAGTTACAAACTGTTTCCAGTCTAACAATACATATATAGTTGTTCACATAATCATGTCTAATTTTGGCCAGGTGATTTCTATTTCTCTCGGTTCTTTAAATATACTGTATCTGATATATATGATTATCGTAAATCGCAAATCTTAATTCGCAAAATCTAAACAAAGAAGCACGCGTTACTCGATGTACTTCGGAGGTCCTATAATCCTACATCAGTAGGAAACTATATATCTAATTCTCCGTCCAAATTTCCTAGAGCTTTACTGGTTTTAGACAACAAACCCTGAATTTCTCAGTGTACATCATTTATAACCGAACGCCCCATCAAGTTCTGTATTGTTTATGATAAATTTTTTACATTTTTCAAATCTTTTTTTTTTAGTTCGTAATTTCCAGCGCCATAAGTCTTGTTGCAGGGTTTGGTAGATATCGTAGTTGGGTAAGATATCTTTTAGACTTTATCTTTTACTTTACCTGGAGTCAGGTTGAATCAAATTGATTATAAAAATATACAATTTTTTATTTTGTGTTTAGTTTGGAGTGGCGATTGCGGTACATGTGTTTGGGTTACTTCTCGCCTTGGCAGGAATAGTATGGTCCGCTTTGTTTTGGGCGGCATTCGCAATTTGTGACAAGTTTAATAATCTCCTCGGAATATGTGTATGCGGGCTCAAGTATGATGGTTGTAAGTAGTATATCTCATGTGCACTTGCGACCCGCTGAAAGGTGCTTCATGTCCACTATAATTTTTGTTTCACCATCAAAAATGCGCTGGAAGATGCATGGACAAGCCAAGCCGACGAGACATTGCAATTTGTTTCCATTTTAATGCAGTCAAGTATCCATCAACAGCAATTGTGTTTTTCTAATTCTGTTTAGTGAACGTAAATTGTGACGACGTGGATGATCTGCTATATGCCACCGCTGCAGTCACAATACTTTATATTGTCCTATTCATTCTGTCTTTCATTGCGTCTATACTCGGCTGTGTCGCAGTGTGTTGTGGGAAACAGGTAAGGATTTTACGTACCGGCATTCTCTCTCCATAGCATAGATACTCAAGACTTCCATGCAGAACGTTAAAGCGTAGCAACGACTCTTTAAATCAGCTTTGTTTAGACGTTTGAAAAACGTTAAGGCCTTTTCAACTTTTCAATAATGTGAACTTGATTTTCTTCTTTTGAATGATGTGAACTAGTGGATAGTCTGATGATGGTCATCATATAACAGCACTTATACATTGAAGCATTTATAACCGGTCGCTCGCCTTGCATCAATCAAAAGACGACAATCGTGCCAAAAATAGCAGGAAAAACTTTTCAATTTTTTTCATCAGGAATATCGCGGTGGAATGTACCATGGGGCATACGTGGTGCCTGTTCGAAATCCAAACAGCATGATGATGACAAGGATTGAAGAAAGACAATACACTGACAATGATCCAGATCAGCACGGAGATAGATACATACAAGCGCCACCGCAATACAGGGAACCCTCCTATATCGACTACAGAGATGACCGGAAGCAGAACAGAGGATACGTCGAGGAAAGGTATTTTAACGGTTATTTTGAGCAGTATGTTGACGAGAAACCATACTATGAAAACCGTGGCCTACCAGCTCACCAGGAGCTTTATGCCGAAGATCCTAGCGACGAAAGATTCGTTGGTTACGACAACTAGCCAACCAGTCACAGTCCGTTTATTGAAACTATTTCATCCATTTTTTGCGCTAGTGGGTAATCTCGTGCACGACCTAATTCTAATAACTCCGTGTAACTTTGCACTGTCCAGTACGGATTTCATTCTTGAATTTCACGTTCGTTCTTATAACAATATAGCATCGTTCTCCGAGTAATCTGAGTTAACAATTTGCTTCAACAATTTATTTGACTTTAAGTTATATTTGAGCTTCGTCCGGGCTTAGTTCAGGATTGCGTCTAATCAATATATTGATCTTTTAGATATATTTTATAAATTATATTCCTTTCTAAATTGGCACTTTTATTTATATATTTTTATATTTTATTTTTATATTACTTTATTTTTATATTTCCCGCAAGATTTTTCTTGATTTTTTAAGACTTTTCATCTCTATACCTCTTACGCAAATACCGCGCGCCTGGTTCCAAAGGCCAAAATTTATGATACAGTAATTCTAAGATTCATTTTGCAAAGTTAGGCTCGGTTTACACTGTCAAATTTTCGGTGATCACAGTTTGGAATATTTAACGTCAAATCCTTGGGATTTAGCGATGCAAATTTTCAACTGTGAACACAGGAACTTCAGTGGACAGTGTAAAGCGGGCGTTAGAAACGTTCAATCTAGCTGTTTCACCAAACTTGACACAAACTTTCCTTAAAGTCTACGTTGCTTCCTGGTTTAAATTTTCTAAGAGTTTCACATTAAAGTTTTGTTAAACTAACAACGGGGTTCTTGTAAAGAATTCGAAAATGTATAATTTTCAACGCCAAATGTATGCATGTATATGATAATTACTGATAAACACTGATGCAAACAATGACTTTAGTTTATGGTAATCGTTGCCGCGTAGACATAAAGTTCCTAAAGTCGATATACCAGTGGACGGTGTATCGTTTTAAACAACAGGCAGGTTTTAACATCGAGGTATAAGATAGCCACGAGATATGGCATCATCAAGAGGAGTGTCTGCCTTCAGTGTTGTCCTTAGCTTCATGATTTTGATCGTGGCCTTTGGTTGCATCGCAGGAGGAGCTTTTTCTCTTCACAAATTTGATCATATTGGCGCAGCGAGCATGGGAGTCTGGGCAGTCTATGTATGTATTCTTAATATTAAGTTAATATATACTAAAATGAATACAATTGTGAGCCCTTTTTCGATATATGTTTAACCGGAGTCCACCTTGTATTTACCCTATTTATATCGAGAGGTACATTGTGTATCTAGTCTAAATCAACTATCCATAGCTACCCTTCATTTGACAGTCTATTATATTTACACTACTGGATGTGGCGGGTGGCTGCGAGTTAACAGACTTCATAAGTTCACTGAGTTTCAAACTGTTTCCAGTCTAACAATACATAGTCATAGTTGTTCACATAATCATGTCTAATTTTAGTACAGGTGATTTCTATTTCTCTCGGTTTTAAACACTGTATCTGATATATATTATTTGGTTCCGCTTCCCGTATGGAAATTAAGCTAGCAAATCATAATTCGCAAAATCTAAACAAAGAAGCACGCGTTACTCGATGTACTTCGGAGTGTCCTATAATCCTACATCAGTAGGAAACTATATATCTAATTCTCCGTCCAAATTTCCTACAGCTTTACTGATTTTAGACAACAAAACCTGAATTTCTCAGTATACATCAATTATAACCGAACGCTCCATTAAGTTCTGTATTGTTTATGTTAAATTTTTTGCATTCTTCAAATCTTCTTTTTCAGTTCGTAATTTCTAGCGCCGTAAGTATTGTTGCAGGGTTTGGTAGATATCGTAGTTGGGTAAGATATCTTTTAGACTTTATCTTTTACTTTACCTGGAGTCAGGTTGAATCAAATTGATTCTAAAAATATCACTTTTTTATTTTGTCCTGGAGTAGTTTGCAGCGGCGATTGGGGTACATGTGTTAGGGTTACTTCTCGCCTTGGCAGGAACGGCATGGGCCGCGTGGTTCTGGGCGCTCTTCGCCATTTGTGAAAATGCTAAAGATATTCTGGGAGTATGTGTATGCGACCTCAAGTATAATGGCTGTAAGTAGTATATCTCATGTGCACTTGTGACCTGCTGAAAGGTGCTTCATGTCCAAGACTATAATTTTTGTTTCACCATCAAAAATGTGCCTGGAAGATGCATGGACAAGCCAAGCCGACCAGACATTGCAATTTGTTTCCAATTTTAATGCAGTCAAGTATCCATCAACAGCAATTGCGTTTTTTTAATTCCGTTTAGGGAAAGTAGATTGTGACGACGTGGATGGTGTGCTACATGCCACCGCTGCAGTCACAATACTTTATATTGTCCTATTCATTCTGTCTTTCATTGCATCTATACTCGGCTGTGTCGTGGTGTGTTGTGGAAAAGAGGTAAGGGGATTTTACGTACCATTCTCTCTCCATAGCATAGATACTCAAGACTTCCATGCAGAACGTTAAAGCGTAGCAACGACTCTTTAAATCAGCTTTGTTTATGCGTTTGAAAAACGTTAAGGCCTTTTTATAACTTTCTTCTTTTGAATAATGTGAACTTGATTTTCTTCTTTTGAATGATAGCAGGAAATTTTTTTCAATTTTTTTCCTTCAGAAATATCGCGGTGGAATGTACCATGGGGCATACGTGTTGCCTGTTTCAAATCCAAACAGCATGATGATGACAAGGATTGAAGAAAGACGATACATTGAAAATGATCCATACCAGCACGGAGATAGATACATACAAGCGCCACCGCAATACAGGGAACCCTCCTATATCGACTACAGAGATGACCGGAAGCAGAACGGAGGATACGTCGAGGAAAGGTATTATAACGGTTATATTGAACAGTATGTTGACGAGAAACCGTACTATGAAAACCGTGGCCTACCAGCGCCAGCTCACCAGGAGTTTTATGTCGAAGATCCTAGCGACGACAGATTCGATGGTTACTACGACTAGCCAACCAGTCACAGTCCGTTTATTAAAATTATTTCATCGATTTTCATCCATTTTTTGCACTAGTGGGTACTCTTGTGCACGACCTAATTCTAATAACTCCGTGTAGCTTTGCACTGTCCAGTAGGGATTTCATTCTTGAATTTCACGTTCGTTCTCATAACAATAGCATCGTTCTTCGGGTAATCTGAGTTAACGATTTGCTTCAACAATTTATTTGACTTTAAGTTATATTTCAGCTTCGTCCGGGCTTAGTTCGGGCTCACGTCTAATCAATATATTGATCTTTTAAATATATTTAATAAATTATATTCCTTTCTAAATTGGCACTTTTATTTATATATTTTTATATTTTATTTTTATATTACTTTATTTTTATTTTTCTTGATTTTTAAAAACTTTTCATCTCTATACCTCTCACACAAATACCGTACGTCTGGTTCCAAAGGCCAAAATTTATGATACAATAATTCTAAGATTCATTTTGCAAAGTTAGGCCCAGTTTACACTATCAAATTTTCTGTGATCACAGTTGGAAATTTAAATCGTCAAATCCTTGGGATTTATCAATGCAAATTTTCAACTATGAACACAGGAACTTCAGTCGACAGTGTAAATTAACCGGGCGTCAGAAACGTTCAATCTGTGTCACCAAACTTGACACTTATGAACGGGATTCATCGGACTGTCTCCAGGACATTTGAACGCATTTGCGAAGTCTTGAGAATTTTGAATGGCAGCTAATACCCTGAATATAGAATAATGCATAGTGTTATTTCTTATTCGGATTGAAACCTTTTTCGTGGTATTTCAAAGAAATCATTTTGGCCGGTAAACTGCTCTTTAAGCCTGGTTGTTATATTCGTAATCTATTGTATGAAGTTCTTTGTCGATAGTCAATGCTTTGTCTGTCGGAGAATGGATCGTAGTCGTAGAACATTCTCTCTCATCGACCATGCAGTAAACAAGCTGAAATGGTCAGCTAGTAAACCGCATGAAACACAAAAGGATATTTTCCCCTTTGTGTTGAAAAACATCAAAGGGTAAACTCGAGTAGATATTTTTGTCTTGCTGCTAAATTATGTGCATATTTTGTTTGCATATACTGAACAATATACACTTATTCAAAAACAAATCATCCTGGTTAAAACATAATTAAAAGCGGTGGTGCCTTTAAGGTTCGTTGTTGTTTGTATGGTTGAAGCTAGGAAGATTTAAATGAACTAAAAGGTCTTTGTCTTATCGTAACGGGATAGATACAACTAAACTCTCGAAGATCTTCGAGGAATTAAAATAGATGCAGGATGGCACTATTCAAACCTGCTAAACATGGTCACATCGTCTTTTCTAAGTGGTTGGCCATAAAACTCCAAGGTAAGATCTGTTCTAGATTATAACACATTCGAAATATCTTAGAATTTCACCTTATTCTCTCTGGACTATGATCGTCTGTGAGTAACGACTCGTTAGCTTTGCTTTCAGTGCTTGAAGAACACCAGACCTATAGAATATAAACACAACTATTGTGAGCTTTGCTGATGTAGATTCTAGAGTCATTCACGTGTATCAGCGTTGTTTTTAAGCCTTCATATATAGCAGGCTTTTTGCCCGTTCATACCTGAGCAAACGCGACAAAGAATAATTGTTCTGCCGTCAGATCAAATGATGGTAATTTTCGTTCATTCGTATGACGTCTTAACCAATGTTTGTAAGCCTTAACGCAATAACATAGTAAATAAAAAGTGATATCATTGAATCTTAAAGATACGACCGTTGCCATGCCTTGTGTTAATACCTGGAAGGCAAGTTTGAGTCCGCCATCATCTGCGATATTCTCTGCTAAAGTTTTTCCTCCGTCGACCTGGGAAGAATGATGAGATAAGTCTTTAACATTGCTAAATACGTTGCAGTTAGGAATTCCAATCTTTTGGAAAATTGTGCATTTTCAACAGAAACGAATAATTCGTTTCATTATACCTGTTTATTGTGCAAGGTGAAATTCCCATACTGTTCTACCATGCATTTTGTTCGCTGTTGAAACCGATCAAGGGAGCCATTCCCCCACCAATTATTGAGATTTCCATATTTGTCAAACTTGCTGCCTGTAGGTGAAAGTATTATCACGCTGATATTCTATACATCGGGTTTTGGGGTTAAGTTTTATAGAAGCGTCAAAACATATATGAAATAAGTACATATATAAAAAGCTATACAGATAAAATATTTACCGTGACTATCAAATCCATGGGTTAACTCGTGGCCCATAATCACTCCAATTGCTCCATAGTTTAAATACCTGAAATGTATAGCAAAAAGAATAGTTCCACATCAATTAGGACAAGTTAATCGTATTATTGAAACAAAGTGACCACGGATCCATCACAATACCGTTCTTATCTCAATGTTCATAGTTCTGATTAGCTTCTTAAAATAAGACGAATTAGTCCCAAGGGTAATATTTGAAATATTAGTAAAAAATGCGGACGTACTTGGGCCAGAGAGGTTCAAAGAACGGCCGCTGTAGTATACCAAGTGGAAATGCTAAAAACCAGAATTCGATATTGTAATTATTGTTAATTGATAGGAAAAACTGCATGACTAATAAACCATTTCATCAATTACTAATTAGTTAATTCATCGAATTACCGATATAGTTGCTGGGCGTATTATAATACGCGTTTACTTCAGACGGTGTGAGATGCCATCTGAGATGAAAATGGAAATATTTGGTTATTTCAACGAAGTAAAGGGGGAAAGTCACGCGAATATCACATCATAAATAAGTGAGGCAACTCACTCGTTTCGTTCTACCAACTTAGAACGTTTACTCATCATTTTTGCATGATAAAATCTACGAACATCCAAGTAATTTTCAAAATGCATATCTTTTTTCATTGTCAGCTAAAATGAAACAAGATCCAAACATTTCATTCAGTCAAATGCTTTGCTTGGAGTTCAAACAGTATAACTTTAGTCCATACATTTGAGTAGTATTTGTCAAGCTTTGCAACATCTTGGATCCAAGAAGGATAACCAATCATTTCGATAACAGCATTTAACTAAACAGAGTGAAACACTTCATGTATTATTAATCCTACCCTCACGACAGCAAATCAAGCCGGTTTTGTATGGAAAGAATTATACTACTTTGAGCATTTTTTCAAATCTTCTACATCATATGTTTTGCCTCCTCTAGATAAACGTTCCTCTTCATTTCTTACTTTTTCTAATGCCTTTTCCTTGGTACGATCGTCCATCCAGTCAGCTCTTGGGATACTTTGTTCAAATGCTTGTTTAATTGTTTTGATCATTTCCGAAGCCTATTGATACAATGTTTCGTTCGTTAGATTGAGTGAATAGCTGTTACCTGACTCTATACTAATAAAGATGTTATAAAAGTTGTTGCTGGGAAAACAACGGGAAAAGAAAGTGATGGAAATGATGAAGATATTGATGATCATAATGATGGACGGATGAAGATATTGATGATCATAATGATGGACCGATGAAGATATTGATGATCATAATGATCGAGTTATTGTTCAATGTTACAGATAATCATATGATCATTGATGCTATTTTATGTGGCAAATACCTCAGCTTTGGCTTCTTTGCCGTGTCTTTCCTTAACGTACAACATTCCGGTGGCAAAACCAAACAAGGACTCGCTCCTAGCTACGCACTCGGAACTTGATGGCGAAGAGAGCTGTGATCCTTTCTCGATCAATTCAAATGCATCGTGTGCTTCTCTGAATGGCTGGGACAGTAAATGTACCAAGGGCTTTATCAAATGCCATACCATATAATTCGCTAATACCCTATATGGTAAATATTCATAAATGAATTCAATAAAAACTCTGTCTCGTGTCCATCAACAATGGACTTCGAGTAATGCAAAATTCAATGCTATCCTAATGGAAAGAAATTTCTCCAAGAATATACAGCAAGTATTCTTTGATATAGTTGGTCTATGCATTGGACTTGTTTATGTGTTTATCTCTCTCACCTTCTTTCAGTTTTTGTGACCAATTCGGACATGTTTCTAAGGTAATGCGGTGTGAAGACAACAACGGGTTCGGAAAACGTGACCGGACTGTTGAATATGTTGTTCATATAATCCATCCATGGGATCTAAAGTGTAATGAATGAGTAATGACAGTCTAGTTTTTTGAAACTGCATGAAATATTGTTAATGGTAAAATGGTAAAACCTGGGCAGAAGATTAAATCGATTTGAGATTATAGTTAAAAGCTTGAAAATAAAGACAATTCTCAAAATTTCGTTGTATTTTTTTTCAACTCACCGATGGAGCCATTTGTTGTAAATCCGCTATCGTCATTTTATTGTAAATATTTTCACTGTTCTTCAGTTTTTCTTTCCGTTCATAAATTTTCGCCAAACTTCTCTCAAACTGTAAAACTTCATTCATTTGCTTCAAGACATTTGCCTTGTTGTTGGCCCCAAGCAACATCGCCGTCTTCACCATAAAATCTTTATAACCTACGATCAACTGAAAAAGAGATCGAAAGTTCGGCACTGAAATATGTTCCGGCGCATCGAAAGTCTCGCTATATAGTTTTGCTCAAGGATGTGGTGATCAATTCTACGTTTAATCTCACTTAAACTGAGTGTAGCACACACACCTTTTCACTGTCTTTTTTCTCGTAATGCTCCTCGTCAGCCAGCGTTATTCCTGCTTGTTGTATCTATATAGGCAACAATTATACGTTCACGGGTGCACCCAGAGTTTAGTGAGAACGGAGAAGTCAAGTCCCTAACTTACCTGTATTATATTGCGAGATGAATCTTTATCATCCGGGCCAACAAACATATAAAACAGCGGCATGCTCTTCAGTTTGTGAATCTGCGTCAGCGCTTGGCCAAAATTCCATCCTTCGGGATTCCATGCGGTATTGGTCACTGTCCATGAGCCCACGAGCTTGATAAGATCTTGCAGTGGTTTTGCTCCTCTAGATTCGATGATCTTCTGATCAAGACATGAAGTATAATATGTAGCGACGTTCCTCACTGCTGAACTACTGTGAGCCTGCAACCCTCCACGATCCAGTATCCTCTTCAAAATCAGCTGGTTCTTTTGGGAGATTTGATAAAATGATGTAAACTTAGAAGAACCAGGTGGGATTGATGTGTCTCGTTCCCATGTCCCACAAGCGTACTCGTAAAAGTCATCGCATGGATTGACTTGATCATTGAGAGATTTTGAAAGTTCATTTGCTGCCTGAACGCAGGCTCTAGTTAGGCAGACGGGATCGTCTTTGTGGAAGAAAGGTAGCCTAAACGAATAAATGATGTTTAGGTTTTTTCCACGACTAGCAGCTAATATCGTACAACAACAGAGTCAAGAGAGATTACCTAAACTCACCTGAGGTGACTTTTGTACAAAATCAAAAATGCCAATGCAACAGTGGTCATTACAAACACACTTAAAGCTGTCGTAACGCGTCGTTCGTAAATTGTCCATGTCCGACGCCTTCGGCATCGTCGGGAACTGTCGTAGTCTTTTTCGAGCTGCGACATCCATGCGTCGTCTTCGTCGCTGTCTACATCACTGTCGTTATGCAACACGCACTTCGTGACGTCTTCGCGATACGCACGAGAATTAAGATCGTCGGAAAAACTAATTTTTGTCCATTTTCCCGAAGGAGAGGGCCACAGCGATGCCATAGTGTTTTCTCAATACTTTTCTATGATGCCCGGCTTTTTCTTCAAGATTACTTGGGTAGTTTCTATCACTTTATTCTGCACTTTTGCCTCTCGTTTACAATCTATAACCCCACGTTTGCTGTGTTTCAAAGCACATTTATGCCAATATTTTCACTACTCGCCCTCAAACGTTCGTCCAACTAGGATTTACCACATTTTATCTAAGACAAGAGGTGAATTTGGTTGCATGATTAATAAATTAGGAAAAATGGGGAAAGTAGATTGTAGAAAAGTTTCCTGGAACATGTGATTGGCAAACTTGAGTGCCTTTGTGGACTACGGAAAGCTTCAATCTGCCTTCTGAATTCTGATAGATTAGATGGTAAACTATAATGATATGCTGTAGCTACTTGTGAGACAAATTCAAGTGTAAATAAAACATATAGAATTATAACGAGCCATCTCGCCTTGATCTCGATTTACCGTATTGCAAATTGTTAATTGTTAATGTTAATATATTGTCCTCCTGTTGGGTCAAAAAGTATAAGGATTGCATGGAAAATTGCAGTTTTTATTGTACTTATTCTTAGACGTTTTATCCCAACAAAATAGTGTAGATTGTATATTTTTAACGCCAGTAAAACAAAGTATTTAACTACTTATTGTCCAATATGAACAAATCTGTTATGCGAGTATATACTATAATATCCATGGAATTAATACTTTTTCTATCAAATATTAAATCAGAGACGTTTTTATTAAATTGAATATTACCTCTTAAAGTCGTGAATAGGAAACCTTGACGTTAAAATCCACAGAGAATCACGAATATTCTAATTTGCAGTTGAATTGTTGTTTTTTGTACTTAAGGTTTATTTTGCTTTGTGTCGTGATAGCGAGTGACCTTTCAAAGACGACCAACCACCTGTCAAGAATTTGCGGGTTTATCACTTCCCTACACAATGCAATGTTCCGGACACCTGTACTCGATCTTATACGAAAAGGGACTGGTATCAAATATTATATTACGGCCGCTGGTTCTCAATCTTATTTCTGATTGGGTTATTCTAGATTCAGCCTCCTAGACTATTCCGGGCCGGGATTCAGCTTCGTCCAAATCGGGGACAATTTGATGGTCGTAAGTCGCTCTGTGACCTACTACATGAAGTATTCCGCTAGCTTATACCCTCGATTTCCCGACCGGCTAGGAGTGCACAAAATGTAGAAGCGAGAGGATAACTGATCCATCAATATAGTTTTATCCGTTTATGTCTCGATTGGTGATCAAGTGGATCATAAAAGGCAGATAAATAGTGAAGTATTGGCTTCAATATTCGGTCAACATTTTGCCGACAACCTTATATAGATTACATTAAGAAGATGGGACGCAAGGTCATTTTGGGAGAATTGTTATTGACATATCGCGCTAACTAACCCTTAACTTGATTAATTGACACTATCGATATCTCGTAGTTGAAAGATATCATTTCTCGATGGACGCGCAGTAAAAGAATCTTAGTGAACTGTGCGCTAGCCAAACCTCTTAAATAGTTGACGTTTTTAATTTGTGATTAAAGGAAATGGATCATTTATTATATCATAAAGTTATATTGTTGTTGTATGATTCATTGATCTTTGGTAAATCAAGCAAAAATACCATTAATTCATTGATGTAAGGCAAATATCATTAAATCCTGTAATCAATGCTACAACGTTTGTTTTAGTCACTTAAATTTTCGTTAACATATGGTTAATGATAACACAGAAGGCAAAAACAAATTCAAGATGGCCTTTATTAGTTGATCAAAAATACCGCGCTCGTGCTATTAAAAGCAACATGCTATCTGCTTATGTCAAATTTGACAAAGCGAAAATTCATAAATTAAGAGACCTGTTCTCGACGAAGAAGAGGTTCGAATTCAAGAATCCGACATGAAGTATTCTTGGCAATTCGACTAAAATTTGCGTTGACAGACGAAAGCGCTTAAGAGACATGTGCATGTTGTTGATAACTATTTAGCTTAGAAAAACACCCCGAAGCCCCAGTTAACCAACACGAAATACGATGCTTGTTATTTTTTACTTTATACGGACGTCAAAAGCAGCATACGGTCACATTACCAAAGAGAGGGGCGAGCAAAGTTCGTGAAACGGACCCACACAAAACACAGATTTGAAAGCAGAAAGAGGAAAAGGGTCGGCTCTCTTTTATGAAGTGCGTCAAATACTCACGTAGCGTGTATAAGTGTCAGATAACAATAGCCTCAATAGTTGACTTGTGTTATAAAGTTCCTCAGATCTTTACAACAAAGCATGTTCTAGGTGTGAGGAGTCAAATTGCGCTAAGAAACTATTTTTGTCGCCAAATTAAAGTTGAAAAGAATAAGTGGACCGAGCCAAAAACGGTGTGTATTCTTGGTGTTTGGATAAAGATTTAGCGAACGGAAGCGCCATGTGATTTCGCAGAGTTCTGGCTAGCAACAATAAGAGATTAAAGAGAAGATAAGTTGGATATAGACAAAAAAAACTGGGATCAAATCCAATAAGATTTGAAGTATAAGACCAAAGAGTAGTAACAGCGCACAGGCGAGGCAACATGGTTGTGAAATTCGGCGATCAGAACGTTGGTAATGGTTGCAAAGGAATTCGAGAGACGGCAACGGAGCGTGACAATGCTAATTCGACTGCGTCCAGCATCTTTGCCTCAGACACTCAAACGGCACTCGGACGTCGAAGACCAGCATTCGGTAATTTCTCCCACAATATCGAATCTACGTTGGTCGGCAAGCGGGAATACGAATATCGAACGCCGGAATTAAATGATGGCATTCAAACGAATCATATAGTACCTGTCTATACAAATATGTCTGTGAATGAAGGTATAGTTGTCACGGAAGCTGATCGTACTGGGATCGTAGTCCGTCGGAGGCCCTTGCTCGATTCGATAGACCGGCAAAATTCGCCGCGAAATTCAACCAAATACGAAAATGAATATGAATGTATGTCAAGCCCGGACACATTTTCGAATTCAAGCAGCAATAGAAGTAGCAGCGCGAGTTCGCATTACGGAAATATTTCGCCTGATACTCTGTCGCTTGCCTCGTTTGCTGGTCGGCTGAACTTCGGCCGCTTTAGCGTAGGGAGCAAGCGAAGCAGTCAATCGAGCAGTGCATCATCTCAGGATTCTGGTAGGCAATCGTGGGGAAAAATACGGGATAGTTTCGATCTGAGTGATGCGTTAGTTCCATCAATCAGAAGAACATCTGGTGAACATGCCTACGAGAACACAAAATCACTCGCACCGGATAATTCTATGAGAGTCTTAAAATTCGAAACCCATCAAATGGAGGTCACAGACCACGAAGAGCCGCCACCGCTTCCAACTCGACAAAGTCAGCAACAAATTCCTACTCCGTCGAAGGAAGAACCAGAAATGATATTACCCTATAAAGTTGTAGACTTGGACGAACTGCAGAGAAGTTTGGAAGACATAGAACCGTATTATGTACACAACGGTTCAGAGGATGCCCATCGAGATTTCTATAACGATATACCTGACCCAAACGATAAGGACGTGGAGTTAGATGACAAAACTGAAGAAACAAGTGATTTTCGACCAAAGTTACCCCCAAAAGCGAGGAGAAAAAACTTAACTCACAGCCAGTCTGATCCGGCGTGTTTCAGCTCGGCTACTGCACTAGAATTACCCGTTAAAGACAAGCCAATTCCTCGTCCCAGACAGAGCGTAATTCTGAGTGATTTGGCACAATTACAACAAGATGGTACTGTACAGAACTCAAAAGCAAATGAAAGTGCCGACCGTAAGTATATGATTTTATGTTTACGGTGTTTCAGTTTTAATTGCTCAGTTATAATTTCGATGGTGTGAAATATTGTGAATACATGCACTAACTTGTTGTGTTTTGAATATTTAATGTCAGTTTAATGGCAGATTTTCTCCCTGACCTTTTATCTGGTATTTTAATCGTCTTTGAAGCAGACTGTATTTGGTCATTTGTATGACGATAAATTCTAGAAGACTGTTAAGGATTTGGCATGATTGAAGGCACTATCAATACGGTTACTTCACCCAGAATCCATTGACGTGCAATGTACCTTTAAACAGGTGTCCTATTTTTAATGGTTAGCGATTGTATAGAAGCTTCCATCTTGTAAAGCATTTTTTTTTATATCAAAGCCTATATCAACATGGTTCTTGTTAAATTCTCTGAATTAGTTTAAACAAGTTGTAACTAAAATCACCAGTCAAAATTATTAATAACAAGGATCCAGTCCCCAAAATCTTCATTGTAATGAGACTGCTAAAGTAGCTAAACCTAGCTAGATCTTCACAATGGAGATTTTGTTCAGGTATTAACCCTAAGTCTAAACACACTAATGAAGGGTAAGATCACCTAGCATTAAAATAAACCAAATGTTGGGTTGAGCAAGTTTCACTGTTAGACTACTGAGGTCTAAAAGTTAAACATTAACAAAGATAAGGATGCAATGTGCTTGTTCACATTAGTCATAAAGTATTGTTGGAAACTCTGTCTTCTTGTGGTAGTTGCCGCATGTTCCATGTGCAGACATCACAGACAGTCTTTCGTGACATAAAAAAGAAATTTCTGTTAAGTATAGGTTTTTAATATCCTAACATTAGGTTTCTGAGCCATCAACAACAGGTTGCCAATAGGTTGCAAAATATAGAGCTATGGATATCAACATGTCAACAATATCATATTCTGGGATGTTACTAATATCAAGTTCTTTCATATTGCAGTAACTTCCTTTTCAATTTTCATTTATAACTGATGATTTGTTTGATATTTCTGGTAAATAAACTAATTAAAACAGGGGTGAAAAACAAATTATGATATTGTTTTAAATATTCAGGCATATAACATGCAATGCAATAATGCAAGTTCATGTTTAGAAATAATATAATGGAGTTAGTATATTGCCGCCTATAAGAAGCTAGTGCATGTCTTTGTTTTTTATGATAGCTGTATATTGTGCACATGCAACTTATCATCCCATTCTTTGAACACACCTGCAGGATATCTAATGTAGTTTTATGATCGCTTTTTCATGATAACGTGCTAAAAATAGGTCTTACAGTAGCAGTCCATAGAAATCGGTCCGACTAATATGCCCTATGGCGGCAATACTTATGTGAACTATGAATAAGAAATTATTTCATTTTAGTGCTACAATAATGCCCGCAATTTGTGCAGGCAGACCAAAAATCCAAACAGGAAATGCTCAAATTTTAGTCAAAATTACTGAAAAGTTGTATATAAATATATACTATCTAAAATATATAAACTGATGTAAATTTGGGTCTCCCAAACTTATCGTAACCTTTGTGGAAATTAGAGATAATTTGTGTCGCATCGATGAATTACTACAATTAGGTTATACGGCTGATTTAAATTTCAATGGGTCATTCATTTATACACCATAGTTTATTCTGAAGAATGTAATCAATTCTCCCTTATATGAAGCGAAAATTCATCTTCATTCGCGAGCATTTATAATGATTAAATCTAAGTTTTTTTTTAACGTAATTCTAATTGCTCAATCGCAATTTTTACATCTGACATTTGGTGCGATGTTTTGAGATTTTTAAGTGTGCAACAGGCATTTCCTATGACCGTTTTCCGTCATATTAATCAAATTATTCGAAAGCCGATGTTTCGAATAAAAAAATTCACTTTCTATACCGCACAATTTTTAAAGTTTTGTCTTTGCACTAGTTAAATGTCATAAAATGTAAGAAATTCTTGGGAACGTCAACCGTCTACATGTGAGTGAAATAGAGCATGACTTAATGAGCGTATAACCAATTTCGTTGATATGTAAATCATCACTAAAATCCGATAACATAGCGTCAAACAGTGTATATCGATCGGCAATAGATACGAAGCCGATAATTAGTGCAGTCAGCAATATATTTCAGCTTGATAATTCTATGCTCTACGACTACGAAGATAATGTGGACTGTATTGATAAATCATATTAGACATAAACAACACTTCCCTGTTGCTGATGTGTCTCCGGTGACATTAGCATCAGACAATATTGTTCTCCTAATATTTTGTTAATCTTTGGATGATTCTACAAACAAAAGGCTGCAAATCTTTAGAAAATCTGAGACAAAGTGGCTACGAAATTTTGAATAGTTCTATTGAACCTGTTATATTCTAAGCATCTATATTGGCTTTTTTATTGCTTTTATGTGAAAACTGAAAGTGTATCAAAAACCTATATATAGTTCGAGTAAAAGAGCTAAATATTATTTTCTGTAGCTACAAATAGTGCATTTGATATTTGTACTAAATGTGTCTGCAACACAAAAAATCGATTACTTTGTGTATTTTTATTGTTATTTGGAAAGATCAATCCAAATCGTTGATTTTTTTTCTTTGACACTTTTTTTATAAAACTCTTTCATGAAATAGACTGCAATTAATGCTTGGGCCTTTATAAGACCCGTAAATAGTATTCTATGCTATCGTTCATGTTGTACTCCTCGCGGCATAGTCTAACCCAACGTAAATCATAGTTTGGACACCGCATTTTAGCAGGACATCAGTTGTTAATTTCTTGCCCAAAGTTTCTTAGATCACAGCCAATTCACATAAATAGATGCACGGTAATAAGGAAATTGTTTCATCTGGCGATAAATCATTACTGATAACCAAGATTACCTTGGGCCTGGCAACATCTGGCTGCGATTTGTCCTTTTTATGGTCATGCACTTCATCATATTGTCCAGAAAGGTCATAATTTGATGTGCAAAATACCGCAATAAATAATTACGAAAAAAATCGGCTTTTGAAAACCTAGAATTATCCGTTCATATAATAGGATTTCGCCCACCTAGTTATTCAGATTAGGGATTTATGAAGTCGTTATAATATGTGCCACTTCCAAATATGGTCCACTTTTCGAAAATGAAAATGAGTACTTCCTAAAACTGTTAGTATAATTTGAAGATTAGAAATTATTACGCTTAAAAAGTTAAAGGAATTTTTTTGTAACGTGAGACAAACGTTAACAAATCAAAGTGAACGTGTGGTAACAATATTTAATAAATAGTATTCAGATGGTTGACGTCCCGTAATTGTATTCTTCTAGTATATAATTTTGCTTTTTGTAAACTCAAAAAATCGCTTTATGGTAAACCAGTTAGTGATGACACAATGACGGATGTGTAGTTTCAGTTCTCGCACATCGGATAATTGTCTTTGACTTTGTACCAGGAATTTTAAGAATGAAGAAGAAATCCTTATTTTCATCTCAATTTATTGTTTTGGTGCATTGCATGACTGTTTTATCTATACAAAACCTCTTGGAATTCCGTAGATACCAAATAAGACGGCCAGGTTGTTTGCGGACAAAGTACTTATACAACACAGACTTATATCAAGCCATAAGACTTAGATAGCTTTGAAGGTCAAGCACTGCTGTCTTTTTAAAAAAATAATAAGCGCGGAATTTTACGTATGATTGTTAACTATGATCACTCGTAAATAGTTGACTTTTCACAACGTGAAATTCTTGAGACATTTGTCGAAGCGTAGATATACTCCGATAACCACTTTTTCTAATCTGCTTTTACAAGATGTGTTAAGATACAGCAAGTTCGTTTCACATATGAAATGGCTTCTATTCAGTGCAACCGCCTTGGTGCTATATACTTAAAATAACATGCATACAACACTCGATTTTTTGGCAGAATATGCTTTCTTTGTTTCTTGAAGTCAAGGTCAACGCATTATTGTTGCGGTACAAGAGCAGGCAGGGTTCAACATATTTATCAATGTTTGAAAACGTAACACAATACACATTTGCATGTAGTGGTGAAAACGCTGCTGGATACCAGTAACTATATTGCAGTGTGCACCTTTGGCAAAGTGCAGCCTTTTGTTTGCATAATACCCCGCTGAGGTAAACCATTGTAAGGAACGGTAATACTGACGTCATCAGTGAAACATTAATGCCAATGTTATTATTAGATAATTACCAGATGATTTGCCTCATAAATGTTAAATTGGAGGTATTTCCATGTTCTTGTGTAGTTCATTGTTCCAAAGTTTCAATTCTGGTCATCATGTTGAGAAAATGCTGCCAACAATGTCAGAAATTTTTTCATTATCAAAGACAAAATACGGCCATTACCTTTTGTTCTGAAATAAGTTCGCTGGCTTTGGTATTGTTAGGGCGTCGCCCGTAACAATAATCAAACATTGTTATATTTTGGGGAATCGAAATCGTTCCCTTGAGCTATACATTATTTGGCACACTATTATGATAACATACCCCCGTAAAATTGCAGGTATTGATATCGCTTGGCATAAAATTGTTGGAGTCAATTATTTTAACAGGCGCATAAAGAAAATATATTTCATAGAATATGGCTTTTACACGTCGTGGATGGTTTCTTGGAGTTTGAATTGTGCCAGTAAATGCAAAATATCCAGTTCGAGAACCTGAAGACAGTACACATTCCATATTCGAACTGATCAATATTCGAACTAATCTTGCTTTACTTTGGATCAGAAATCCAGAAATTTAAATTGTTCTAAATTTCTTTACACTTTACAGTGCCAGAGCGATCAATGTCAACAGCTACTGGTCACATATCCCGTCGACAGAGCCCGCCAAGCGGTTCAAAAACTCGGCGCAGTTCCACATCACCGCACAAAAATCCTCGTCCAATGCGTTCAGCACCACGGCCCCCTCCACCTCGTTCTTCTTCACCAGCGCAAAGAGGTAGGTAAATTTTGGATGTACTGTACAATCTTAATATTTTTTATCAAGTCATGGCCTCCAAATGAGCAGCATTTTGTGAGCCCCGAATATTTAGATCCTATGTCACAACACAATTATTCTTTCGACCATGGTATGTAACTTTCATCATCTCATTCTTGTTGAAAACTTTAAATTTTTCAGTCTCCTCTACCAGACCTGTCTCCGAGATGTTTCCTCGGGGTAATACTGACCCGAGCTCGCCTATGGAGTTGAAGCGTTCTATGACTGTCTCACTTTTGCAATCGCCGTTTAATAGAAGGCCGGTGGAATCTCTTTGTGAAGAAAAAACAGGCAGTGAGAATTCTGTTGAAAATTCCACGACATTTTCCTCCATCGAACCAAATGATGAAAAGAGCAAAGAAGATACAGCAAAGGCATCAAAAACGAGCGCGTTTTTCAAAAAGGCGCTTAGTACACTTAAAATACCGGGTACAAAAAAGACGACAAAGAAGGAATTAGCAATAAGTCCACCTAGTGACTTCACAAGTCTGTATCAAACTAGATTAACTACTGACTACTCGAACCGTGAACAAAAAACAATTTCATATTTCGCCACCGACGATATTGCTGGAGAATCTGCTGTGGAGGTGGTTGAACCCGATAACGTGGAGTGTGAACCGACCACGAAAGACCCCGAAGAACCTATGGAACAACTTAGTTTCCATCCGGAGTTCACAGGATTACCTCTAGTAGATACAGACCACCCCGGTGATCGATTGTATTACAATTTTCCCATCTCGCCATCCTTGGTCGATACTACAGAAAAATTGCCGGTCCCAAGAAAACCTCCACGTAGTGGTTACGTACAACCCTCTTTATCTCAACTAACGAAGGAACGCGAAGAAGAAATTAGTCTCAATAAAATACCTGAACTAGGTCCCTTACCAACTCCACCCGACGGTTCTGGAAGCTCGAGCGCATCCCCTATCCAAACTCCTGAATGTGAAGCGCGCACTTTAAAGATTACCGCTAAAGATCGATCCGGTGAAGTCACACCAGAAGATCACATATATAGTGTAACGACACCAGACTCCGACGATCAAAAGGAAAGTATAGGCAAAGTCCTGGGGAAGCCTAAACCAGAGGTTCCACGTAGACCAAGTACGCTGAAATTAAAACCGAAAATTCCGAACAGACCCGTATTGCAGGTAAGAATTGTTTACCAACTATTTAGATGCAGATTGCAAGTTGTTGCTTTTTTCTTCCCGTAAACATCAAAAACTACCTCTTGCATATACTGAATTATTTATCCAAAAGACAGGATTGAAGAAGAATGAAGGGTTAACTTGAATTGTAAATGGTGTGATTTAACTTTTAATTCCTTCACTTGATGATATTTTTTTAATTCATATTTTTAATACATGTCCCTTCCTGTATAAACAATATGCGCGTCTGATTACACGCCCAACTTCCGGTATTAGTCAACCTGCCAAAGACTTAGACGACTCTAGAACGTCATGGTCGACTGGCTTCTGTCTAGTTTGTTTTGGTGGTTTTTCCAGTGATAAATTATATATCGAGAGCATTCCTTTGATAAGTATCGACTCTGATTTCAAGACTTCGTCATTGTCCTAAAGTTTCAAACGATTTAGGACACAGGGAAAGTATCGATCAAGTTATGAATCTTGACTTGTTATATGCCGCATCGAAGATTGCCTACTATGTCTTATTGATTCTTTATCATGGCGTTGACCTTGTCATGGATTGGTATAGTTTTAACATTTTACTAACGAATGGGACGATTTCAGGAGTTCCAGCTGACAGTATTACTGTGAGAATTCTTTTCGGTTTCAGTTGTGCTTTTTGCACAATATTTACGGCAGCTTTGTTTTGGGTTTATGCTAATTACATAAAGTATCATTTTCTCTGTGCTTACGTCGCTGTCTACAAGCACTACGGGCCATTAGGCCCAGCTGAGGGAAGTGAGAGTATACAGATACCCGATGAGACAAATCAAGAGAATGTCTTCCTATTTGCCGAGAATGGGCAAAACACAATCAAACCCCGATATATCTTGGCGGAACTGTTTTTATCTGTGGCGGAATTGGTGTTGAAAGACGATATTCAGTCTGGATTATTATTCTGGGTGTCTAGGGTGTTCACGTTTACTCATGCCTTGAGCTGGCATTCACTATTATTTTCACTTTGCAGTATTGTAGCTCACTTAAAGCTGTTTATATGTTTCGCAACGAAGCTTTTCCGTTTGGGCGAGGGTGAGGCAGGCGGTGATCGCAGGTGGGATTTTAAATGTGTCCTCTGCGTTTTTGGCTGTCTTGGATCAGCGATCTTCGAGGGATTGACAGTTTCTTATTTAGTTAAGGCGTTGAAGGCTTAGATTTATGATGAAGGATTGCACGTCAGGGATTATAACAGCTTGGACTGCACACAAATTAGGGATTCCATTGTACTGAACGTAAACACAAAGCTCAATAATGCTTATATGCTTATGATTATGATAAGTTGGTAGCATAATTGCTGAGCACAAATAGTAATCAAGTAGCTATGTTAAAAAAAAAATTGGGAAAAAAAATAATAAAAAAATAAAGCACTGATAGACATTCGATTGCGTTATATTCAGTTTCTGGGAACGGTGCATTAGTTGATTTGGAAGGGATTCCAGTTATATAAATAATTTCCATTCTTATCCAAACTCGGCCTCTTCAATTTGAGTTCTCTTCAAGACTTATCAACACGATAACTTACTGTATAACTGATCCACCACATCTATGAGCTCGAGAATTTACGGTACAAGCAGTGATCTATAATCCAATAGTCCTCTATTTATGCATTTGCCTTCTCCAGCTATTTTTGTCAATTGACGAAGTTTTAAGCAACCATTTGCAATTGAATGCGTGCTCACTTTCTCATAATTTGAAATTTTAGTCAATTGAAAAACCAACGCCAATACCACGAAGTTCAACTCTGGACATAGCTACCATACGCAAAAGTCGAAAAGAATCGCTCCGTCGAAATAAAGAACGCCGACATAGCACACCATTGGAAGAATCTTCGGGGCTGTCCCGCAGTTGCGACTCCCTAGATGACGACTTCCTGCGTGATAATAACATCACGGATATGCACTTGATTGTACTAAAGGACATACTACGATGCTGGCAAAATATGCTTCGTAAACCAACGATTAGTTTGGCAGGTGCGTGCTGGGAAGATTTTGAGGCAATTGAGTCCGAATCGTGGCCCAAGGTTTCCGAAGATCAGGATAGTGTATCATTGCCAGTGAGATTAAGAGAAGAGTCGACGATTTTGGATTCCAATAACTGCTGTGGACAGTATATTGCGAAGGTAACGTATGCGTAATATCATCCCATCTTTCTTCTATCTTCTATCCATATCTGTCTGTTTCTACCCATTTTTCGTCATCCTCCGATGCGACTGTGTTCAGCTTCAGGTTTAACCCTGTCCGTCCTTAATCCTGACTTCCCCATAGCTATTGCATCAACCTATTTTAAATGTAATTTGCGCAGACAAGTGTAACGTAGAAAATCACATATATATTTTTCAGATTAAATGCAAATCCCAAGTAAACGGGAACACAAAATCACCGTTCGACCAAGACTACAGCGTTTGTACGAGCGTACAATCTCACGAAAACGTCTCGCGAGTACTGGCTTATTTTCGTGGAGAAATTCGATCTTCTATATTAGGCATGGAAAACGACACATCACCTCTGCACACGACAATTTCAATCAGCGATCATGTTCCTTCTCAAACCTGCGTAGAATTTGTCGCACAGTCAAAGGACGCGCATTCCAAGGACCCGTTGGGATACGAAAAAACAGTATGCATGTTAATGTTACAATGCCTTAAAGGTGTTGCGCATTTACACAATTCTGGTTTTACCCATGGCAATCTAAACCTAAGAAACCTATTTTTGATCAAACATACTAATGATTTTCAACTTTTGCTTGGAAACTTTGGAAGGTCTCAGTCGCTCTCAAAGGAACGTCGTGGTAGTCACGTGTACACGAAGATCGATGATTCGCCGACAGAACTTAGCGGTGATACTAATGATTTTATAGCAATTTCAGAACTTTTTACTGCCATGTTGCATCAAGATCACAATGGGAACGGTACTCATGCGTCGGAAGTCCGACACTCAACTCTTTCAAGGTACCTTCGCACAGCGTCGGAAAGACTTCGTGATGGGTCTGCTCTTCCCGATCAGGTGGTGTGCTTGTTACAGGCATTGCTCTGGGGGCCTTTTAAACCCGAGGAAAACATCGTTATCATTAGTGAAAGTAGAATGAAACATTGGCTAGATAGACAACGTAGCGAATTCATAGCAAGACTAGCAATGGATGAGGCTTTAGCGAGAACAGTTGGTGGACACTCTAGAAAGTTTTCCATGGAGGATTTACTGCTTTGTGAATATTTAACTGTCGCGACGCCGAGTTCATTAGTGAGGACAGAAAAGTGCTGGTTTCTAGCTACATGATCTTGGATCTATTGATTTATTTTAGGTCCATTGTTAAATCTAGTTAGGTTTTGTGAATCCACAGAAGTAGTGAACAAATTTAAAGACTGATTCATTTTATCTCTGATCTATTTCTAATATTGTTGTATAAAAATTAAATTATTTTGATGACATATTTTCTCTTCTTATATAAATGAGTCGGTCTATTCGCCGAGTTTTTCAAAACTCAGCCCTGGAAAGCTACGAAAGTTTAATTTGATATTAGTATCCCAGTTCAATTGAGATGGTATTTAAAATTTAAAATTTAAAATTTAGAATTTAAAAATTGGCCAAATCCTAGGAATTCAGCCTTATCGTAGATATGTAGAGACAATATTTTGCCAGAGCAGTAAAACTTACCTTTACAATATTCTAAATAAAACGAATCGGGAAGTATTATCAGTGATACTGAGATGTTATTTCGTTCTTCATTAGGTCGTTACGCAATTCCCTTCCAGCCGGAGGAAACCTCCACCACAGCTCTGTCAGAGTGAGCACAGCACGTACACGCACTTATATGATGAATGAGTTTGCACTCTTCCAACATTATAATCCATTAGCCGAAAGGTAATGGAGAGCTTTTTTCAAGCTCAGTGCTCGGTAAAGTTTTGCCCGGGTGGTGGAGCGAGAGCAATGACTTTTCCGAAAATGCTAAAGTGCATGTCATTTTGCTACCTTCAACCTAAAAGGTGGCTTGCTACCAGAGAAACTATCTCTTCCCTACAAGATATAAAGCTTGCTAATCTCCATTCTTTTTTGTTAATCTAACTGAATTATCTAACCTAATTAAAGGACTATTGCAGATTGTTGTCTTTATCCTGCTAATGTATACCTGCAATCCACAAGCATGCTATACCAAAATATAAACAATAAAAAAATCCGTGCAACGGCATCATCCAGACATCGAGGTAATAACACAATTGTGGAAATATATCATCCATAACCATATAATGGATATTACAAAGTCGCTGAAGAAATACATTCTATTCTCTGGTATTGCCTTCCTTCCTCTTGGTTTTGTGGTCATAATTTGCGACTCCATGACTCATGCTGAGAAAGAAGATAGCTTGAAACCACGGAAGAGCGGAACAACGTTTTGGGTCGGATTACCTGTAAGTTGAAAGCAGAATATTTTTGAAGAATATCTTTATATAAATTTGAACAAACCAACTAGTTTTCTCATTACTACTCAAAGTATGAGTTCAAATTTGAGTATGAGTATGAGACCTTAGTTACTCCGGCGTCAGCGACGGAGTTGAAAATTCGCCCCGGTTTTGTTTTGTTTTTGTTTTTTTTTTTTTTATTTTTTTTTTATTATTTTTCGTCGTCGCAAGTCTGTAATGGCGCGAAATATACTAGTATTTGAATAGTGTATGTGATCGTATTTATCTACGTCCCAGTCTTATCTCCCAAGAGTTGTGGTGCACAGCTTTGGCTAATTTTCCAATGCGCGATTCGATTTCGCTCGCATGATATGGCAATTCCTCCAAGAGGAACAAATAAACCGTTCTTTTTATGCTGTTCGATTAAGTTTAGATTGAATTGGGGTAAGAATATATTTAATACATGTAGACTCGGTCCTATTTTAATAATATCGCTGCTATTTCGCCGTTTAACAAGATGATGTGGTCGTGTATGGGCGCGTTGACACGTCGCGTAGTTTGCACAGGATCGAAGATTTAATACAACTATATATAAGCGCGAATTCCAAAGGCAAAGTGTAAGACGAAGCGAATGTATCATGCGGTTTATTTACATTTTTGAACAATTGAACTTCTATACTGCGATGTGCTTCTGAATTTCGCGATCGAACATTTAGGTTCGCAAGGCATCTAAATGCGAATATGTATGCGAAACAATACGCGAACTGTATTGTTTATGTTCAGAAGCTCTATATTGAAGACTGGCACGTGCGCCGGAGTTAACGCCAGAACGGCGTCTTGTTCAAATTTAAATTCCAATGCAACCGTATACGTTAAAGTGTATTTGTTACGGTGACTGATAAAACCGGAAACACAAGTAAAGTCATAACCGGTATATATATTTGTTATTTCTATTTCATTTTAGTACTTTGTTCTCGGTTTTTTCATGATATACTTGAGTACAGATCAAAAGGAGCTTCATGTAAGTAAATACATGCGCTGTATAAGGTTTTTCAGGAGGACGTAGATGTACTCGACAATAAAAAAATTATTTTCTCATGGTTTTTCTTACTCAGCGCTTTGTTGCATCCACAACTATGTGGTTATATTTTCATCGTATTTTTTAGGTGAAGACATGCAGAATAGGTAGCATACTTTGTTTTGTATTATCAGTGGTGGCCATGGTATTTGAAGGTCCTGATTGGAGTTACTACGTCACTTATGGAAACTACGTCTGTGAAAAAGGCAGCTCAAGTAAAAACAAACTTTTTGTACAGTATACAAAATATTATATTATACAGTGCTGTAGATTCTAACTATTTTTATCTTCATATATAGGTACATGTAGTAAAACGACAGGGCTGTCAGCTCTTTTTGGTTCAATAACCGTGGCAGCAATCATAGCTATTTTACTTTGTATCAGTAATATCCTTATATGCAACTGGCTATTGTTCAGGGTAATAAAAATATCTAATTTGAAATGACGAAATCTCTAGTACAACTCCTTTCCCTTCAGTGGATTGAATACATTTTCGTTTGGTGCTTTTTTTGCAGATGTCGGTGGAAACACCGGAAATGGACTTCGAAAGACGTAATCGGAAGCATGCACAATCTGCAGTATCAACCCAGGTAACAGAGGAGTCCGATAATTTTTTCAAAACGCAAGGTTATCATACATGTTGGACAGATGATGACAAAGAGGCAAAACAGCAGCCCCCAACAACTGGAAAAGAAGCGATTAAGGAAGATGACCAGGCAGACAAAGATACTTTGCAATTATAGAGATTGCATGTTTTATATATGCATTATGTTGTAAATTCATTAATTGCAAATTATGGATATTCTTATATCAAAAATGTACTCCTATAAGCTGATCAATAAACTCGGGATTTTCTGTGGTTAGACGAATAGTAGCTTCCTCCAAATAATTTATCAAATGTATTTAGTTTTTAAGACCCAAAGTGACCAATATTACGGACTGTTAGCGATCTCTATTTTCTGAAGCGTTAAAATAGCTACATTAGGGAACATTCCTGTGCATCCTGCACAGAGAGCTGCTTCCCACACGCTACTTGCAGAAAAATATGCATTTTTATCCATTACTTAAGAAAAACACCTGCTGTTTTTAAATAACAACTATATAGCAATCCTAGTTACTTTGCAGTGTATATCGGCATCACATAGCTGCAATACATAAACATAAATAAATTCTAAGTTTCCAGACATAAAATGGCAGTCATGATACCGATTCAAAGTAAATGGGGGTTAATAACAGTTGGCCTTGGTTATCTCATTTTTGGCACCATGTTAACAGTGCTGTTTTTCTTCCTTGATTTCGCGGATACGGATAAAGACGTACATTACAGTGAAGACCATGCACAATATTGGCTTGGATTACCGGTAGGACTGAAGTTTATGACAAATAAGACACGTTTCTCATCTTTCATTGATCCATCTCCTCGTGTAGAATATCTCGGTCACCAAATTTACTGCCTCCAGGTCTCTGTGTCTCAGTATCAGCATCTTATCTACCTTCAGTTTCTCTTCATACTTTGCCTTCAGCATGTCCTAATTTACATCCAAAGCACTTTCTTTGTGTGTTATCGAAATTTCTACATCCCGTTCTTCTTAAAGGTATTCAATCCATTCGATCCAATTTTCCACTTATCATCTAGCTGTAGCATCAAAGTTTTATTATAGCATTCCTTGCATGCATAAACCGCATCTCTTCAAAACCAAGTTCTTACATCCCTTCATTCCCACCTTCAAAGACAAAGGCATTGTGCTTCTCCCTATAGTAAGACGACGTCATTCAAACGTCTAAAGAATTCTTTACCTGCACCCATTCAATCCATTTTGATGTGATAATAAGACATCAGCTGACAGCTATTAATAATGTTTATATTTGAGATGTTTCCGGCTTCATGACATTGTTGTCAAGGAATTATGCTTTTTCGCGTTTTTTACAGGCGATATTTCTTGGGATGATTGTCTTGTTAGGTGGAGGACAAATGTCAAATAAATCGGTAATACATTTGAAGACATCTTCAGGCATAAATTGCAAACATCTGTTTACCATATACCGTACACTCTTAGACTCAGATGTCAACTTCTTGTTTTCAGAAACTCCTTCGAGTATGTCTGAGTATCTATTGTTTCATTACCGCCGTTGCGAGTATTGTTCTCGAAGCTCCAGACTGGATGAGGTACCTATCTGATAATCGATCACCTGACAACATTTGCAAGCTAGCCATGATCGCTGTGCCCGGATTACAAAAAGGTATTTTTATCCAATATATTCAACTTGTTATAGTCAAAATCCTAACATGTCCGTTTTTCTGCAGCATGTCCGGCAACAGAGTCGACTGGCGATTTCTCAACTCCTTCATATATTTTTTTTATGTAGAGATGCAGAATTCAAAGTATATTTGTAAGCGGAGGACGTCGTACGCATGGTCTGTTGGTTTTATCATGGTGTCTGCTGTTTTTTTGATTAATTTCAGTGTATGCTCTATTTTATTGCATGCATGGTTGGCTATAAAAGACCAGGTAAAATAGATACTTTAGTATAACTGACTTTAGTCTTCACCGGCTCACCAATATCTTAATTTAGTGAGTAAATGTGGCAACTTTTGCTTCGAATAAACATTTAGAAGCATGTTAATAGAAGCATGGTAAATTGTGTTATTTTCAGATGGCGTACAAAATGCCAGATTTTCCTGCATATGCAGTCCAAGAGGAATACAGAAGGCCCAAAACAAAGACCGTTAACAAGGATGGAACACCGAATAGAGGTTTTCAAGAAAGCTGAGTAGAAAATGCAGAAGTGCAACATAGTATAGTTGTGGGTTCAGGAAGACATGATTCCGCATGAATTTAGTTTAATAGAAAAAGACTATGCAAAACCTACCAAAATGTACACATTCAGTAGACAATATCAAAGTAGTATTCTTTCCTTTATAAAGTTTCTATAAAAACATAAAACCTAGATTATTAAACACAAGTAAACCGTTTTTGGTAAACTGTCAAATTCATTCTTTTAAACCTTAGTAAACTCTAAACCACGATCTCGTTCCCAGGGCACTTCTCTCTTTGCTGTGTGAAAAGCCTGACTAGCCCTTGGATGGGCATGAGGCTGTATTTGCTTCAGATTGTTTTGTTTTTGAATTTCTGATTTATGTCATTCATATTAACCAAAACAGTACACTCAATCTAAATTCGAATATTAAGAAGCACGTTTGTGTGAGTGCATTAAAAAAGACACGCCTGACTTTGTTTGTACTTGAACTATCTCCAAACAGGTAATTTTAGACTCACTTCAACACCGAATCAACCGACCCCCTCCCCCTTCCTCATCAGCATTCCAAATATTTATTAGATGCACACTTCCTGTCTAAAGTCTGCGAAGCAAGCTACCGGGCACTTCAGTAGCATACACAGCACTATCAGAATAATACTGAAATAAAACCTAACATCAACAACAAAAGAGAATTAAACATAACCTCAAGAATAAAATCGTAGGCACATTCGAGCGGAATTTGAGGGACTTCGATTGGAAATAGCACCGAAGCTTGAAGTTGTTCACACTTGTGTATTGTGTGTCGTGAGTTGCCACACGCTCGCTTCGACAAGGTTGTGACAACAATTAACATTCCTACTGAATATCAATTTCCAATTCGACATGTCTGGAAAGCCGAGCGTTGTTATATTGGGAGGTAGGTGTTAAAAAAGTATTTATTTGTTTAAAAATAGGGAATATTTAGAGTTTTGGCCGTACTAAAGCTAAAATTAAGAGACTTTGTATGCAAATTTTGGCGTGAGTGTAGTACCACGTTCATCAAATATATTTTAATATACTTATTCAATAAAGTCTATAACAACAATACATAGTCATAGAGCTTGAGATTAAGCTAGGTTTTGGTAACATTGTTAGTACTGTATCTGTCAGAGCCCGCTTTTAAGTTGACCTTTTGAAAAACATGTTGAATTTTAGCTTCGCAGGAGAGTAAATATTAACAACACGCGTGTCTAAATAAAGAATATGTAATTATACACATCGTTTTTTCCAATTCTAATGGTAAAGAAATGTTATTCTAATTGTCAAGACGATGGCTTCTATTCGCAGCTGGAAAGTTTGACAGCAAAAGTTGCAAAACAGGAAACGCAAGATTTTTGTATTCATAATCAGACCACAAAATGATTATGGAACATGTAGCAAATTACTATGTAACCAATTATCATCTTAGGCTCAATATATAGCGCTAATCGCTTCGTATACTATCAAAGTTTATAAATAAATAATTTGAAGATGACGAAAAGACGAATACGCATTCTAGAACCAACAATCAGCTTATAGATGTGTGTGACTCATTTCTCTTCAATAATTAGTAATTTTAATTCTAATATCTGCTGCAGAGCCTGTAGTGGGTGCTAAAAGTGATCATCAATTTTCCAATCTCTTGAAATAGCTGTGACAAAGAAGGCTATAAGTACATATATGTGACACTTAACTAATTAGATTTTGGTCCAGTTTAGTCCAGGAATGTTTGTACATAAACAACTCCATCATAAAATACCATTATCCCTATTTGCTTGTTCAAAATGTCAGTCAAGACTAACATTTAAACAAAACTTTTTTGTGCCATAGACTAGATATTGGACACTCAGGATTTACGTCATCAAAGAACTTGAATTTTGCTGGCTTTGTTTCCTTTTTGCATATATAAATAGATTAAATGCTTTTAGCCCAACCAGTATTTGAAAGAATCATACTGTTATGTAGCATCAACAATAAACTCTCTTATTTCCCTATTTCTTACCATGTTCAGGGCTTGGTTTCATTGGCAGAAATTTGGTGACATACCTTGTTGAAAGTGACCTATGTTCCAAGGTATATAAAAATATGGCAAATTTACTTTCAACCCCCATTGTTGTTTGCATGGCAAACTACAAGGTCCATTTGTAACATCAAATTTATTTACAAAAGTCTTGCCTAAGGGAATATTCAACCATTTATTTTCTCAATAAGCTGTCATTGGTGAGGGTGATATTGGCTTGTGACTTATAGTAATATAAAAGTTAACTATACATAGTTAGTTAAATCATGATCATCTATAAATACTCTTTGGGTTGATGTAAAAGCAAACAATTGTATTAATTAAACATTCTTTTTACTAAACAATCAACTTGCAGTATATCAAGCAAGGGAAAAGGGAAAGGCTACATTTGCTCTGATTAATGGTTATGTTATTTTTTCTTTTAGATAAGAGCTGTTGACAAAGTACCACCACAGACTGCATGGCTAAATGAGAGACATAAGGTACTTTGTATTAATAAGTTACGGTCCTAATGCCTCACTGCAAGAATTCTTCCTTAGTTCCAACCTTATTCACTTGCTAGTTTTTGCTTCTACCCTATGGTGAAATTACACCATGGTAAAGACACTAAAACTAATATGTGATAAAACAGGTTATGTGTTTGAATACTTACTGTTTTGGCAAACCATTGCTACCATTCCATCATACTGAGGGAGGCCATACAGAATGCTCGGGTCAGTTGGAAGAGGACCATCCCCCTAGCCTGCACTGCAGACCCATTTATACAGTAAGCCCGGAAATAAAAATGTAAGGACTACCATCTACCATTTTCAAGATGCAAAAAATTTATTAAGAAATGTGATAGGAAATTGGTGTAAACAACATGGTCAAGGTATATACATTAGATGATCAAAATTATATCACAAATTGTATTAAGAATAATCCATAATATAACCAATACAAATATGATAAAATTACAATATAAAAGTTCAATTTTCTGGTTTGCATGTCAGGAGAATATTTAGATTTTTATAATCTTTCATTCGAAAATTCTGACTTAAATTTGAGCCTTGGTAAAGATGTTGGCCCTTATCATAGTTAAGTGCATTTTCTAGCTTTCAAAACAAAACATCCAGGACAGACTAACATCAAATAACTTTGGTGTTATTCTGAGTGTTTTTGGGAGGGTGTCTTCGACCTTGAATCCTCTATTCATATCATGGGAAAAACAAGCCAAAAATGCAGACTTATGGGAGCAGGTTCAATTCCCATCTATTCTGTTAGCTATTCTCTTGTACGCTCAATTAAATTTGAGGATAAATAACATATTTATTTTCAGAAAGCCTTTGAAAACAATGTTGTGGAATTTAAAAGTGCCAATCTTGTTCATGAAGGTGTGTAACATGCACTTTTTAACGGTGAAAATCCATGTTTATATACTCATTACCAAGTCAAAATAGTTACATAAAATATGATAATATTTTGGACTTTAAAAACACTCCTGGTCGTTATTTTCAAATGAGTATTACTTACGCTTTAAAATCGCTTCTCTTGTGACCAAGCATGCCTCGAATTTCGGATGTATTTCCGGATATATTTCTCTTTCTTTTCACAACACACAAATCTCAAAAACTGCGGCTCCGCGGGTGGCGTGTTCATTCCGGCCGCCAATATTCCCGCCACTTTTACCTCTCTCTCTCTCCAGTCTTTTCGCGTAAAAGAAATATGAAAAAAAAATCCGGAAAAAAAACAACCAATGGCAATATTCCTATAGTGCCGTTGCCAAAATGACAAATATTTTAAGTAGGCCATGTACATCAAATTATATGTCCTATTGTTTTGATAAAAAGTGCTGTAGCTTTGCGTGGTAATCAGTAAATAACAATCCTAGCAACAATATAGCTACCCAATTTAGCTACCCACTGATTATTGACACTTTTGAAGAGTGTTTTTTTTTCAGTTTCGGCTTTACTGCACGCACAATATAATCTATATATAGCCTACAGCTGCTCAACCAATTTTGTGCTATCTTTTACAGCATCGGCGGAAAAAGCATTCGCGGAGGCCTCGTTTGACTATTGCATCAACTTAGCTGCTGAGACTAAGTATGGACAAAGTGAAGAGGTGTGTAATTCTAGTCTGCAGCGTACGTATACCTTTTTTTCTGCAAGATCCCTTAACAAAAATCCGGATTTTACTAGGGTATAACGAGAAATACTGAGCTCTTTTGTAGAACTACCTCCACTCCCAATCCCAAAACACTAGTTACTAGGCCAATGAATACTGTCGATTATAATTTTATGACCTCGCTGACTACCTAGCTGAATTTGACAGTACCAATGAAGGGAATGAATATACAACTATGATATATACAACTGATTTTTAGGTATATAAAGAAGGTGTTGTGAAATTGTCATTGAATTGTGCCAGGCAGGCTGCGAAATCCAACGTAAAGAGATTCATTGAAGTTTCCACAGGTCAAATCTATGCTGGGGATAAGGTAGTTTAATTAAGTTAATCATAATCAAAATTGAATCGGACGTTTTGGTGAAAAGATGTCAAACGCATTCCGTTTAATTTTTGCTATTGTGCAATAGAAGAATGGGAATAAGGGGAATAAAACACTTTCTCCCAATTTGCGATGCAGGATTTAAATTTTTTCATGCTATTTTCTTCATATTCCATTATAGAAAGGAAGTGTGGAAAACAGCAAGCTGTCTCCTTGGACGCTTCAAGCAAAATACAAGATGGTAGTGGAAGAAGAATTGGCAAGTGTCGATGGGTATGTACATATACAAACTCGCGTTTACCTCCCCTGATATCAGCGAAGTTAAGATCGCCCGTCATTGGTTAATATGATGGACGTATCGCATTCGATTCGTTTCTGTTCTCTCGATGGAAAAGATACTGTAGTGGTAGTGGTAGTGGTCAATTCAATTCTGAACTCGCTATTCTACCGCATGCAGCCTAGCTATATATGTGCTTGTTAACTGTCAGAGTCGTTCCTTTCCTAGTACTAAAGATTATAGCTCGAACTCTTCGTTGTAGATTAAATTACGTGATCGTTAGGCCTGGCATAGTGTATGGTTTGGGAGATAAACAAGGATTAAGTAAGTTAATTCCTGCAATACATCACTCACAATTGTGCAAAAATTGTAATTTTGTACTGTACTTTTTTTCACGGCGATGTAAAGCATGGACAGTCATGCACCACATGCTCTTAAATATGTTGTATGCATGGTTAGTATTTCTAACTGTATTCTGTACGATGATTTAGCACCGAGAATTATTATTGGCGCTGTGTATAAGCAGTTAGGAGAAAAAATGAAGGTATGTTGCATATATATGCATGTTACGTATAATGCGAAATACCCCTGTTGTGGTTACATGTGATTGGTCGACTTAACCAAACACATGAATTAGTCCAGTTTTTTCAAAACCAAGTTCCCCACTTTATTATCATATATTTTATTGCTTCCCAATCCTGTGACTGTTGTCAGTGACTTACTTTTAAAATGAAAACTGAGCAATACCCATTTGTAGTTGCTATGGACGAAGGATTTACGAATGAATACAGTGCATGTTGATGACGTATGTCGAGCGTTGTGGCATTTGACTGAACATGGTGCTGCCGGGGAGATTTATAATCTTGTCGATAATGGCGAAACAAGTGAGGGATAAAATATACAAAATATTGTTGAACCAAAGATATAGTTAGAAAATACTTACATATATAAGCCGAATAATGCAATTAGACCTGATTTAAAACTAAAATGACCAAAGTCATAGAGAACTACTGAAGCACATATCAATATACAGTACAAGCGTTACAATAATTATGTGTTTTTTTCGCTAGCTCAAGGTATAATCTCTGATCTTGTTTGCCAGTTGCTGGGAATTGAGCACGACTATCATGGTACAATTATATCAAACTTCGCTCGCGTAAGTGTGCTACATATACAGTATGTTACTTAAAACTTATATATCTTATATACTTATATATATCAACTTCTTTCAATCAATTTCACGCCTCGTATAAATTGAATAATCGCGAGTGAAAATTATATATTTTTATTATCCTCAATTCAGCTGAATATGACTGATATTGTGGATGAATCCAATGAGAAACATTTGGAACCTTGGTCAGAGGCTTGCCAACGTGATGGCATTGAAAATACGCCACTTAGTCCATATTTGGATCAGGTAATGGTTATAATTTAATGTTTTGGGGGTTTTTTTTCATCAGACTAACAGTGGTACTGACATATTTTGTAGGAACTGCTGTATGAGAAACATCTTTCATTAGATGGTAGCAAGCTGGAGGGAACAGGATTTAATTGTGAACATAGACAACCAACAACTGGAAACCTGAAAGAGGTAAGTATATATATATATGCCTTATTGCCTTTTTATCCATTTCAAAGAAATTATATTAGGAAAACTTGCAACCGTTTACACAGGTGATTTTCGTTTCTCAAAGGTTCTGGAAGATTACGTGAAGCTTGGCTTGTTTCCACCCTCTCTGGCAGAAATGAATTAATCCAGCCGTTTGGCTTTGAGATATATGCATTGCTAAATGAATTATAGAAGAATATATTGACTTAAAAGAAACGATCGTTTTTGAAAGTAATCAATTGCAATATCTTGCTTCGGCGTGGTATAAAGTACTACTTCTACGTAATAAAACGCCCTATTTCAGCTATACAAAGAGGACATGAGACTATAGGGAGAAGCTATATAGGGAGACATGGGACTATTAGACTGTTTATTACGTTCATACTTTTGTAGTCAATTAACTTTATTTACCTCACAATGATGACTATCACAGTCATTATATCAATACCATTTTTTGGTAAGGTTTATTCGTTGATTTTGTATTTTCGCGTTTTGATGCATTGGATCCATGGGATAAAGTAATATATGTCCCAAAATGCAAACTAAAGGATGTAAAATTTGCTATGAAGAATAAATGCTGCAAAAAATCGCTCGTGACACAAGTCGATTCAAACAACATGTGCAAAAATATCAATGAAATAACATGTTTACTAAAAATGCACCACAACCTGCACAAAACAGGTTGTTTAGCATAAAACGCTTCGGGAATCTTCAAACACAGCTTCATTCGGTTCGATATTTACAATTATATTATTGCCTGAAAAGAAAAAAGGGAAAAATTTAACGAAATTATACTTTAAAAGCTGTGACAGTACAATCCAAAGAGATTTACAAGAATATTAGTACAAATCATTTGGAAGAGGGAAACACTCAATATATCACAACAGCATGAAATTGTACCCAGAGCATAAAACATCGCTGAAGTATTACGCGGCAATATTTCTCATTTTCGGGATCATTTTACTCTTATGTGGAACATTATTTGAAAATGGAGACATTGAAATCGCAGACCATCAAGAAACGATGTACCGCCAGGACCAAGTTCATTATTGGGCTGGAATTCCTGTAAGTTCTGCCACTATTCCTGTTTGTTTGTTTGTTTGCCTTGCCTTATAAAGTTCTGCTGTTCAACTTCTATATTTCTGAATTTTATTTCTTAAACTTTATAGTTTGTGTTTCTTGCCATCATCTCGGTGCTATTCCTTATTTTTCAATTCAACTTTTTGGTGGGTATAATTATGTATTATAGTAGAATCTAAGGTAGTTTGAAAAACAGGTAATAAACAATGCAAGTACACATTCCATATTTCCACGCCGTCTTAATTTCGCCATAAATTCCAAGAGCTTTGCATTCCCTCGAGATTTATTTAGCGTCCTCTCTCGTTTCACCTAATGCACCTAAAAAGCCTGGTAATTACATAATTGTATGTCGAGTTATCTTCTTGAAATGTTTTAGCTAAAACTGTGTATCTGCTTCGACCTCATCTGCGTGAACCTCGCCATATTTGTTATCATTGTGGAAGGTCCTGACTGGAAGAAATACGCAGCAAAGTCTTCGCATTATTCGCATTCGAGTGATATTGATTATCTGATGTTGAAGCCAAGCGCAGCTTTTGGTAAAGATCAGCCACTGTCGGAGACAGCGTATATGAGCGCCATGAACTATAGTGGAGCCTGGGTAATAATCGCTATATTGTCAATATTGCTGGGAATTGAGACTCTTTTGACTCACATCAAGGTGTACTGTGGGATTGAAAGCGTGAGTAGACATTTAAATATTCTCTAGATGATACTGAGATGAAACTGAAAAAGTAATTTGTGATAAAGCTTTGAGGATTGCACATTCGAGGGTTTAATATTTATATTATTATACCAATATAGATATATGGCTACCTTACTGGCTACGAATTGATTTACCCTGAAATTATTCTTAAAATGGCACAGCCCGTTGAGAAATTTCAGTGTAAGGGTTGTCAAACAAGAGTTCCAACCCCGAACAAAGGAACTGACCATCCTGATGTTTCTTGCAATGAGAAATCAGATTTACGATCCCCGCCGGATATTGCGGTCGAACCACCAACCTGTGGATCCGAGGACCCTGTTCCGCGTCCTCCCTTATCTCCGACACTATCCGTCGCTTCTAACACTTCTAATGCGTTTTACGTTTGTCACGAGGGAGATGGCATTAAGTTGGTCGGATACAAACCTCGTCGTCACGCAAAGCATGGCCACCAATTATGCACACATGATGAAGAAGAGGAATTACCCCCAGAACATTACCATTTCTCCAGGAAGCATCCAAACGAGGTCGAAGATCCAAACTCAAGCATGAGCTTACCTCATTCTCCAAACCATCATTTATCACCCAACAGACCACATCCTCCTACTGACTTGCCTGTAAAGCATAGATCAAGTGGTTCAAATACCCCGTCACCAAGCAATTTGCCTCTCGCAAAGGATCCTAAATCATATCGAAGTCCTATGTCACCAAGCCAATCAAATCCATTTATACAACATCCCCAAAATATCCCTACGCCACCTCCCTTACCACCAACAAATTTCAAGCAATCTAATTCCAGACATTCATCACCAAGTATCCCCTCACCACCACTGCTACCACCTCTGGACTTCCATTCTGCAGCCTCAAGAACAAATGAGCGAAGAAACCTGTCCCCCATCATCCATAAACCGACTGCGTTTTCACCAGTTCAACCAAAAAATCAGATAAACAGATCTCCGGTTGACCGAAGTCCCGGGAAATATCCTCCCGTCGGAGATATATTCCCACCGCCACCGTCAACTCTTCCGTCTCATAGCAAAGAAAAAGGCCGTGTATCGTTCGTTGATCCTGGAAACAAACCTGTGCCAAACCCCTCGTCCAGCTCCGGTCAAAAGCGAAACTCCAAGTTGGAAACCCTGTTTTAGATTGTATAAAAGTCATTGCTTAATAAGTTTATTTACACAATGATAAACGTTTAGGAAACTGCTATAAAAATTACTTCCAGCAAATTTTTTCTTTTAGTTTTCCAACTAAATAGGGGTATTTTCGTTTTAAACTGATCGGCATATTTGTTCTATTTTTAGTCAAAGCTATGGTCAAAGGCAATCAGAATGCCTAAATTTTTAATACCTCGTGTAAAATGGTAGATAATGTACTTTTTTACTGGAAGTTGTCAAAATTTATGCATTCTGATTCTGATTGGGTTACTGAAAATGTAAACAAACCTGCTGATTGTAAACAAATCCTAAAGCGTCCTCGATTGCAATGGGTCAGCGGAGTGTACTTACTTCTTTATGCGTATAACACGTCACAAATCGTGAAAACGTGCTTCAAAACAAACCATCATATATATGTAATTAACTACTGGGAATTTATCTAATATATTTGCTGAAATAATGGACATTGCGTCTTGGTTTGACGATGTTAGGCGCATGAATAAACGGCAGGTATGCAGAGCTTGATAAAAGGATAATTTATTTGCAGGCTTTGAAGGAAATTTAATGTGTATAAACGCAACGTGTGCAGACTGCTTGTATTGGCAAGGATAGATTAATGTCAATAATAGACTGTATAAAATATAATAAACAATATTTAATCATTCTCATGGCAATAAAAAAAATGTTCGAACAAGTTAATTTCATTAGAAATATATAGGCCTCATTATTTATAGCAATTTTGAAAGGTTGAGGTCGCACTTTTTTCTTTATAAAATCAAAATGTACATCTTGTGCAGGTGTTTTCATTGTAAGGACTATTTTTTTTATGAAGAAATTAACTTTTATTATTGTAGCTGTATTATCAAGTACTGAATTTTGGTATGATTGTGTCATCTGCTCTCATGATATGGAAAGGCCTGATGGTTGTAACTGGCAGTGAGAGTCCCATTGTGGTTGTACTAAGGTGTGCTGACCGCTGACGGTCCTTTGTATTCACAGTTGATTGTTGCATATAGTTGTTACCTGAGTGTATTACACCTGACATCAGTGTAAATACTTAATACTAGTGCATTGCTATTAGTATAGGTGCATGCATTACCATGTGCGTGTTTTACCATATATGTGACCATATTTCTACTGCATCACACAGTGGTAGTATGGAACCAGCATTTCAGCGAGGAGATCTGTTATTTTTAACAAACTACAAGGAAGATCCCATTCGAGTTGGAGAAATTGTTGTGTTTAAAGTTGAAGGAAGAGAAATTCCTATTGTCCATAGAGTCATCAAACTTCACGAAAAGTAAGACTTCATGAATTCCGTTGAATTGAGGTTCTTCTTCATTTTCTCAACCATGGTTCAATAACTGCAAAACAATAAACTGTAAAATTTATGTTTGTTTGATTATTATGCGAACACATTTTTAAAGAGAACAATTTATTTCACAGAGAGGATGGTAGCATTATATTCCTAACAAAAGGCGATAATAATTCTGTTGATGATCGAGGCTTATATGCTCAAGGTCAATTATGGTTACGAAAGAAAGATGTCGTGGGCAGAGCTAGAGGGTGAGTATGAAATTATTGAGTCTTTATCATAAAATGAAGCCTGATGTTTAAATATCTCCTTGTTGTTTTTCCAGGTTTTTACCATATATAGGAATGGTCACAATTGTAATGAATGACTATCCTAAATTTAAGGTAAATTTCAACACTATAATTTTTATATGCATTCCCTTATAGTAGAATATAATCAAAATACCATTCCTTCAACTTCTGAAATATTCATTGTTTTTTCTTTACTTTTTTTGCAGTATTTTGTTCTAGTAGGTCTTGGTCTGTTTGTACTCATACATCGAGAATAAGGAAGCTTGGGAATAGAAAAATTATGATAATTTATGTTTTAGACAGGCATATACGTGTATATGATACAAGTTGGTAGGGGAATTATGCTTGACAAAGTGATGAAGGCATTCCATTTTATTTCAGCCACATTATTACAGGCCCTTTACGAGTCTAAACTCTGGAAGACTAAAATGGAATTGTTTTTAGCCTTCACTTTTGTATTTAAAAGGATGTTCAAAATAAAGCTGTTGGTATGTAAATGTGATCGTCTGATGATTTCTCTGAAGGTTGCCCCTGGTCCAGTGGTCCTGGATGTAAAAGAAATATTCTTTTTCAAAAAAATGGCGGTAGTTTTTTAAATTATTCTGCCACGTCAATGGTCACGTGTAAATCTGTTATTGTAAGCAGTGGATATAGGGCTAAAATGGGTTAGAATAATGGTCATGAACTAATTTAGCTACATCTGAAACTTTACAGTATAACTTCTTTACAGTATATTTACATGTTCGGTTACAAAGATTACTGTACAGCAAAAATGACAAATTTAGCCCATAGGCTGGTTTTCCCTTGCGACGTAACGCGATGAGAATGGCAATGAATATTTAAAGAAGAAGATTTTATTCATTGATTTACAAGTGCGCAACACAGGCATCGACATGAGAATAAGCACAGTGAATAAGTCGTGACAAGAAAGAAAGTTCGAAACAATATATTTCCTGCTCTGTCTCTTTTGCGTATATTGAAGTGATAATAATTAATCTCTAAAAACGATTACCTGCTGTGGCATTGTTAGAGTGGTATTCACCCTGATTGTTGTTCATTTTAATTTTATATCTTATCAAAAACAGTATCCCGGCTTCCATTTTATTAAAAAAAATTTAAAGGGTCCGTTTGCTTGAGATATATACAAACTGATACAAGCATGATTTACTAAGCCTTACTGTATACATCGAACGTTTTCAAAATGAAAAGTTGACACGACTCACACGAGTGTGAAAGACCAGAGCCTGAGGCGTGTAATGAAACAATAAAATTCCGTTGATATAAAATTTTAATTGCTTGAAACTTTGGCTTGGGGGTAGATCGTTAACAATCGCTTTAATTTGTTCATTTTTGCCGAAAGAATAAGACAAGACGGCCTATCTCGAATCTTTGGACTCGAGTATATCAGGACAATATGAATGTATGTAATTTCTACCATTCGTTTTATCGTTTACATTGTATGGATACACAGCATCTTAATTGAATTTTTCCCAGGTTTTTTCTGTCATTGCCAATTGCATCCTATTCATCCTACTGTTGGCATTGCGTTTGGCCGTGAATGCTTCTTCAGGTTCGTTTTGGCTCCCGCACTTTCTTTTAAGACTAAGTGCAGGATTAAGCTCATAACCGATAAATATAGATGAGGTTGTATCCTAGGAAGGGAAGTGAGTTATGGGCCACGTTGTTTGCCTGCCATTAAAGCTAGCTAGTGCATAATATCATAGATATAAACTATGGGCAAATGTCTATCTCAAGTGCCCAAGGCAGCCATTTTACTCACAAGTGTTTACTTGTGATATTCTCTTTTCACGAATTTCTTGGCATTTGGAGAAATGAAAACTATTTTGAAAATAAAGTAATTTATATAAATCAATGGCTTGTGCATGACGTGTACATGTTGGAAAATTTGAAGGACAAGAAGAACTGCTTACATCTCTGATTATACGTATTAGAACTGTGTTTACATTTTCATTTGTTTATTTACCAAAGCGGAAGAATCGTGGAAAAATATCGGCAGCTGTGGACAAGGATTAGGTAAGTATTGTAGTTAAAACTAGTATTTTTGGGAATGTATACTGTATAGCTTCAAAACTATGGGAATGTAAACTATGTATAGGTCCATGATGGGTAGATGGGTAAACTATGTATAGGTACCATGTAAAAAATATTTTATTCTCTACATCTTTTCTCAAAGCTTGTAATCCACAATGTCAATTGGCGTGCCTAAAGATGCATAATTACTACCGTAGTTTACACAATTCACCACCATTGCATTGCGATTCTGAGCTGGCCAAGTCAGCTCAGCGATGGACGGATCAACAAGCCAAAACTAGAACTATGCATCATTCACAATGGACGGATAAATATACTGAGAATATTTCTTGGAAAGGTGGAGACTGGCCAGGTATGGTATTCAATTGTCTTGTTATACATGGTTTCAAATTTTTGTTATAACTAATAAATATGGTATAATTGTTGACGATGAATCGACGATAATTGTATAATAATGATGGCGGCGACTGGCAGCGACGTCTGACGACAGACGACGACATACAACGACGATGTTGATGAGAAATCTTTTTGTAGTCTTCCTTTTTTTTCTTGACATGTTTTTCGTTAACTCCTGCAGGCATGAATCAAGTTGAAACCGCCGTTAAAGGGGCTGTGAGAAGTTGGTACTCTGAAATAAAAAACGACTACAATTATCAGACTGGGAAAAGCAATGATCGTAAAACAGTCGGACATTTTCAGGCAGTCGTATGGAAAAATACCCAGAAGATCGGGTGTGGTATCAATATAATACCTGGTCATGGTACCTACGTAACTGTCCACTACTACCCAGCTAGCCACGCTCATATGAATTATTTCGAACTTGCTGTCGGTCAGGTGATGCCAAAAAAGGAGCCAGGTATGGGTAAAAATTGCTCAACTTCAGTGGTTTAGATTCTCCTGCAAAAGCTTTCAAGTTTAGCGCTATAATTCGGCTTGGAATCAGACCTATTTCTATATTTTTGCTCATGAAACTAATTGTTCATTATACAAGCTCTCGTTGTGTCTAATTTTCTTCCTGTTGCTGGTCATATTTTTAAGCGTCTAAATGTCGTGCGCGGTCGTCGGAGCGAGAGCCTTGTGATAAAAATCTGCAACGACTACAAGCTCCTTACGTTGTTCCTGACGAATGCCTGAAGAAAGGATGTTGCTATGACGACGTGTTTCTATCGGAGCCTTCAGTTTCCCACTACGACCGAGAGGGTAGAGAGTGGTGTTTTAAACCCAGCAAATAATGTGAGTGAATCTGACAACTGACGGTTCCATTGTACCTACTTAATAATGCATACAGCAATGATTAAAATTGTATTTTATTTTAGGTACATTTACTCATGACGGTTCCACAAAAAGATCATATTTACTTAATCATACATCCAGCAATAATTAATATTATACTTCATTTTAGTTACGTTTGTACTGACATTGTCATGTCATGTTAAAAACACTGTAATTCTGTTGAATAAAACGGTCATGAGCCTAAAATGAGGTCACTTTAGTGAATCACTCATTCAGTTCACCACAAATTCTTCTTAGGTCATATTCAGGTCAAGGTAATCTAAACGATCTTAATTATGATGTTGTCTGACAAAGTAAACCATTAGCAGAGACATATCAAGCCTTTAGTTACAGTGAACCTACGGAGCTTTTGTAGTAAATCGTCTGAGCAAAACATCAGTGTGCCGTTTAATTATATATTGCCGTTCGTGTCTGTTCACATCCACTATCTCCCAATGACTTCGCCGCGTGGTGAATGCACCATACCAGGCCGACACAAAGATGTGGTACAGCGAGTATTATTGAGTGTTTTTTGTTGCAAATGAACACGTAAAAACAAAGCCGGGCGCAACCACAAACCTGAAGTCTGCACGATTGTACTTCTTTGGAAAGTCTCAATTTAAGGGTCTTTGTAATTAAAGATACCGATCTTATTAAATGGGGTACTATTTACAATCGATGTGATTGTCGTGATCATGGTTCTGTAAATGCCGCTACAAACAATCACGCTTCTCGCCAGTTTTGATTGTTTTCATCATACTTCTTTCGATTGTATTGTATACCAGAACACTCAAATACTGTATGAAAAAACACGTCATTTTCTGGTTAGCGATTTTTAGGAAGACCACTTCATGCTTGATACACAATTAAGTTCGTAAATTATATAAACACCATGTTACAATTTCCGCTATCAACAACTCGTGATGTAAATGCTCCGATGGTAGAAAATATGCCAGGTATGAGAAGCATCTTGGAATTTGTCGAGCTAATTTCATTGAACGAGCCCAGCGTGAGTTTTTTAACCTGTTAATTGCAGTTTGACAATTTATGTTGCTTGTATAAACAGACAAATTATGTACCATTATGAACGCGCTATCATCGATATTTTATTGTACTTTTTAATTAATATTATAAAAACGCTATACAGTACCATACAATCAGTATATAGTGCATCCTATAACCTAGGCGATATAGGTATATTTATTCAGGTATGTTGAGATCCTACTAGCATTATGATGCATGCAACTGGCTCACGAAAGTTGAATGAAGTCTATCTAACGATAGTGATGTTTTTATGCCGTTGTGAAAATATTTAACGGACAAAAAAGCCACGGCTGAGTAGAAAACAGCAATATATATTCAACAAATCATAGGGAAGAACTCAGTGCATGACTTTGGGAAAAAAGGTCCAAGTTATTTCTTTCTAAACTGAACGAGAAAATTAGGTAAACATTTAACTAATTGCATGCTAGTCAATACCAGCCTCCCATTTCAATTTGTGCATAACGTTTAAATTAAGTTGTTTTTTCCTTGTGGGCAAAAGAAATCGCTATAACTTCCGACTCCCAAAATAAGAGCGTGGAGTCACGCTGAAAATCATCCCACATACTTCCACTGAGGAATGGTAAAATTATCTTTCATCTTCACTTCACGAAGAGTTCCATTTAAACTAATAAAAACAAGCAGCTGAATTCCTAGTCGGTTCTTTTGATCTTTGCGTGGAGATACATCGTTTTCCCGTCCATTTCCATGAATTTTGCAAGAACGTGTACCACGCGTGATTCATCAGGATAAGATCAAATATAAAATTATACACATGCAAGCTCTGTGAATTCTTCATTCCACATCCTTTGAGACATGCACTGAGCTACAAGATGGATATCATTTTCTCGACAAGTTATTACCACGTAAAACGTGACTGTTTTATCACAAAAACTAAGCGACGATAATGCAATTTGTTTGATTGTAGTTATTTATTCAAATGTCATAAAACATAAATTCTTAAAATGTCAAAAGAGTTCCTATAAAAAAAGGACGCCGATTAGATATATGAAATTAATTTGAATTTAGTTCCTTTTTTAAAACCTTTCTGATGTCACAGAATATTTGCAATAAACATTACGAGGCCAAGAAGTGCTTCGATCACTTGTATCACGGATACAAAATATTCATGGTCGTATTTGAGTTTCCCGAATGCGATAATGAAATTATCACGCATGTAACTGACTATACAGAGTGCTTTAAAGAAAGCTATGAAGTTTCTTTACTCTATGCCAAATAATCGGATTATGATCTAGTTTAAATGGTGCTTTGCATTAATAAGACGCTCGAAGTTGGTCATTTTGCCAAGATGTGTAGGAGTTAGACGCGTTTAAACCGGCTAAATGACTAACAGAAGAGCTGGGAATTAGAAATATTAAACAGTTTAATTATATTTCGCAAGCAAAGCATGATATATATTTAACACTAAAGCCGCTTTTGAATTCAAACATCCCAATGCATTCAAGGACACTCACAAAGGCAAACAAAGGGGAATTTAAAATCACATGAAAAGGTCGCGTTGTGGACATTGGGCAGCCAATGGGCTGCATGCAAGACGAGGTTCATTCATTCAGCATTGTTAGTGATTATTCAAATTGCCCACGATTTAAGGAGCAAAACGCGGTCGCCAACCAATCACGGCCCACGCTTCTGTGCCTCCACGCACGCTGATTGGACGTCACTGCACGATATGACAGTTGACAATAAAATCAGTTGTATAAGGATTGTAAATAATCCTTTTGAGAATATGAACTATTTTCTTGATTGAAATCAACTCCCATAGGGAGTTATTCCAGGCTTTGCAATGGCTACCTGACATGCCGATTTGAGCAAGACCGAGAAAGTTGTGAAGCCATCAAATTCACGTATTGACTTATCACCGAGAAACTGTGACCCCGTATTCGAATACCTCAAGCAAAGCATGGCCAAGACCGATCGACCGGCGGAATTGTTTGGGGCTTGGGAGCGAGACAACATCGGGTCAGTGTGTACAAAAAGCTTCGAATCTTGCTACCTTTTGTTTTTGACTTTTTTTCACAGTTCAAGGATACACTGAATGAAAATCGTACGATTAAATGGCCTGTAGCTGACCTAAACCGCATCGAATTCATTCTTTGTTTAAAATAGGGACCTGGCATCTCTGTTTCCCTCGTCGAAAATGAACGGCTTTGAGAAGGACAAGGAGCTCAGCGATTTGTTAGACTTTAGTGCGGTAAGTCGGCGTTCATATTCGCTCGTAATATCCGACTGCCAATATTTATAGTTAAACTTTATATCGCGTTTATTTCCGAATGTAATAAGTGACTCGTCAAAATTTCATCGAATGTTCACTGAGCCGCGACTTCGCCCTCAAAACACCAAAAAATGTATTTACGTTGAAAGGTAGAAGGGAAGAGACGGTTCTGTGAAGCGCTCGTTCATGTTCGAGGGGAAATGAGTCCGCGTAGCAATTACCTCGAAGAGGAAAATTAGGCAAACTGATCGTTGAAGATTGCTCCGAACGGTTTTACAACGTAAAGCTTCAGTTACAAGACTTGATCCGTTTCGGTGTCAACTGAGTTAAGTTGAGGAATATGCTAAGAATTTAAGCCCGAAACTTCCTCTTTTGTACAATAGATGTTCACGCAACCGAATGGGTCGAAGTTGAGCTCGAGCGCTACGGAGAATGGCTTGCACAGTCCTCTACAGTCGTCGAGTCGTACAGGTACTAAGAATTAATATGGTTTATATTTGGTTCTGTTGATATTCATCAAAAGATTTAAGAAGCCTCGGCCACCAGTTACAACCTGTCGTCATATAGTTAAGCATGGATTTTTTGGGTCCTCTCGATAGGATTTTGGCTTCAAATGATGGGAACGTTCTTAAATTACGTAAGGGTCCCGAGAACGCCGTAAAACACTCTAGGAATGCTGAGAATCCCCTAGCTGAAGTTGTTCATCTTTTTATTGTTGCGTATAGCGAATCTCGAAGACGGAGGCCGCACGTGGCAGAGCAGTCCGACATTAACTACTGTCGGGGGATTCGAGCAGAGAGTGAGTACGATTCTTATTAATTTAGTTTACTTTCATCACCCGATAAGTACGACTAAATCCTTCGCACGCGTCAGGCTTCCTTTCATCTAAGCCTTCTTTATTCGCCCAGTTCCGCTAGCCACGTTTTGCACACAATAACAAACGCTTAACATAATTCCCTTCTGAAAACCGTAACCCACCAATTCATTTCTCGATTTCTATATTTGTGGGACTTGCGACCGGCTTCCGTGTGGAACTGAGAACAAAATGGAAGTTGCTATAAATATTAGGAAATCGAGGGATTTAATTTCAAGAGTTAAATTTCCCGAAGTTAACTCTTTCTTGTTTACTGAACGTTCTGCATGGTCACACATCAACATTATACAAGCAACTTAAAATCATCTTTGAGCATATTTGAATAGCTCACTTATTCCATCAAACGTCTTTGAAATCTTCCTCGCTAAACTTTCTAGTATATCTTAGAAAACGAAGTTGTATTTTTACAGCCTTCGGTTGGTAGAGCATGTAGATGATGATGCCAGATCAAAACATGCAGTATTCACATTAAACATGCATACTATGCTTTTAAAGGACTCCCTTAAGCCATCTTATAACGTTTAAACGGACTATTAATGCATTCTTTATTTTAACATTCATTCCTGAGAACGACTGAAAATATTCGACGCTGTCTGTTTTAGGGTTTCGGATCAGAGAATCCCTTAGATCCATTAGAAGATGACTCGGACTACATAGCGAGAAAGAGCTCCTATCCTTTTACAAATTCTGCATCAATTGGCAGTGCAGGTCGGTCAATTTCCATCAAATTATTTAAGCGTGCATTCAAGTATTCTTTATCTTAGTATTCAGGTTTAACTTATCTTCAAGTTAAATACGATTGAAATTGATTTGCTTCGGTCTATACGGATCCAAGATCCGTATAGACCTGTTCGTGGACGTTCTTTATAGTTTCATTAAAGTCATTTTAAAATTTAAAGATAACTATGCCTGGATTTACAATGTTCAAATATATTTAACCGTAAAACGAATTATACTATCATATTAGAAAGGAAAAATGAAGTAAGTTTTAATTTATCACCTAAGACTGTGGTCATTTTACCTTTGGTCATGCACTTAATGCCATCCTCTTTCAACTATACAAGTTTAAATTCGGGCAATGCGAATCGCGATCAAATTCACGCCTTTTAGTTCTCACACTTTCCAAACGTTATATTCTATGAAGTTGGAAGGATTTTCAGAATACAGCAAAGGATATTTCAAGTTTCCGTCCGGGTTTATTTGAGTGCCATCTCATTGCGAAGCGGTTGTTTCTTTGTTGTCGATTTTTGCTTTTCTTTGTCGTCATTGTGCATGCTTGTCCGCGCTCAGCCGCTTCGTTCATAGAGCATATCGGAGCGATTATAAAGTTATATCACCCGTGGAATACCGATAATGTTCAAGGTTTTAAGTTCCTTAATCTTTGTTGAAACTTGCTTGCACTTCGATCAGGTCATTCGGCGCGATGCTGCGAACTTTCACTTCAGTTTATAGTTTATAACCCATTTTCTTTTGGACTTTTCTTCGATATTGTCTTAGCTATAGAGTTTATCTTTAGTCGACTGCTTCAAAGCATCGAGATATAGGACAATGTAAAACGGATTGTATTATGTTCTCCCGTAATTTTTTCCCGCGAATATACAGCGCTTAGTAGGCCTACAAGTAAAACAACAACAGAGCGCGCGCCGTCGCCATGTTGCGAAAGACACTTGTCGAGCCAGGTTTAATCGCGAGTGAATCAAAAACCAAACGCCAGTTGGATTTTAAATTGGGTTGGGGTCATTTTATTTAAGTAATACATCGCAAACAGGCGATGCAACCTGTTTCTCTGTGATATATCAGCTGTGCAGCAAAGCAGATGGCTGGAGAATTTTCATACGGCAGTCACCGGCAAAGCAAAGTCTAGCCCGGCTGTTTTGTGGCAAGCAGAACAACGACGTCGCTTTACTCGCTGTCTTTTTAAACAAAAGGAAAATTACTGGTGAATTCTCTAGGAAATTGATGCGGCGACATTCCTAAATCCTTATAAAGCGGGCTGGCTCGCGGGGTCTCGGTCTGCAAAGCAAAATACGTTGGGATATTAAGCTACCCGAAGCCTTATCGTAAAAGTGCTAAAAAATTAATAAACAGGAAAGACATCTGCAGCACACAAGGAATATATTTATCGATCAGCGACAAGTGTTTTGTGGGACGTTTCAAAGGGCAGGTGAATTGACTTGAATTCAGTAAGCCGAAGAGTTAATAAACCCTGATCTATTTCCAGATCTACTTCTTCCTAGCTCTTGGCCTTGAATTAGAAGCGTTCTTTGACGTTTTCAATAACATTTTCAAGCTTGGTTATGCAAATTTGCGAACAAAATTTGCATATATTGTGACTCGAAAGAACCACTTTACAACGCCTACAAAAATGGCTTGCATAACCGAAGCCCATACATCGAGTTAGCCAGGCTTGCTTTTGCATTTCCCCCCGTGCAAAAACGGTACAGCTACATTGCCTATCATCATTTATATTCGTGCTATATAATTTTTTACATTTTCATAGGGTTTGTAGAGCAAAATTTGCATATTTGTTAATTTGTTTTTTGAATAAATTGCCAGTGGAAGTGGAAATTTCGACATGTCATATTGAAAATGGCTCGTATTACATATGTCGGTGTTCTAGGCAAAACCACAGAGTGTGTCCAGTAGTCGTAGTTCATGCATGTAGCAATGGCTGAAGAGCCATCTTAAATTTGTTGTAATCGCTAAATGTGTGCGGTTTCGGTACGAGATGTTTAGATGGACCGGACCATCGATTAAAAAACTTCATGTATGCATGAACTGTCCACTAAAACTGTATGTTGACCATCCAATATGCTGATTTTTCGAAACTTGTTCATGTGATAATATGCCCAAATGTTGTTGTATATATACATGCATGATGCATAAGTCAATATACTGAATTTTGTCTCATGCATTTCTGCGATTTACATAACAAAAGAATTACTTACTCTAACAAAAATAAGGAAGAAAACGGATGAAAAATCCCATGTTTACATCGATAATTTACAAAAGCGCGTAAAATTTGTCATTTGGATCACTTGATGAACCAGCTACTCGACACGCCCAGTGATTTTTGCACGCATGTAAACGCTAATTATTTTATTTCAAATAGCAAACGGTTTTTCGAAATATTTTATGTTTCATTTTCGCACAAGACAAAGCAAAGAAAAACACAAACCACGGCTCGGTTCTGTACAGGTTGAATGATTAAATGTTTAATGATAACATACGAAAACGCAGCTGCGCCGCGGCCGAGCAGAAGGCGGAAAGCGACAGGTTTAATGTAGGAAAGGTTGCAAGCAAATTCTTTAATTTTTGCTTGTCTATACGTCGGCGGTCGAGTAGGCAGGTGGGAAACATGTTTGTGCAGTGTATATGCTAATTTGAATGTGAACTGTAGCAGGTGGCAGGTGCATGCATTAGAAAACAGTATAATTATGCTTAATCTAGTGTTGAGACGTGTCTAGAACGATATTTTAAACTCCATGCCTGTTAACTTCGTTGACACATTAAATGTTTAGCAGCTATAGCGGTATATATAAATAATATAATTTTCGCATTGTGTTTTGCTCGCTAACCTTTTGTAATGCTCGTTGTCACAAGATTTTCTTAACACAAACATCTGAAACGAAAAAGGGCGTTGTATAGTATTGGTATATATGATAAAATATGCTGCAGTATACAGTTTATGAAATACGACAGATGATAATTTATACCGAGCATGGCCATCGGCTCTATTTCCAAAGAACATGTTTCTTCAATCATGGAAGTAGTGGCATGGAACTATAATTGATCTGGGGCTATCCATATAACGCCATCCATCGTTAAGTCAAAATCTGTGGTTGCATGTTAAAAAAATATATATATCGCTTTTTAGGCATATTTACAACGATTTGATCGATATGATTTATAACTACGACCCTGTGGATAGTGCTATCAAGCTTTTAGATGTTTATACAAGACCGCAAATGAAGCATACATGCTTTTTTTAAGACAATATGTATATGAAGGCGAGGAAAATGGAAGTAATCATTTGCACTTTTCTTTTGCAGGATTTGGCGATTCGTCGAACGGCCCAGTAAGTATATATTAAAGTCTACTGTGTAAAGCTACTGTCCACGGTTTAAGGTACAAGATTATTTTGAACTTGCATGCATGGTCAGAACTATTCTATCCACAACATGGAGAATCTATATTCTGTTTTTGTAAAACTATCGTCGTTTGTATAAGAACGAACGGCAGGACATGCTCTCCACCTCAGTAGCGAATCAGATGCAACTGGCTTAGCGCTGATTGGCCAAGCACGTTAAGATCTGCGCATGTTCGTTGCAAACGTCGAATTTGTACATTGCTTTCATGAACATCGTTCGTCCCAGCGACGTGAGATGCATGTTATGTATTAGGAATTTCCAAAATCTCTTCAGATATTTGTTTTTGGCAGACGTTTTAAAGGATTTGATGCGGTTTGGCTTATATTTGAGAAATTTTAACAGATTTTAAGGCGATATTCTACCGTTACACCGAACAACGGACAATTTTAGAGCAATTAAAAACACTATCCGATGAATAGCGTTATACAGCCTTCGCTCAACCGGCCTCGGGACGTTTTAGAGAGTCGAGATAATTACGAAGTACAAGATTTTTAAGGTGAATAAATCCAACATCATCACTTTTTAAAAAGAGGATCTCTCGCGCAATATTCAGATTTACGTAAGAAAAATATATTCAGGGAATCGTGATTATTTTAACCCCCAACACGATCAGTACAATCTCATAGCTTGTTTCAAATCTATCAATCGGAGTGGGGTCTAATAGATCATGACAGTTGGGCAACAATGGACGTTTTATGCCCTGTGCCGTTGTGTGCACGTCTGTTTTGCCATGTATGGCGACCTGTAATGCTGATAGCGCCGTAACGTGGGGTCGAAAGCTTCTGACATGTGAAAATTTTACATTTGTGCTTATGGAATGAGTCGTCAAATGGTGAGGTCGCTTTGGCGTATTACTATAGAAGATCAATTACGTGCCTTTTTCTGGATTTTTCGACACTGTGAGGGTTATTCTAGAAACATCTGTTCAAAGTTGTTACTTGCAAAGGAATTTTTTTCAATGAACAGGACATCTTGGGTTAACGCAAATTTTGCATCAATCTGGACAACGTAACGGAATTTCATAAGCTGCCTAAAATGAAAAGATGGATGCTTTGTATATAGCTTGCCCTCTTGTTGTTGTTTTTTTGTTAAAAAAAATGTTTTCATGTAAAAAGTATAATAGTATATACCATGGTACGGTTGTAGAATTTTGTCACGAAACAAATTCAAATGCCAAAATTCATTTAGTTAAATTTGTTAATTTCAAGCCTTCATTTTTTTTCACGAGATAAATAAACAGATTCAGAATGTTTCGTTTCACGATGTAAATCGGTCACATTTCTTTCTCGTAGTGGTTTAGTAAAAGAAGGCATACTCATTCTAGACAAACATTCAACATTTCAAACATGTCATGATTTCATCATCCATAATCTTAGATGAATTTCATATATGTCACGAGAATGCTCGCACTATTTAGTTTTACATGAAATTTGTAGTGTGATCTTAGAACGCAGTCTCAGTGTAGCACATTTGTGATGTATACCAAGCCATCTTCTGTTGAAACTATATTAGTGTACAGTGTATACTATAAATCGAACTATCAAATGAGAACTTCATGAAAACCAGTTAACCAAGAATGACTGTTTCTATTTTCCAGCCTGGTCTCCCTCCTCCATTGCAAAGTCAACAAGATGTTTCGTTGGGTACCAGTCCTTCTGACTGTAAGTTACTCTTCTTTTATTCTAGTATTATTCATGTTCACTTAACATCTGTTAAATAACATCTGTTAAAAGATATTTAGAACTGATATTAGACTAATCAGACTTGCACTTTCTTATCGACTTCTATATATGACCGTTACTTAGGAAATCGATCCAATTCACTAAATTATGCTTCTATTATGAAGTTAAGCTCATTATGGCTGAACAAACAGTATAGTTCATACTCGATACCTTGGCCGAGAAAAATCAATACGAATATCTAGTCTGCTCTATGATATAGCTCTAATATTATAGATAAATCATTGAAATGGTTTCTTTTCACTTCTGCAAACACAAAAACACTCTCTATCATTACTTCTTCGTTGCAGTACGTGTTTACCTCTCAAAAAAAAGATATAAAGAGGTTTTCAGTTAAAAAATGTATTTCGTTCAGTGATGCTATAATTTAGAAACTTGTTTTCCGAAGTCTTCCCTCTCATGCTGTGAAGATTAAACACACTAACAAAGGACATCTTTGTTTAATAATTATATAAAAGACCTCACGTTGACAATGGGTTATTTATCGAACTCTGTTCTTTTAAACGCAGTTTCTGAAATATCCAAGACAAAATTAAACCGAGATTAAGTTTTCAAGAATTACGAGTAATTGTTATGCGTGGAGCAGAAGATACGATTGTTAGATTTCATGTAGTTTTACGAAGGGTTAAGTTGAAGGGGGAAGGAAAAGCTCCACGGGAACCTAGTTGGACGACATTTCGTTATGGTGAATAACAATGCAAAAGTAAAGAGTGACCAATCTTATTATTTGCCTATGATCTAGAAGATTCTCTCTGTTTATAAACAATTGACAGCCATTAACGTAAGCATTAGTGATGAATATGGAAACCGTGGGAGCACAGTTTGAGGCTTTGAGCTTCGATGTCTTGACGTGAGTTTGAACAGAACGCTATGTAGTTACGACGCTGACTGACGAAGTTCTTGCTCCCAAGCTCCCGCGCGTGCCGACTGATCTCTATATGTGTTGAGTTTCGAATTTTCCGTATTATTAGGGAGAAGAAAAAAATATAAAAATTCAAGCAAGAATGAAGGATCACTTTTATCAACGGTAAGCGCGGCAAATGTTAATTAGGTGTAAATATAGCCTTGATATTAGGAGGGGACACATAAAATTGATCAAGGGTGGCGGGTATTCGGGCGCGCTTATTCAGAATAATTTTGAATTTTCAATTTGAGTGTAGAAAATCGGTGTGCAAATATCCTTGCTTTTTGTAACACCTCCCCCTTCAAAGAATGTACACGCGAGTTAGACTGCCGCCATTGTGAGTGCGAGGGTTCGAAACGGAGATGGGGTCCCCCTGTCCTCACCCGGTTGCCTAAGCTTACGATCACATGGAACAAGGGGGAGGGCACACACCGCATGGTTACGAGATTTGCTGTAATTCTGCAAAGGTTCTTGCACATCAACCATATGGATAAAATGAATACATCCAGGCCGAACGCTGCTCAATACTGTGTCACTACAATGTTTACGATTTTCAGACTAATTCATCTTGATAGAGCATTCACAATAAGTGTTCCCACGCACGCATGCATAGCATTTTAGTGTTTTTCCAAGCATTGTTATTTGATTGACATGTTTCGCCTTGAAAATGTCTCGAGTTGATATCTATTCCAGTTTGTTCCAATATTAGAATAAGTTTCGGTTTCCTATATCAGTTTACTTTCAATATCCGCATCTTGCCACTTCGCCTGAGAGCCGACATCATATCTAACAAGATTATGGCCCACGAGAGCTCAGGACGCGTAAATCGGATTAACGATCAGTTACGATCCTCTCCTACGGTTGTCTCCCCGCCATCTCTGCTTGCATGCATTACTTTTGATCTTGCCAAAAGGAGGCGAGCGAAAAAGGAATCATTACCTAACCAAACAAACAAATTCAAAGAACGTCTAATATAATAATGCCTTAGTTGTTGGCGAAGTAACATTACTCAAGAGAAAGCATTTCTATTTTCAAACGAAGTTTAAATGCCCACCATACATTTTTTATCGGTTCCAAGAAGTTTATCCTATAGCTATTATATTCCTAATACGACTGATGAGCATTCATTATGCTTTTCTAAGAAATATGCTTCACCTGTGGCCCCAGGTTTGAACAGGAATTCAACGAAACGAAATACGAATTCTACAAATGTTTTAAGCTTTTACCAATTAAGATTTATTAGGCAAAAGCGAGGTGACGAATGCTTTATGTTTAACAGTTTAAGTGGCAGTCTTCAAAATTATTGAGCAATCTAATGATCTAAGTTTGTATAAGAATATATTTCCGACAAGTTATTTGTGTGTAAAGGTCAGCTTTTCATTGCGCTCTATCCAAGCAAATAATGGTCAAAAATTCAAGATAATGTTATAATTTAATAAAGACACGTCGCTCAAACTTAATGAGATTGAAAAATCTTATCATATTCATGAAATGCCGCCACTCAACACGTTTCGATGCAAACTAAATTAAGAACGCTATTTGCCCTGTTCACCTCGCGATGACAACTGGCCTTTATAGTTGCCGCATCGCGGGCGACTCGAATTTCGGCCGCATGTGATCTTGTGTTGTTGCATTGTCAGCGCTGAGCGCTGTTCAAGCCATGGGTGGTCCTAGCAATAACCATCGAGCTACGTCGAAATGTGGAACATGCAGTGAGGTTGCAAGTCTACAGTGAAGATTTCGCAAACCTTTCCCTTACCGATGTTTGTCATACTTATTACCATATTTTGCTCCATATTTTCTGTATTTGTACAAAACTTTGCGTGCAAATATCGCGATGCAAACGAGCAGGAAGCACTCCTAGCCATGCATATGAATGGAATCAAAGTTTCAAACACGGTTTCGCCCTTTCCGAAAGCCGTAGATCCATATCGAGCGTCCTCAAAATGGCAAGTAAATTTTCGAAGAAAACTTTGTAATTGAGCGAAGAGTTATAACTTTTGATTTTATTGACCTTGGTCAGGAAGGGTCATTGAGGTAATCACAACCATGCGTTTTGTATGTTCGCCAAAATCAATCCATAATAACTCTGAATTGAGAAATATTTCAGCTGTGCAAAGAGAGTCCGATATTCTCAGCTCATTCAAGAAAATTATCTTTGACGTTTCTTGCCTAAATACAACAAAGGGTTGCCCAATGCCTGTGCGCGCGAAATTTAAATACGTCCAATCACGGTTGATCTCTATATAAGGAGATATCATTAACCTTTTTCGACTTTTAACTGTACCAGGAATTTATGGATATACAGACAGATAACAAGACGTGTAGCCAAATTGAAATTGCAAAAAAAATGATTAAAGTCTGCAGTACCTATCGCGGTTTCCATACAGGAATGCAATTTCGAAAAATTCACAAGTGAGACTGTGAGATATGTAGTTGTATGGTTTGCTAAATATACGTTGTCGCTTGATTAAAATTCATGAAAATGATTCAAGCTTTAAGTTCCTATCGCAGTTTCAAAATAGGAATGCATCAAAGACTGGACAAGTTTATTAGTCCGTGAATATATTGTATTGCGTTCGTTTCCTGCCAAATCTTGCGCAAATTGCGCATGACTTATATTGGTGTGGTTGTTGAACGTAGTATTGACTATTGATTTCATATTATTAATATAAAGTGGTTAATAAAACTTCTTCATTCTGTACTGCAGTACTGTACGAGATAATGGGCAAGCAAATTATTTGGCCAGTCTAGGCGTCTACTCGGTGCGTGTTTGCTGCATAAAGTCTGAAATGCTGCTGTGTGTGTGCATTAGAACGCTGTTGGATCCCTCTTGGCAGCGCGCCCGAAGACAATAAGCGTTTATTTATTGCATAAATTGCGCGCATCACTTGCGGCGCGCCTGTCATTGCGCAGCGCTAATGGAAACCAGATAAGTGCGCTGATAACCACGCGGCTCAGTTTTCACTCCAAGCGTCTACGACTGGCTGGAAGCGCCGCCGTTTGTGTAGAAAGCTCAATTCCTCACTCATTATTATCCTGCTGTTTCGTACTTGCTGTTTGGAAACGCCATTGACCATTTGTAAGTAATTTGTTTATCAATACCGTTTGTAGTTTGATTATTGTTTTCTTCCCCTAGCGCTGCGGAGCAAGCAAAACAATCAAGCACTTCGCTTAGCTACGCGCTCAGTAATATTTATTCAGTGATAAGCTGTAAATATGAATTTGCACATGCTTTGGTGGATCTTGAAGCGGACTGTAAACCACAACCTTGTACTGAGCTTACTCACGTATTCCGGGCTACTTTTAGAGCAGGTCGTACGATAGTTCATCAAGCAATATCTAAGCTCGCGTCGGCATTTTTTCACTAAACAATTTAAAGCAATGATCGTTAAAATGCGTTTGAATTAGCGTGCAGACAAAATAAAGTGAATTTTTTATTGCGATTAACTGGCGGACACAATGACTGCTTTTGTGTCGCCCGCTAGGCAAGGTTACCTTTCCCGAATCTAGAGAGGAAATTGAGTCGTATTCAGAATAGTTCCTATTTTATCCCAAAGTGCGCAAAACAGTATGGCGATATTGTTAACCTCGTTGTATTGAAGAGCCATGGTAAACATTGTTGAGGCTTAACGGCCGCATCTTTTAACACAATAAAATTTCGAACACAAAATAAAGATGTCAGGTGTGTTTGATTTCTGGGAGAATTTCTGACAGCCGTTTGCGCTCTATTTACAACACGAAACAGATGGATTTTCACGTTGTCGGGACGACGTAATAATCACTGAAATAGCTAACTTCCTAGCGAGGGATATTATGACTTTAAATCCTGGACGTGGGCTTTGTTGCGTCTCACAAAATCCGCATAGCTTTACATCTCGATAAATCTGTCGCTTACACCTAAGGAAATGCCTGTTTTATTACGTGTACGAAATTTTAAAGCGAGTCTCACAAGTCTTCAGTCCGGAAAGGTCGCCTTCAAGAAATCGTTGCTAAGGTTCATCTTATAGCGAACCTTAGACGAGGATCTTAGCTTGATGTTTGTAATTTCCTGCTTGGCAGAGACCAACTATAGATCTCGCTAAAAACCTACACAAAGGTATTGCCGCGCGCGTCCTGTGTAAATGGCCCTGTTCATCTTCAAGTCCAAGTTTATAAACAAGAAATAGATTGGTTTATGGATTAGCGATTTTTTAAACTCAACTCGAAAATGATTAACCGCTAATCCAGTCTTGTAACTGCAAAATAGTTTCAATGGTCTAAATGGCATAATGTTTCTTGTTGAGGTCGTTATTTAATGTATCGGATATTTTTGACACATGCATTGGCAAGTGAGATACATTAACCAAATCAGACACTAAGCTAAGTGGTCTATATTCCAGTTTACATAAACACCGCTGTGTACTCATAACAGACTTACCAACTGAAATTTGTTCAGTTGTGTAGTTTATTAAGTGCAGCTACTTCATCGTGTTTTGCCTCTCGGTTGAATTGAATTCCAATGCGATATCCTCCAAGGAGCGTGGCAATTTTGTAAATAAACTCCTCTTCAAAAGACAATCTCGATCTTCTTGTTGAGTTGTTGTGATTATAGAAGAAGTTTCAGTCTCGTAGCCAACTTCATCTTCGCAATTCTTGCATCGTTTCTGTGGGTGGATATTTCACAAATTGAAATACGAACAGCTTCGACGTTTTGCCACAGAAAATCGTACAAGTAAGTCTATAATCGTACGGAATATAGCTAAAACTTTCGCGTGTCAAGCAAAAGCATCGATATTTACCTCGGAATCCTGTCACGTCTGAAATCATCTTTCTCGCGACAGTGGTTTCTATCAGCGAACAAAATTTCACAAGCTTGTTGTATTTCTGTCACGAATCATATCTGCATACGAAGTATCCCATCTCTGCTTGAAAAATATGAACCAAAGATGCTTGTTGTTCTGCCAAGTCGTTGTTGAAGCGATTCCAAACGTCGACACACAAACCGCTTAGATTCATACTTCTTCTTTCCAACTGCTTGGATTCGTATAATCCTCCCGTTCAAAATTGTTTTGGTACCATACGCATCTTCGGGATTACAGCTTGTGTTTCGACACGGGTTGCCAGAAATTCTTACCCGCTAGGTCCCCGACGATCTGACAATGCAGGGCATTCGTTCGTCTTCCTACAGTAAGCTCTTTCCATTTCTCTCGTAAAATTCAGCCTGGCTACCAGCTGTACCATGTTCCATCTGTGTTTTGTGAAGTGAATGTGGCTATTTAGTATAACAGATGGCTTTATGAGCATTACAGGACTTGCGCCCTGCACCCCGCATTGATTACTCCATAAACATAGACATCTGTTCTAAGCTGAGAGATTGAAAATTGCAGCTGGATTTCGAGTGCATCAGAGGAAATGTGCACACCGATTGTTCGCCCTTGTGGACAGACATAGCGCATACACGCCGCTGCATGTGTAGGAACACTTGCGCACAGCAAACCAGTTTTCCTCACCTGCTCAAGACTACTTACAGGGTATGGCCATGTTTGCACGCTGCCGTGCGAATTCACAAACGTTGCGATATACGAACAAGGTTAAAAAGAACCCTGAAACATCTCTCTACGTTGTGTGCAAACACCGGGATAAATCGACTAATAAATTAGTGTAGAGACTTTTTGTTTTGATGAGTTACGCTATTATCCAAACATTTCGATTAATACGAAATATCTATACGCCTAAAATATTTTCATATCAATATATATTTGCTATTAACGAAATAACTCGATCTTTTACTTTGACAATCGTGAGGTTGAAGCGTAAAATCAAGGTTTTTAATGTATATATAGCTGTCATCTCAATGAAACCCTCATTTTTGTGAATTTTATGCTCGGTGCAGGTAACCGTAATTTTTAGCACCGTTCTGGTGAATTTTGTATACCAAACGATTGCTATTTTGTGGAGGAATTAAACTATAAACTGAAAAGCATAGGTAACCATGGTCTTCAAAGAAATTTCCTTTGCTCTCTTTCCACTGGAAATTTACTCCCAGAAATTAATTATTATAAACACGCCACGTAATATATATTAGCAAATGAACAAGCATTTTATGGACATCAGAACGTGACGATAAAGTTGTTTATGATAACTTCATGCAAAGCAAAAAACTAATTGTTACTGTAAGTTGGGCAAAAAGGAGGCTGCTGTGTATATTCATCGCTTGGAACGGGCGAGGGATTGTATTAAATATTTTCTAGTATAGACATTAAACAGTTCGGTCAGTTCATCCTGTGGTTTGTCTAAGTGATTTTGAAATCATTTTTTATCGTATGAATTCTATCTTGTCAAACTTTTCTTTACTTTGTCTTATTTTAATTTCTGGGCAATTCAGCTAGTTGAAAGCTAGGAGTATGTTCATATTTATAGATCGTAGTATGAAATAGAAATATTCAGCCATAAAACGGTTGATGCGTCATAGGGGTTGAGGGCACAAAACGAAAATTATAATGCCGGATTAGTCCAGTCCTAGCCACTATAGCCGGATACATTTTGTCACCCTGAATCCTAATAGATCCAGATTTAAATCTTTATCTATTCCTTATCTTAAATAAACTGCAACAGCAATTCATCCTTAGCTGAGCTTAATAAGGAACATCTTCAATAAATGTTGCCTCTGGCTATTGGATATGGAACAGCCGAACGGCTAACAAAAATCGAAGTACCCCACCAGGGTGCAAAGGTTTGCGAACTTTTATTTAGGAACTTGTCGTGAACGCGCGTTTAATTATCAGTCCGACAGATGCTGGCGAGAAGCAAGATAGTTCTCGTTGCATCCTTTTTCACGCAGAGCGCATTATCTCTATTCAATAAATAGTTTTTTGTTTTCCAAATTCTTCGAGAAATTCATAGGAGTTTTGTATATCAGACTGGTCATCAATCTCGTTTTTTTTCGAATCTTACGTATGTAATAGCTATAAAAGACAATATTTCTAGTTGCTAAATGCTTATGAGATTATACAAAATCCCTTGATTCAGCAGCGTCAGCTGTCAATAGTTCTTTGGGTGTTGTGTATATATGTATGTCCGATATTTTGATCGCTTAAATGTATATAATTAGGCTAAATTAGCGATATTTCTGCTTCGGAAAGGTCAGGAAATGCATCAGAACAAAGCTTATAGTGTTACGTCCATATATTTTTAGAAACCCTCTTTTGCTCAACCGCCCATTTCTGTATTGTGTCTTCTAGGTCTATTCGCCAGGCGCCGACGACATGATGGCTCAAGGACCTGGGGAAGCTTCTCAATATCCAACGAAACATCCACTGTACTCTGATATTTATTACGGAGGTAGGAGTTTTTCTTCCGTTCCAGTCAATTTCGTCACAAACTATATCACCTTTTCCCACGAACGTACCAATATTTTTTTCTCCATTTTTCGCCTTCCTTTCTACTTGAAAATTCCATCACAACTTAAATACGGTGACATCGGGTTTTTTTTAACGCGACCATTTACAACTCGCATTTGGAAAACCTGTCCCATCATCAAAATAATGGCTTCGGTTACTATACTGGTCAAACATATACATCCTGATTTGCGTCTGAGCAGCCGGAAAATGCATTAAATTCCTCAATTTACGTATTTATGTTCCCAGTCGGGTCATCTTGTACTATAGAATGTGGTGAACATTTCCTACGAATTATAACTTATCAGCAACGCAATTTAGGGTCAAAAAGTGCGCAGTTTTTTATAACTTCTTTAGGTCAGTCGTATAGGCGAACAAGGTTCAAATTAACGTGTGTATTGAGCCGGGAGCCGGGAGTTTATATATTGCCGAAATCTGAAGCAAATTAAGCCAAAGTAATGTGCCGGAATTATGGGTGTGGGCGTGGGGAAGCTTGACGCTTTGCCGCTCGCCTATGGAACAACGGGCTCTTTCAAATTTTGCAACATTGTTTTCAAATCCAACTTCCTGTATATTTGGCAGGCGAGTTCTTGTATCACATGTGTCATTCTATGCTAGCATTCTATCCTATCTATCCAGTATCTTTAGAAACTACCACTAAAAAGAGTTAGACATTTGATAATGTTGCAAGTAGACAACATGCCGGATGCGTGAACCAATCACGTTTGTCGAAAACAAAATCTTACGCAATTCCCTACGCGTGCTATGTTAATTTTCAATCTAATTACATTAGAAGCAAAGTAAAACGCCTCTACTTCCCATACAGTTCAATCCAAAATTCGTTTTGCTCGATTCGTAAACGCTCAGAGTGCATTTTAACACGCAGTTGATTCAACAATTTTACTGGCAGATTGCAAACGCGCAGTCAACAAACTACAGGTCGTGTTGTTATCTTGCACATCAAAGTGAATTAAATTTCAAAAGAGAATGTCAAAAATGCTGTTTTTTTGCGGCGCCTTGTTTGTGTGCATACATGATACATCACGTTCATCTAGAAAAATCCTACGCAGGGTTCTTTTTCCGCGATTTTTTTCCCATGCAAGTATTTTTAGATGCATGTGTGATTGAATATTTTCCTGCCAGGAGCAATTATTTCGATCGCCGCTCTCCAACGCGGACAAAAATTAAAATACAATCCATGCCAGGGCTGCATCGCACGGGTCACACACAACGCTAGCCTGCTCACAGAGATGCAGAGAAAATTCGGACGATGTCTGCCAATCATTTTTTTATCTCACCATGTCGCAATATCTCAACTGTCGGGTCGAATTCTTTCGGATTGTGAATACTATTACCGGCCTTGTATTGGCCAATCATGCACATGCTCATTTTGCATTCATTTCATTCCATTCTCGACGATAATCACCAAACACAAAGTGCGGAGAAGATTCAGCTTTAGCTTCACTGAAGCCATCTTGCGCAAAAAATGCTTTGTCCAATAGCTTGAGTCAATTTGTTTGGTCAAGTGTCAGTCTATCTTTGTCTACTGCTTGTTTACTATTGTCTACAGCTGCAAATTATGGCCACTTGCTCCGTACAACTTGTTTGTATTAAGTAGTTGTAAGTAAGACGTGATAGGAAGTTATCGGACAATGTATGAAGTATTTGCCTAAAGATCATTTCCAGGTGTTTTTGAACCGTTCGTGAGAAAAAAAATATGAACCTGATGACGTAACCGCTAGGAAGATTACAGGCATATTCTCTTTGGCCAAGAAATACTTAATAGGCCGTTTATAAATGACAAAATGTGGTGTGTAAAAAGGCTTGAGAAGTCTGTGTAGTTTTTTTTTCGTTGTACATGATATTGTAGTGAAATATTTCCCTCTGTTATCCCTCGTTACCTAAGTCATATCGGATATCGCATTTCGATAAACGCCGTGTTGAATTGTGATGCCGTTTTTCCAGTTTGAAAATGATCAATGTATATAATTGGATTTGCGCGTTCCCCTTAGTGTAACATGATCAAAGGTGTCCACCTGAGTTCTCAAAATACTGTTAGAGTTTATTATGAATGGTTACGCTAACAGGATTTATCAGCCGAACAAAGGCAGCGATATTGCTGTACTAACCAAGCCTTAATTTACAGTACTGCGCGCGTCATGAGTATTAATGTTTTCAACCCGAGATGGTATACATTACTGGGTTCACTTTGATGTATCCTAGGAGCCGTTGTATATAGGCCAGAGCCACACTTAGGACCTTAGATATCGATAGATAGCTAAAAGATATTAAATCAATCAGGATGACAGACCATTCACGATTTTGCAACATTAAAAGTGTCAAGAAAACGTAAACAAAACTGAGATTTAAAAAATACAAGGCCAATAAAACACTATGTCTATTAGATGTATTAATTGAAGTAAAGCTATCAAACCTATCCTGATTGTTTTGAGAAGCACGTAGTATTTTTAAACAACACAAAAACAACGGTCACTTTGAAAGACAGTAAATTTAGATAAATAAAAGTATCATCGCTTTTTGAATTTACCGTTGTTTTGTTTTTAATCTTGATTATTCCTGACAATTATTTTTAACTCGGAAATAGTAATATTGCAATCATCTTTGTCGGCTTCTAATTTTAATGAATATGCGTTTTTTTATGCCGGCGCCATAGTTTTCGATGTCTGCTTTTACTCTCTACTGCCTTTCAATCGATGACTGATTAAAATATTTTCTCGCTTTCTCGTCTATGTATTTGTTTTCGTACGGCCTTCAATGGTCGACGGCTCAAAGATACCATTAACCTACGTGTTTTTATGACGTTTGCTGAAGAAGGAATGTCAAAAACATTTCATTTCGTCATAACTTAAGATTCAAGTGGCAAAGTTTACATTAAATATATGTATATACTGAGCAACAATCGTATTGAATCCACATTTTAACCAAATTCTATCATTTGTTGTACGAGTTGTATATTTTCGCTGTTTAATCTACTTTGAATAAAACCTCTCAAATTTATCCCGAATTTCTGACATTAATGTCAAGGTCTTGGTGATAAAAATAACTGATTTGGACGCACCCTTCCATCACACCCGTCGATAGGTTGTGCTTGCCGACGTAACATGATCCACGTGTTTATTCACGGGTCAAGAGTTTTGGCTCCCCGCGTCGACAAACATGTCAATTAGATATCGAATTATTTCATGATTCTTGTCGTCTAGCCGTAAAAACATTTCGCGCAAAACAAGATCGACGGAAAACAATGTGTTTGCCAAGAGGGTCCATATCTTACATTCCATTCCTTCTTCGTCCAAACAGGATGTATTTTCCACTTCGCATGCATGCAGACAATGTCGACGCTGTTGTTATTTAGGCACAGAATCTGAGTTCGCCACTCGTTGAATAAGCAATATAATCTTGAATTGAACGCTCTAGTCCCAATACGATTCAATCTGATATACAGTCTTCTTTGTCTTATTTATTTTCACATTCTTGAATCTATAATATATTACCCTGTGTTACAGAAATCCCATGTTTACAAACAGTCGACTAATCTTATAAAATCCTCTTTGGAAGATCTTGGTTGCCTCCCAAATGAGCTTATACCAATCGAAACCATTTTATTTGTCCTGCCTAGCAACAAGTTGAACTATTATCTCGTATATAGAGCTCATTTCTAGACGATTTCAAAAATGGCCGCGAATAAGAAATGTCCTCATTTTCATATGTGTATTTTGGAGTTCATAGGGGCTCGCACATGTAATTTTTTTTCTGATGATCACTGTAGCATAAAATTTATATGAGAACTGTAATATAAACGAGATAAAACGTATAAGTTCCTTTGCATATTGCAAATACTTTATTGGATATTTTCGTATCATTCTTTCATGGGTTAAAAAAATTATTGTTTGTGGGAGGATGTTGTTACGTTCGTCGTGTAGCAACGATGTAAACACAAATCCTTCTATATTTGTGTGTAATTAACCTTTATTTTTAGTCCATTTTTTAAAACTTTCGCCTTAATCTGCTGTTGATGTGCCCGATTCTAAAAATACTATAGCAATTTCAATATCTTTATAACGTCGTAACACAATACTGGAATGTGAAGCATGTAACGTCCAATAAAAGATCACCGGATTGACATCTTCTTAATTAAGTAATTTTCTACACGGCAAACCTTATGAAATTATAGGAAGATTTTTATCATCTCATCAAAACCTCTCTTCTTCAAAAGATTCACATTAAATTTCGTCCTTCATTATATGGGCAGATCTTATCGAGGCTGTGCTGTATTATGTACAATACAAATGCGCGCGGTGTACCTCCTCGTATCGCCAGATGACCAAAATGATATCTCTACCAATCAAGCTCTATTTCATCCGTTAATCCTGACCCCTCTCACCTCTCTCCTATCCGTTCATTCATTTTATCCTCTTCTTCATCTACGTATTCTTCCTTTTCGATAGATCTTTCTCTCGTCCGTAGCTCACAACCGAATGTCCCTGACGCGTTCCTCTTTATCACTTTATTCTATTTTTTCACTGTTCCCTACCTTCCATCCTTTCCGTTCCTTTCTTCCGCAGTATTATGCCACAACTTAACGTGTCTGATTCCTTTCTACCTTTGAGTCTTCATCCTACTCTTCCATCTCTTCCTAGTCTGTCATTCTTTTCACTCGAATTCGCATAAAAAGGATGAAATAAAAGTTCAGAAGATGATGAAATACTGTCTGCAATCTACATTTAACGTCTTCTTGTAAAACAACATAAATTCATATTTTCAGGTGCAGATCATGGTTCTCCCGACCCGTGGTCTCATCCTAACAGCATTGGTCCAACCTCTACGACCTATAACCCGACAAGTGGACTGGCGCCTACGTATGGACTCTACAGCCACCATGGTCCTCATCATGAACCTATTGTAAGCTATGATCTCAATATATATGTCTGGACCTATTGTAAGCTATGATCTCAATATATATGTCTGGAGTAGCTTTTATTCTCCGAGCTGATGCGAAATGTTTCTAACTAGTAATACCATTTATATCATTAGACGAGCTATATTAGTTTATAAAAACGTGTTTTACCTAAATCAAAATGAAAACGCAATCCTTGCCCTTAAATCGAATCCCTGGGTCTAAGGAAATCGTTTGATGAGATTCTCATGCAGTTCCATTTTACTAAATGTAGACGTATATGGGCAGAGAAGCGTATGAAAGGATGGCCACACTACCACCTATGTCCTCGTTTCATCAAGATCAACGGTTTCATCACGCGTCCCCAGTCCCTTCACCGTTAACCAGCACCGATCCTTCTGTCCTGGGTAAGACATTTCGATGTTGTTCAAGTAACGCTTGTAATTAGAATGCAATTTGATGCAATTAGGGTTATCGTAATTTGTAACAACTCGCTTCATTAAGTTCTTTCATACTTTTTTTAGCTCAGGTCAGTCGAAGTGGATCAGGTTCACAAGCTATTGGAAAAGCTTTAGCATCGGTATGCTTTTCAACCTCAGTGATTTTTGATATTCCAAAGACTATTTGACATCACTCTGCCAAGTCAATGATAAACTGTCGATGAGACTTAACAAAGTCGTGATCATAATATCAAAGTCATGATAACAAAATCAACATTATAACCGATCATCATTTTAGATTTACTCTGATTCCCCGACGAATTATTCCTCCAACCCCCCGACACCTATTGCTTCCCCTCCGCCATTAACAAGTATCAACGATCGGCCGTTATCTGCTGGTTCTTCAAGCTCAGCTCCAGGCACCTGGCCTCGTCCGAATCTTCAGGCGATGCCATCACCCCCCGGTCCATATGAAAGCCACCTGCATTCACTGGTGAGTTTATAGGAGATTTAGCAATGGCTACGAATACGAAATTTGTCATTTTCATCACAAACTCTTCGCTGTTTCCTTTTTTGCACGATGGCGTTAGCAAGCAATAGCAGCAGTGTTTTGCAAGCTGAACAAATTTATCTTTTTTAGCAGAGCCGTATGGAAGAACGACTTGATGACGCCATTTACGTATTACGTAATCACGCTGAAGGTCAATTCCCTCGAGAATTCCATGGACCAATGGGAGCCCCGGTTGGAGTGCCCGGGTATCCGGCAGGTTCGGTTCCAAGCTCTCTATCTGGAAACACATCCTCAGCAGCCGATACTGTGGTACGTGCAAATTTCTTCTCTTCTGTTCTTGTCTTGGTCAGAAGCTGGTTATATGAAAGCTGCATAGTGCTATTCACCAGAACTTGCCCCAAATTACTTGTAGCTCAGTATAACTTCGATTGACCATCAATGGTCTCAAGGAAGAGCTCCTCTTCATCAATTGTTGGCCCTGTATCTGTTGTCTCGTTGCTTTCCAAGTATTTTTTTCAACGGTTTAAAAGATTACTATTCAGTGAAGAACGCTATCCAGCCTTGTGGATCCAGTCACGGGTGTAAATCTTATCTTAACGTGTAATTCTGTTATTTTAGTCTAATTCTGCCGATGACAGAAGAGGCATATCATCATCTGGTGGTAACAGGAACTCCAGACTGTCCGACTCAGGTTGGTGAGAACATTGCATGGTTAATATCTTTGAGAAGTCACATTTCTTAAGTGGTTGTTTCACTTCAGAGCTCTGAATCTGTTTTTTTTTCATTTCTAACTCTTTCATTTTGCCTTCAGGCGGTTCTAAAAGTTCCAAGAAGCAAGCATCGGGTTCGACGAGTAATGCGGAGGTGACGACACTCACGACAGCAGATGGAGAGCCGGGAGGAGGTAGCGAGGGGAGTGGTGATGAGGATCTGGGTCTGGATGAAGATATAGAGGAAGGTCATACTGGTGGAAAACAAGTACGAGAGACCGAACGAAGATACGCTAATAATGCTAGGGAAAGGTGAGAAATCTCATCTAAACCATAAACATATAATATGTTTACAGTATATCCAAAGAAATGCAACAAAATGTTAGTGCAGTAATCCTAACTTAAATCGAATTCGATTGCGTCAGTATATATGTACTGTGTCTGTCATGAGGTCCTTAATTTTGTAATCGTTTTTCCTAGACTAAGAGTCCGGGATATTAACGAAGCATTCAAAGAGCTTGGTAGAATGTGTCAGATGCATTTACAGAGTGATAAACCACAGACAAAGGTAAAATTATTCAAATCTCGTTATATTTTACGACAACTTAAACTATCTCTTGAAATATACTTTGCTTTCAAATTTATATCAAAGTTACATGTATACCGTACACCTCGTTTTGTACACTTCATTGTTGTCTTTGTTTAACGAGAAACATTTCTTTCTGTAGCTGGTCGTACTTCATCAAGCAGTGTCTGTAATTACCAGCTTAGAATCTCAAGTTAGAGGTGAGTTAAAACATTAACAATTTAAGTATTTATTTGAAAGAATAATTTGTGGTTAGAGGCACTATTATTCAGGTGATGAGAAATGTCCTGTTTTGGACCTATATTTCGTAATCACGTCAACTTGAGATATTGTAAGTCTTGAGATCTGAACGAGCTGTTGAGATAACCTGCCAGATTTTCTGCTCTGCTCCAAAGCCAAAGACTAACTCTAGGCTCCACTAAGGCTCCACTGAGTAAAAAGATTCTCAATTCTCACGATTGTTAATGCTTTGATATATACGGTTTCTATACATTGATGTATTAGCATATTGTCCGGACGGGTCTCCCGTAAAGAAAAAAAAACTAGGCAGTTAAGCCAAGATGGTGATTTTTTTGTCAAATTGAATCATCGAGTGATGCTTTATGAAGGATGTTTCATGCAAAAGTGTCCGTCTCTTGATCAAGATTGGCCAGAATATTTAAAGTAATCACAAATCTTGCTTGAAATATATTCACATCTATAAAACAGACTAAAGACTTGAAAGCATCAAACGTAGGTTTTACTGTTCTTCACGGATCATCATATTCCGTTACAATGCATCTGTCAACAAAATTTATGCGCAGTAAGAAAAAAAAATAAGGAAAGATACTGCATTTCGTGTTTCTTGTCTTCAGTTTCTTCGCCATGAATGCAAAGTGATCTATATTTAAACCACTTGTACCTAGAACGTAATCTCAATCCAAAAGCAGCGTGTCTGAAACGCCGGGAAGAGGAGAAGGTGGATGACGAATTACCAGAAAAACGACTTGCACCTAGCGATTTAGATAAACCTTACGATCACGTGGGCCTGTCTCCGGGTGGCGGCCCTATGAGAGGCGGGGGAAACAGAGCGAGGCGAGGGCGAAGGTCATCAAGAGGTAGGACGACTCTCCATATTTATTTCCAGGAATTACCTCAGAAGATTAGCATTGGGATTGAGGGTTGGGATTAGGATTCTAGTTAAGATTGGGGTTAGAATTACGGGTATATGTTAGGATTGAGTTAGTACTTGAAGGTAGTTATTATGGAAGATTGGGACAAATCTTTCATCTCGGAGTTGATTTTGGTGTTGAGCGCAGCGATAGCAAAAATAATGATGGTAAATGTGGGTATTCTTAACCCAATTGGTGTTCACAAAACGCTGGTAAAAAAGAAACCTGATTTCAATAACTAAACCCTATAGGTGGATGTGGTGACGTATGATTCAAAAAATGGGAAAAAAAACACAGAAATATCTAGGATAATAATGGCGCAAGGTGAGCTTGACGCTTGTACATATTTTGTATATGTTGGGGTAATGACGACGAAACGACAACGGCGGTGCCAATGGACTAGTAAATGGCGGAAGTGGTCCATCGTTACCACACATCACCGGCGAGAAATACGTCAGGCTGAAATACAGGATACGATGAGGCTACACGTGCCGTTTTATCACATGGAATAAAGCGTAGCATTAAGTGTTTGGGTGCATATGAGATTGAAAATTGGATTTGAGGTATTTCCACTTGCCGTGAAGCCCATCAGATCTGGGAAAAAGGAATCCATTCAAATGAAAGTACTCGTTGAACAGAATCATTCATTCTCCCATCATCTTTGTAAAAGGATAAGGATACAAATAAAAAAATTGTAAACCATCTCTTTCTCGTTCGACCAATATACCTGTTGACAAAGGCTTTTGTTTGCTGGTCTATTGGTCGAAAAAGGATTCCTAGGAATATTCACACACTTTTTAAATGAATGAAATAGTTGAAAATTTGTCAAGTAAGATCTACATAAAGAAAAACTACGCTTCAAATCAAAATTTGCCACAGACGTAAGAAAAATACCTATAGCTTGCTGCCAAAGTTCTTGTTTTGGATATCAAGAAAAATATTAAAGATCAAATAAATGCATTCAAATAAACAGAAGTTGACTCGATAGATTTGGTATAGTCGTTTATGCAAAAAGACAGAAATTTGGCAAAGCTGTTTTAAAATATATATGCTGGTCAAACGCTGTAAATATATATAAATATATATATATACTATGTAAGAATCATAGTGTTTTTAAACAAAAGGAAATTCAGATTCATTTTAAGGGATGTGTTGAGGCTATATGTGGATGAATTAAGGCTAATTTTATGTAGATTACTTCAAGTTAGATTTCTTTGCTGAATGGTAGCTTTTGTAAAAGTTTAAGTACATGGTTTGCATCTATTTAACGCGCATGCATGCATGTGAATGTCTTCTATACTTCTTCAACTATCAACAGGAAAAACGTAGGCTAGGTTTTTAAACCTTTAATACATTAAATGCAATATTTCCAAACCAATGCTGATTCACAATCACCTATTACATATAGTTAAGACTGTCAGACATCTATATATAGCTATCATGAAGTAAGACTTTTATAACTGGCTATACATGCACAAAATAGGAAGAACTCGAAATGTTTCAAAAGTTCGAACCGGGAAGTTTGGTTTCAATCACCCCTGGTGGTTGGCTATAGGGGGGTGGTGCTTGCTGGTTTTGGATACCAGGGTATTGTTGTGCTTGAACTACGCCGGGATAGGCTTGGGCTGTGGGGTATGTGGTCATTTGGGTGCCAGTTGTCATGACGACTGTTCCAGGTGGTTGAAGACCACCTGCAGTAACGACCATAACTGGTTCCTGTTCAAAAAAGAAGATAAGAAATAAATGAAACGTCGATGGCTTATTCAACAAGGACGAATAAAAAGCGGAAGATTTTTAAGTACCGTATATATAGGAGATGCAACTCCTCACGACTCAATTCGGAAAAGCTATTGATAGGTTGTTAGGCATGTCAGCATATATATACTATACACTTAAAGTGCATGTGTATATTAAAGTATCCTCGCGAGGGAAACAGCGAGTATTGTTTTCCCAAGAGTCTGGATGTTTGACATTGAGACTCGAGGAAAAATGAAGCTCACTATTTCCCGAGGTAGTGTGCATGCATAAAGTGCTTTGTTATATAGCAATAAAAACGTACATGTTACATAACAATTTCCTTAAAAAAAACACTTCTCTTTGTTATGACCATAAGCGAGCAAAAATTTTTCACTTTTTTCCCGTCACTGGTTTTCTTTAAAGTAATGTGACTACAAATGAGCCACTCGCATTTAAAATACACCGCAGCTATACAACAATGGGAAGTTATTTACCCGTGGGGAGCAACATGTTCCGATACAACCATAAATCGAACCGACGAAGCAGATGATACTGGAGAGGGCAAACATAATGGTCACTGCTCCAGTGGCGTTACGTACGGTCGTCAGGTCCGAGCATTTGGTTGCAAAACTAGCCGTGTAGTGATCACAATAACATTCTTTTTGTTGAAATCTGTAGGTGCGGTGAGATTCGAATACACAACGTGACGATAATATCGCCCAGAAAATCGCTGCAAGCCACGTGCCAACGATGCCAATAATAATCCCCAGAATATGAGTTCCAAGTGAAACTGCCATCTTAATAGAACGTGCATATAATAACATGATGAGATGGGAAACTCGCCTTAGACGGGAAAATTGTTCGTTGAACATTATATCTAGGGTAACAATCCTTGAACTTGAAGGAAAGGGAAACAAACATACTGATCCTCCTAATAATGACCACACTTTTTGGCGCTATACCCACCCAGTTACATGCATGAATTTATTCATCCCTATATTCATATTCAGATGGGATTTCTCCTGTCGAGTTTTCGTGTAGACTTGTTCGCGCCGGCATGCATGCACGTAAAAATTTAAAACATGTTGTTGTATAATTAATTTTACTCAAGGAAAAACACATTACATCTTCAATCACACAAACAAACCTTGTATATCTATTCATTTGTTTGTTTTTATTTTATTTAAATATCATTTAGATGTTTCTGAATTTTTACGCGTACATACAAGAAATGCCACATGCAGTGACAATCGTAGAAGACTTTTCTGTCGAGAATCATATGAATTTGACTGATAGAATTCGTGAAATATGGCCCTATTAGACCCCCTTACCCGAATATTTTTATCTGGTCAGCTATTTCTGCATGAAACGGCAAAAAATTATTCGTTATTAAAAGTATTTGGAAACAAGACTCGCGTGTCTGCAGGTGTATATAGTTGGAACATGTCGCAGCTCTCGGAAGCCTTTGCCCAATTGGATAATGCTTTTCTATGCTTTCTAAAGAACGAAGCTATGCTATTGCTTGAAACAGAAATGTATTGTAAAGTTCAGCCAGTGAAAATCATTCTTGCGAGGAACTGCGACACTACCCGTAAAGTATTCCTAATAACACGTCATCCTTGTACGTGCAATATAAATTATGTACGCTGCTACACTTACCAAGGTGGTTATCTTTTTGTATCCGGCGGTGATGCTGAGGGCAGCTGGAATTGCGAACTAAAGTAAAGCAGAAGATAGATTATGCGGACTTTTTCATCGAATTACTTTTTATGAGGATGATAATTGTGGATTTTTAAATCGCAGTGCATGAGGATATTGATTAATATGGCATCGTCGATCAATTTTAAAGTTTCAATGGCGAAAAATTGTAAAAGAATACAAAATTTGCATGCGCGTGACATTGCTTTATTGCTTTCTCTTATCATTTGGAATATATTTCAATTGACCACATAAATTGAACACACAGATCTTTTGTATTGGTGGTCTTAGGAATATAAGTGCTGTCTGTCAGAGTGCACACATGCATGCATGGGCCTATTTCACCCGCAAAAAAAGTCTCAGCTGCGAAACAGACCATTTCTGTAGTGAATTTTGGTGGAGAACTTGTATAATTCATGAGCTAAGCCGTTTCATTGATGATTATCAAGTATGTATATTTAGGAATTTTCGTAAAAATCCGCGTATTGACTTCTCTAAGCATCCATGTCACATGTTCCTTATATCAAATTCCTTGTTTTGTTTTTTTTTTGTGCAAATTAAACGTAAAAATGTCTTCAGAAATAACCCGTCGTGCTGTCAAGCACAAGATATATTTACAAAAATGAAGCGGCCATATTGAGATAAGCGTCACGTAGCCCAAACAGTTGTAGTCAAACCAGTTATAACAGGTTAGATATTGATAAAAATATGGCTTTTTATCGCGCGGTTATATTGTATATTTTCTCATTTTTCTAAGATATTCGAGCTTCAAATTGCGTTAAGTAGACTGCTACCCTAACAACCATTACTTTGATCCTTATACTGTAATAAACAATTGCTAATACTGAAAGGCGTTTAAGGTAGCGGGCCAATACATCGTATACATAGCGTCATTGCAATGCTTTCTAAATGTTGCGTCTTCACAACAACAAAATATTGAGGAATGCAAACTCTATGTATCTTATAGAATTATAATATACAATGATTATACGATAAGGTATATACCAATATATTTCACGGTGGGAAAATGAAAGGAAAATTCTGGCCAAAAGCGCTGACTTTGCCGTTTATTTCAACAGTAGAACTCCATTCAAACCTTTGATTTAAAATGACGTAATGCACACTGCACAGACGAGTTAACTTTGGTCAAAAGACATAAGATATAAATTATATGCTGTGTAGAACTTGTAGAACGTTCGCGATTATATATAGGCTTCGACATCCCAAGACCTAATGTCAAAACATGCACCGTCAAAAAGAAAGTGGTGATTGGCCATATACATTTAGAAAGATGATTCGTACGCGGTAGTACATTTAATTAGATATATGCAATTGAATTCGAAGGAGATAATAGTATATCTGTAATTCATTTTTAGTTTACTCCACGTATAGCATGAATCAAGCTTTTTATTATCACAAGAAAATGAACGTGTTGTTGATGGTGTTTGTCAAATGAATTCTGGGAGGGAAAGGTAACTACAATATGGAGCTGGATGATAGCTTATACCGCGATCACGTTTGATATATGCCTCGCTAAATGGCAAAGCAGAGGAAACGGGACCTTATCTTCGCTATCCGGCGTTAAATTCGAGGTATTTTTATACTTACATAAAATCCCCAAAGACCAATACTGGCTGCGTAGGGTCTTGTTATTTTGCTCATTGCTACAATGCCACTGACGACAGAGATAAAAGTTGTGACTATCAACATACAACCAAAAACCATTGAACCAACACTAACGCCTTTAGACATTGCCATTTTTTCCGCTCTTTAAACTGTTGCGATTCGCTTTTGTAAAATCTCTCAGTTATTATGTTGTTGATTGTTCGCGTATTATGTATAGTTGTTGCGTCTGTGCATGAGACACCCCGTTAATATAATACGAAAGCACTCAGAACAATCGTTTCATAAGGAACATCTGACACCTCCAAAATCATACTGAAATTCTATTGGTCACCGCATAGCAACAAACAGTTCTATTTTAACGTAGCTCACGACTTATTTGCATAAAAATATTAAATGTTAATGCTGTTAATTGCTCTGGACATGTTGTAAATCATATAATATAGACAGCCAATAAATTTCAACTGATGTAATTAATGTTTTTCGCTGTTTGAAAGTCACTTTTTCCTTTTCAAGTTTAATAAAATGCGGAAGTAGTGACTATTCTCCTGCACTGCAGTAATGACGTAATTGCTAAGTGGAATGTTGTCACTGTACATAACCCATGCATCGACTTCCTTATTTGTATTACAATGATCAAGTAATTCAAGTTCTCTTTTCATTTAGTCAAGTTCCCTCTTCGCGTTTTATTTCGTTGAATTCCCTAAGTATTTACTTTGGCTACAACATTGTACATTAGCGTCGCTTTGCGAGATTTATCGAGCGTGAACAAAGAGAATCGACAGAAAAAGAGGCGGTAGTAATATGAGCATGTTCCTAAGGGAACTGAGAGTAGTAAACACAATATTAAAAAAATGATGTGTCATCCTACTGCATAAATCTAGTTCTTGCATCCAGCTCAATATATGCATTATGTCAGTATGTGCATATTAATGTATACTCACATATACATTAAATAATATGTATTAAGTCGTATGTGAACAGCAACATTAGCAGAATCTGAACATGTTTTTAAATCAAATCGCGCGGTCAATACTTCATGCCTACACGGGGGGAGCTAGGTATTCCATATGACCTGACGGCACTGAATGCTGGATAGAATCGCCATGAACTGGCAGCTTCTTGTACTCGCCATGAACTGGTTGTTGGATGAATTCGCACGGAGCTGTGGCCACCATTAATATTGGGCCTCCAGGTTGGACGTTACCTGCGGTAACGACAACTGTTGCTGGTTGCTTCAAAAGAAATCGAAGACGTATTGATTATTGTTTATGGCTTTGACTGATGAAGAGGACCTGAATAGAGTTACCTCTGGTGCGCAGCAAGTTCCAAGGCAGCCGTTGATCGATCCCACAAAACTGATGATGGTAATAATAACAAAAGCGATCGTAACTCCAACTGTTGCTTTGCGAACAACGGCGAGATCAGAGCAAGGAAGTGGATCTAAGAGGTTAACAAAACAAAACTGAAATCTTCGAGGTAGACTATAAACTTGACCAGGCCAACTTTTTAAGGCGAGAAGCTTGAAACTTACAGGTGTATGGATGGCTGTCGTAAAAACAAGTGCACTCTTCATCATCACTTGTCATAACGATATCGGTAAAGTTGGAACCGTGCAGACTAGACTGACTAGTATCCTGGTAACAATCTGATGCCAATATGGACAAGAATACGCCGGTAATAGTCATTCCAACCAGCCCAATGATGATACCCAAGAGATGTGTTCCAAGAGCCACAACCAACTATATATATCATCATTTTATATGTGATATGTGAATAGATTTTGATAAGTATAATTCTATCGTTCTATTGATTACCCTAGCTTACGTATACGACGTTTATCTTTCCAAAGCCTTAAATCTACAATATAAACCATACTCTCTAAGCAAAATGAGAATACGGTGATTTTATTAGTTTAGTATATAAGCTCGTGTCAAGGACAAAAGTTTTTCTTACGCCTCTCGTCGACTTTTTGTATCCAGCCCAAATACCGAGACCAGCTGGAATGATGAACTACATGTATAAAAAGACATTGACAAGATATTGGAAAATATGATTGCAAAGTATTCTTTGTTTCATGATCCGTGAAATTATAGCTTTTAATACTTTGCCGTCACAACATCCGTAATATAATTCGAAAATATATTGAATCGTATATTAGCTTCATAGCTTCTAAAACATTCCCGGCCGGCATAAAGACAAAAATGTGTTTACTTTAGCAGTATATGGCTAAAGTCAAGAACGTTCTGAATGTCAACAATAAGTGTGTCGGCTGTGACAGACACGACAAGGAATTAAGATCGATCACGTCTAGCAACGAAATATACACATTCATGCAGATACAGGAAATTCACCTGGTCGAAACCTTATATTTTAACGCAATTTCAGAGAACAGCAGATAACGTTGAGCCAAATATTTCAAAGAGCAAAGACCTAAATTTTCTAATTCTTTGCTTACAATACATTTATCTAAATGCTCTGGATTCTTGTACTGGGGCCGGTTGTATCAATCCCGTTTAGCTAAACTGTGTCTGTGGTTAAGTTCAAAATAGAAAGCAAGTCTATCGTTTTATTCAAGAAGCAAACTGAATATTTTTAACCTTAATACAAATATACCGTTTACAACTACATATTCAGTGTATATAAATATTCAAGTTGAATCATTCAAGAGAGACGTAAAAGTGTTATTTAAATTTGACTTATCAACTGTTTAGCTAACGGGTTGATACAACCGGTCCCTGGTAAAAAAGGAATACTTTCATCTGTCGTTGACTTGTCCGTTTCTTAAAGGTTTGGACTCACAGTTTTTTTGCGTGGCCATTAAACTGCCTTTGTTAACTTACATAAATCCCCATAGACCAATACTCGCTTCAAACAGTTCTCAAAATTGGCCATTGCAACACTACCACACATCAATAAGACCAGCGTCATTAGCAATTGGCAGCAGCCGATTACAGTTGATGCTTTCGCTACGCTCATAACCATTTCTAAATCGGTTTCAAGACTTCGAACTGCGATTTTAACTTCTTCAATCCGTTTTAACTGATAGCATACATATACTGACAGTTCTGTAATAACACTACATACTTTTATAATATTATAAAAATCCAATAGCGTCTATCGCGGTTCAACGTGCATGCAGCCAGATCACAATTGGTTGGGATGATAAAGTTGATTACAAAGGAATTGATTCAATTCAAATGTATCAGCCATTTGATCACAGCATGATCACGCGTTAATCACGAACTGCTTGTCCTGGAGAATTGGGAATTCTTAAAGTGGAGAAATAAATTATAATCAATAAGCATCGTAGTCTTTTTAACGTTGCTCTTAAGCCGTTTGAGGTCACTATGCTACAAAATTCCTAGAAAGTTCCATTACTGCTGCACATCCCATCAAAGATGTTCTGCATCATTTCCCGGCACTATATATTCAATCGAAAAAAACCCCGAACTTTAAATAACGCAGTCCTTTTCGTTTGTTTTGTTTCTATGCTTCAGAGTTTCAGGATGCATGTACTTTGCTCTTACGATAAATATATGTTAGTATAAGATAATGTCAAAGTGACAAATTTAAAATGAAATTTATTGACTTTATTTGGTATCGACGACCACGTTACTCTGACTGGCTTGGTGATCGTATGGTGGTGGTGGTTGTCCGATGTCCACCGGGACTGGTTGAGGGGTGTAACTGCTTTGGGGGGCTTGTTGGATAGCACCGGGGGGTGCTTGTTGGATAGCAACGGAGGGTGTTTGTTGGATAGTCCCGGGGGGTGCTTGTTGAAAGTAAACACCCTGGAATGGCTGTTGGATGAAACCCCCCTGGACCGGTTGCTGGATGTAAGCAACCTGTGTTGGTTGTTGGATGTAACCCCCCTGTGTTGGTTGTGTGGTCATTAATATTGTGCCTGCAGGTTGTTGACTTGTTGTCGTGAATACGGTTCGCGTTTGTTGCTGTTGAAAAAGATAAAAATGCAAGTTTAATGACTGGTAGCAAACTTTCCTTAGGGGAACGGTTTTCGGGAATACACAATTAACCAGGCTGAAACGTCTTATAGGACATCACACAAACTGACGAAAAATATTCATAAAAAAGACATTCAATATTGATTTAAGTAAACTAAATGTGCTCACGGTACATGCATGACTATTAATTGTAGCTTGGATTAATGTTTCTTAACCGTTTTAGGAGTATAAAGTTATTTTCAGAATGATAAAACTGTTTACAGAATAGTAAAACTGTTTACAGAATAGTAAAGCTGTTTTAAAAATGTTCAGTTCAAAATGATAAAAGGGCTCTAAAAGTCAGATTAATCAAGCTTTATTTTGGTATGCATACATTATTACCCGTTGTGTACAGCAAGTGCCAATGCTGCCATAGATGCATCCCACGAAACAGGTGATGGCCAAAAGAGCAAAAATTATCGTTACTGCTCCAGATCCTTCGCGTACTGTGTCGAGATCAGAGCAGGAAACAGAATCTTATGAAGAGAATAATGAGGAAAATTCCCATTTAGAAATCTATATGTATAGCTATGTTTACTATATGATGGCCCAGTTTTCGTACAACCGCGCGGCCGCAAGCTGTAAGTAAGGTCTATACGATCAAAATCCAATAACTTACATGTGTGTTTTTGCTGCTTCCCACACGTGCATTCGTTAGCCTGCCTCTCATAGTGATACCAATGATCATATCTAACGGTTTTAAAGCCATCGACACAATTTGATTCCAGTATCGTCCAGAATACGGTGCAAAGTGACATTCCAACAAGCGCGAAAAGAACTCCAAAGAAATTCACTCCAATCGCTGCTGACAACTATATGAGAATGTGCATTAATTTGATGTGGCGTAGGACTGAAATATGGCCACGAATAATATTGCAGTGGTGTATTTTGTCTACTGAATTTGCGAACTTTGCACACAAAGTTATGTATATTTCATATATTTCTTTTCATGTAGGGGTCGGTTGTATAAACTCTTTACCGACAATTTGTATATAGTTAAATCGTAGTTAACTCAGAAATACATGACTCTGATGGCAAATTTTAGTCTTAACTACAGTTGAAAGTTAACTATAGCTTCATATATACAACTGATCCCAGGATGGAATAAAGCGTAGCATTAAGGTCGGCTGCCCTAGCTATGAGACATGCAGTAGAATTGCTATGGTTTACGAAGTGTTTGGGTGCATATGAGATTGAAAATTGGATTTGATGTATTTCAACTTGTCGTGAAGCCCATCAGATTTGGGAAAAAGGAATCCATTCAAATGAAAGTACTCGTTGAACAGAATCATTCATTCTCCCATCATCCTTGGAAAAGGATAAGGATACAAATAAAAAAATTGTAAACCATTTCTTTTTCGTTCGACCAATATACCTGTTGACAAAGGCTTTTGTTTCCTGGTCTATTGGTCGAAAAAGGATTCCTAGGAATATTCACACACTTTTTAAATGAATGAAATAGTTGAAAATTTGTCAAGTAAGATCTACACAAAGAAAAACTACGCTTCAAATCAAAATTTGCCACAAACGTAAGAAAAATACCTATAGCTTGCTACCAAAGTTCTTGTTTTGGATATCAAGAAAAATATTAAAGATCAAATAAATGCATTCAAATAAACAGAAGTTAATGATTCGATAGATTTGGTATTGTCGTTTATGCAAAAAGACAGAAATTTGGAGAAGCTGTTATAAAATATACATGCTGCATGGTCAAACGCTGTAAATATATATAAATATATATATATACTATCTAAGAATCATAGTGTTTTTAAACAAAAGTAAATTCAGATTCGTTTTAAGGGATGTGTTGAGGCTATATGCGGATGAATTAAGGCTAATTTTATGTAGATTACTTCATGTTAAATTTCTTTGCTGAATGGTTGCTTTTGTAAAAGTTTAAGCGTAAATACATGGTTTGCATCTATTTAACGTGAATGCATGTGAATATCTTCTATACTTCTTCAACTATCAACAGGAAAAACGTAGGCTAGGTTTTTAAACCTTTAATACATTAAATGCAATATTTCCAAACCAATGCTGTTTCACATTCACCTATTACATAAGACTATCAGACATCTATATATAGCTATCATGAAGTAAGACTTTTATAACTGGCTACTTAAAATAGGAAGAACTCGAAATGTTTCAAAAGTTTTAGCCGAGAAGTTTGGTTTCAACCCCCCCTGGTGGTTGGCTATAGGGGGGTGGTGCTTGTTGGTTTTGGGTACCAGGGTATTGTTGTGCTTGAACTGCGCCGGGATAAACTTGGGCTGTGGAGTATCGTATAGGAGATGCAACTCCTCACGACTCAATTCGGAAAAGCTATTGATAGGTTGTTAGGCATGTCAGCATGTGTATATACTATACACTTAAAGTATCCTCGCGAAGGAAATAGCTCATTGAGACTCGAGGAAAAACGAAACTCACTATTTCCCGAGGTAGTGTGCATTAAGTGCTTTGTTATATAGGAACAAAAACATACATGTTACGCAATAATTTCATTAAAAAAAAAACACTTTTCTTTGTTATGACCATAAGCAAGCAAAAATTTTTTCACTTGTTTCCCGTCGTTGCATTGTCAGCATTTATTTAAAGTCATGTGACTACAACTGATGAACTACTCACATTTAACATACACCGCAGCTATATAACAATGGGAAGTTATTTACCCGTGGGGAGCAACATGTTCCGATACAACCATAAATCGAACCGACGAAGCAGATGATACTGGAGAGAGCAAACATAATGGTCACTGCTCCAGTGGCGTTACGCACAGTTGTCAGGTCCGAGCATTTGCCTGCAAAACTGTAGTAACTACAAGAACATTCATTTCGTTGAACTCCGTAGATGCGGTGAGATTCGAATGCACAACTTGACGATAATATCGCCCAGAAATGCGCTGCAAGCCACGTTCCAATGATGCCAATAATAGTCCCCAGAATATGAGTTCCAAGTGAAACTGCCATCTTAATAGAACGTGCATATAATAACATGATGAGATGCGTGGAAACTTGCCTTAGACGTCTTAAAACAAACATACTTATCCTCCTAACAATTACCACCCCTTTTGGCACTATACCCACCCAGTTCCATGCATGAATTTATTCATCCCTATACATTCATATTCAGATGGGATTTCTCCTGTCGAGTTTTCGTGTAGACTTGTTCGCGCCGGCATGCACGTAAAAATTTAAAACATATGTTGTTGTGTAATTAATTTTACTCAAGCAAAAACACATTACATCTTTAATCACACAACCCAACCTTGTATATCTATTCATTTGTTTGCTTGTTTTTATTTAAATATCATTTAAATGTTTCTGAATTTTTACGCGTACAAGAAACGCCACATGCAGTGACAATCGTAGAAGACTTTTCTGTCGAGAATCATATGAATTCGACTGATACAAATTCGTGAAATATGGCCTTTTTGGATCCCCTAACCCGAATATTTTTATCTGGTCAGCTATTTCTGCATGAAACGGCAAAAAAATTATTCGTTATTAAAAATATTTGGAAACAAGACTCGCGTGTCTGCAGGTGTATAAAGTTGGGACATGACGCAGCTCTCGGAAGCTTTCGTCCAATTGAATAATGCTTTTCTATGCTTTCTAAAGAACGAAGCTATGCTATTGGTTGAAACAGAAATGTATTGTAAAGTTCAGCCAATGAAAATCATTCTTGCGAGGAGCTGCGACACTACCCGTACAGTTTTCCTAATAACACGTCATCCTTGTATAGTACGTGCAATATAAATTATGTACGCTGCTACACTTACCAAGGTCGTCATCTTTTTGTATCCGGCGGTGATGCTGAGGGCAGCTGGAATTACGAACTAAAGCAGAAGATAGATTATGCGGACTTTTTCATCGGATTACTTTTTATGAGAATGAGAATTGTGGATTTTTAAATCGCAGTGCATGAGGATATTGATTAATATGGCATCGTCGATCAATTTTAAAGTTTCAATGGCGAAAAATTGTAAAAGAATACAAAATTTGCATGCGCGTGACATTGCTGAATTGCTTTCTCGTATGATTTGGAAAATATTTCAGTTGATCACATAAATTGGACACTGTGATCTTTTGTATTTACAGTCTTAGGAATATAAGTGCTGTCTGTCTGAGTGCAAACATGCATGGGCCTACTTCACCCGCAAAATTACCTTGTATAATTCATGAGCTAAGCCGTTTTATTGATGATTATCAAGCAAGTATTTAGGAATTTTTGTAAAAATCTGCGTATTGACTTCCCTAAGTATCCATGTCACATGTTCCTTATCTCAAATTCCTTGTTTTGTATTTTTTTTGTGCAAATTAAACGTAAAAATGTCTTCAGAAATAACCCGTCGTGCTGTCAAGCACAATTAAGATATGTATACGAAAATGAAGCGGCCATATTGAGATAAGCGTCACGTAGCCCAAACGTAGACATTGATAAAAATATGGCTTTTTATCGCGCGGTTATATTGTATATTTTCTCATTTTTCTAAGATATTCGAGCTTCAAATTGCGTTAAGTAGACTGCTATCCTAACAACCATTACTGAAAGGAGTTTATGGAACTGGGCCAATACATCGTATACATAGCGTCATTGCACTGAATGCTTTCTAAATGTTGCGTCTTCACAACAACAAAATAATGAGGAATGCAAATTCTATGTATCTTATAAAATTATAATATACCATGATTATACGATGAGGCCCGTATATACCAATATATTTCACGGTGAGAAAGTAAAAGGAAAATTCTGGCCAAAAGCGCTGACTTTGCCGTTTATTTCAAAAGTAGAACTCCATTCAAACCTTTGATATAAATGACGTAATGCACACTGCACAGACGAGTTAACTTTGGTCAAAAGACATAAGATATAAATTCTATGCTATGAAGAACTTGTAGAACGTTCGTGATTATATATAGGCTTCGACATCCCTAGACCTAATGTCAAAACATGCACCGTCAAAAAGAAAGTGGTGATTGGCCATGTACATTTAGAAAGATGATTCGTACGCGGTAGTACATTTAATTAGATATATGCAATTGAATGCAAAGGAGACAATAGTATATCTGTAATTCATTTTTAGTTTACTCCACGTATAGCATGAATCAAGCTTTTTATTATCACAAGAAAATGAACGTGTTGTTGATGGTGTTTGTCAAATGAATTCTGAGAGGAAAAGGTAGCTAGCTGCAATATGGCGCTGGATGGTAATACCGCAATCACATTTGATATATGCCTCGCTAAATGGCAAAGCAGAGGTAACTGGACCTTATCTTTGCTATCCAGCGTTAAATTCGAGGTATTTTTATACTTACATAAAATCCCCAAAGACCAATACTGACTTGGTAGGGGCTTGTTATTTTGCTCATTGCTACAATGCCCGCGACGACAGAGATAAAAATTGTGAACATCAACATACAACCAAAAACTATTAAACCAACGCTAACGCCTTTAGACATTGCCATTATTTCCGCTCTTTAAACTGTTGCGATTCGCTTTTGTAAAATCTCTCAGTTATTATGTTGCTGATTGTTCGCGTATTATGTATAGTTGTTGCGTCTGTGCGACACCCCGTTAATATAATACGAAAGCTCTCAGAACAATCGTTCCATACGAAACATATGGCACCTCTAAAATCATACTGAATTCTATTGGTCACCGCATAGCAACAAACAGTTCTATTTTAACGTAGCTCAAGACTTATTTGCATAAAAACATTAAATGTTAATGCTGTTATTGCTCTGGAAATGTTATAAATCATATAATATAGACAGCCAATAAATTTTAACTAATGTAATTAATATTTTTCCTTGTTTGAAAGTCACTTTTTCCTTTTCAAGTTTAATAAAATGCGGAAGTAGTGACTATTCTCCTGCACTGCAATAATGACGTAATTGCTAAGTGGAATGTTGTCACTGTACATAACCCATTGACTTCCTTATTTGTATTACAATGATCAAGTAATTCAAGTTCTCTTTTCATTTGGTCAGGTTCCCCCTTCGCGTTTTATTTCATTGAATTCCCTTAGTATTTACTTTGGCTACAACATTGTACATTTAATAGCGTCGCTTTGCGAGATTTATCGAGCGTGAACAAAGAGAATCGTCAGAAAAAGAGGCCTTAGTAATATGAGCATGTTCCTAAGGGAACTGAGAGTAGTAAACACAATAATAAAAAAATGATGTGTCATCCTACTGCATAAATCTAGTTCTTGCATCCAGCTCAATATATGCATTACAATGATTATATGCATGTACATGCATATGTCAGTATGTGCATATTAATGTATACTCATATATATACATTAAATAATATGTATTAAGTCGTATGTGAACAGCAACATTAGCTGAATCTGAACATGTTTTTAAATCAAATCGCGGTCAATACTGCATGCCTACACGGGGCGAGCTAGGTATTCCATATGACCTGACGGCACTGAATGCTGGATAGAATCGCCATGAACTGGCAGCTTCTTGTACTCGCCATGAACTGGTTGTTGGATGAATTCGCACGGAGCTGTGGCCACCATTAATATTGGGCCTCCAGGTTGGACGTTACCTGCGGTAACGACAACAGTTGCTGGTTGCTACAAAAGAAATCGAAGACGTATCAATGTCGGTATGTGCAATGTACAGCGGTACAGTCATCGTTTCACACACATTTATCGCAGTTGATTTTGTTTATGGCTTTGACTGATGAAGAGGACCTGAATAGAATTACCTCTGGTGCGCAGCAAGTTCCAAGGCAGCCGTTGATCGATCCAACCAAACTAATGATAGTAATAATAACAAAAGCAATCGTAACTCCAGCTGTTGCTTTGCGAACAACGGCGAGATCAGAGCAAGGAAGTGGATCTAAGGAGTTAACAAAACAAAACTGAAATCTTCGAGGTAGACTATAAACTTGACCAGGCCAACTTTTTAAGGCGAGAAGCTTAAAACTTACAGGTGTATGGATGGCTGTCGTAAAGACAAGTGCACTCTTCATCATCACTTGTCATAACGATATCGATAAAGTTGGAACCGTGCAGACTAGACTGACTAGTATCCTGGTAACAATCTGATGCCAATATGGACAAGAATACGCCGGTAATAGTCATTCCAACCAGCGCAATGATGATACCCAAGAGATGTGTTCCAAGAGCCACAACCAACTATATATCATCATTTTATATGTGATATATGTGAATAGATTTTGATAAGTAATTCTATCGTTCTATTGATTACCCTAGCTTACGTATACGACGTTTATCTTTCCAAAGCCTTAACTCTACACTATAAACCATACTCTCTAAGCAAAATGAGAATACGGTGATTTTATTAGTTTAGTATATAAGCTCGTGTCAAGGACAAAAGTTTTTCTTACGCCTCTCGTCGACTTTTTGTATCCAGCCCAAATACCGAGACCAGCTGGAATGATGAACTACATGTATAAAAAGACATTGACAAGATATTTGAAAATATGATTGCAAAGTGTTCTTTGTTTCATGATCCGTGAAATTATAGCTTTTATTGAATACTTGCCGTCACAACATCCGTATATATTTCGAAAATATATTAAACCGTATATTAGCTTCGTAGCTTCTAAAACATTCCCGGCCGGCATAAAGACAGAAATGTGTTTACTTTAGCAGTATATGGCTAAAGTCAAGAACGTTCTCAATGTCAACAATAAGTGTGTCGGCTGTGACAGACACGACAAGGAGTTAAGATCGATCACGTCTAGCAATGAAATATACACATTCATGCAGATACAGGAAATTCACCTGGTCGAAACCTTATATTTTAACGCAATTTCAGAGAACAGCAGATAACGTTCAGCCAAATATTTCAAAGAGCAAAGACCTAAATTTTCTAATTCTTTGCTTACAATACATTTATCTAAATGCTCTGGATTCTTGTACTGGGGCCGGTTGTATCAATCCTGTTTGGCTAAACTGTGGTTAAGTTCAAAATAGAAAGCAAGTCTATCGTTTTATTCAACAAGCAAACTGAATATTTTTAACCTTAATACAAATATACCGTTTACAACTACATATTCAGTGCATATAAATATTCAAGTTGAATCATTCAAGAGAGACGTAAAAGTGTTATTTAAATTTGACTTATCAACTGTTTAAGCTAAACGGGCTTGATACAACCGGTCCCTGGTAAAAAAAAGGAATAAAAACTAATTCATCTGTCGTTGACTTGTCCGTTTCTTAAAAGGTTTGGACTCACAGTTTTTTTGCTTATTCATTTAAACTGCCTTTGTTAAACTTATATAAAATCCCCATAGACCAATACTCGCTTCAAAACGATTCTCAAAATTGGCCATTGCAACACTACCACACATCAATAAGACCAACGTCATTAGCAATTGGCAGCAGCCAATTACAGTTGATGCTTTCGCTACGCTCATAACCATTTCTAAATCGGTTTCAAGACTTCGAACTGTGATTTTAACTTCTTCAATCCGTTTTAAATAGCATACATATACTGACAGTTCTGTAATAACATACAATACTTTTATAATATTATAAAACAATACACAATAGCGTTTATCGCGGTTCGACGTGCATGCAGCCAGATCACAATTGGTTGGGATGATAAAGTTGATTACAAAGGAATTGATTCAATTCAAATGTATCAGCCATTTGATCACAGCATGATCACGCGTTAATCACGAACTGCTTGTCCTAGAGATATGGGAATTCTTAAAGTGGAGAAATAAATTATAATCTATAAACATCGTAGTCTTTTTAACGTTGCTCTTAAGCCGTTTGAGGTCACTATGCTACAAAATTCCTAGAAAGTTCCATTACTGCTGCACATCCCATCAAAGATGTTCTGCATCATTTCCCGGCACTATATATTCAATCGAAAAAAACCCCGAACTTTAAACAACGCAGTTTTTTTCGTTTGTTTTGTTTCTATGCTTCAGAGTTTTTAGGATGCATGTACTTTGCTCTTACGATAAATATATGTTAGTATAAGATAATGTCAAAGTGACAAATTTAAAATGAAATTTATTGACTTTATTTGGTATCGACGACCACGTTACTCTGACTGGCTTGGTGATCATATGGTGGTGGTGGTTGTCCGATGTCCACCGGGACTGGTTGAGGGGTGTAACTGCTTTGGGGGGCTTGTTGGATAGCACCGGGGGGTGCTTGTTGGATAGCAACGGAGGGTGTTTGTTGGATAGTTCCGGGTGGTGCTTGTTGAAAGTAAACACCCTGGAATGGCTGTTGGATGAACCCCCCCTGGACCGGTTGCTGGATGTAAGCAACCTGGATTGGTTGTTGGATGTAACCCCCCTGTGGGTTGGTTGTGTGGTCATTAATATTGTGCCTGCAGGTTGTTGAGTCGTTGTCGTGAAAACGGTTCGCGTTTGTTGCTGTTTGAAAAGGATAAAAATGCAAGTTTAATTAACTGGTAGCAGGGAAACTTTCCTTAGGGAAACGGTTTTCGGGAGTAAACAGCCAGGCTGAAACGTCTTGTAGGGCATGACAAACTGACGAAAAACAATCATGAAAAAGACATACAATATTGAGTTGAGTAAACTAAATGTGCTCACCGTACTGACATGACTATTAATTGTAGCTTGGAATCATGTTTCCTAACCGTTTTAGCAGTATAAAGCTCTTTTCAGAATGATAAAACTGTTTACAGAATAGTAAAGCTGTTTTAAAAATGTTCAGTTCAAAATGATAAAAAGGCTCTAAAAATCAGATTAATCAAGCTTTATTTTGATATGCATACATCATTACCCGTTGTGTACAGCAAGTTCCAATGCTGCCATAGATGCATCCCACGAAACAGGTGATGGCCAAAAGAGCAAAAATTATCGTTACTGCTCCAGATGCTTCGCGTACTGTGTTGAGATCAGAGCAGGAAACAGAGTCTTATGAAGAGAATAATGACGAAAATTCATTTCCATTTAGAAATCTATATGTATAGCTATGTTTACTATATTATGGCCCAGTTTTCGTACAACCTCGCGGCCGCAAGTTGTATGGTCTTAACGATCAAAATCCAATAACTTACATGTGTGTTTTTGATGGTTCCCACACGTACATTCGTTAGCCTGCCTCTCATAGTGATACCAATGATAAAATCTAACGGTTTTAAAGCCATCGACACAATTTGATTCCAGTATCGTCCAGAATACGGCGCAAAGTGACATTCCAACAAGCGCGAAAAGAACTCCAAAGAAATTCACTCCAATCGCCGCTGACAACTATAGTTGCATGAGAATGTGCATTAATTTGATATGGCGTAAGACTGAAATAGGGCCACGAATAATATTCCATGCAGTAATGTATTTTGTCTACTGATTTTGCGAACCATGCAATGCATGCACACAAAGTTATGTATATATATTTTATATATTTCTTTTCATGTAGGGTCCGGTTGTATTAACCTCTTTACCGACATTTTGCATAGTTAAATCCTAGTTAACTATACATGACTCTGATTGGCAAATTTTAGTCTTAACTACAGTTGAAAGTTAACTATAGTCTTTTATATACAACTGATCCCAGGTTGAAATGGTTGGTGGCAACTATATTCTTATGATAACGAGTTTTCTTACCAAATTTTTCGACTTTTTATATCCACCAAAAAAAGTGAAAGCACTTGGAATGAGGAACTAAAGAAAAATTTTAGCATCCTGCTTGAGAAGGAAGTCTGCATGTCAGGAAGTCTGTCATTTATCATAATTTATGAACTATCGATTATTGATGCATGTAAGTTCCTAAAATATTTTCACTGCTGTCGGAATTTGTACGAATTGAATGAACATTTTTGTAGAACATAGAAATGCATAGTTAAACTTCTTTGCTTTTAGGTATGTCTCATTCTGCGAATATAAACATCGTCATCGCAGTTGTAAGATTTAGTTTTTTTAAAAAGGAAGCTTCGCGGCAATAATAGTAGCCAAAAAGCCTGAAATACAATGTCTTGCGAATGAAGTCGAAAAGAATGGTATTACTTAAATCTTACATCAAATAACTCGAATTTGAGTTCACAAAATGATGATCATATATAAAGATTATCGTTATGAGTGTTTTTAATTTTATGACTCAGCAATTCTATCATGCTGTGATGGGTATTATCCAATTGTGCTTTAAATAAGCTCGGGAAATGAATGCATGTATAATACCTACCTTTAAATTTTCTTTTATTTATCCAAGATATAGCTCGAATGGTTGGTTTTCAAGATGAATAATCATTGATTTATTCAAAATGTTTTTCATCTTATGGCTAGGAGTTATTTGTGAGATTGTTGACTGGGTAAAAATATCATGCCGAGTGATGAACGTTTATAAGCGAATTGTATCGCTCTTCGGTGGATGAATAAACTAAATGCCTTATGGTTGGTACATAGAATGTTTCAAAGAAGAGAAACCCAACTAAAATCGTCTAGAAATATTGTCTTATTAGAGTACTGAGGTATGTTTTATGATGCCAAATCAACCGAATCACGTTCAGACAAATATATTTAAAATCAGTATCACATATAGACGTTGAGATAATTCAGTTTGGCTCAATACGCAACTTAATATTTCGTTTTCCTCAATGAGAACTTACTACCTTTGTTATAACGTACTTACATAAAGTGCCCATATTCCAATACTAACATAAGCTGCAGGGCTGGACAGCTTGCTCATTGCGACGGAACCACAAATCACAGAGATTACCGTCAATACCAACAGGGTACAGCCGATGACCATCGCAGCGACGGCTACATCCTTCCGCATAACCATTTTTAAAACCTGTGTACAAAATACAGTCCGTCCACTTGCGAATGACCCCGGAATATTTTCACTTTCAATACAACTATATTTTTTAAATGCGTAGTTGCCAGTACCAATAATTTATGCGATGTGAAACAATCAGTTATGGGTAACTGCCGACGCGAGCAGTTACGTCACCGAATAGATTATGCGATCAGTTTTGAGCTGGACTTAATTCTGATGAAAGAGACAATTCACGCTTATAGCTTGGAAAAGATCGAGGTCACCAAACCTGTCACAAAAGAACGGTTATGCGTTTACAATTTTATCCGTGACTTTCTTTAGTAGATGTGAACGAGTGACTAGTTACGAGTGCTCTGATAAAGTATAAGAGCTCTTAGTTTAAACATTATCTATATAGTTCACTTGTTCACCACAGTCAAAAGAAGAAAATCGCCCATAAAACGCAAGTGTAAAACGTAATGCTCCATTTTTCTGAAGCCAGCTGATCTGGGTTTTAGCTGAAATACCTCTTGTTTAAGTTGTGAACATGAAGCCTACTTCACTAACAGTATTTAGAGATTTATTTAGCTACAAATAAGTATGTGCGTTAAAACACAAATATTTTGACAAATATTTCGTCCACTACTGAATGGTTACGCCATGACTATATTCCGTTGGTTTCTCTAGCTAATTAATCAACTATACTTTAAGATTAACTGAAAAACGTATAAAAGTTTAATTAAAAAAGATTGGAATATACTTCCCGGCCCATGCCAGGGCCGTTCTTAGCCTAACATGATGAGAATTTTATTCCCTTTAGTGCTGATAACCAAGTCATTATATTCAATTTAAGGTACGAGTATTACAAACTAATGCAACGTAGATAACCAAGTGTTTACTCTCACGGGTACGGTGGTGGCTTTTGTCCAGGATACGCTTGTGTGTTCATCCCGACTGCCATTGGCTGCTGTGTCGTTGTTATGACAACGCCAGCCTGCTCCTGTAAGAAAGGAGGTGTTTAGGTGCTATTGTTAAAATGTCCAGATGATCTCTCATATTTTTAGCTCACCCGGCCGGGTACTAACCATCTATTTCAGATTACCCGGTCGGGTATTAACCGACTACTTCAGATCACCCGGTCGGGTATTAACCGACTACTTCAGATTACCCGGCCGGGTATTAACTAACTATTTCAAATTACCCGGCCGGGTATTAACTAACTATTTCATTGAGCACAGACGTTGAATAAAAAGGACAGGATAATTATGCAGAGAAGAGAGTATAATTAGAAGAACCATTTGAGTCGGAGACTTTGAACGTTTGCGACCCCGTGTCATGGTTTGTTGCGTATGTTGCAATCAATGTATGATAATTACCCGTGGTGCACAGCAGGTTCCAATGCAACCATAGATAGATCCAATGAAACTGATGATGGTGAAAACAGAGAAGATGATGGTGACGGCTGCGCTGGCTTGACGTACAGTTTCAAGATCAGAACAACTTGCTGGGTCTAAAAAATATGACAGAATGGTATTACATCTGGTGCCAAAACATTTTCCAAAATGGACAGTTCTAATTGAAAATAGGTAGTTTTAAAAACAAAAGGAATATAAACTTACAGTCGATTATTTCGTTGTTGTATGAACAATAACAGTGGTCGCCATTCAATGGTGAATGTCTAAAACTAAAGTTGACGCAGGTCGAGGATAAGATTGTCCAGAAAGCGGCGCCGATTGACAAACCCACGATGCCAAGAATGATGCCCAGGATGTGAGTACCAAGTGCGGCTCCCAGCTGTTGAAATAAAGTATTTAAAAAAGGGGAAATAATTTAATTGAAGTAAAACAGTCTTTGTTCAAATCAGACAAGCGATATGATGATTTCGACGAGTTTTTATTTGATTGACCGATTTGACATGCATTGCGTTATTTCAACATACGTCGATATCAATGCAGTATCATTTATAAAACAGCATTAAAATGGCATAGTCTAGGTGAAGTAAATATCGTCTTCCTATATTGTTTTCATGTCATTTTTAGGAAATTTAAATATGTTAAATTCTATATACGTACCAGGCTTGAGATCTTCTTGTAACCTGCCATAATACTTAACACGCCAGGAATGATAAACTAAATTGAAATACGTACAGTCAAGGCGTTATTAGAGCGGATAACCCAAATGAATTGATATGCATGTTAAAATGAAATTGTCATGCCAGCCGTAAGGGTTTGAAAATGAGATTTCAACCGTAACAATTTCAACTTAATCGTAAAGAAATCTTTATACACGCTTTCTCAGTACGTGTTGTATAGGACGGGGAGGTTCTTCAACCCCAATCCTAAAATCAGGTAATTAACTTCCTTTGATTAAATGATGGAACAAGAAAATTGGCGGAACACAGTTTCAAGCTTGTTCCATGGCACAAAATTTGGTACCGAATTCGCTGGCAAAAAAGCATTGTCCGTAAATGTCTATGATTCAAATGAGGCCATAAGATAGGCAGTAAGGATTCAATCATAAAGTGTTACGTCTTGCTTACTTTAGCCCAGTTGGCGAGCGCCAAAATCATCAAATGTTATTACTTACGTAAAGTCCCCAAAACCCAATACTAACAGCTGCCGGACTGGTCATTTTGCTCACCACAACAGCCCCACAAATTAGCGAAATTAGTGACAGTACTAGCAATGATATGCCGATCACCATTGAACCCACACCAACACCTCTGGACATAGCCATTTTCAGCGATCAACGTTTTGAAAAATACTTTTATATATAAGTTCGAAATTTACAGTCTTTGCTGTCTTGAAAAGTACTGAGCAGCCACAAGCAATCAGATCTATTTTATACAGGAGTTTCTGACGTCCTTTTATTGAAAACTATGTCGTCATTCCCTTTCATTGGGAGATCGCTATTGGCTGAAAATTTAATTTAGGGGTGCAGAAGCTGACCTTGCAAATTTAAATCGTAGCAGGAACTTGAAGCAAGCGAGACGCTCATGACAGTTAGCACGGAAGTCGCGATCACCCAAACATTCAAATGATTGCCTGACGTCAATTCGAAGGTGCCACAACATTTCCAGCTCATTATATAGAGATGCTCATGATCAAAATTCCTGTGCTGGTAGTAATTCAAGTGGTAAAAATAAATGGTTAATTTTGGTAAATGAAAAGCCCTTGCCATTCAGTTTTCCGCAAGTGCTCAAGAGATTTATTTGTTTTCATGATAAACCTCTTGCTTGCCGCTTGGATCTTCCGTATAAAGAACTAGAAGTTATTGTCAATATTGATTTTATCGAGCGGCAAAGCCGTACGCCAAACTTTGTGCCGTGAAGCCCGTGATAGTTGGGCTAAACTTACCGTCAGTGGCAGACTAGACTAAAGAATGAAGTGAAAACCTACTAGTTTATTTTAGGCCATTTTTCACTTACTATGCTACTTACTACTCTATCGTAGCAAAAAGCATCATAGCTATTTCATTGCTTGAAATGCATCAGTTTTATCCGTGCACGTGGAAACAAACCTTCCCCTGGCCAGGAAAACACAATCGGGTTTCTCATGCAGTTGCAAATTGGTCCTATTTCTTGTCAAAAAATATATGTTAATGTTGAAGCGGAATTTATATAAAGCAGGGTTCCTGGAATAATCTCATAATCATTTTACAACCTACGTAGGTAGCTTGCCCGTATTTTACGTGTATTCAGTCACTTTCCTGTACGAAATTCTCTTCTGCGTAGAAGTCATGCTGTATATCTCGACTCTCGAGCGAAGTACCGAAAAAAAGCGGATATTCGTCATCGTCAGAAGGTTCAGACAGTGCAAGTTTTCCTGTTATTTGTTCCGTATTGATTTAGTTGATCAATATCTCTTTGCTGCAGGAATTTCAATAATCCGCAATGTCACGAAACTGCTATTTACCGGTAAATTATCAGTAAAGTTGAAATATTTTCTTCTAAGATTTTGAAAGCTTTATTTTCATACTGTTAAACGTACTAGAGCAGAACCGCCAGAACGCCTATTGTTCAATCCCCCGGCTCCCCTCTCCAATTCCAGCTGCTATTTATCGACTCGAAGAAGCCTGAAGGCGAGCTATTTTGGAGCTTTTCAACAATGCAGGAGGTTATTATAGCAATATAGAAATGCAAGGATTAATATTTATTCAGATTTTATATATATATATATATATATATATATATATATATATATATATATATATTATATATATATATATATATATATATATATATATATATATATATATATATATTATAAGATAGTATTTAAGATATGTCAAAGCTGTGCCGAGCGCTTTGTTGGCGCGTCTTTTGAATGGCTCTTTAAATTTTAAATTGCCCGTGGTCACCGGTTCTTTGTTCAATCATTGAAACATGGCTGCCAGACGGTTCAGATTTGCCGCAATAAAATCGATCTTTTAACCTGTTTATTTGCTTCTAATTAAAAATGTGAAATCGTTTATGCTCTTCCCTCTAATTTGACAAAGTTGATGGCTTTTGAGCTGCGTGGATGTGTTTGTTATGGTCCTTGAAATATGGCGATTTTTCTTTACAAGTGCTCAATTGCTTTGTATCGTTCTTCACCTAACTTGTATCCTGTGTGCAATCGCAACACAAAATGAGTCGAATTTTGTGCCAGATAATATGGCTTCCTCTTGGGCAATACGAATTCCGTTTAAAGATGGAATAAACGATGAAAGTCTTCGCAATATGGCTATGAAAATAGCTCAGGAAACTGGCCTATCTTTTCATGGACAGATCGGAGGATTACGTGGACATTTTCTACTTGTACACGATACGTTTTATGGCAGAGACAGTTCGCATATTGGCTCTGATGTTTTGCACAAAATAACAGAGCAACTACAGAAGCATCCTGAAGTAGAATGGTCGATTAGGGAGAAGATTATACGTAGATACAAGAGAAGTTTGAGGTTTAAAGATCAATATTTTCCAAGCCAGTGGCATTTGGTAAGTTTGGAGCTCTTTGTACGAGCTTAGTTGGCTAAGATGGCTTAGATAGCAATGATCATCAGTCATCATCTCATAGACATTTAGATATATTAAATCACTGACCAAAGACCAAGAGAAGTTTGATATACAGATCTTTTTATTCTGTGCTGACAGCCAGCCATATTGAGAACATGTACTGCACCATTAGGTTACAGGGCTAAGTATAAAAAGGTCTTTATTCTGGATTTTTAATTTTGTAGAATAATTTGCAATATCTTGGGCATGACATTAATGTAACAACTGTTTGGGAAAGAAACATAACTGGTCATGGTGTGGTTGTTGCAATAGTGGATGATGGTAGGTTACCTGGAGTTGCCACTGGTATAAAGAAATTAAAATAAATAATAAACAGTGAACCAGCGACAATTAAATTCTGGCTATCTTGTTACATGTTGCTAAGGGGTATTCTTGTACAAAACACTTATCACTGCAATTAACTAACATTTTCATAGGTGTTGAATGGACAAATCCAGATATCTTTGAGAATTATGTAAGTTCTGAATGTATTTGACTGTGCAATAGACGATTGAAAAATTATGTTTTATTGATGGGGAAGTTTTTGGCCTCTAAAGGTTGTAGAATGATAGCCTAGACATCTAATCAAAAGAGTGAATAGTTAAAGTTGGATAATTTTCATTTATGCAATGCAAATTGTATTTTCTTTCAGTCGTCCGAAGGGAGCTGGGACCTCAATTCTAATGACCCAGATCCAACCCCGCGGGCCGATGATGTGGGACTGAACCACCATGGTACAAGATGTGCGGGTGAAATAGCTGCAGTGGCTAACACGTTCTGTGCCGTAGGAGTGGCATATGGAGCCAAGGTGTCAGGTATGTATATACCCATGATTCACCCTAGGAATTCAACCATTCCTGAGTCTTGCCTTATCACAATCCACTAAATATTTAAGGTGTCCGGATCCTTGACGGTCCGATGACGGACAGCCTTGAGGCCATGGCATTTAACATGAAAGACCAAATCAATGATATTTACAGCTGCAGGTATTATATTTTCCTGTCTATCACATTCTTTAAAGTGTTTCTAGATGTGGTGTTTTATGATAAACTTAGACATTTATTTCTTTAGTTGGGGTCCTGATGACAATGGCAAGACTGTAGATGGACCACATCAACTGGCACAGGTGGAATATACTGGATGCTTTCTTTTCAAAGTTTGCCTGTTGAATGGCACCTCAGGTCTACTTTGCTTGATCAGTTTCATCCTTTTCCTTCTTGCAGGCTGCTCTTGCTCATGGTGTCCGAGATGGCCGTGGTGGACTGGGGAGTATTTACGTGGTGGCTTCTGGGAATGGTGGGAATTATAAGGATAACTGTAACTTTGATGGATATGCAAATTCTATCTTCACTGTAACAATAGGTAGGGATATGAATCTGTTCATCTGTTTTTTGTCTTCTTGAAGCAACACTTAGCCTTTCAGGAAATGAGTTTCTATAAGGGGATTTTTTTATCAAAGTAGTTTCGGAATTTCGCAGTTAGTGTACTTGGAATATTGATCTTGTGTTGTTCAAAACAACAGGGGCTGTTGATGAGTCGGGTAAAATGCCTTACTACGCTGAAAACTGTGCCTCCATGCTGGCTGTCACTTACAGCAGTGGACAAACGCCGTTGAGAAATATTGTAAGTCTTTAAGTTTCATTTGACATTTTCACTTCCTTTTTGGCGTTTTCCAAGGTGCAAGTTAATTGAGAATTTTAGGTCGAATCCCTTAAATGAGACGAATTTTGTCATTTTCGACATAATGTTTAATGTTTAAATGTTCACCGTCTTAGAAATTAAATATACCCGCAAAAATCTATACCAAATCCCCATACGTAGGTTACCACTGACTGGAGAATGGGCTCGGGAACTGGATGTACAAATAGGCATACTGGAACTTCCGCTGCGGCCCCGTTGGCAGCCGGGATGCTTGCTTTGGCACTCCAAACAAGATGGTGTTTATCTTGGCGAGATATTCAACATTTGATAGTTTATTCATCTGTCCAGGTGAGTCTGCGCATTATTCAAGGCCCAAGATAATTTTTTTTCTATGAACACCTCGAAGACCATGTTACATTTCAGTGATTTCACTTTCAATTATATCTCACTCTCCTAATGTGTAAATCCCCTATAGTGTAAATAACATGACGTAACGCGTGAGGCAGAATAAGATTGAGGCACTTTAATTAAGGTTCGGAAACTCACGGTTCAAAAATTCACCAAAACTTGAATTTCAGCATGATGTTGATCCTCTGGACTACACTACAAACGGTGCTGGTTTTCACCACAGTCATAAATATGGGTTTGGCTTAATGGACTCGTGGCGTCTGGTGAACCTAGCAAAAGTATGTGTACTTTGCCAGATTCTTAATTATACAGTTTTGCGACTTTTTGGGTGGTGAACAAATTTAGTTGTATTTTTAGTTGAATTTAGTTTACTAATTATATTCAGGTTTGGACGTCAGTTCCCTGGATGGTGTCATGGTCTACACCCGTTGTTCAGGTGAACAAATATATACCAAGAAGCAGTAGCCAGTTGATTGAAACTTACTATGGTATGTTTATCGACATTCGTACTATACATATATACTGGATTGTGTATACGTACGTAAAATGACATTATTATATTTTCTGTTTTCGTCCCACAGTTCAACAGAGGGACTTGGTCGAATTTTCAAGTTTGGAACATGTTACTTTAACAGTAGGTTGTCTCTATTCTTTTTCAGTGGTGAAGACATTGTTAAAACATTAATGCAATGCGTCTAGATAGGACTGTTTCCACACTGCTTGCCTTTTCAGGTAAATATTGATCACAAGTACCGTGGTAGTGTTTTAATTTCTGTCATATCACCGGCTGGAACAGAATCAAAACTCGCTACAGAAAGACAACAGGACAGGTTTGTAGCATAACCATTTAATTGTCCATCGATACTGCTCGTATGTTGAGGTAGATAAGCTAATTAGCCCAGTCGAGCGGGGTACTGGATCTACTAAATGATTCCAGTCAATAATCGCACAACATCTATGCAATGTTTGGATGAAGAGGAAATGCAATTACACGTGAACTTGCATCACCTTACTTTCGAAGCAAGTCCAAAGGTGCTTACAGGTTCAGTGGCTTATACCTTGCTCCAGTAGAAAACTACTATAAGCCTCGAATCTCCAAAACTACATCATTAATTAACTCTCGTGGTTTGTTGGGTCGACTTTGCTGGATGTCAAGGACGAATGTTAAGTGTTAACAGCTGATGGTCATTGTGCTTTGTTTTTATTTTTCGCAGTTCCGCGGAAGGATTTATCGATTGGACTTTTTCGACCGTGAGATGTTGGGGTGAACAGCCCTATGGTGCGTGGCAAGTGGTCATCATTAACTCAGGTGACTATTATTTATTAACACTTATATTAGCTACCATGAATGTTAATGATGTCAGATACCTACTGTACGTATATCAAAAGTCATCATAAGTGTTTGGATGTTTTTCAGAAAAAAAGCGTTTTTGCACCGGGCCTTCATTAGGGCTACGTTTTGAGTTTGTACATCTGCCTGCGTTGGGGGTTTTCCCCTCACACCTCTCCAGTTTATCGAAGAAGTGACAAGGAGATTAATGACCATCGTTTTATATGGCAAATGTTACGTTTAGGTTTGGACGACAACTCACAAGGCTATGTGAGAAATTGGAGATTGACATTGTATGGTTCGTCTATGACTCCTGTGGAGATCAAGCAGAGAAAATCGTAAGATTTGCTCGTTTGACGAGTTCAGACTTGCTCATACTGCAGTGGGAAGTAATATTATTGTAATTTCTACCACTAGTTTGGCCCGAGATGCGTTTTCTGGTCGATACCTTGCAAGCAACGAGACGGCGTCCTGCATGAAAATCTCCACCTTGAAGGATTACAGTATTTTCAGCGATCGTTTGCTTACGGTTAGTTTATTAATATAATCCACAGCGCATATTAAGAGACTCCGCCTCATAAAATATCGCTACACAATACAGAATTAATCTATCACAGTCGAAGGCCGGTTTGTGATCATATTATACGTAGGTCTATTTATTCCCCTAATTCCCAACCCATCTAGCAGTCTTTTATATATTTTCTTTTAGATATTATTACTGGTCAGCGGCTTCTGCGTGCTTCTAGCGGTATACTACATGTTAGATGTGATTTGCGGCAAAGAAGAAGAGCGGGAAAATGTCAGAGCGGAGATTAGATCACCATCTTCCTCCCCTCACGATGTCTTGACGATGTCACCATGTTTTGATCACAGCGGTGACAATAGTCCAAATTCCTCACTGGAACTTTCCACTCGGCTGAAGGCTGAAGACACTGCAAGATTGAGGTAGGAATAAGGAAACGATCGTCAACATTTTATTGAAATTTTTTGACTGAACTTGCTCAGAATGTAAATACAGTCGAGTGATCTGATATGGCGGAAAGAACTGGGACTAGTTGTCGAAAAAATACCTGTTTCTCAGTGGTGACAGTAACAGATATCAATTTTATTGTAGCCATTTGTTGGAACGTGGTGAATCATTCCGGGAACAGTCATCACGAAGACCTACACCGATTTTGATTGACGAGTTGTCACAAAACAGCGCTAATAACTCTTCATCTCCTAACGAAGTTCAAGCCGAGGGTGCCCGCGATTTTGAGAAACGCCTTCAGTACGCAATGAAGCAAAGCTTGATACTTCAAGGAAAGCAACTGAAAGATATTGAGATTCTACAAGAGCAACTAGGACACGAAGCGTCTGGTGTGTCGAATAGGATTGTTATGCCGAATAAAAAGAACGTCTTTGAAAAAATCCGTAAACCATTGAAAGGGATTCTGAAGAAATCTGTAGCGAGGTATCGTATTCGCTGATTGCTTGCTCGGGATAGCCACGGGTGCTCGATAAGAGTTAATTACAGTAGGGTCGAATATTACTCAATGCTGATTGGCTATAGGTGCGCCACTGATCTACATATAACCATCCTCGTTTCTTATCTTCTATTTTTCCGCATGAGATATGAAAAATTATTTTTATTGATTTTTATTGATTCCCCATGTAAATTGCGTAAGAGCTATTTTGACACAAAAGCCAGCTCACAATTTTTACCAATCATCTTTCTTTTACAGGCAAGCAAAATTACCTTGACTTGGAATTTATGTGCAAACGGTAAGCTCATCAGTTGTATATTCTTTGTAGTATCTTGGTGTCCGCTGCGGCTTGTTATGAAATTCTTCAAAATAAGCTCATGCAGTTTACTTTATTCTACAGTTTTCGCCGTAAAACTGCCGGATTGATTTGGCATTATTATTTACCTAATATTCCTCACGGAAAATCATTCAACGTCGTACAAGCTTCGAGGATTTTGTATTGTGGCACAATACAAAAATTTCAATAGCACGACAGAAAACTAAATCGTTCTACAGTGCCTTTCCAAACGTTGTTATATCCACTGCCTGTGCATTTTAATACTGGTTATTTCTTACCTTAAAACTTAATTAAATACAACAAAAGTTAAAGAACTATTGTATTGTATTGTATTGTATTTTAACAATGCGTATCAAAAGGCAATTAAAATATTTAAATTAGCCTAAAAATTATATAAAATGCATTGATTAGACTACAGTGTATTTTAAGTTTAAATTTCAATATTGGATACATGCATTACTTAACATTAAATTTTCACAAGCGTTGTAATAAACTATAATGTTAAAAAAATTATCAAACGTAAAAGTTCACAAATTCCTTAATCCTTATACTTTTTATTAAGAGTTAAACCGCGAAAAAAACCAAATTAACATTTCGCGTATTGTACATGTCCATTGTTGCTCAAAGTTACGCTAAATTCTCAGAACTAATTAAAGCATTCGTAGAGTAAAGTGCTACTGTATATCATGTACCAAAATTGCAAACGAGCTCAGTCATTTTTAGTTGTTGTAGTCGTTGCTTTCATAGGTAGTGGCAAAAACGACCACTCGCAGTACTATGATCAGGGGTATCATAATCAGACCACACACAATAGCAGCATATGAGAGGTTCCTTGAGCTCTGGGCTGAGGAAACTGCGCCGACATAATCGCCAGACACATAGCGGCTTCTCGACTGCGAAAACAACAGATATAATCTTAGATAAACCTTATTAAGATCGGCTTAGATTACGATAGGATCGAGGCTGGGATTAGGGTAGGACCACAGATCAGTGGGTAGGACTAAGACTGGGATTAAGATTGGGATTAGAGTAGGACTAAGGCTGAGATTAATATTGGGATTAAGGTGGGACTAAAGCTGGGATTGAGATTAAGATTTGAATCGAGGTTGGATTAGATTATAGAATAGCATGTTAAAAAGCATCTTTCATCGCAGTTTTACCTCCGACGACTTCACAATGGCAATTAATCCAATCAGAGGGCAACAACACAAACAAGCGAAGATAGCCAATCCCATTTGATCGTTGACCACAGGAATAACTGTGCTTGTTACGACTTGTGGTTGATTCTATGAGAGTAAAAATGTTACCAGATTTGATTGTGGTATTTCATTGCCAAGCTTTTGAGGCAAAAAAGGTGAAATATTCATTTTACTGCTAGTAGTTCTAGGCTTTCTGCTCCCTGAAGGTTGTGTTGATTGGTTTGTACGTGAAATTAGACAACACTCACTTGTACAACCACTGTTGTGGTATTGTTTGTTTGGGATGAAAACCCAGCAGGTTGCTGAAAATGCCCTTGGGGTGGATAACCCTGTCCTTGGGGAGGATAACCCTGTCCTTGGGGTGGATAACCCTGTCCTTGGGGTGGATAGCCTTGTGGTGGATACCCACTGCCTCCATGATCTTTCTGTGGTGGATAACCAGGGTGCTGTTCTGGAGGATAAGGAGCAGATTGAGGTGGATACTGGTTACCTTGGCTGTATGGTGGCGGTTGTTCCATCCTTTTAGAATGATGATAGCAAATATTAAATCAACAATACCTTTATATATTTCTCGTTCATAAAAAAAGGTTATATTCCACGAATAACACGCAACTTAATTTCGTAAACGAAAAGGAATCTTGGTTATCAAAATGCTAGACGTCATGGATCATTGTAAAAACGAAATATTTCAACAGTTAGAACCAATAATTTTTTGAATTAAGTTTTTATTTGCACATTTTTGTATTTAGCTCGTCATAGAAACTGTACTTTTCTGGAAACTTACAATGCGTGTCCTGCATCACATCGGTAGTATGTTTGCATTTGAAAAAAAATCGAAAATCGAAATCGTATTACCCGATGCAATTTCCTTGCAACTTTTAAGAGATGCAAATTAGTAGAGTTTCCGGGGAGTGAAATAAGCACAAAAGTTTCGTAGTTGCCATTTCTCAAAAGGTGGAATTGGATTGCATGCAAGTTGTATGTAACACGGCCCTTAAGAAGAACGAAAGTTATTACAATTTCTTATTTATTTAGACCTTAGTCATCTTAATGCAAGCAATAAAAATACGCTTTTTATTTCTTTTTTAATTAAACTATTGCTATGAAGATTGCAGGCGGAGTATTTCTACGATGCTTGAAACAAAGAGTTTTTTGGGCACATTCAATACAATTAGCATCAAAAGGTGCAAGTTTTAACAGTAATCGCGTGAAAACACTGAGCGCTTGAATTGGGGCTTTTCAAAGTGTATTTATAACCGTGTTTGGTTGGTGCAGGAGTTGTCGCCATATTTTGTTCCGTGTTAACAAGGGATGAAATATTAATATCTGCATGTCTTGATAATTTAATGCAATATGTAAACAAATACAAACGATGAAGTCTTTCTTACAATCTTTGATATATTAACCATAAGTGTTGAAACTATATTTGTATGTCCTTTTCAATGAAATACCCTGATTCAGGACTAAACTCATATCATTTAAAATAAGGTTTAGGTTCGGGCGCTTCAACGTGATTGTTCATCATGAAATATGATCGTCTCGTATTGAAACTGACGCTTATTAAAAATTGCAACTCTCAAGCACTCTTACTGTCTCCCAATTTAACATGAAGCTAGCGAATACCTTAACTATAGCTTGTTAGGCCAGGGTTGTTAATTTATTCGGCAGTTAGACGTATCAATTTCGGTGCTTATTCCCTAAATTCCTGAGATATCAACTAAGATCTTACATTGCAACAACAATGTACATTACTAAGAAAATAGCGAGAGCTTTTTGTATTATAAGAGTTTTTTCATACAACTAAACTGATGTAAGTCATGATTATATGAAACATTTAATGAACCAAAGTTACCTGACAAAAGATGAACAACTCTTGCTTTACCTTGATTTGATTCGAAAGCTAAAGCGGGCAGTAAAACTAGAACGGGAATCACTCGAGTCTCGACTGAATCGATTCAGAGTTGAGAGTTGAGTTTTTGCTGTAAATCAAATTCCTTTTTTGTATAGACGCTTGGTTTCACTGTTTCAATATGATTTGCAGCGAGTTCTTGTCTGTTATCTTCCCGTTTTACGTTTTTTTTCGCGTTCGATCACCTCGATGATGTTGCGACTTGCAATCAAATATCGTCAGTCGTCACGAGTTTGAGTCTCGACATCCGACACAGTCACACAACATCCGTGAATAATTAAACTTCTTCAAATGCGAAATGACCTCGTGGACAACCGGAAATCGATAGCCTCGTTTTACGTGGGTGCAGATCTTTCATTGTGTTTTCGTTGGAAGGGTGTGTCGCTCTTCTTAGAATTAAGGCAAGGAAACCTTTCACTTACTAACGGATGTGACAGTTGAATTAGCTTCTTTTCAACTAATTTGTTGAACTCAGCTAGTACCCCGATCAGGAAGCTTTTTGTAATAGACACGAATTTTCGGGCGAACATTGTGAATTTTGATTTGCAGTGGTGCATGAAAACACTTGTTTCTAGAGCTTTTTGACTCAAAAACACTCAGTTACCATCCCCTTTAGTCTTTGCATATATTAACATTTATTTGAGAGTTTCAAATATTTTCGATACCTGAGATTTAGTCCACTGATTGGGCTGAATCAGTGAACATTTCAAGAGGTATTGATTATACATATGGCGATCAAAAATTTATTAAACTTTTTAACAAATAGGCATTTCTACTTGGTCATGCAAACAGACAATTAAAACAAATTTAATGCACAGCTTTAGCGCAATTTTATATAATATTATTCTCTTCGATCAGAACTTTGTCCCGTACATAACGTATTCGGCCTGGCTAAACTGTAGACTTCTAATCTACAATGCTTGGATTTAGACGGATGGACAACGGAAGTATGAATCCTACTATTAAATAAAATCCCTTCGTTGAGAAATTTCTTTTCTATTTATTTTGGGCCAAAGTCCGCTACGATCACAAAATTAATAATTATTTCAAAAAAGTGTTCCCATATCGCGGTGCGGCTATTCTACAGGGTCATGCACTGGCCCATATAATCGTGAAAATCATACCACTTATAAAGATGCTTAAGCCTAAAACAATGACTGATATTGCCAGGTTTTTCGCTAATTTTGCTGACGCCATTGCCCCGGCATAGTCTCCAGCCATGTAACGATTTTGTGCCTAAAACCAAAAATTGATTTGGGTTATTCGACGGTCGTTTCCCAGCTCATAGGAAAAAACTTAAAAAATGTTTTTGAAACAAAGCTCTGTGGATCAACATAACCTTCAGAGCAACTGCCTTTAACACTCCAGTCAAACTCAGTTCAGTTAACTGTCCGGTACTTTTGGTAGACGACCTGTCTTTGTATCTCGCCTAGCTTGTGAGCTAACCCAATATGTATCACAATTTTACCTCAGAAGATTTTACGATAGCAAAGATGCCAATTGGCAGGAAAAACAAACAGCTAACCACTGATAAAGCCATGTAAGTCTCCATAACACGACCAATACCAGGTGAAAGTTGCGCGTGCATCTAAAACAAAGAATACAAGTTCATTTTTGCAATCGTTTTAATGAGGATTGAGGAATAGACAATGCACCATCCACTTACTGGAATCAAGGGCGTTGATGGACTATAAGATACTGATGAAGTATTAGTACATCCCACAGATTGCTGAATATTTCTCTGAGGTAGATATTCCTGTCCTCGGGGTTGATACCCCGGATCTTGGAGTGGATGTCTTTGTCCTTGGGGATAATATCTCGGATCCTGAGGTGGATGGTCTTGTTCATGATGTGTGTACCCAGTCGCTTCATAGTCTCTCTGTGCTTGGTTTCCTGCCTCTTGGTTTGCCGAGGGATAGCCTGGATTTTCGGGTGGTTGATGACTGGTGTAAGGAGGTGCTACATTACCAACATATTCTTGTTCGTGGGGATCTTCACTTGCACTGTACTGCGGAGGTTTTTCCATCTTTTACTGTCAGTCAGAAAATGAAGAAATATTCACCGTTTTGAGAGACAGTATGTGAGTATGTAACTCAAAGTATGTGAGTTGCTTCAAAGTTGATTATAACGCATTCATTCTTTCCGCCGAATGCAAAGATCTAAATTGACAGATAATCGCATAATGAAAAAAAATACACAAAGCCTAGCTTTTCGCTTTTAGCACAAACAAGCAAATGTGCTTTGGACGGGTTTCATAGAAACTATTGGTTTTCAAGAATAACACAAATTCTGACCGCAAATTCTTAGAGAGCAAATATCAGTGTGCTTTCATTCACGGAAGTAATATGGTATATGACAACATGACGTGAAAATTTCAATACTTACCTCTTAGAAGATAGCAATGCTGACTAAATTTTAGTCTCTCCGTTCTGGTATATACTATGATCTCTCATGAGACAAATTTGCGACGAACATTTCAAAACCATAAATACAGTATCCTCCTCGATCACTTCACTTTGATTTTATTCTCGGGCCTTGTATATATCCGTGTTATGTCACATGATTCAGGGTAATAATACCCAGAAGGTATATGCAGACTATGTTGACATTGTTGCAAGCGGTCTTAATATATGTTCGATTCTGACCACCCGTTTGATTTATTATTTCAGCTGAATTCGTACATTATGAACTCGACTGAATATAAATCAAGACTGAAGTCAAGAGTTCGATGGATTTATATATCCATGCATTCGAATATGAATATTACATTTCAACTGTGAAAAAAAATACATAAATCCGAGATCGAGTTTACGACCTTACAAAATTATCTCGGCTTCAAAATCAGGCCACTGATCTCGATGTGATTTCGAAAGACAAATATACGTAAAAATTTAGCGAGTGGAATTCATTCAGATGTGTCCACTCGAATTACTACGATAATTATACAAAATGTATATGCTATCAGGCCGCAAATAATGGCCGCAATTGACAGGTTTCTCGCTGATCGTGCTGACGCCATCGCTCCGACATAGTCTCCAGCCATGAAAAGCCTTTGTGCCTTAAAACAAAAAAATGGTGTCTTATACTTAGGACTTGTTCATGTGAGACAAGCCAGCCCGTGGCTTCATGTTTTCATATGAGCCCGTCAAGCGCGAGATTTCGCTTCGTTCACGGATCTACCACTCAATGAGCGTAAGTGAGCTTTCAGAAAACAAGGACCCGATTGTTCGAACTTTGAAAGATGGATAAAGTTAGCCACTGGATAGCGATTATTTCAATCGCTAAAAAATTCTTCACTCTTTGGCATAGCAAAAATTTAACTTCATGACTTTTCAGTAAGTTGAAATAGTTTTTAATAATTATAAATTTGACATTTGCTTTATAGCTCTTTCTAAGATTTTTACGCCGGTTGAAAGAATGACTATCGAGTGAATAATTTTATCCACCTTTCCAACAAGCAACACGTTTACCTCAGACGATTTTACGACAGCAAGAATTCCTATTGCCGGGAAACAAACACAGGCAATGATTGATAAAATCAAATGAGTGTTCACAACAGGTGGAACACCGGTTGCAATTCCCGGTTGCGGATTCTAAAAGAAAGAAGCAACTTCTCAATTCTTGATCAATCGATCATTTTTGTAGAATTCGGTACAGCAATTTCTTTACTATGCACTTACTTGAGTCACGTGTACTGTTGTAGAATTGATATTTTGCGAGGTGTACCCCTGAGTATTAACTTGGTGTTGACATCCCTGCCCTTTGAATTGATATCCCTGTCCTTGCTGTTGATATCCCTGTCCTTGTGGTTGATATCCCTGTCCTTGCGGTTGATAACCCTGTCCTTGTGGTTGATATCCCTGTCCTTGCTGTTGATATCCCTGTCCTTGTGGTTGATAACCCTGTACTTGTGGTTGATAACCCTGTCCTTGCTGTTGATATGCCTGTCCTTGTGGTTGATATCCCTGTCCTTGTGGTTGATAACCCTGTACTTGTGGTTGATATCCCTGTACTTGTGGTTGATATCCCTGTCCTTGTGGTTGATATCCCTGTCCCTGGTTGATATCCCTGTCCTTGCGGTTGATATCCCTGTCCCTGCTGTTGATATCCCTGTCCTTGCGGTTGATATCCCTGTCCTTGCTGTTGATATCCCTGTCCTTGCTGTTGATATCCTTGTCCTTGTGAAGAACTTGCGAAAGATGAAGGTGGAGAGCTTTGTTCTTGTGGTGTATACCCAGTGCTTCCATAATCAGTTTTTTTTAATAGATCCCCAGCCTGTTGTTGTGGGGCATCAGGCGGTAATTGCTGGTAACTGGTGTTAGAAGATGGGGTATATTCTTGATGTGGGGTCTCTTGACTTTCTGGACTGTACGGTGGTGGCTTTTCCATTTCCAGCAAGAAATCGTTGTACGTCTTTCGGGAATCGTCGTTCGTCTTTCGGAAATCGTCGTACGTCTTTCGGAAATCGTTGTACGTCTTTATACTTGCCCTAAGTAATAAATTCTCACTTTGTGATCAAGGTGCGATGATAAGCAATGGGCCATTTCCCTATTAAACTAAAGCCTGAACGAGGGAAATTCGTCGATACTATTTACAAAATGAGTAAAATTGGAAAGTTTGGTGGCGAAATATTGTAAAGTGTAAAGAATATTAGCGAATATTGTAAAATGTGAAGAAATTTCCTGGTTTTAGCATTAAGTTTAATAGGGGAATGGTCATTTATACAATGGTAAATAGATTTATCTCGTGATAAAATACCATATTTGAAGTAAATATGTAAATATAATCCACATTGTGTTGAATACAGCTAGATACAGTATACGTGCCTGTGTATTATTGTATAATTTGACTACATAGAATTAGTCAAATGTATGAACTTTAGGTTGCTTTTATGTACTGCATGAAACAACGTTATACTTCCGTAAGTCTTTACAATTCTTCTTACTTTTGTACAGTGATAAAATTCCGTAAATATAATGATTCCTGAATCCGGTCGTTTCAAAGTGTTTTGAATCGCGGAAGTATTTAATGCACATCATGTTTCAAGAGTCATGCATGTTACCATTCCCAGCTTATTAAACCTAAACATATATTTAAGATTAAGAAACTTACCTCTCTTAGAATAATTTCAGTTTATCCCCCAAGAATATATCCCAACTATATATGAATATCTTCTATCATTCGTCTTTGATTTCAAATTCGGGCTTTGTTATTCGCCCTCATTTTTGAACATGCGTCACATGATTAAAATTGGAACACCGGTAGGTCTTCTTCGTGTATATAAAACCGGAAATCATATTTGTTCATGCATGCACTTGTCGCGATATTCTGTGTCAAGTTGATTTGCTTTTATTTCTCGATTAGTTTGTGATTGCTTTTTTACAGAGCGATTATTGAAAAATATTTATTTTAACACTGATATTTCCTAAGCAGGAATCTTGAATTAAGTTAGAGCAAGTCTACTATTTATAGAATGACGATTATCTTTACATTGCAGTAATTGGGCATTTACATGAGCCCGGTTACCCGAGATTCAACGAAGCGTGAGATGATTTTGAGGTATTGAAATGAGCAGATAACATGATCCTGGCCGTCGAATAATCACCACAAGAATAGCATGTGCTTGTTTGGTGTCATAAAGACTTATTTTAATACCTCAAAGTCCTCTCACGCTTCGTTGAATCTCGGGTAACCGGGCTCATGTAAACAGCCCCTTAACAGTATGAAAATTTAATTATTTTCACGCCTGGCCTAGCTAGGCATTTGTCTATATTTGCCAAGAGAATACCTTCTCCGGTGATCTGCATGGTACAGGGTTAAGTGATGCTTCACTGTGCGGTTATTAATTATTTACATAAAACTGATTATCGTGATGTCGCCTCCCTTCTTCACTCGTCGCAATAATTGACAATAAAATTATACCACTGAGATAGCCGATAAAGCCACAAATAATGGCAACAAGTGCAAGGTATTTTGCCTTTCTTGCTGACGCCACTGCTCCGGCGTAATCCCCAGCCATGTAACGATTTTGTGTCTAATAAAAACGGATTATGGTCATTCAGTGTCGTCGATGTCGATGTTTACTGGGCCAGTGGACAAACATAACCTTTAGGGGAACAGCCTTCTTAAATCTGTCAAACTCAATTACTTGACTGATGTTAGGACTCTAGGCGTCCCACTTAAATGCATGGTATGAAATGTCCTTTTAAGCGAACCCAACATCTTACAGTTTTACCTGAGATGATTTCAAGACAGCAAAGATGCCAACTGGCAGGAAAAAGAAACAGCTAATGATTGATAAAGCCATATGATTGTCCATAATAGGCCAAGCACCTGGTGCAAATTGCGCTTGATTCTGTAACAAAGAATACAACGATCGTTTTAATAGGAATATTGAGGAATGGACCACCGGCCATCCACTTACTTGGATCAAGGGCGTTGATGGACTATAAAGTACTGATGAAGTATTAGTATATTCCACAGATTGCTGAATATTTCTCTGAGGTAGATATTCCTGTCCTCGGGGTTGATACCCCGGATCATGGAGTGGATGTCTTTGTCCTTGGGGGTAATACCTCGGAGGATCCTGAGGTGGATGGTCTTGTTCATGATGTGTGTACCCAGTCGCTCCATAGTCTCTCTGTGCTTGGTTTCCTGCCTCTTGGTTTGCCGAGGGATAGCCTGGATTCTCGGGTGGTTGATGACTGGTGTAAGGAGGTGCTACATTACCAACATATTCTTGTTCGTGGGGATCTTCACTTGGGCTGTACTGCGGAGGTTTTTCCATCTTTTACTGTCAGTCAGAAAATGAAGAAATATTCACCGTTTTGAAAGAGAGTTCTCAAAGTATGTGAGTTGCTTCAAAGTTGATTATAACGCATTCATTCAGTTTCCGCCAAATGCAAAGATCTAAATTGACAGATAATCGCATTATGAAAAAAATACACAAAGCCTAGCTTTTCGCTTTTAGCACAAGCAAGCAAATGTGCTTTGGATGGGTTTCATAGAAATTATTGGTTTTCAAGAATAACACAAATTGTTCATCCTGGTTGACGTTATAAACTTACGGCAAATTCTTAGAGAGCAAATATCAGTGTGCTTTCATTCACGGAAGTAATATGGTATATGACAAGACGACGTGAAAATTTCAATACTTACCTCTTAGAAGGTAGCAATGGTGACTAAATTTTAGTCTCTCCGTTCTGGTATATACTATGATCTCTCATGAGACAAATTTGCGACGAACATTTCAAAACCATAAATACAGTATCCTCCTCGATCACTTCACTTTGATTTTATTCTCGGGCCTTGTATATATCCGTGTTATGTCACATGATTCAGGGTAATAATACCCAGAAGGTATACAGAATACGTTGACATTGTTGCAAGCGGTCTTATATGTTCCATTCTGATCACGCGTTTGATTTATTATTTTAGCTGAATTCGTACATTGGTACTCGACTGAATATAAATCAAGACTGAGGTCAAGAGTTCGATGAATTTATAAATCCATGCATTCAAATATAAATATTATATTTCAACTGTGAAAAAAATACATTAATCCGAGGTCGAGTTTACGACCTTACAAAATTATCTCGGCTTCAAAATCATAGGCCACTGATCTCGATGTGATTTTTTCTCTAAAAATGTTTCAAATGTCTCCGTTACTGCCAAATTAAATTTCATTAAGAGTAGATTTTTTTTTTGGTCACGTACGTATTTTGGCGGGAAAACGCTCAAATAACACGTAAAAATTTAGCACGTGGAATTCATTCAGATAGTGACTATAATTATGACTATAATCAGGCCGCAAATAATGGCCGCAATTGACAGGTTTCTTGCTGATCGTGCCGATGCCACCGCTCCGACATAGTCTCCAACCATGTAACGCCTTTGTGCCTTAAAACAAAAAAAATTGTGTCTTATACTTAGGACATGTTCATGTGAGACAAGCCAGCCCATGTTTTCATGGCCTCATGTTTTCATATGAGCCCGTCAAAGAAGAGATCTCGCGTCGTTCAGATCTACCACTCACTGAACGTAAGTGAGCTTTTAGAAAACAAGGACCGGCTGTTCGAACCTCGGAAGATGGATAAAGTTAGCCACTGGATAGCGATTATTTCAAACGCTGAAAAATTCTTCACCTTTTGGCATAGGAAAAATTTAACTTCATAATTTTGAAGTTGAAATTGTTTTAATAATTATAAATTTGATATTTGCTTTATAGCTCTTTCTAAGATTTTTAGCGCCGGTTGAAAGAATGACTATCGAGTGAATAATTTTATCCACTTTTCCAACAACCAACACGTTTACCTCAGACGATTTTAGGATAGCAAAAATTCCTATTGGCGGGCTAAAACAAACACAGGCAATGATTGATAAAATCAAATGAGTGTTCACAACAGGCGGAACACCGGTTGCAATTTGCGGTTGCGGATTCTAAAAGAAAGAAGCAACTTCTCAATTTTTGATCAATCGATCATTTTTGTGGAATTCGGTACAGCAATTTCTTTACTATGCACTTACTTGAGTCACGTGTACTGTTGTAGAATTGATATTTTGTGAGGTGTACCCCCCGGGTTCCTGAGTATTAACTTGGTGTTGATATCCCTGTCCTTTGAATTGATATCCCTGTTCTTGGGGTTGATAACCTTGTCCTTGTGGTTGATAACCCTGTCCTTGCGGTTGATATCCCTGTCCTTGTGGTTGATATCCCTGTCCTTGTGGTTGATAACCCTGTCCTTGTGGTTGATAACCTTGTCCTTGGGGTTGATATCCTTGTCCTTGTGAAGAACTTGCGAAAGATGAAGGTGGAGAGCTTTGTTCTTGTGGTGTATACCCAGTGCTTCCATAATCAGTTTTTTTTAATAGATCCCCAGCCTGTTGTTGTGGGGCATCAGGCGGTAATTGCTGGTAACTGGTGTTAGAAGATGGGGTATATTCTTGATGTGGGGTCTCTTGACTTTCTGGACTGTACGGTGGTGGCTTTTCCATTTCCAGCAAGAAATCGTTGTACGTCTTTCGGGAATCGTCGTTTGTCTTTCGGAAATCGTCGTACGTCTTTCGGAAATCGTTGTACGTCTTTATACTTGCCCTAAGTAATAAATTCTCACTTTGTGATCAAGGTGCGATGATAAGCAATGGGCCATTTCCCTATTAAACTAAAGCCTGAACGAGGGAAATTCGTCGATACTATTTACAAAATGAGTAAAATTGGAAAGTTTGGTGGCGAAATATTGTAAAGTGTAAAGAATATAAGCGAATATTGTAAAATGTGAAGAAATTTCCTGGTTTTAGCATTAAGTTTAATAGGGGAATGGTCATTTATACAATGGTAAATAGATTTATCTCGTGATAAGATACCATATTTGAAGTAAATATGTAAATATCATCCACATTGTGTTGAATACAGCTAGATACAGTATACGTGCCTGTGTATTATTGCATAATTTGACTACATAGAATTAGTCAAATGTATGAACTTTAGGTTGCTTTTATGTACTGCATGAAACAACGTTATACTTCCGTAAGTCTTTACAATTCTTCTTACTTTTGTACAGTGATAAAATTCCGTAAATATAATAATTCCTGAATCCGGTCGTTTCAAAGTGTTTTGAATCGCGGAAGTATTTAATGCACATCAGTCATCATATTTCAAGACTCAAGAGTCATGCATGTTACCATCCCCAGCTTATTAAACCTAAACATATATTTAATATTAAGAAACTTACCTCTTAGAATAATTTCTGTTTATCCCCCAAGAATATATCCCAACTATATATGAATATCTTCTATCATTCGTCTTTGATTTCAACTTTGGGCCTGGTTATTCGTATTCATTTTTGAACATGCGTCACATGATTAAAATTGGAACAACGGGTGGGCCTTTTTCGTGTATATAAAACCGGAAATCATGTTTGTTTACGCATGCCTGCACTTGTCGCGATATTCTATGCTAAGTTGATTTGCTTTTATTTCTCGATTAGTTTGTGATTGCTTTCAGTTTTACAGAGCGATTATTGAAAAATATTTATTTTAACACTGATATTTCCTAAGCAGGAATCTTGAATTAAGTTAGAGCAAGTCTACTATTTATAGAATGACGATTATCTTTACATTGCAGTAATTGGGCATTTAACAGTATGAAAATTTGATAATTTCTACGCCTGGCTTACTACAATCAGTGGCATAAATATTGGACCGCTTAGCCTGGAAAAGCAACATTTTCCCCCTCCCCCCCTTTTTCAATGTTGTATGCCGAAATAAACCCTTCACGGGGCAAGCCATTGCCTTGGATTTGTTTGCCAACATTTTTTTCACCAGAAAAAGCAACATTGAAACGGGGGAGGGGGGTTACAAGTTAATTTTCTAAGATCACGTAAAAATGTACTCTGTCTATACAAGTGTCCCAAATTTTAATGTCACTGATTGTAGGCATTTGTCTATATTTGCCAAGAGAATACCTTCTCCGGCGATGTGCATGGTAAAGGGTCAAGTGATGCTTCACTGTGCGGTTATTAATTATTTACATAAAACTGATTATCGTGATGTCGCCTCCCTTCTTCACTCGTCGCAATAATTGACAATAAAATTATACCACTGAGATAGCCGATAAAGCCACAAATAATGGCAACAAGTGCAAGGTATTTTGCCTTTCTTGCTGACGCCACTGCTCCGGCATAGTCCCCAGCCATGTAACGATTTTGTGTCTAATAAAAACGGATTATCATTCACTTTATAGTATTCTCAATTTTGATTGGTTAATTTACCTGCAGTTAACTGCGTGCAAATAATACTCAGCTGCAAATAATACTCTGAGCATGCGCATTAATGTCAATTTTATAAACAATGGCGACTCGCTTTGTCGAACTGTCCGATAAAACGAACTCAAAATTGAAAATTGAGTGGTGAATGAATTGAAAATTGAGTGGTGAATGATAAAACAATTATTGAACTCGGTTCTCGCAAAATATCGTGATTTGTCGGTGGCTCGCAGATCAATTATTTGCCTCTGCCTTCGGCATCGGCAAATAATTGATCTGCTCGCCACCGACAAATCACGATATTTTGCTCGACCTCGTCCAATAATTGATAATTATGGTCATTCAGTGTCGATGTCGATGTTTACTGGGCCAGTGGACAAACATAACCTTCAGGGGAACAGCCTTCTTAAATCTGTCAAACTCAATTACTTGACTGATATTAGGACTCTAGGCGTCCCACTTAAATGCATGGTATGAAATGTCCTTTTAAGCGAACCCAACATCTTACAGTTTTACCTGAGATGATTTCAAGACAGCAAAGATGCCAACTGGCGGGAAAAAGAAACAGCTAATGATTGATAAAGCCATATGATTGTCCATAATAGGCCAAGCACCTGGTGCAAATTGCGCTTGATTCTGTAACAAAGAATACAACGATCGTTTTAATAGGAATATTGAGGAATGGACCACCGGCCATCCACTTACTTGGATCAAGGGCGTTGATGGACTATAAGGTACTGATGAAGTATTAGTACATCCCACAGATTGCTGAATATTTCTCTGAGGTAGATATTCCTGTCCTCGGGGTTGATACCCCGGATCTTGGAGTGGATGTCTTTGTCCTTGGGGATAATATCTCGGATCCTGAGGTAGATGGTCTTGTTCATGATGTGTGTACCCAGTCGCTCCATAGTCTCTCTGTGCTTGGTTTCCTGCCTCTTGGTTTGCCGGGGGATAGCCTGGATTCTCGGGTGGTTGATGACTGGTGTAAGGAGGTGCTACATTACCAACATATTCTTGTTCGTGGGGATCTTCACTTGGGCTGTACTGCGGAGGTTTTTCCATCTTTTACTGTCAGTCAGAAAATGATGAAATATTCACCGTTTTGAGAGACAGTTCTCAAAGTATGTGAGTTGCTTCAAAGTTGATTATAACGCATTCATTCTTTCCGCCAAATGCAAAGATCTGAATTGACAGATAATCGCATAATGAAAAAAATGCACAAAGCCTAGCTTTTCGCTTTTAGCACAAGCAAGCAAATGTGCTTTGGACGGGTTTCATAGAAACTATTGGTTTTCAAGAATAACACAAATTGTTCATCCTGGTTGACGTTATAAACGGACCGCAAATTCTTAGCCAGCCCGGCTCATATGAACAGGGCCTTAGAGAGCAAATATCAGTGTGCTTTCATTCACGGAAGTAATATGGTATATGGCAAGACGACGTGAAAATTCCAATACTTACCTCTTAGAAAGTAGCAATGGTGACTAAATTTTAGTCTCTCCGTTCTGGTATATACTATGATCTCTCATGAGACAAATTTGCGACGAACATTTCAAAACCATAAATACAGTATCCTCCTCGATCACTTCACTTTGATTTTATTCTCGGGCCTTGTATATATCCGTGTTGTGTCACATGATTCAGAGTAATAATACCCAGAAAGTATATGCAGACTATGTTGACATTGTTGCAAGCGGTCTTATATGTTCGATCCTGACCACCCGTTTGATTTATTATTTTAGCTGAATTCGTACATTGGAACTCGACTGAATATAAATCAAAACTCAAGTCAAGGCGAGTTGGATGGATTTACATATCAATGCATTCAAATATGAATATTATATTTCAACTGTTAAAAAATGCATAAATCCGAGATCGAGTTAACGACCTTACAAAATTATCTCGGCTTCAAAATCAGGCCACTGATCTCGATGTGATTTTTTCTCTAAAAATGTTTTCAAATGTCTCGATTACTGCGAAATTAAATTTCATTAAAACTCAATGAGTTTTCGAAAGACAAATATTCGTAAAAATTTAGCAAGTGGAATTCATTCAGACATAGTCAATCGAATTACTACGATAAATGTATATGCTGTCAGGCCGCAAATAATGGCCGCAATTGACAGGTTTCTCGCTGATCGTGCTGACGCCATCGCTCCGACATAGTCTCCAACCATGAAACGCCTTTGTGCCTTAAAACAAAAAAACGGTGTCTCACTTAGAACCTGTTCATATGAGACAAACCAGACCGTGGTTTTCATATCACAGGCGAGATTTCCCGTCACAGGCGAGATTTCGCTTCGTTCAGATCTCCCATACTCAATGAACGTAAGTGAGTATTCAGAAAACAAGGACCGGTTGTTCAAACTTTGAAAGATGGATAACGTTAGCCACTGGATAGCGATTATTTCGATTCAAACGCTAAAAAATTCTTCACCCTTTGGCATAGCAAAAATTTAACTTTATGATTTTAAACTTAGTTGAAATAGTTTTTAATAATTATAAATTTGATATTTGCTTTATAGCTCTTTCTAAGATTTTTAGCGCCGGTTGAAAGAATGACTATCGAGTGAATAATTTTATCCATCTTTCCAACAAGCAACACGTTTACCTCAGACGATTTTGCGATAGCAAAAATTCCTATTGGCCAGCAAAAACAAACACAGGTAAAAATTGATAAAATCAAATGAGTGTTCACAACAGGTGGAACACCGGTTGCAATTCGCGGTTGCGGATTCTAAAAGAAAGAAGCAACTTCTCAATTCTTGATCAATCGATCATTTTTGTGGAATTCGGTACAGCAATTTCTTTACTATGCACTCACATGAGTCACGTGTACTGTTGTAGAATTGATATTTTGTGAGGTGTACCCCCCGGGTTGCTGAGTATTAACTTGGTGTTGATAACCCTGTCCTTTGAATTGATATCCCTGTCCTTGTGGTTGATATTCCTGTCCTTTGAATTGATATCCCTGTCCTTGTGGTTGATATCCCTGTCCTTGTGGTTGATATCCCTGTCCTTGCGGTTGATATCCCTGTCCTTGCGGTTGATATCCCTGTCCTTGCGGTTGATATCCCTGTCCTTGCGGTTGATATCCCTGTCCTTGCGGTTGATATCCCTGTCCTTGTGGTTGATATCCCTGTCCTTGCGGTTGATATCCCTGTCCTTGCGGTTGATATCCCTGTCCTTGCGGTTGATATCCCTGTCCTTGTGGTTGATATCCCTGTCCTTGCTGTTGATAACCCTGTCCTTGCGGTTGATATCCCTGTCCTTGCGGTTGATATCCCAGTCCTTGCTGTTGATATCCTTCACCCTGTGAAGAACTTGTGGAAGATGAAGGTGGAGAGCTTTGTTCTTGTGGTGTATACCCAGTGCTTCCATAATCAGTTTTTTTTAATAGATCCCCAGCCTGTAGTTGTGGGGCATCAGGCGGTAATTGCTGGTAACTGGTGTTAGAAGATGGGGTGTATTCTTGATGTGGGGTCTCTTGACTTTCTGGACTGTACGGTGGTGGCTTTTCCATTTCCAGCAAGAAATCGTTGTACGTCTTTGTAAATATTGTAAGATGCCCGTAAAGAATATAAGCGAATATTGTAAAATATGAAGAATTTTCCTGGGTTTAGCATTTAGTTTAATAGGGGAATGGTCATTTATACAATGGTAAATAGATTTATCTTGTGATAAAATAGCATATTTGAAGTAAACGTGCATGTAAATTAAATATGCTGGAAGTGCGACCAGGATTGAACATATTGATTACTTGAGACGTTCTCTGGTTGAAAATATTTATTGTTTACGAGCTTTCGGCTGCCAGACTGCAGCCTTCAACGGGTAGATGTAAAATACAATGACTATAAAGACGATATGGTTTACAATTACAAACCATACGCCTATGCTTATCTATAATTACAGTGACAAAGAGATAATTAAGTGGGACAGTTAATTATCTCTTTATAGTCATTATCTCATATTGTCTTTATAGTCATTGTATTTTACATCTACCCGTTGAAGGCTGCAGTCTGGCACCCGAAAGCTCGTAAACAATAAATATTTTCAACCAGAGAATATAAATATAATCCACATTGTTTTGAATACAGAAAATAAATAAATATATATATACATTGCATAATTTGACTGCATAGAATTTATGAACTTTAGGTTGCTTTTATGCGCCGTAAGTCTTACAATATTTCTTACTTTTGTACAGGGATAGAATAATAATTCCCGAATCCGGTCGTTTCAAAGTGCTTTGAATCGCGGAAGTATATAATGCACATCATCTTTCAAGAGTCATGCATGTTACCATGCATCCCCAGCTTAACATGAACGTACTTAAGATTAAGAAACTTACCTCTCTTAGAATGATTTCAGTTTATCTCCCAAAAATATATCCCAACTATATATGAATATCTTCTATCATTCGTCTTTGATTTCAACTTCGGGCCTGGTTATTCGCCGTCATTTTAGTACATAGCGTCACGTGATTAAAATTGGAACACCGGTAGCCGGTCTTTTTCGTGTATATAAAACCGGAAATCATGTTTGTTCAGTTCATGCATGCACTTGTCGCGATATTCTGTCATTTCTGTGCTAAGTTTATTTGATTTTATTTCTCGACTAGTTTGTGATTGTTTTCAGTTTTACAGAGCGATTATTGAAAAATATAACACTGATTTATTTGAACATGCTTTGAATTGAAAATCAACCGAGATAACAGCAAATGCATACACATCTAGTACCGAGACCACACGAATGACACGCAAATCAAAGAAGGTTTCAGTTTATATATTTTAATATATATATCTATATATAAATTTACACACAAATATGGGTTATATTACAACATTCATTGCCAAAGCTTGCAGTGCAGTCTGCAGTGGAATAATGGCGTGTTTTTAATTTTTTTTTTGCACGACAGAATTTGTGGTGTAGTTAGCTATAACACATCTTAAAAGCTTTCCATCTAACAACATTTCGACAGTGTCGTTTTGACCGGTTGCAGTCTTGCGTACGACGTTCGTGATATATCTTGTTAATTTTTCCGGGTATTGGCGGTTGAACCCGAAGCAACCACGATAACAATCACAGTAATAATTAAAATAAGGCCCACTATAATTGAGGCAATCGACAAATATTTTGCCCATTTTGAATACTGCTTTGCTGAATGAAAATCTCCCTCGTTCCTGCTTGGTCCAACCTTAAAAAGAGGAGGAATTTTAGATTTGCAGAGCGATTCAAAAATGACTGTGGATTAAATGATTGTTGGATTTTTTTAAACAATGCTCGTGTATTTTACTTCGTACTTTTACCAGGATATATGAAATGGCGGAAAAGGATTGCATGGGACTAGTTTTCAAAGAAAAATCCATTTCGCGCGGTTGAAACAACTTAATATCTCTTGAAATATACTTTTATCGACTTCACATAATTACAAAATTTTAGAGTAACAAAAAGAGTAACAAAAGATATAATTGATTAAATACTGCAGAATGGATTTCTATATTTTAACAACCCTTTTGGGCGCTGATTGGCTAAAATATTAGCGGAATTTAGCGCGAAGATCTCTGGTACCTGACTTTGCTCGAAGCCAAGAATATTGGATGTGGGGGCGCGCGGTTTTCAAATATGCCATAAAGATTTAAGAATGAGTACAAAATTTTTATCCTCACCAAGCAAGACATGACAATGGCGATTAATCCGAGTGGCCAAAAGCAAAAAAGACAGGAACATATTGATAAACCCATGTAGTCTTGGACATAGTTTGCGGCCACTGCGTGGGAGGGCTATGAGGACAAAGAAAGACGTACAAATTTTGAAATATTGAGGCCATTATGACACATTTATACTGCATACACTGTCAAGTTTACAAGGCGTGCATATTGGCTGAGAGGCCTTGGGGAAATATATAAAGAAATGAAAATTTAAACCATTAATGCATAATAGATCAGATGGTTTAAAAAGTGGGTTACTATCTATATACATGCATGGAATATATTGACATTACATGTTTACAAATCATGTCACTATATATACTATTACAATCACACTAAAGCATATATTATGCATAATTTACAACGTTTATATTTACATCTGATTGTTATTCACCGTCCAGAATGTTAAAAAGATCATATATAGCTCAGTTGAAAGCAACAAATTTAATGTATAGCTGATATACGTACCACTACAACCACCGTTTGACCAGTTGGTTGTTGTGTCTGTGTGTACGGAATCACGTGAGGCTGCAATACTCCCCCGGCAGGCGGTCTTTGCTCGTAACTCGTATGCGGTTTACCGCTGTTCATTTCGTAAGATCTGGGATGGTTCATGTTATATCTGTCAATAAGTATATACTTTATGTTAGCTGTGTATATTTCTCCGACTGCCTATAATAAGAAGTGCACATATACGTATAAAGTATAGAACTGATGTTTGACTGCATAAATTGAACTGGTAACTAAAATTTGAACTACGATTATAGAAGTCTGCACAACATTGTCCTTTCCTAACGATGAAATTAATCATTAATTAATCATTAAGCCTGCTCTATAGTTTTTCCACGACGTAGTTGAGCTTATTTCATATACTGAATCAAAGTTGAACAATGTTTAAAACGTATTGACAGTTATAAATACATACAGAACGACTTACCTGTTATCAAATGAAAAGTAGAAAACGAGTTTTAGTGAACTGACAGCTCTACTTTGTCTGGAGTAAGTTTCTCTTGCAGACAACTAGTTTTTGCCGTATATAGAGAGGAGATTTAATTTTGCTCTTGATTGTGGTGTAAAAATTGTCGAAGGTTTCTTTCAACGATTCGTGCACCTTGGTTTAGTTGGATTAAACTGTGTGATGTGTTTCCTTCAAGACTTTTATACTGTCTTTGGCTAAATACCGAGAAAAATGAAGATGCATGCAAATTGCCTGCTTCAGAGCATGTGTTGACAACCGTTGTCAGCTTCAGTCGGAGAGGCGCTGAAGCCGACCTAAGTATGGCATTCACGTACGTATATCATGCGTATTTTGCCTAAATAGATTAGGTGCGTGGGATGTAATTGCTTGTCTTACAAAGCAAGTGTCGATATATCGATTAACTTATTGACTTGAGAAAAAAGATATTGTATACAATAATTCTGCCGAAGTTTTGCGTTTTGTCTTGTTTCGAACTGCAGCCGCGTGACTTTTTCATGCATTTGGATTGATTTTCTTACTTGCGTGTTTTGCTTCAACTGTGCTTGTCAATTTTTGCATCATATTTCCTATACTTCAACGCCAGCAATTAAAACGCTGAAGCTCTCTGTTGTGTTTCCGGCCTATTTCGTGGAAGCAAGATTAACTTTTTTCATGGAAATACCTTTTCCGGATATGTGCCAAGCAAAATCGTTCGTGGTAAACGAAATATATACTGCATCAATAAACTAAAGCGTGTGGCCGAAGGCATAAGGCTTTAATAATTTATAAATATTTTTGACCTGGCACAAACTACAAAGATATTATCCTTTAGTTCTTTTTGTACGCGATCAGATTATCTTACAGCAAAGATGCTATTAAAAATTTACGCAACAAATTTCTGATTTATTTTCGGCTAAGAAACACACAACAAAGGGTTTTCTGTCTGGAACAGCGGTTGTTTAGAAAATTAGAAAGGTCGAAAACAGTTTTACGCTAAGGCCCGAAGACTTATAAAGTATATATCACTATTATTATAATAATTTAATTGATAATTTTAAATTATTATATTTTTAAGAGGTTTTGTATGATATAGAAAGCCGGGTATGCGTTGTATTCTATATAGATATTGTAAGTGAAATAGAATTGACTTTATTCCAAAAAATGAACGTTTTCTCAGTTCTATAGTAAACGGCCTGCATTGGTGATTTCAAGTATAAATTTTTATTAAAAATATAGTATAATTATATACATATATCAATATATAGCTACTTTGGATTGTCTTCATGCATGCATGATGTAAACGCCAAGTGATGTATATATTATATATTGCACGCAAACTATTTCAATTGGTATCATATTTATTATAATAAGTTATTATATAACTACTTTATTTTTGTCTGCAAGTGCTGCCTGTGCATGGCCTCCTGATTAATCACCCTTGGGCAGCCGAGGAAATGATAATAATCATCAATAAGGTAACACCACAAACGATCGAGGCAATACCCAGATGTTTTGCCCACGTAGAATATCTTCTCGCTTGTTCATAATCACCATCGGTCAAACTGGAATCAGCCTAAACGCATGACACGACAGAATGAGAAAAATAAAGACCCTCGTTGATTAAGGTTATACTGATCCCTATCTCCAAAACTTGCTGCATGTATATAGTGACCCTATATAGCAACCATATATACTATATAGGTCATGTGCATGGTCGCGACACTGTATCGAGGGCTTTTGAGAGAAGTCATGCATGAAATTCCGAATGTGGGACAATCAAGATACTCACCAAACAAGACATCACGATGGCCAGTATCCCCGTTGGGGGAAAACAGCAAATGCAAGAAAAAATGGATACGACTAACCATGTGTTGATATTAGTTGATGTCACAGCTGGAGGTTGCTAGATTATAAAAAAGTCATATCACACTCTTCTTCTATACAATCTTGTGGAATCCACTGTATAATATATACTCTGCATAAAAACGGCCAAACGTTTTGCTTGGCCTGATGGAGAGGAACTTTTGCGCTATAAGCACTTCAGACATATACAAAGTTAATTGTGGTCAACGAGATATCCAGATAGCACTGACGCTTATCAAACTAAAAGTATAATGCCAAGTTAAGGTAACTTGGAAGTCATTTGAGACTACGAATATACCGTCCATTTAAACGAAGGTTAACGTTTGGATAGTTGCGTTCTTTATACGTTTATATATACGGCTGTATAGTTTAGAATAAACTTTTAGACTGAAAACACTACGACTTTTTCAGCAGGGACCCTGGTTACAATGGCAGCCCATGCAGCTTCACCCGTTTTGCCCGAGTTGTAATCTCGAGATTACTTACCACAAGCACTATCGTCTGACCAGTTTGCTGTTGGGTGTAGGGAATCATATGTGGATTCATGTGTTGTGGTTGGTGTACGTTTGCTTCGTAGACTGGTGGAGCATCATTTGCTCGAAGACCGAAGCTCGTTGCGTTCTCGTGCCCTGTCGAATATTTCGGCTCCTCTTTTGGATAGGCCTGTGGATTTGCGTCAACTGATACCGAGGTTTCCATTTTATCAAATGTCGAGATATTCTATAGAAAGCACAAGAGAAAAGGTTACACCATGCATATATTGATGTTTGCAAAGTTGCATTTTGCCGATCTGGTTAAATCACCGATCCTTATCATTTACGGCAAATTTAATGAATATTGCTCGCTTAAAACTTTAAACCTTCAACTCTGAGTGCGAATTTTCCTTTAAAAGTGTTTTTTATAGAAGCCATATACATCTTTTAGATATACCTACCTTTGCGAAGCGATATATCTGGCAATAGCTAGATGTATTCAATCTTATTAGCTATACCCGTTGGTCTTTCACAGATGCTTGCATGTATGAACAAAAACGAAGAACACGCATGTTTTGCACTTAATTTATGATATTTGGTAATCAGGTGTGATTCTTTGTCCTATGTCTAAGGGTCATTGAAATATAGATAAATTGATCAAATAAAAATTTTGGCTGAATTAGGTTGGTTTTTGGCCAACTCCTAAACGTTTAAAAGACAACAAGCACGCATGTTTACTGCGTTTCAAAGGATTCTTTGTTAAATTTTTGTCATGATTCCCCCACGTTGCGTCAGTTACGCGGGTTTCAGCGCTGTAAAGGGTTCCTTCCGCTTCTGTAATTGGTGCGTGATTGACTCTAAATTGGGGCCATCCAATGTGAAATATTCGTACTATATGCTTATTCCAAATACACGGAAAACTGTTTTCCAGGAGAAAGCGGAACCCGCGAAAGCAACAAAGCTTGCGTGCATGGGAGTACATTTTTTGTTTTTCGCTCTCTGAAGGCTTCTCGATGGTATACGGTAATTATTGAATGAGTGGGGTTGAATTATAATTATTTGAATGCATTCATTGGAGGTATACCTTCTATTATAACCATGGCCATCAGCGTGGCTGCGCCTTTATCTGATTCAGAGAGATGGCATATCGATATTCACACTGTACATAGTCTCTTCATTGATTAATTTCCTTCCGAAGTCAAAGACTAGCGCAGAGGAAGCCGGGCTTGCTCGCGATCTGGTTTTCAAAGCGCGTGCAATGGCCTACGAACGTTGATAGCCCTCGTTTTCAGCACTGATCTATTACGTGAATGTATATATAGTCAGCCGCAAATCCTACATTTATCGCGTGTCTTGCAATGATCATCAATTTGACTATATAGTCTATATCATCAGTTGACTGATCGATTGATTGAAATATCGTAGATTGCACTACATGGTCTAAACATACATTTGATGCACCACATTTTCGCGTTGCCTGTACAACCTGACTTTTCAGCATAGGCATTTTTTAATTCGCTTTATATACAGTCAATATTTTCAATATTAACAGATTTGAAGGATGGCTATAGTGAATGTCTACCTAACGTACTTCCCTGATCAGTCAACCTTGACAACGAAAACAATAACCACCTGTATCTATGACTGATTAAAGTGGGCTTCAACCTGCCTCTATATAGATTTTAATAAACTGATGCATCTTTCAACGTTACGTGTCCGAGTCGACAAACAGTATCAAGACAAATAAATGAGAACATGAGAGTGAATGAATATTGCCGTTTGTTGATATTCAATACAGGAATAATCGAGAAGAAATGGTTGTGTTTTTGTCAGAAGTGGTGAAATCGCATAACAACTGAGTTAACCGCGAACTCGTCCGGGGATATAGTAGCGTGGTCTACTAGAATGTTATGAGAAGTTATTAAATGTTTGACGCGCATTTAACATGAATTTTGTGATGCGTTTTTGTTACCAGATGATAATAATCTTAGGCTTTTGCCTAACGGTGACCGTTATAGCTCTGAGTTACGGAAAATTTGCGAGCTTTTTCAAAAATGCATCCGGCTATCTTCTGATGCCGTCGCAAGATCAGAATGCTGCAGCAACGACGAATCTCGACAAAACTCCCCCGAAGCTCAGTGACTTCAAGTTCTACAAGTCATACCACGTGAAGGGATTTCTCCGGTTGATGGCGAGTGGCTTGAATGAGCCAATAGAAGTGTGGTACAACAAGAAACACAACAAGAGTAGAATCGATTACTATGGAGGTATCTGAAATTGTGTACATTTATATAATATTTGCACGTGTCTATCATGTTGTATCACAAGATCCGCAGGTTTGTTTGCAAGATCCAATGTTGTCGGATCCAATTCACGTCTGGCGTATGCAATGTACTCTGTTTTCTTGCTAAAAGCAGTACCGCGTTTGCTGTTGACGATGTGCTGCATCGATAGACTTCAAAACAACCAACACGATGTGCTGCAGAAAGTCAATAGACTACAATATCCATTAGGAGTGGTTTTGCTAAATTTGATCGGGTGAACAAACCCGGCATTACTGATTTCTTCCATGCTACTGCAACGCAGTCTTAATGCCAAAAGAAAACATATCACTAAATATCTTTCTTTTGCAGGTGATGTGAAAACCTACCAAAATGGCCGCCTTGGTTTGCTTGTGAAGGTTGTTCCTAAATATGACTCTATAAAAAAGACGCACTCAATCGGTTGTTGGAAAAAGCATAGCAAACCCGGAGCAAAAATAACAGCACAAAGTATTCTGCCAGCGAAATGGTCTTGGCCATTTAAGGGCAGTTTAGACAAGTTTCAGGTACGATTCAACTGTATTTTTAATCACAATTGCAGGCACAATTTCTACCCTACCAAATGATGTATTCTAAAGTATGTTTCAACAAACTTTTACACAATCTTCACCCGGTCAAGGTCCCCTTATTTAATCGAATATTCGTATGATATTGCGCTCCCCTTGAGCGAACTTGTGATTCAACCTAATCTACTTTATTTTTATTGTAAAACCGAGCCTCGTTGTCACTGACAATAACACGAGGCCCATAAAAAATTCCCTCGTACACTATACACTAGTTTGAGTACGAGTTTAATGAGTAAAATACTAAAGTAGGCCGCCGGTATGGCGTTACTGGAATTAACTCTCAACTCAGTATTTGTGTAATGACCCCGTCGCATTGATTGCGGGATATTTGGAATCTAGCTATGCGCATGCGTATACCTATGAGAAATTTTCAATAAATTTGTTTCGGTATTTTCGTTATGCAGTATTCAATAATATTGCTTTCTTCGTTGTGTAAGATGCTAAAGTTTGCTAACATGCAGCCAAAGAGTGAACTGTCTGAGTGAACACGACTACAGCCCAAGCACGTACAAGGTCTTGCTTTTCAGGTTGTTTTGAAATTGTAAATTTTGGTTTTGTAGCATATCGGGGACGAGCGGATAAGAGGGAAATTCTGCACAAAATGGCGGTACGAATACAATATGTTGGGTCGTAATAATGTTTATACATACTGGGTGGAGAATAAGAATCCTCCTGCACCAGTTCGCTATGAAATGGTTGGATATGACACTTTGCTGACGTCATACTACGATAGATACATTATCGATTACGATAACTACACGAAATGGGAATATGACGAGAAAATCTTTAATATACCACAAAGTAAGAGTTTATCAGCGACCTCTTTTTCTATAGAATATCATAAAATGTTCATGCATTTTGTTGCCTCATTATTTTGATGTGCCGACATTACTCATTTTTTTCTTTAATTTTCATTTGCACAACTGCTCTTTCATAGCACCAGTGGTTAGCGTTCTTAGGGAACGAGATTGTTATTATTTTATGTCGCCACTCAACCATGAGGGTTTGTCTTAAAACGAGGTCGCGAACTTAAGTACGACTCTCATCTTCCTAAGCTATACTTTTTGCTATCAACGAGTAAGCAAAATACAAATGAAAACCGATTCATAGCTTGAGCGGGCTTGTTCGTCAATCAATCCACAGTTTCAATCCAACAGTAAAGATTGATGAATCCTTAACCGTTTTAACTTACCACAAAATGTTTTATTCGCTTGCAGTAGCTCGCTGCTCTGTTCAATAGTTGTACTCAACAACAGTAGCCGTGTTCGTATAGTTTTGTTTGGAGTTTTTCCTCTATATGCTACCCAGAACCTCTGCAAGTTATTCTGCCCTCTATTTTGACTAGTTTCAAACGACGCAGACTGCTCGAACGCTTCAGATACGGAGCACGGTGAAGAGGGTGAACATTTTATGAATCCCATTGCGGAGTTTACATTACCGCACGATGCTGTTGATCCGGTGGAAAAAAAATTTCATCGATATGGGAAAACACATGGAAAAAAGTACAACGACGAGAAGGAACACTTGAGAAGAAAACATATTTTCCGACATAATATCAGGTAATATAAGTGATAAATTTCTCTCAGTAGAATCAGTTGACTCTATATATAAAGATTGGAGCAAGGAAATCAAGGAAAACACCGCCTTTACAAAGACAAGGCAACACCGCTTTTCCAAAGACATTGACCAAGGAACAAGATTTGTGCATGCTGGTATATAAAACGGGGCCACTGTAACTGGCGTAAGAGCTTCCTGCATGCCAATCGCATGTAAATATTATACCTGTGAAAAGTTAAATTAATGAAATCATTTGGGTTGAACATCTCCTTGTACAGGCCTTGCAAGTAACACCCACATGTTCTTAACTCGACCTTATTATTCCTTTTCCTTTTTCAAGGTTCATCAATTCTATGAATCGAAAAAAACATGGTTTCAAGCTCAAAGCTAATTCGTTTACGGATATGACCGATGCAGAGTACGATCGACAAAAAGGGGATTTGCCTGATCATCCAGCTGACCTTCGCAGAGAAAAAAGAAAAACTACTTTCTATATCAATGAAAAATATAGGCCTCACAAAAGAGCACCAAAGATTCCTGATAAACTGGACTGGAGGAAATATGGTATGCACGCAGTAGGAGAGGCTTTATTCCTATTTGCATCAAAAGTGTTTGCAGTCTATTTGTCGGGGGAAGAACAAAAATATTCCGCGAGTATACTTCGAATTTGTTTCCGTTTATGACTGCAGGTGCGGTGTCCGATCCTCGTGGGCAAGGAAACTGTGGCTGCTGTTGGGCTTTTGCAGCGATTGGAGCCATCGAGAGCGCCAATTTCATAAAGGTCAGCCGTTTAAAAATAAATCTCTTCTTGCGCATGTATAATCGTAAAATATACTCCAGTTGTTCGAGCTTTTCATTCGGACAAAAAGGTATATTATTAAATTCCAAACATTGTCTTTCGGACAGACAGGAGAAATGGTTAAACTTTCTGAACAGCAGATGGTTGATTGCACTTGGAAAGTGAAAGGAGCATGGAAGAATAAAGGTAATCGTGGTTGCCATGGAGGTATGGCGTGGAAGGTGTTTTTCTGGGGTAAAAGTCACACGATAGCAACCAGTGAAAGTTATGGGCCATACAAAGGTCAGGTAGGTCGGGTTTTTCTGCGTTGCGTGTGACAGTTTGTAACATATTTTCAGTGTAACAATTTTGCGACATTTTAGAACATATTGTAACATTTAAGTTTTTAACAACTGCAGCACCTCAACCAGGTATAACTTGATATACGAACACCCAAACCAAGACCAATCTATCGATATTTACCAATCTATTGCAGGAAGGATATTGTAAAACAGAGAATATAACCGAGGGCGCAAAGATTTATGGGTTCAGACGAGTAAAGAAACATAGTGCGAAAAGTCTCAGACGGGCCGTAGCATATCACGGACCAGCGGCAGTTGCAATAAATTCGCATCCGCTGACACTCAAGTTTTACAGCCATGGAGTGCTGGATGATAAAAGTTGCTGTAGGTGAATCTCTATAGAGACATGTATTTTAGCTGGGCAAATTTTTGTGTTTCGAGTTAAATTACCAGGCCACTTCTATTTTGATTTCTCCTTTTATTATAATCTCATTGTTAATGCGGTTATCATGGATACAGAGCTAGTCAAGAAACATTCATGCTTACTCGTATCTCCGTCCAAACAAGGGCGTGCAGTTGACATAACTCCTGAAGATAATACTTCATAACTCCTTAATAATTCAGATTGATAAATCACATATTAATATTTCACTGTAGACAAGTTCACTGTCAAATTCTAATGAACTATACGGCACTTCGCATTTGAAAGGCATTATTTTTTGCTCACCTTGAATCTTATGTTTTTACTTCGCAGCCAACGTGACGGATCATGCAGTGTTGGTAGTTGGTTACGGCCAAGAAAATGGGGTAAATTATTGGCTGGTTAAGAATTCCTGGTCAACAATGTGGGGTGACAAAGGATACGTGAAGATACGAGAGGATAGATGTGGGGTACTCAATAAGCCCGTGGTTGTGCTGAATAAACATATTAAATCTTATCCATGGCGTAAAAACATGAAATGGAGAAATAATTCTAAACTGAAGAAAAGCATTAGAAAATCACATAAAAAGCATCGAAGGAAGAAAGCATTGAAACGGAAATAAAACATCATTAGGGATTGAAGTGCATGGAAACCACACGCCTTCCGAGAATCACAATAACTCTGATTCTTATTAAATAGTTTTAGCATAATTATATATTTTACTATGATAAAATCACTGGGTTTTGATTGGTTGAGAGGAGAACTTTTATTTTATTAATTTCAGAACAGGAAAATTCGGGATTTTTCCAAAATAAACAAAATGGCGAGAATTTATTTGCACATGTACTAGACAACCCGACACCTCGGAAATTGGAAGACATTGTGATACTTCCGAATTAATAACCTTGTCTATACTTTAAGCCTCGAATGGTCTTCACGGACAGCCTGGAGAAGCCCTGGAGAAACTGGATAAAAGTCTTCATCGCAGCCGCATGTCGATCCTACAGAGAGCTAAGTCTGAACGAGTTCCACCGTCGCTAAAATGCCTGAGTTATTGTTGTACTTTCGAATTCCAAAACCTCAATTAGGATTTCGATGGCAACTCCATAAAAATTAGAAACAAAGATATATCACATTACATATTGCGACAAAGATTATGACCCTAGATGATTATCTGATTCTCCGATTTGTCACATGCTACTTAAGCTTGCTAGTTTCTCACATTTTTCACATTTTGCGAATTTCTCACAGGGCACTCAGTGCAGTCGAATGTAACTGTCTTTCAAAGCTTTTGATTATGTGCGTATTTATTTATACAACTCTCGTGTATGTATTTAAAAGGGAGTCGGGCAGGTGCGGGCTGAGAAATGAATTTTGAGAAGCTAGCTATAATGTGCTGATATTAGGATCATGGCAACCAAGATCGGCTTTCTACCTGGTCGTGTCTTCCTTGTCCTTGTTGTGGCCACTGTTGCAGCTATTCTTTTTTTTGCTTCATATTTAGAAAGCAATGGAGGACAAAAGGTTTCGAATATGTATGTTTCCTTGTACGTGCATGCATCCAAATCAACATTGTTCGCTTGGTTGCTATAGCCTGGCGCGTACACGTAGTCTGGTTTAATAACTTAGCACGCACATCGCTTCCGTGTCAGTCATCACCGAAATGTTTTATCATTCTTGCTCATTTTTACGACACGAATTATAGAATATCTCAATATTTTTTTGGCAGATCTAGACTAGGATGTGTCCGTGACAATTGTCACAAGTGGTATGCGCCAGGCTTACGATTGACTATTATTATTATTATTATTTTTAAATTCAATTGATAAATTACATATAGCAGAATGTACGTATGATAATCTGTTGTCTGTTTATGAGACTTTGTCCACTGCCGAGTGCCGTGCTTATTCTTTGAATTCTTATTCTTATGTTCTTGTCAACCGTACCCATGCATGCATGCATGTTGTCCGGCAATTTTTGATTTCCCGAGGGAATGATTGAATGAATGCCTTCATTTCTGTATTTTATTCAAATATATAATATTCAAATGTATTTTATTCAATTATTCAATAATCATGCAATTGCAACTTACTAATTTCTCACATTTTTATTAATGAAATAGGGCAAGCGTTATGACTCTCTCCACAGCTTTGTGTATGTATTTATGTATTTAATTTGAATGATTCGGGCAGGCGCGGGTTGAGAAATTAAATTTAATAAGAAGCCATGTAGCTACAGTTGGCTGATGTATTATGGCAACCATTATCAACTTTCTCCGTCGCCGACACTTTCTTGTCCTTGTGGTCGTAATGGCAGCTCTTGTTTTTTTTTCTTCACACTTTATTCCTTTCCTATCTACAGTCAAACTTCCTAGGCTTTCAAGAGATGCAGGAAATAATGGAGGACAAAAAGTTTCCAACATGTATGTTTTCTTTGTATGTATGTGCATGCGAATCAACATTGTTCGCCACCTGTGCTGACGATGTGTTGTCTTTCTATGAGACTGTAGTCATTTAATAGTAGTACGGCGAAAAATGCGGTGTGTTTAAACGCAGTGTGGACTGTGTGGTTGGGCGAAAATGCAGCAAATAAAGGCGAAAGCATCTGAATACGGCAAAGGTATATAAAATCGTTACGCTCTGCATGACAGCCAACGCGATGAAGTGTCAAATGAGTTTGAATTTGAGCTAGCTATTAGAGTAAATAGATGTGATTTCATTCCGTGATTCCGACAATACTGTATGCTTGTTTGGTTTCATCCACTGAAGACTTTAATTCCAAAAAATCATCAACAAGCATCCTAAATTTTACCTCATTGACATTGCATGCATGAAGGCTGTTTATACACCCACGTAAGTCTAAATCCTTATATACTATAGACGCCGGAAGTAGTTTAAGATGGCGGCGGCAAAGTTTTAGAAGAGGGCAGAATCATTTTACCTTGGCAGCTTGGTTTTCTGCATACTTTAATGTGCATTAGTTGACTTAGATGTTAAATAATAAAAATTTGGTGAACTGCATGTTTGTTTAAGGTCAGGTTTGTGTTTGCGTATGTACAGAGCCTCCTTGAGTTTGAGAGAGAAGGAAGTATTACTGAGCAGTGTCTAGGATAATGAAGCAAGAGCGGGTGCATGTACTTAGACTTGTAGTTAGGGTTTTGTTGGTGTTTGTCTTCGACTCTTTGTAGAGGATTTGATAGTGCAGCATATAACCACTGACGTGTTTGTAATATATCGATGCTGCTCGGTTACAAACGCACTGAGCTGTCAACCCGACTCGCTGTTCCTTGTTTAGGTCGGAAACATGTGTTCTTGTTCAAAACACCGACTCGTACTGAAATAGGAGCAAAATGAAACCAATATTGATGATATGGCGTTTGTATATTCGTTTCAAATCCCGACCATACAAGCGTCGAGCAAGTCTTCCAGGCCACCTGTAAAGCTTGGTTTCCATATGACGCCGACGTCTGAAAGTATTATTATCCGTGATTATTGAAGAGTGAAGTATATTGTCTTTGAAATCATTTTCTCCCTGGATGATTACAGACAATAAGTCGGCGACAGGTCGGTGTCATATGGAAACCAGGCTTAAGGTATAGGATTGCTGTAGGAATCTTCAAATCCTCCCAATGACTAATGACATAATCTAAAGGTTACGTTTACACCAGACACAATAAAAGTTTTAAAAATAGTAATTTGTAACTTTTACAGAAACAATACGAATTTGGCTTTGGCTCAAAAAGTTAAGGAATTGTCAAAAAATTTGATAGAACTTCAGAGAAGTTTAGTAACATCAGTCAGTCACCAGCAGAAAGTGGGCTTACTTATTCAAAAGACCTTTCAAATATTGACAATACTGAATGAAGAAAACCCCGATGGGAACCTGTTGGAAAACCCGCAAGAAGAAAATGTTAAGAAAGAAGTTTGCCCCGAACAGTTCATGGGAAAGAAACTGAACTATGGCTATCCGCTGTTCCGAAAAGGATTTGACCGTGTCGATTGCAAAGAGTTTATTCCAAATGAAAAACTTATAACAATTGTGGCGATTATACCAAACGAGATTGGGAGACCTGCGCAAAGTTACTTAGAGATGATGCAGGGTATAGAGAAATATTACCCTGGGATGCGGGTAATATTAGTCACGCAAAAACAAGTGCAACCGTCGGTCACATCTGACATATCTAAACTTAAGATTAATTTTGAAAATTTTGTGATGAAAGCGGATTCAGGCCAAGGCGCCTTGTTGCAGGAACTTGTTGGTAAAGTCTCCACACCCTATGTGTTAATAGCAATAAATATTACTCACTTTGATGACGATATTAACCTGGAACGAATGGTTCGTATTCTCAGTTACAAACCTCAAGTGAAATTTGTCGGTGGTGCTTTCCGCAATTTGAAAGGACAGTGGGATATGGGTTGTCAACAGGTGTCATTTAGAAATATGACCGCTAAGTTCATGGGAGGATATTACAGGTCATTCAATGAATGTGTAGTCTGTGATTTTTTGTCAGGACCAATAATGGCGAGGACAGATACTTACAAAGAATTGCCATTTGATACCAGGTAAGGTAATACACTCACGGATCCAGGATAAGGTAGAATAAATGACTACCTTCTTTAGAAAGTCAGAACATGACTACATATTCTTTAGTAAGTGAGAACATATAGTATACATGGTATACACAGTGTAAGAACACATAATGGCACTAATGATTTTAAAGGCTAACTTTTAAAGAATCTTTGTTTCTTTCAGTATCAAATTTGGCTCAATTTATGATCTCTTTTGGCGCTTCAAGAAACAAACACCGCAAAAAATCGCCGTATCGTGTCCGGATGTCATGTTTAACATTCAAAGTCGCGATATTGCCGACGAAGAGCTTGTAACGTTCGCAAACAAACATCAAATTCACAGGATTATCGATCCAGATGGTAGGGTGCGCTGGTATGGATGCCGAAATGGATATTCTTACACTTCTGCAAAGTTGTGCAAGAGAGGAAAAGGAATACACTTATCTCCTGCAGATATGGAAAACCTCGCTGATGTGATGAAATTTTTTATGAAAGCATGTGATGATGCCGGCGCTATTTGCGAATTTGACTCCGGAACGATGATAGGTAAAAATACCACAATTGAATACTCTCCCAATAATCAACCCATTCTTCTGCTTTCCCTCTGGTCGGAGGTTTAATTTCTAAAATTTGCAACGAGGGGCAATGTATGAAGAATGTTCATTGCTCGTTGTTTACCGCCGATTAAAATTATTGTGTCACCAATCAATAAAGTGTCGGTATATTGAAAAACATTTTACTTTGCTTTGCTTTACTCATAAATGAATATAAGCTCGAGTATAAGGTATTGTCAGAAAAAAAGAAACACTCAAAATTTGAGCATGCAAAAATTGAACTGTTGGTGCTTGCTAACGCCTCCTACACACAGCACACCGCCTTCAAGATTTGTGCAATGTTAATTAATACTAACTAATTTTCTGATTCTTTGGACAGGTGCCGTCAAGCTCAACGGTGTTCTCCCTTGGGACATAGACGGTGACATCACATTCCTTTCTAATAATTTCTCTGTTCTGAAAAATCTTCAGGACAAAGTAAAAAACGCGGGTTACAGCTTGAAGGTTGGTTATGGTACTACGGTGAAAAATGGTCGTACGGAACGTGGGTTCTTTGATTTAAGAACAACAAACTGGGACGTAGAGTTATGGGGCATGGCAGAAACGAAATTTGGAAGTCAAATAGACGTTGCCCGTGGGGTGATTCCAACCAAGGTTCTGTTTGCTGGACAATGGGTCAATCATCCGCATAACCCCGGGCTTTTTGCCCGCAATCGTTACGGTCCTGGGATATACCAACATCAGGAACATTGGCGAAGATATGGTCGCAAGAGTTCCTGGTTGTTTTATACTCCAGGAACTTTCCTTCCATGTCCTGAGCCGGGCCAGTCATTCTGCCTCGATCAATACCCCATTGATGGTAATATGCAATTTAGGGATTATTGCCCACTGTGATCATGAGACTAGAAGAATTGGAATGCTGTACCAAGATTTGTAGATAGGTTAATTTTAGATAGATACATACGTACATGGTTTAATACAATCAATTACTGCAGTTTTGATGACTGAATTACAAGTGATCATATCATTCATATTTATAGTTCCTGATTGTAAAATATATTCTTACCCGAATTAAATCTAAACTTAATCAAACAGTATCAAAAGAACGGTTTTTTTGTTCCTCTTGGAGGAATTGCCGCCGTATCATGCGAGCGAAATCGAATCGCGCATTAGTCAGAGATTTCGAGCTGTGCACCACAACTCTTGGGAGACAAAGCTGTGACGTAGATAAATACAGTTGGCTGATAATATTCAGGCAACCATGGTCGACTTTCTACCTGGCCGAAACTGGCCGATACTTTCTTGTCCTTGTGGTTGTGATTCAGATTGCAGTTATTATTTTTTTCTCTTTATATTTTATTCCTTTCCTATTCACGGCTTTACGATGTTTTACGACGGGAACTATCGACCGGAAGTGAAAAGGGTCTGGACGCGAGGTTTTGTTTTAATTTTTTGCCGTCGTAGCAGATTTGGAGGGGCGAAAGTTGTGTTTTTTCATCGAAAAGTCTTTTAAAACGCAGGTAAATTTAATAAATGACATGAAATTATATAATTCGTTTTAGGCGATTAATCTGTTAATTAAATGCAGCTCTTTTCTGTACTAATATGCTTTTAATTTCAATGAATTTAACAGGTACCAAAGTCAAAATATGCAGAACCTGACAGGACGACACCAACAGAAAAAAAAAGCCCGAATCTGCAAATATTTTTTGTCTTTTCTTAATCACCATCATCCTGTATTGTTACAGTTATGAAAAAGACATTGGATATACCATGGTAAAGATCATTTTAGAAGTAATTAATATGGCACGATGAAATATACGTTATGCAATGGAGGGAAATCCAGTCAGAATTTAAAAGAAGTCACTCGATCAAGTGGAACAAACAAAAGTACAGGCTGTAAAGAAAGTCTGGGAAAGGAGAAGTGAAGAAGATGCAACAGGAAAGCTGGAAAAAAAGACAAGAGGTAATGGAAGTGCCACAATGAAATATTTGAAAGAGATGGATGATTAGATGTCAGAGTTAAAAAAACATTAAAATTGTGTATTGAGGAAGCAAATATGAGGCAAGAACAGCTGATGTTGACAATGCAAGTACCAGCAGTGGATGGAGACATAATGGAGACAAAATATGTCATATAAATTAAAATTTTTAGAGTACATTGCATACACATAATAAACAATTATTGGATGAGGTTTTTGTGATATGCAGAGTTATCAAGGTCGAGGTAAGCGTTATCAAGAATAGTTATGAAATCTTCAAATTTTTTAAAAATCTATTGAAAATATTTGGCAATATTATCAAAGAACCATTCCACACTCATCCTAACAGCACTCATTGAGCTCTTACACTCCTGCAATCGAGGTGTTAAGACAGCACACTGGAATTGTGCCTGCATGTGTACCCAAAGTGGGTATGCTGGATCCCCATAGATGCATAGTAGCTCATTGGTAGTCAAGTCATCATGCTGCTTACCCTCTAGATAAACAAAAAACAACTTGCTATACATATACAGTAATATAGTATACCATATATTTATTTGACCAGTACAATACACAGATATATTTAATTAGATATAATTTTAAGTTTGAAATATATATATTAAATACATGCATATAGTTCCTGACTTACAGGACCAAACAAATTTATAGGGATTATAGCAACTGTGTATCTTTCTAGACACTCACAGTCAGGAGTCAGGATGGTTTTGTTGGCATTGGGTATTCTGTGGCCATGAGTTTGGAAAATAGGTTCAAAAGACAGGATTTTTCGATGTATTTCGATCATGCAATGAAACCAACTCGTCTTCGCCAGTCAAGCCATCGTCATAGGCATCCAACAGCAAGAGATGCCATTGGAAAAGAAAGATTTCTTGATCAAATATTTGTCACAAGTGTAAACATACTGTAATTAATCTTTGTTTACATTATTCTGCGACGGGGGGGGGAATTCTTCTCGCCCCAGTTTTAATCGTCTTTTATTCACGCCCCATCGAAAGTCTAAACCACGCTTTGCTGAAGGTCGCCTATTATGGCAACCATGTTCGACTTTCTACGTGGCCGACACTTTCTTGTCGTTGTGGTTGTGATTCAGATTGCAATTATTCTTATGCTCTCTTCACGCTTTATTCCTTTCCCATTCACGGCTAAACTTACTTCAGCGTCAATTTCAAAGAATGCGGGAAATAATGGAGGACAAAAAGTTTCCAACATGTATGTTTTCTTTGTATATGTATACGCATGCGAAACAACATTGTTCGCCGCCTGTGCTGACGATGTGTTGTCTTTCTATGAGACTGTAGTCATTTATAGTAGTACGGCGAAAAACGGAGTGTTCAAACGCAGTGTGGACTGTGTGGTTGCCGGTTGGGCGAAAATGCAGCAAATAAAGGCGGAAGCATCTGAATACGGCAAAGGTATATAAAATCGTTACCTGTGTCGTTCGCTCTGCAGAACACTGCTGCAGAATAGCAGGTTGTCACGTGAGCTCTCGACAAATGAGATCGCTCTATTTTCTCATCGCATTTCAGAGAAATTGTGGCTAAAATTTTTGCATTCGTCGCAAAATAAATAGAGAACAAATATAAATATTTACATTTTCGAGTAAATTTCAAGTGTACTTACAGAAGAAGTAACGATCTAGTGGTCTCTGCAAAAATCTCAGAGGTAAATGTTATATTATATCTAATTGCTTTTATAATTTAATTTCAGAGAGTTACAAGTTGTTTTAAAAAATGTTTTTTAGAACTTTATATTCCATTGCTGTTTTTGGTGATGAGCGACTGGATCGTTTACGTGTTTCAAACGAAATTATCCTGGGGTTTTTGTTGCATATTCAACAATTATTCCTCAACATGGTCAACTTTAGCGTGCTATAGCAAATCCAATTTTAATATAATGAAGTCCATTTGAATATAATATCTTCACAGAAAACTGCATGGACTGAACATAGATAATTGTATGGTAGCTAATGAATTGTTGACATCATCAATTATATACCATGTGTTGGAGTTCTTAATTGAGCATAATCATAAAAATTATGTATGTGTCTGTCATTTCTACAAGCATTATATACATGCTAAGGTATGTAATATGTGGCAATGCTACAGCTTTTAGAAATGTTCATATTTAGAGTGAGGATAATCATGATTTGCACAAATCACATGCCAATTGTTTCTGACATGGGCCAATTTTTTAGTGTGTATTACTATGTATCATTCAACATATATCATAATTTCATAATTGTGGAGTTTTGATCAATTCAATAACAATAAAAAATAAACACTTTTCCATTGTTACAATACGTTTATTGGGAGAATATTTACATTTTGGGTTAACTAAATCGGTGTACTTTTTTCCCTAACAGATAACATATACCCAGTTCCATTAATTATATATACTGTTTTGTTTACAAAATGACCAAAAAACTTGCCAAGCATGGCTTTTATATATGCAACAAATATCTGTCAAAGTGACAGGTAAGTCACTCCTAATTTGATACATCAAGCATTAGACTTCTTCATCACTTTTATCCACATCTTGACTCCACAATTCTGCCATAATGAGACTAAACCAGGTTAGGACCAGCCAACCATATAAGTAAGTAGGTCTCTTTCTACAAAATCATAAGAATTTTTTTTATTTATTGGTTCTCTCTAATTATGTAAAATTGAAAAAAATAATATTTAACTACAGCTTGCACATTCAAACAGCTATAAATACATACAATGTACGTATTCAGTATGAAAGTACCATTCTGAAAACAGCAAAGACGAAATTGTACCAAATAAGAAGTGTTGTTTAATGCATGTTAAATAATATACCAACCATGAAATGGTTCAATTTTTATCAAAATCGGCCAAGTATTCGCACAGGAATCGCAAGCAAGGGCCTAAATCCTGGGTGGGGGATGGAGGGGACATGTCCCACCCCCCACAGGGGTTGAATATGTAATTGTCCCCCTGACTTTTTTATACCATAGTGTCTCAAGAAATGTGAACTTGAAAGTCCAAACTATTAACATTCGACAATTCCATATAAAACAATTGATAAATGATGTAATTGTTTACCAATTTACAGAAACAATGCGAATTTGGCTCAAAAAGCTAAGGAATTGTCAAAAGATTTGATAGAACTTCAGAGAAGCTTAGTAAAATCAGTCGGTCACCAGCAGAAAGTGGGCTTACTTATTCAAAAGACCTTTCAAATGTTGGCAATACTGAATGAAGAAAACCCCGATGGGAACCTGTTGGAAAACCCACAAGAAGAAAATGTTAAGAAAGAAGTTTGCCCCGAACAGTTCATGGGAAAGAGACTGAACTATGGCTATCCGCTGTTCCGAAAAGGATTTGACCGTGTCGATTGCAAAGAGTTTATTCCAAATGAAAAACTTATAACAATTGTGGCGATTATACCAAACGAGATTGGGAGACCTGCGCAAAGTTACTTAGAGATGATGCAGGGTATAGAGAAATATTACCCTGGGATGCGGGTAATATTAGCCACGCAAAAAGAGGTCCAACCATCGGTCACATCTGACATATCTAAACTTAAGATTAATTTTGAAAATTTTGTGATGAAAGCGGATTCAGGCCAAGGCGCCTTGTTGCAGGAACTTGTTGGTAAAGTCTCCACACCCTATGTGTTAATAGCAATAAATATTACCCACTTTGATGACGATATTAACCTGGAACGAATGGTTCGTATTCTCAGTTACAAACCTCAAGTGAAATTTGTCGGTGGTGCTTTCCGCAATTTGAAAGGACAGTGGGATATGGGTTGTCAACAGGTGACATTTAGAAATATGACCGCTAAGTACATGGGAGGATATTACAGGTCATTCAATGAATGTGTAGTCTGTGATTTTTTGTCAGGACCAATAATGGCGAGGACAGATACTTACAAAGAGTTGCCATTTGATACCAGGTAAGGAAAAACACTCATGCAGTGACATATTGAGGATAAGGTAGACTAAATGACTACAGCCCTAACTTGTAATCATATCGATTTTTGTTCAGTTCAACATATTCTTTATAGGAAGTCAGAACACATGATGGCACTAATGATTTTAAAGGCTAACTTTTAAAGAATCTTTGTTTCTTTCAGTATCAAATTCGGCTCAATTTATGATCTGTTTTGGCGCTTCAAGAAACAAACACCGCAAAAAATGGCCGTATCGTGTCCGGATGTCATGTTTAACATTCAAAGTCGCGATATTGCTGACGAAGAGCTTGTAACGTTCGCAAACAAGCATCGAATTCACAGGATTATCGACCCTGATGGTAGGGTGCGCTGGTATGGATGCCGAAATGGATATTCTTACACTTCTGCAAAGTTGTGCAAGAAAGGAAAAGGGATACACTTATCTCCTGCAGATATGGAAAACCTCGCTGATGTGATGAAATTTTTTATGAAATTATGTGAAGATGTCGGCGCTATTTGCGAATTAGACTCTGGAACGATGATAGGTAAATATACCACAATTGAATACTCTCCCAATAATCAACCCATTCTTCTGCTTTCCCTCTTGTCGTAGGTTTAATTTTCAAAATTTCCAACGAGGGGCAATGTATGAAGAAGATTCGTAGTTTACATTTAGTATTGGTTATAAATCAATAATGTGTCGGTATATTTAACAACATTTTGCTTTGCTTTACTTTGCTTTGCTTTACTCATAAATGAATCTAAGCTCGAGTATAAGCTATTGTCAGAAAAAGAAAACACGCAAAATTTGAGCATCAAAGTAGCCTAACTGTTGGTGCTTGCTAATTAACGCCTCCTACACACAGAGTTGCAAAAAAGCTACGGGTACGCGGGTACCACCCGGAGGAAGGTTTGCTTTGAATAAGGTTTGTGAGGAAGGTTAAAAGTTGAGCACTCTAATTGATGCTGGTTGCCACTTGACTCAGTGACGTAACGTCATTTTGAGGAAGGTTTTCAAAACTTGAAATCCTACCGGAGGAAGGTTGAACTCTTTTTGCAACTCTGCCTACACACAGCACACCGCCTTCAAGATTTGCGCAGTGTTAATACTAACTAATTTTCTGATTCTTTGTACAGGTGCCGTCAAGTTCAACGGTGTTCTCCCTTGGGACTTGGACGGTGACATCACATTTGTTTCTAATAATTTCTCTGTTCTGAAAAATCTTGAGGACAAAGTAAAAAACGCAGGTTACAAGTTGAGTGTTGGTTATGGTACTACGGTGAAAAATGGTCGTACGGAACGCGGATATTTCGGTTTGAAAACAACAAACTGGAGGGTAGAGTTATGGGGCATGGCAGAAACGACATTTGGAACTCAAATAGACGTTGCTCGGGGGGTGATTCCAACCAAGGTTCTGTTTGCGGGACAATGGGTCAATCACCCGCATAACCCCGGGCTTTTTACTCGCAATCGTTACGGTCCCGGGATATACAAACATCAGGAACATTGGCTAACATATGGTCGCGGGAGTGGTTGGTTGTTTTATAATCCAGCAACTTTCCATCGATGTCCTGAGCCGGGCCAGTCATTCTGCCTCGATCAATACCCCACTGATGGTAATATGCAATTTAGAGATTATTGCCCACTTTGATAATGAAACTGGAAGAATTGGAATGCTATACCAAGATTTGTAGATAGGTTAATTATAGATAGATAGATACATACGTACATGGTTTAATACATAAAAATTCCCGCAGTTTGGAAGACTGAATTACAACTGATGTTAGAAAATATAAATATAGCTAACTAAATATGCCGGTTACGCAAAGATTTATTGGTTCAGACGAGTAAGACGGGCAGTATGAAAGAAAGAAGAGTCATATCACGGCTAGCAACATTCGCATACACTGACACTAGAATTTTAAGCTATAGAGTGGTAAATGATCAAGTTGTAAGTGGTTCTCTTTTAACATGCATGTATTTCGTCCGGGCAATTGTGTATTTCCCGAGGGCGAGGGAATGAATGCTTTTATTTCCTTATTTTATACACTCTGAATATCATTATTAATACGGCTATCATGGTATACAGTGCAAATTTCCACGCCCAACAGTATTCAGCTGACTAATTATTCGCCGAAGGCGAAGGCGAGGTGAAAATCGCTGAATAAAAACCGAGACGAAGTCGAGTCGCCGTTTTTCAGTCACTTTTCCAGTTCCCAGAAGTCGTCAACCGTGCTTGTCGCCAACAAACATGTTGAAGAACATTTGCGGAGCCGAATATTTGAGGCGAACGGAAAGCACCAAATAATATTGCAACAAAAGATATGGCGCTGGGTTATTATGCTACTTAAACTTGCTAATTTCTCACATTTTTATTAATGAAATAGGGCAAGCGTTATGACTCTGTCTACAGCTTTGTTTATGTATTTATGTATTTAATTTGAATGAGTCGGGCAGGCGCGGGTTGAGAAATTAAGTGCGAGATTGTAAGAAACCATGTAGAGTCTGCTACAGTTGGCTGATGTTATTATGGTAACAATGGTCGACCTTCTACGTGGCCGAAACTTTCTTGTCGTTGTGGTTGTGATTCAGATTGCAATTATTCTTTTTTTCTCTTCATATTTTATTCCTTTCCCATTCACGGCTAAACTTCCTTCACCGTCAATTCCAAGGAATGCAGAAAATAATGGAGGACAAAAACTTTCAAACATGTAAGTTTTACTTTGTATGTGCATGCAAATCAACATTGTTTGCCGCCTGTGCTGACAATGTGTTGTCTTTCTATGAGACTATAGTCATCACACTATAGTTGCACGGCGAAAAACGCAGTGTTTAAACACAGTGTGGACTGTGTGGTTGGGCGAAAACGCAGCAAATAAAGGCGAAAGCATCAGAATTGACTGAATACGTCAACATTATATAAAATCGTTACGCTCTGACTGTTGAATTAATCGATCTAGCTCAGCCCACGATGAGGTGTCAAATGAATTTGAGGTATTAAAGTGAATAGATAAACATGATATTGTCAGTGTTGTTTTCAATATGTTGTCATAGCATAGGTTTGTTTGATTTCATCCGCTGAAGACTTTAATTCCACAATATAATCATCAATCGTCCTAATTTTTACCTCATTGACATTGTATTAGTCATTAGGAATATTTCAAGTATATTATCTTATATAATATTATAAGAATATTTCAAGAAATATGATGATACAGGCGAGGTGATACTCAATGAATAACATTATTTACAACAATGATTAACAACATAACAGGTACAAGATATGCATAATTTAATAGTAGGACAACACGACAGACCTGTGGACAGACAAAATTATAACTGGAAAATAGTATTAAAATGCTGAACCTGCATGTTTGTTTAAGGTCAGGTTTACGTTTGCGTATGTACAGAGCCTCCTTGAGTTTGACAAAGAAGGAAGTGTTAGCAGTGTCTAGAATGAGGCGTGTGGACGGTGTGGTCATGCAGCATATAACCGCGTGTTTGATTTGCAATATATCGATGCCGCTCGCCAGGATATAAACCCACTGAGCGGTCAACCCCAAGAGCGATTGCCTCCAAGATGACATAAACTTATTCTCGTCATATAAACTAAGGGGCTGTTTACATGAGCCCGGTTACCCGAGATTAAACGAAGCGTGAGAGGACTTTGAGGTATTGAAATAAGTCTTTATGACACCAAACAAGCACATGCTATTGTTATGGTGATTATACGAAGTTCACTGCGTTTATTACTCCGGCGTCAGCGACGGAGTTGAAAATTCGCCCCGGTTTTGTTTTGTTGTTTTTTTTTTTGTTTTTTTTATTTTTCGTCGTCGCAAGTCTGAATGGCGCGAAACATTGTAGTATTTAAAATATGTATGTAACCGTATTTATATACGTCCCAGTCCTATCTGCCAAGAGTTGTGGTGCACAGCTTTGGCTAATTTTCCAATGCGCGATTCGATTTCGCTCGCATGATACGGCAATTTCTTCAAGAGGAACAAATAAACCGCTCTTTTCATGCTGTTCGATTAAGTTTAGATTGAATTGGGGTAAGAATATATTTAATACATGTAGACCCGGTCCTATTTTAATAATATCACTGCTATTTCGCCGTTTAACAAAATGATGTGGTCGTGTATGGGCGCGTTGACACGTCGCGTAGTTTGCACAGGATCGAAGATTTAATACAACTATAGAAGCGCGAATTCCAAAGGCAAAGTGTAAGACGAAGCGAATGTATCATGCGGTTTATTTACATTTTTGAACAATTGAACTTTTATACTGCGATGTGCTTCTGAATTTCGCCATCGAACATTTAGGTTCGCAAGGCATCTAAATGCGAATATGTATGCAAAACAATACGCGAACTGTATTGTTTATGTTCAGAAGCTCTATATTGAAGACTGGCACGTGCGCCGGAGTTAACGCCAGAACGGTGTTTTTGAACAATTGAACTTCTATACTTTTTAAAGTACGATGCTTCTGAATTTTGCGATCGAACATTTATAGGTTCGCAACAGCCTCGTCCCCAGGCTCCATTACGTGCGCGTGGGGAATGTCGCGCGCAGGGATTTTAACACGAAATAGAGCCTGGCAGAAAATGCAAGCCATTCTACAGAAATCGAAGAGAAATGTATTTTGTTACATTTTGTTACATCTTAATTTTTGACACAGTCTTCTCTCCCACACAAAACCTTTCCTCCAATAAACGCATCGAATATTGGTCTTCGCATTGTGTCCAGCAAAGAACGCTCACTATCTGTCAACTTAAGAAATACTTGCTCATTTCTTTGTTTGGCCGCCATCTTGAATGCATTTTCTGCCAGGCGCTCCGCCCGCGAGAGCTTCCCCACTGACCCACGCGTGTTCCCCCGCCGCGCCGGGGACGAGGCTGGGTTCGCAAGGCATCTAAATGCGAATATGACTAATGGACTGAATTGTTTATGTTCAGAAGCTCTATATTAAAGACTGGCACGTGCGCCGGAGTTAACGCCAGAAAAGGCGTCTTGTTGGGAATAAATTTGTTATGTATTTGATTTTGGTATCGAGAATTTCTTTGTGAAGTCGTCTGTGATTAAAGCGGCTCACGCAAGATACGCCCACTCCGATCATACGGCTATCATGGTATACAGTGCAAATCTCCACGTCCAACAGTATTCAGACGACAAGGGGGTCGTCAACATATCCGTTTCAAATCCCGGTGATACGAGCGAGCGAAGTAAACATTGTGACCTCTCCCCCATGTCTGGAGCCGTTTCATTAAAAAAAAGTTTTTATAAAAGTCTTTAATTAGGAAATTAGTCATTGTCGATGTGCAAAATAGTTCGGAACTCGTGCAAAGTTTGTTGAAACCCGGCCACCTGTAAAGCCTGGTTTCCATATGACGCCGTCGACGGTGATTATTGAAGATTTAAATATTTTGTCTTTCTGAAATCGCTTTCTCCTTGCATGATTATGGAAACCAGGCTTAAGGTATAGGACCAAAATGACTAATGGCATAATTAAAAGGTTACGTTTACACCAGACTCTATAAAAGTTTTAAAAATAGTAATTTGTAACTTTTACAGAAACAATGCGAATTTGGCTCAAAATGTTAAGGAATTGTCGAAAGATTTGATAGAACTTCAGAGAAGCTTAGTAAAATCAGTCGGTCACCAGCAGAAAGTGGGCTTACTTATTCAAAAGACATTTGAAATGTTGACAATACTGAATGAAGAAAATTCTGATGGCAACCTGTTGGAAAACCCACAAGAAGAAAATGTTAAGAAAGAAGTTTGCCCCGAACAGTTCATGGGAAAGAAACTGAACTATGGCTATCCGCTGTTCCGAAAAGGATTTGACCGTGTCGATTGCAAAGAGTTTATTCCAAATGAAAAACTTATAACAATTGTGGCGATTATACCAAACGAGATTGGGAGACCTGCGCAAAGTTACTTAGAGATGATGCAGGGTATAGAGAAATATTACCCTGGGATGCGGGTAATATTAGCCACGCAAAAACAAGTGCAACCGTCGGTCACATCTGACATATCTAAACTTAAGATTAATTTTGAAAATTTTGTGATGAAAGCGGATACAGGCCAAGGCGCCTTGTTGCAGGAACTTGTTGGTAAAGTCTCAACACCCTATGTGTTAATAGCAATAAATATTACCCACTTTGATGACGATATTAACCTGGAACGAATGGTTCGTATTCTCAGTTACAAACCTCAGGTGAAATTTGTTGGTGGTGCTTTCCGCAATTTGAAAGGACAGTGGGATATGGGTTGTCAACAGGTGACATTTAGAAATATTACCGCTAAGTACATGGGAGGATATTACAGGTCATTCAATGAATGTGTAGTCTGTGAATTTTTGTCAGGACCAATAATGGCGAGGACAGATACTTACAAAGAGTTGCCATTTGATACCAGGTAATGGAAAACACTCATGCAGTGACATATTCAGGATAAGGTAGACTAAATGACTACAGCCCTAACTTGTAATCATATCGATTTTTGTTCAGTTCAACATATTCTTTAGAAAGTCAGAACACATAATGGCACTAATGATTTTAAAGGCTAACTTTTAAAGAATCTTTGTTTCTTTCAGTATCAAATTCGGCTCAATTTATGATTTGTTTTGGCGCTTCAAGAAACAAACACCGCAAAAAATGGCCGTATCGTGTCCGGATGTCATGTTTAACATTCAAAGTCGCGATATTGCCGACGAGGAGCTTGTAACGTTCGCAAACAAACATGCAATTCACAGGATTATCGATCCAGATGGTAGGGTACGCTGGTATGGATGCCGAAATGGATATTCTTACACTTCTGCAAAGTTGTGCAAGAAAGGAAAAGGAATACACTTATCTCCTGCAGATATGGAAAACCTCGCTGATGTGATGAAATTCTTTATGAAAGCATGTGATGATGCCGGCGCTATTTGCGAGTTTGCCTCTGGAACGATGATAGGTAAATATACCACAAAACACTCTTTGAAAGTTCAACCTATTCTTGTGCAGTTCAACCTACCTTGAAGGTTAGCTCAGTGTTAATACGTAATTTTCTGATTCTTTGCAGAAAGTAAGTAATTTTCTGATTCTCTGCACAGGTGCCGTGAAGTTCAACGGTGTTCTTCCTTGGGACATGGACGGTGACATTATTTTCGTTTCCAATAACTTCACTGCTCTTAAAAATCTTGAGGGCAAAATAAAAAACGCAGGTTACAAGTTGAGTGTTGGTTATGGTACTACGGTGAAAAATGGTCGTACGGAACGCGGATATTTCGGTTTGAGAACAACAAACTGGAGGGTAGAGTTATGGGGCCTCCCTGAAAAGACATTTGGAACTCAAATAGACGTTGCCCGGGGGGTGATTCCAACCAAGGTTATGTTTGCTGGACAATGGGTCAATCATCCGCATAACCCCGGGCTTTTTACTCGCAATCGTTACGGTCCCGGGATATACAAACATCAGGAACATTGGCTAACATATGGTCGCGGGAGTTCATGGTTGTTTTATACTCCAGGAACTTTCCATCGTTGTCCTCAGCCAGGCCAGTCATACTGCCTCGATCAATATCCCATTGATGGTAATATGCAGTTTAAGGATTATTGCCCACTTTGATAATGAAACTGAAAGAATTCCCTAATGCTACCATATACCAATATGTCATAGATGCTGGTTCTTGTTCTTTCGAACTGTATACTATCACAACACCACAATTCGTTTTTTTAATTTTTTTCAAACCATCATTACGAGTCTGATCTCTGTTGTCGGTAAACACTCTTGCTCCTCCTGCTTGCTCGTGGCTTGCTGTTTACAACTCTCTTGAATGAGTCAACTTGAATATTATGCACTGAATATGTAGTTGTAAACAGGGTCTTTAAAAACATCAGTTTGTTTGCTTGTTGAATAAAACGATTGACTTGCTGTATATTTTGAACTTAACCATCGTTTAAGCTGAACGGGCTTGATGCAACTGGACTGGCCCCTGCAAGGGCGTAACACTTCTCTCGAATTTTCGATTGTTTTGCTCTACTAACTAATTTTGCTCCAATTATAATACTAATAACGATTTACTTAACTAATTTGTAACACCATCCATATAAATACGTTAGATAGCCGAGATGACTAAATTCCAACAGATTTTATAAAATATAAATATAGTTATAACATAGCTACTCCGGCATTGTATATGACTATTCAGCAAAATGATTGGTGGAGATACCCACCGTATATCAGCTCATATACGTTGGGTAGAGCAAAACAAAAGAAAAAGCATAACGGCTCAAGGCTGACCGGTTTTCTGAGGTAAATAAAGAAGAAATTGACAGAATTCTGGAATACTTTTGTCGCTCAACGAACAGCATTTGGCTTTATTATAAAACAATCATACCACTCGCTCTTGTCGTATATGAGCCGACTCAGTGCTACACACCTCCCCTGCTATCAGTTCATATACGACTCGAGCTCGTGGTATAAGTTGTTAACTATATAGCTAAGCAAAAAGGTAGATTACATAGATAAAGGTTCAGGGTTGTCCATTAATCATTCTGATTTTGTACATAAATATCCTCGTATGTGCTAAAGTGTCTGTCAGACTCAGATGTCTCTGTTACAGAGTTTCTTCATACCAGTGAAAATGTTTCTCATTACACGTGATTTTATCGTTGAATTCATTCCAACTTCGAAGTATATAGTCAAATAGATATGTAGGTATATCCTGTAACTAAAAATTGTGGAGCCTATCAAATATCTGAGGTAACTATCACGAGGCTTGCAATCAGATATTTCCCCAATACGTCGCCAACAATATTCCGCATGGCCATGCACCGTTACAAGAAGCATATAGTGGAATCTGTGTTCCTGATTTTTATGCGTTCATCTGGCAGAGTCAAGGCGATAGATTTTCATTAATATTCGTTAATCAACTCGTAATGCGACACGCATGGTCACACGCAATCATGCTTTCATGAGTACTGTTTATATTCGTATATGATTGCTACGGAGTGATACACCGACAAGCGACAACTGGACGCCAATATGTACAAAGTACTGACACAATCCTGCGTGTGGATACCCCTGAAAGATTCCAACCGCCTCGCTAGCAAGTTATGGATCCCTGTGTCGGAAACTGAGAAAGCTAACGAGAAATTTCCAGCAATTTTGGGTAAGATTGACCTTTGAGATAGCGCAATACATGCATTTATTCACGATTTAACTAAGACTGCTCACTCGTTCATTCAAAGTTGCTGGCTGTGTTATGAAATATGTCAGATGGTATAATCGAAGCACTAGTTGTAGCATCATTTTGTTCGATGCGCGATATGCATACACACACGATATATACACGATGCACAATGTAGGGATTTCATAGATTTAGGGACCTTAATTAAGGTACACCAAATCTACCACAGGAACGTGGAATAATACTGTCTTCATTTCTACAGTTTCACAATATCGATCATTTGATTGATTCCTTTTGGCAAACAAGGTCAGAGCTGTATGTAAAACTACTTAAAAACCGGGTTCCTAACACTACCGGCTGATTTCATGACTCATGTCACGTCCGTGTCTTAGATTTAAGGGCCTCTTATACGTATTTTCCGTACGTATACATCGTGTTGCATCAGTATGTTCTATGAAACATTTAAAAGGTGCATTGTGAAATATAAAACGGACAGTACGAAATATTACGATAGCCTGTGCATCATTATAGTATATGACTATAAATATTGCAATATAAACCTTACAGTATGAAAATTACAGACAGCCGTGAACTGCTTGAGTCAAGGGCCTTATTAAGTATCGCATTGCGTGATATTCTGGCAGGTCACTAACTTGTAAATAGACCCTCGACACGGAATAAGACTGCAACGCTCGCTCCTTATTTTTGAGTGCCGGATGGTGGCGGAAATTGAAGCAACTTGCTCTAAACTGTCTTCTGTTTTTTCAACTTTTGCTTCTCCGCCGCTCGACTGATCCAACTGGCCCGAGAGCCCCGCGAAAGAGATGGTTTGGCCATGGATAAGTGCAAAACTTTTAAATGCCTCCGGAAAAAACAAGTTTTGAGGTTATGTCGACATAATATAGAGGTTGCATTCAGCTAGTATATGAAGATCGGCGAGGTCGATCCTAGCTAATGGCTGGGAAATGCTGCATTTCAGAATACCTGCCGTATCGTCGTAACGACAGGACGTCACGACGGGATGAGAAAAGACACCCATGGATGTGCTCTCATGGATATGTAGTGATTCGAGTGGATATGCGTGGTTCCGGGGATTCCGATGGCCTATATTTTGGCGAATATGAGCCACAGGAACAGGATGACTGTCTGGAGGTCATTGATTGGATTAGAAAACAACCTTGGTCCTCAGGAAATGTTGGTGAGTAAGGGACTGCGATGGATAATTGATTAACGGAAACAAATTGCATTGTGGAAATTGCATAAATGCCAATGAATTCTTATCTTTTGACCCTCTGAAGAACATGCGCCTATTCTAAATAATATTTTTTGTTGTTAAAGGTATGGTTGGCAAAAGTTGGGGTGGTTTTAATGGACTCCAAGTGGCCGCAAGGAACCCCGAGGGTTTAAAAGCTATCATATCTGTGTACTCGGTTGATGATAGATACGACGACAACTGCCATTATAAAGGCGGATGTTTGGTCCCAGAGCAGATGCTATCGTGGTCCTGTGCTATGCTCACGTGGAACATGTCCCCCCCTGATCCGGCGTTTGTTGGAGCAAAGTAATATACATTTTAGCTGCGATTAGATTTAACGCTTTCACTCAATACACTTAATAATACAGCTCATTCTATCACAGATTAAGTTCAATCGACTCGATTAACGGATTAAGATCCAACGTTTGTTAGAGCTAAATGGGCAATGTACAATAAGGCTCAAATTTAGTTGTGAGCAACTGAATTGAGCATTCGGATTAAGGATTGAGAATGCAGCTAATGCAATCACTAATCAAATTCAATCGACGTGATTAAGTTAATTGGTATAAAATTGTTGTCCGTTGCTTTAGATGGAGAGATATGTGGCTGGAACGTTTAGAAAAGGCTGGAGAACCGTGGGTGAACACGTGGTTATCACATCAAACTAGAGATGAGTTCTGGAAACATGCTTCAGTGTGTGAGGATTATTCCAAGGTATTTTCTGTCGATCATAGAACGCCTTTCACCACCAGCAAAAACGAGCCAAATTTTACACAATATTGTAAGGCTACATTTTATACCAGCCACGAGTGAATAGTTTTTTACTACCAGATTAAATGCGCAGTGTATCTTATGGGAGGATGGTTTGACTGTTACCACAATGCAGTATTCCGCATGGCTGAACATCTATCATGTGATTGGCGAGCCTTGGTTGGCCCTTGGCCACATGAGTTCCCAGACGAGGCTATTCCCTCACCGAACATCGCTTACTTGCCAGAGAGCTTGAGGTTCTGGGATTACCATCTTAAAGGGATTGAAAACGGTCTTGATAAAGAACCTAGATTTCGTTTGTACCTTGGAGAAAGTAAGTAGGGTATCTAGATGAACGTATATTTCATTGCAAATAAGATCGTCTGGTTTTAGGCGGATGGTAAAATGCTAAAATGAACGTATGCCCGCTTGTTTACGAGTAAACCAACTTGCACGCCTTATGACCGAGCTAAGTTTCTTACAAAAATTTTCTTCAGGTGTTCCTGTGTCACCAAAGTTGAAAACCTGGCCAGGTCGTTGGGTTGCTGAAGATAAATGGCCATCTAAAAACGTATCAATGAAAAGATTTGAATTAACATATACTGGGAGACTACGTCAAGGTTAAAGATACTCTCTTGTGTCCACTAAATCTGTTTTCGTGAATTGAAGTTTGTTAGACCGAGACTCAGCGAAAATTTTTCCCCTGTTAGGCACCGACACTGTTCAGCCAACTGAAAAGTCAGTTCTAATTCCCAGTTTTTTTGCCTGTGGTTCTGCTGGGGGGACAATGATACCTTTCAATGGACCGGCTCATCTTGCCCAAAATCAGGCATCTGATGACGGGCTCAGCAGGTGTTGGCATGGCGATGTCTTGGTGGACGCAATAGACATTCTGGGTGCACCTTCCATACAACTTGAGATAAGTTCTGATCAAAAACTAGCAACGATTTGTGCACGGCTAGTCGATGTTTTTCCTGATGGAAGAGCGACACTTATTACCAAAGGTGCGCTGGAATTTCATATCGTTGTTTATATGGTACCTTCACCGTTGACCGTCTTCCAAGCTGTAGCTGTTATTTTATCATATTTCAGGTGTGCTTAACCTCACTCACCGTTATGGCCATACAATGAATGACATAAAACCCCTAAATCCAGGCGAACGCTACGTCATTGAAATGAACTTGGACACGATAGGGTATACTGTTCGTCCAGGTCATCAGCTGCGCTTAGCTTTGTCCCAGTCCTATTGGCCTTACTGTATTTGGCCTCCGCCATCTACACCTATCCTTCAACTTCACTTCATATCCCCACCTGTACTCGCATTACCTCTGAGACAACGAAGTAAGGATATCGACCTCAGGGATGAGCTATTCAGCAACCTCGGGCAGCCGATTGTAAATACCCATGCATTACCAGTGAAAGAATTAAGAAAACCTTCTTTCCAGAGGTCAGTATAGATTAATCAAGACCTTGATTTCATCGGTAATATACTAATATAGTTAAATTGTTCATTTATAAACGTAACAACCTCTTTTCAGACATATAACTCATGACGTTCAAACTCAGTCATACAAGAAAACTTTGAAACTAGACGATGGGGAATTTCAGCGGCTCGACAATAATATAATATGGGGAGTTTCTGTAAACGAAGAATATGACATCACTGAAAGTGAACCGCTCTCTGCCAGGGTAACTATAGAAACGAACACGCGAGTGGCACGGAAAGAGTCCGGGACTGGTCAGAAGGAAGAGTTGTTTGCGACATTCGTCAATACGAAAAGCTCGTTCCACGCTGACGAAAATAATTTTTACACCGATTGCATCGCCAAGGCGTGGCTCGGGGATGAAGTGGTTTTTGAAAAGCAATGGAAGAAAACATTCCCACGATTTCACGTTTAAATGATAAAATGCCATTGTTAATAATAGCTGTAATAACATTGATTGGAAAAGAATAAAAAGGCTGATTGCAATTGATTAAAGATTTTATGTATTTTATTTTGGCTCTGAAACCATACTTGCTAACCTCTGATGAAGACCCTCTGATGAAGCGAATTCGGAGTAACTAGAATCAATTTAGGGCTAGCAGGCAGAATTTGACAAAAGGGCATTTCCATACACTTTTGAATTCTTAAACGTATAAATAAACACAGCCTTTTAGATCCTTCGTATTTTTATTGGCAAAATCAGCAGTTTTAAATTCAAAGAGTCCCTGTGCTATTGAATAATGATATATATGAAGCGACGTATCTGTCTTGTCATGGCTGTAGTTTGGTTTAAATACAATAATATCTAACATTTTTCAGTCATGCAGATATTTCTCTATAATACCAACGTAGTGGCATGAAAGTGTCAAAGCCTGACCGTATTGAAACGTAATTTCCTCCAAACAAATCGTTTTACTCAATCAAACCGCGATTTTCGTACGATTCTCGGAATGCCAAAAGGATTTATTTTTCCCTCGAAATGATTCAATTCTACACCAAACGAAGTATTCATCGGGAATAGTTTAGAATTCACCAAAGCAGATGTTCGGAACTTCCGTATTTTGTTTGATCGTGTGTCTTACTCCTTCGAGTGTATTACTTAATATTTACTATCAATCCTGTGTGTGGACTGGTTAGTCTGACTAGTTTGTGTCTCTTACGGTCGGATCAAGTTACAGCCTCTATAAATACAACCATTCCAAAGCAGACGTCTTGTTGTTTGTCGTTAGGAACGTTTTCTATATCTTCCACGGTTTGCACTTCACCTTGCTCCAAATCGTGCAGTTTAGCAAGAAAACTTTCCAGCTGCTCGCCGCAGCTATCGAGATTTGCAACGTTCTCTTCTGGAGTGAAATTTTGACTTGAAGACGTCGTATACGTTCTTGGAGAAACGCCTTGTGAGATGTCTTCATTCGTTAATTCCCCTGAGGAGTTCTGGGTTTCCCAATTGATTAAACTCTCAAAAGATCGACCATCATTCTCTAGTTCGATACACAAGTTCTCATAAAGTGCTTTATAATCTTCCCTGTTTTCTTGTAAACTTTCATCTATCTCCTTTAATTTCCTCTTCGTCTCTTGGAAAGTTACATAGCGTGGTTTCTCAGTTTTGTTTTGTTTTGTTTTCTTAGGGGAAACCTTTCTTGCCTTCCTCTGTCTTTTGGGTTCTTTTTTGACTCTCAACTGAATTTGCTCAGAAATATATTCCAGAATTTCGTATTCGTTTTTCGTCTCTGCTTCCTCTTCCTGAATTTCAGCGTACGAATCGTTGATTATGGCCAAAAAGACATTCATTAGTATAAAAACGTTCAATGCAACAAAACCGAAGAAATATAGCGGCCCTAACAACGGATTTGTCATAGTCAACGCTTGAAAATCGAAATCTCCCAGCGTCATGCTGAACTGTGTGACCATCGTCATCTGAAACGTGCTGTAATCCCGGAGATGCGTGCCAAAAAGCGCGAACGCGAACATCCCGAATGCGAGAAACGCAAAGAAAAACGGAATACAGAAACCCAAGATAGGTCCACTGATTCGACCTAGTGTCTTTCCAAGATTTTCGAAATTTTTATTGAACCTTAAAAGTCGTAGGAATCGTATGGTGTAGAAGAAGACTAGAATTCCGAGAATATAGCATAGGGCTGCGTCGGCGCCCGCGGCGTACTGGAAAGGAACGTAATCGTTTGGATTCTCTCGCAGCTGAAGCAGATTTTTGTCCACTTCGTAGAGACGTGCGAGAAAGAGAACGATCGTCATGAACTCACAAACTACCAAAATCGTTTCCACCCAATTCCAGAAACCTTTGAAGTACGACCAGCGTTGTTTATAAACGAGTTTTCCTTCTCTGTAAAGGAAATACATCATGAAGAATATGACCAAGATGTGGGACAGCGTTTCAGCGCCATTCAAACGCAGATAAAATCGAGCAGACTGGAATTGAGTTTTAGTGAAAGCAGCCGAGGATGAAGGGAATTCTATCATTATCGAGGTTATACCAAAGAGATTTGTGTTCGCGTTGTAGACTGTGAATTCGACAAAAATTGCGCGAGTTTGTACGTCGATCCAACCGTTCGAATGCAAATCGGAAATCACCGTGTAGGCCGCAAGGGGGTCATAGCCGAGGTTCGCGGCATATCCACCACCGCTGTACAACGAAATCGCACCCCAGTAAGGGAAGCCTCGTAGGTCCAAAGTGGATTGATGACGCCATCGCTCAAAACATGACATAATTTTACCATTCGGCAGCAACGCTTCTGCATTTATGGAGTAGACTTTTGGTTTGTTGCTGGCCAACAGTCGCTTCTTTTTTCTGCGATTTTTCCCAGTTACCGACGAAGTTATTGGATCGACCGCCCTCTTCTGCCGGTTGGTATCTTTCTCGCGCTTATTTTGTTGCACATTTTCATGTTTACTAATTCTCTGAGCAAGCGCGTCTTTTGGCAATAAATTCTCAGGTAATGTGTTCTCCGATGGAATCCTTTCCCGGACGTTGTGGTCCGGCTTTTTGTGTCTTCTTCTTTTGCAGTCGAACTAAACATTCTTTCAAGCCATTGTTCCTCGGTTAGCGGCGTGTTCGCGAGGTCTCTGCGTTTTCGAGCCGAGTCCTTTCCCAACGGCTTCCAGGATACTCCGAACGTTTCAACCTCCTCGTTAGCAAAAGAGAAAGCGTCATAGCAATGGGGTATTCTGTCTTCAAATAATTCGTCCACTTTGCAGGAATCTAAAAGTTAGGTGGAATGCACGTTATAGCGGTGTCGTGCAGAGAAGTACAAATTTAGGCCTGGTATTCATTAGCTCAAAACATTCAGAAGAGATACAGTGATTCCATCTGCGTGACATGGACCCTTTGCAGTCGGATATCGTGACCTTGAATCACTTTTTCCTTACCTTTTTTAACTCTTACTTGTCTCATCCGAGGAACCCCAACAAGATAGTGTTCCATGTTTGCGATAAAGCCTTTTTGAATTTTCTTGCCATTGTACCACTCTTTCGCGTAGAGACCTGGAACGAGTGTCTCACGCGCCCACATCCACAACGAATCACCGTCGGAGACCTGGTAAGGAGAGAATGCTTTTTAAATCTCAAAACTGCAAGTAGAGATCTGGCTTGGTACTTTAGGGATATCTAAAAAGTTTACGAAACGAAAAAAGACAGCCATACCGCTCCCAAATCGATGCTAAAAGCGTCCACTTCGTCAAAAGTCTCATACAAAGTCTTGGTCATAAGGAATGTATTGGGATCTCGATGGTAATAGGCGACGTTCAGGAGCATGATGAGGAAAATAAAGAAGGTTGCAATTTCTTTTATTATGCTGTTCATTTTGATTTCTTTTAAACGTTTAACACGAGCCTCCTTTAGAGTCTCTGGATCTGGGGGACTGCAAGGGAGAAAGAAAGAAATTCTCCTTTTATAATTCTCCCTATTTCGATGCTAAGTTGAAATATCCAAATGTAAACTACAAATATCACTAACTAAATACATTCAATAACACATATGGAAGAAACTGACCTATATATTTTCAGTCGGTTTGTACTTTTTCTACGCCTTTTCGACACAGTTTTCGGTGGTTCATATGTAACTGGAGTGTCATCTTGGTCGTCTACATCCGCAGGCTTTCGTACAAACACCGCTAGCACGATTGCAAGAACCAGAACTTTAACTGGTTGCAAGAGTAGAACGGACTGTAGGAAGGCTGTTACCATGGCGATTACCCACTCTGTCGATTTCTCTTTCCCCCACTGAATACTGTACAATAAAGTGAAAAAAATCGAGGCTGCAGAAGCTAAATAGCATAACAGATATGCGACGTAGATAAACCAGTATGGAAGCTTTCCTTTAGGTTTTTCCCCAGCGCTTTCTTCCTTTTCGTTGTTGTCTTCTTTCTCCTCCTTGTAAATATCCTTTTTGCTCGGTTTTGGTCTCAGATTGCGAAAAATTTGCACAATCGCCACGTTAACTGGGACAATAATGAGACTGCTTTGCAAGGCAATTACGAATTGTTTAAGGTCGATGACTAGTGAGCCAATTTGGATGGAAAAGGGACTCGGCCCGTCGCCTCCCATGTTGTAAAACATCGCTGACGTGATCATTGTGCAACAAAGAAGGCACAGACAGCACGAGAGACGTTGGACGCGCGTGAAGTTGCTACTAGGGGGCCTTGAAAATATTGAGAACCATAGATGACCATCTGCCAAACCTGGAAACAAACATATCTTATCATCATCTACACTATTGCTTAAGATCTCTTTTGCAGGGTAACTAGCTTCGATATCTAAAATACCTGGAGGGGGGTTTATTTGACTCTCTTTACCAACGATCGCATAAATATAATCTTGTTTACCTTTGACTGTCCGTGCTGTAAAGAGTTGATTGAAATTGGTCAATTCTTGGTCGTTGGCCACAGGAAGAACTCGACATACTTTGCCATCTTCTGCCTCAACTGCTAACCAGTTATCACACACGAAGTACCATTGCTTGTTTGTTTGAATATCTTTGACAGAAAGGCGGCTCAGGTACCAAGATGGTGATACACCTGTAGAATAAATAACGAGGTCTCTGGTTATTATTGCTACGCGATATATTGCCAATGCCAGAAATACTGCTTTCCTTTGTCAGCGAAATACCTAACATTTCAACTACATCTTTACTCGTTTTTGCCAAATCTTAAATAGTATCTGTCTTCACATGACACCATGAGATGAAATCCCACCTGCATTGTTATGCCATATTTGGACGTAGCTCAGCTCCCCAACTTCCTGAGAATAAGAGACAATGAACTGATTCTCCTGGCCTCGTTCAAAACATGGTCTCTTTGCATCCCAGAGTTTGACCGGTACCGTTTCATCGTCATCCCCAACCATTTTAAAAAAGACTTTCGCTGATGTACCCGAACCTGGTCTGTTGCCCGTGTAGATTGTTACGAGGTAGTGATAGCTACCATGAGGGTTTGACAGAATAGTTGGACCAATCTAAAACAATATTTAAAATAACTCTGAAGTATGGAAATTGGATTTTTATTTGACAACTATTGTCGCAGTACTTTTCTCAGTTTCCTGCTATTTTGGATCACCAGGCTCAAAACATCATCATGCATATTAATTATTACCTACCATCAAATCGTCTCGTTTGTCTGCTCGTCTTCCCCACAAAACACCCAGAATGTACAATCCTAACACGGTGGATATCAAAGCCAATACTGCGACATTGTCTTGGAGACTCCCGAAGTTATTCAAGACTGAATTGAAGTCGATTGGATTTGGTGCAACAACCAAATCGCTGCCAAATGATGTGAGGTGATTGCAGAAGCATTGAATGTTGCTACGAGATGTCAGAGGACCAACCTAAACGGAACAGAATCGTTTGTGAGGTTTACGTCATGGGTAACAGACGAATTCTCGAAATATAGTTTCAACTAGCTTACGCGACAACCATGACCCGTCCAAGTTTGGTTTTCTTCATCCCAGTACAAACAACTTGACTCATACATTGACATGTTGTAGTTGGGTGTTTGGTTGGGGAAGAAGTACTGTCCGTCGAAGCCGAGATTGTCTGCAAATAATACTGTGAATGGCGACTCGGTCGGTGGTTTCGGAGGAGGAGGGGGTATAACGATGCATGAACGACGCATGCGTCTCTTGCCGATGTCGCACGCAAATGATCTTTTGCGGCGTGATTTTCCTGAGGCTTGGTAAGGATCGTAGTCCACTGAAACATTTTGAACTTGGACCGCTAGAAAGATGAAAGAATCAAGAGATGATTATCGCACGCATAGTGAATGGAGAAGAATGGAGTTTCCGATGCAACAGCAACATTTGAATAAAACTATTTTACAAGGGGTCAGACGACAAGTTTCATCGCATTTACATACCAAAACAATGTTCGCCCGTCTCGTTAAAGTCCACGTTTGAAATGAAGAGAGAGTATGGATGACGCGTACAATGAATGAACGGATCGATAAACACAGTTTCATTATCCTCACTGGCGTTACGTTTATCCACGTCAACATCGCAGCTTTTGAAATCGGGCAGGTCGTATTGCAGGTTAAAATCGCCAGCCCTCACGTCAGGCTTTCCGCCCGTTTTTAAGTACACCTTCAAACTCAGGCTAACATCCTCTGGGTGAAGCTCGAAACTCATAGCTGTCCAGCGGGAAGTCCTGTTGAAACAGTGATACTTCAAGTATGATTTTCCAACATCGTCCGAATCCGGCTTGTCAGGCTTCATATAAAACGAGTTCATTTTCGGAAACTGACTAGGATCACGTGATATGGTGATAGCAATGTCTTCGGTAAGGTTGGAAAGTTGAATTTCTTTACTGGAGGTGAGATCGAGGCTCGCTATCTTTGAAGTAACTGTTTTACTTGTGTTGTCCCAAGTGTATGGATTAGTGTTGAATACTCCAACCTACAAAGGAGATTCAAGACTGAATCTTCCGACGCACTCGACCATGGTCGAATTCGCCATTTTCCGACGAACTCGACCATGGTCGAATTCGTCGTTTTCCGGCGAACTCGACCATGGTCGAATTATCGTTTCCGGCGAACTCGACCATGGTCGAATTAGTCGTTTTCCGGCGAACTCGACCATGGTCGAATTAGTCGTTTTCCGGCGAACTCGACCATGGTCGAATTAGTCGTTTTCCGGCGAACTCGACCATGGTCGAATTAGTCGTTTTCCGGCGAACTCGACCATGGTCGAATTAGTCGTTTTCCGGCGAACTCGACCATGGTCGAATTTGTCGTTTTCCGGCGAACTCGACCATGGTCGAATTAGTCGTTTTCCGGCGAACTCGACCATGGTCGAGTTAGTCGTTTTCCGGCGAACTCGACCATGGTCGAGTTAGTCGTTTTCCGGCGAACTCGACCATGGTCGAATTAGTCGTTTTCCGGCGAACTCGACCATGGTCGAGTTAGTCGTTTTCCGGCGAATTCGACCGTGGTCGAGTTAGTCGTTTTCCGGTGAACTCGACCATGATCGAATTAGTCGTTTTCCGGCGAATTCGACCATGGTCGAATTAGTCGTTTTTCGAATGTATCTCGTATACCTTTATTGTGACTGAGTCTAGTTGTGAAATTGTGGCGTTAATATCCTTGACAACTATATTGAAAGAAAATTCAATGTGAATCACTGCGATTAGAGGACTATTTTACAAGATAATATTGAAATGTGAATGTGTTTGAATTTCTTACTGTCGCCAAAACCGAACACCTCTGGACTCGGTGTCTTGAAGCTACAGTTACTTGCAGAGTTTCCATTCTTTCCCATATTTCTTATTGATACCTTCTCGCTCTGCAGAGTCATGTGCTTAGTACTGCTTGTGCTCGGTCCTTCGTTCGTCACGAGGTAACGCAATTTGGCATCGTGAAGGTCACTTATCATTGAGATGGATTTTTGAGCGCGAATGATCTCCTAGAGTAATAGAAATGCAATTATTTATAGACCATTCACCCTAAGCTCCTTACCCCCAAAATGTTCACGCCAAGCTTAGACGATCTTATAGTCTGTGTACGCATGGTTTCAAGGTGAATATTCTAGGTTTTAAAGTTGATTTTGGTGGTGGTATAACTTACTTCGTTGTTTATTGTGCCGTTCTGATCGTCGCGAGGTTTTGTGGCTGCAACGACGAGTTGTCCAATTGTATTGGCTAAATTCGTGACTGCCGAGTCAACATTTTTAAATGAACTTTCTCCTTTAGACAGTTTTGTTAAACTTGTCACGGAAGCATTGCTCAGCATCAAACCATATTCCTACAACAAAAATATTAGGTACAAAGTTCAGCCAACGATCTTAGCGTCTCTCGGTCAAATTGAGACCTGATGTGTAAAACTTGTTAAGAGTAGATCATTTCGTCTACCTGCGAAGTTGGCGATAATTTTTCAGCATTGTCTGTCAATGCTTGCGTTATTCCACTTATCTGTAACAACGTGTCCATATTTTCGACTTTTACATCAAAAAGAGATTTCATAATGGCTTGTTTGAACTTCAAGAAAGAAAGCGAGAAAAAAATGAGTACAATATGAAATTTTTAAATGAATTCGTTTGTTCTTTCATTGTCTTTAATCTAAGAAGAACGTTTCAAATCAGGAGTTGCAGGATTCCTCACCTCATCGACTTGTTGGCTCTCGTTATTTTTCCTTTCTTGTTCTTCGGCCGTCAGATTCCCTGAAGTCGAATCATTCCCATTGATGTGATTCAAGACAGAAGCAAAAACTCCTGCCATTGCCAGCGCTTTCTGTGGGTCACCGTCGGCAATCATTTTGCTCAATGAATCGCCCGATAGCATGCTATCCATGCTGGACAAACCAAGCTCTCCTCCAGGAGGATCCACCTTCAAAGGAAACCCGCTTGTTATCCCGAATTTCTACTACATTCATTTGCTGTTGATCATAACGGCGATAAAGTGAAAAAGCAAAAACGTAAACCCAAAGAGCTATAACTAAATTTGATTCTATTTTCTAAACGGAAAAATGCTCAACGGCTTAGTTGAGCATTTTTTACTGCTGAATGGCTAAGTGTTAGAACCGGATTTTCCCGGCGTATCAAACTTAAATATATATCTTAAATTATGTCATTACGTGAAGATGTAAATCAATACTTAAGAGTGTATATTGTGTTCGTTGAACCCCAGTTTGCAAAGACATCTTACCTTCACAATGAAATGCAATTCAGTTTCTCCTTCAAATCTGTCTTTGATGTTCACGTAGATATCGATCTCGTTGTTTCGATTCGGATCCCCGATCGGCAAATTCTCCCTTGCGACGAGGATCTGCGAGGTTCTCAGAGTCGCAGAGAAGAATACCGTTTTGACGTCCTTCAGCTTGTAAGAAAACTCGTAATTGATCGGTGGATCCGGGTCCGTCCAATTCATGCAGGTTAGGTTGAACATAGTTGTCATAGCGACGCCCGTTTTTGGTTGGATATCACATTCGCCTTAGGAATGAGAATTCATTATTGAATGTGGCTAGGAAAGTCTTAGCTTGTGACTAACAAGTCTTAGTTTAGTTACCTTGCCTAAATATCGTAACACGATTTACTCTGAATGAATTTGTGAGAAAAAAATGCAAACCGACCTTCTTTTGGTGCGTTGTTCATAAGCATTGTGTATCTGAGTTCTCCAAACACTTTATTTGGTCGTGTCGCCTTCAGTTGCAAGATGTATTTTCTCTCCGGTTTTAAAGTGTTTGACTTAAATGCCAGTTCAAGTTCATCAACGGGGTTAGTCACCATATTACTCAACGTCTCCAGAGGCACCTGTGATCGTATAAGATGACGTTTTTTGTTGATCAACGTTATATTCTTCTGCCAGGTTCAGATGACCCTGATCTGATGATGGTGCACCTACCTCGTTTAACTCGCTCAGATCAAATGGTTCCGTCATGTCGACCCTGTCAAACCAGTATAACCTCCATTTGAACGCCAACTGACCATAACAATTTGTTGTGCAAAATGCTTTAGCTGTCACTCTCTCATCCGGGTTCACTTTCTCCTGGCAGTTCTTAAGACATCTAAAGGGAACGTAATTTTGTTGTAAAAAAAACCCAAGCACTTTTAGAAGGTGGCAAACAGTTTATCATATCATTATTGGGAAATGTAACGTAATGCATGACTTCCAGTGATAACGGGGATCGTATGGAAAAGATGTCTGCTCAATTTGCCTCGCTCTGATTCCCCTCAAGAGACGTACTTCATTTGTAGAGAAGGCGGCAGCCCTAAGGCCACCTGAAGATAGATTTCAGTCGCAGATCTTCGCAGACCAAAGACTGGATCGACCTTTGATGCCACAAGAGTTATTATATACCTGCAATACATAAGTTAAGAGTTTAGCTATAATATAACGAAAGTAAACAAGTCAGAGTTCATTAAATTACGTCAAGAAAGAGCGTAAGATTAGGTTCTATTTACATCAAGCTGGTCCGTTTTTTATCCATCACCGTACGTAGCCTATAAGATTTGCATAAGGGGACAGTACAGTCTACAAAGAAAGATCACTAAAATAGTGAACTTACGTTTTTCCTTCGATCATAAAGGTTGCGTCCATGTTCAAGACTCTACTCGTAGAATTCAAGCGTCCTCTACCTTCACCGAAACACCCTGTGGACTAAAACGTTACGAACAAGGTTAGGTCGACTGGCTTTCCCAGTGAAAAAAGATTTATGTTCCATAGCGTTCCTTCACTTTACCCAGAAGTCGCCTAAGGTTAAAAAGCGACGCTAAGCTGCTGCATCAACTGATATAGCGCCGAAAAACTTCTCATAAAATCGTGGCAGCGAATTCGCTGTATGGAAGCACTTACATTTGCCAGCGGGGGTGGAAACGTGTCATTGGAAAGTTAGGAATGTACAGCAAAGGTTCTTTATCGAAATCTGGTCCAAACTTCACTGAATCATTTTTGTCCCTGCAGAACCATTGATAGGTGACACCTTGGGGTTGTTCAAAATCTGGATCGACTGTTGCAGAGGCATTTAGCAACGCCTGGAAAGATATATTGGAATATTGTGTTAGTTTCATGAACGATGGGAGTAATTGTTGTAAACCAGTAAATGGTGGAGCAATTCCACTAACCATTTGACGAAATATAACCGTATATATGAAACCTGTTGTGATTGCTGGTTCTAAAAACGGCGTCGCCACTACACGTAAATATTTCGTATTGTTATTGAATATATCCGGGTAACCATCCATCTCAAGTCTTGCCATGACAGCGTAAAAACCATACTCTAAGCTTCTGCTGTCTAAAACTAACTCTGGCAAAGTTAGGTTAGTCGAATTTGGAAGCTTGTAACCTATTCGTGGAATGTTTTCTATCCCTTTCAGATCCTGCTGTGGTTCTCGGACCAATTTAAACACACTCCATGTAGTTCTTGTTTTCTCAGTTAACTCACAATTGATCATGTTATCTGTTGCCAATGACAGTATCTTCGATTTTTGATGTTCCGTCAAGGTCCCCGTGCTGGTCTCGTTCAAACCTGTAAAATGAAATATACATCGTAGATAATGAAAGCTTGTAGAAAACACACCTCCCCTCCCTTGTGCCCTCAGGAAGAACATGCTTCACCCCTCTACCCTCTCAAGAGGAACATATTTATCACCATTGCTCCACCCCCATGAAGAACATATTTCCTCCCTAACCCCTCAAGAAAAACATGTATACACCCTTTACAGTTTCCTCGCCCTTTTTCAGTTCTCGTACACGCCCTGTATTTGTGTATGTGTTTGCATTACCTGTAATTGTCACATTTGGATACTGACATGGCTCAAGTTGCACCACAACTTCTGTCTTATAACTGCCCGACGAAACATAATTACTACCCTTGATTTTGAACTGATATTTTCCGATATCTTTGAAGACATGGTCAATGTCTATCCTTGTCGTAGTTTCGTTTCTGCTACTAAATATAACATTCGTCCATGTAGCATTGAACTCTTTCTCACACGCGGCTTGTTCGCCATAAAGAAGAAGCGAGGAATTATCACCAAAGTCAACCATCATACACGTATGAGCACCGATACTTTTTAGGTTTATGCTTATCCTTTCTGTTCTGTTTCTTACCACAGGGCTTCTTATGTTTACAGTTGTCAAACTAAAGCTTCTGTCGAGGTCAATAGAAAGTGCTTCGCTCCAAAGTTCTTGGACACTGTTCTCTAGTATAAGCGTCACATTAAATTCATTATCCGACATCTGAAATTGAGCCTTATGCACAAAAGAATTCGAATTTCGTGTACCAACGTCCCGGGCAACTTCAATCCGCGTGCCGTAATTGTACCTCATTCCGTGACCAGCGGGTGGCCCACCCGTGAAATTAGCATCAAACAAGACCGGGTGTTCGGCGGGGAACTTATTTTGGTTCGGGCCCACACCTGGTACGCCAGACCCCCACGGGGCAACGGTCGTTAAAGCAACGAAGTGGATTATCGACATCGGTTCTAAGATTTGGACGACGATGATCTTGGTTACGTTTGAGACAAGATTCGTCGCTCGGATTTTGATATCAACCATTTTATCCGGATCGAAATACGAAACGTTTGTCACCAAACAATCGCGTGAATTATTTTGGCCAGGAATGCTAACACTGGACGAATTACAGAATACATCGTTATACCAAATATCAACCGTGACATTCGAACCTGCTGTAAACGTCCAAACTACTTCAATCGGTTTCCCAAATTGATGTGGAGGAATCGAAATCAATTGGAGATCAAGAATTTGGTCTTGTGCTACAATCGTTGTTGAGTAACTACCGGAGTTGATTTCGTTCGAACAAGTAACGTTAACATCGTAAATGCCAGCGACGCTGTACGGAAATCTTTTCGTGTATTCGTGTTGTAACCCAGGATCACTTTTTAAAGTCGTGGCAATTACAGTGGCATTCGTGGTGTGATTTGTGAGATTATAAAGATCTGACAATGTCGTCTCAAAGGTAGAGTTTTCCCCATCTCCATATTGGATAGTACAAAGCGACGCGTAGCCACTGGACGCGTTGAAGTAAAATATTATGTAAGGTTCTTTCGTTTTCACGATGGAGTCCACAGTGATGTGCACGTTTTGAATTTCAAAAGGTCGCGCAATGAAGAAAAACACCTCCGTCAGTTCCATGCTTAATTTGTTCCAAATCATGAAGAGAACTTCGTGTACCCCGCGTTGCTTGTACCTCATGCTGACCACGTGTTTAGAACTATCTGTGATGCCGTATTGGGTCCCGTTGTTGATCGTGCTGTTTAGGTAGACGTGAGCAAGAAAAGCTGAAGTTTGTATGTCACGAGTTTGCGTGATGGTGATTGGATCATTCGCTTTGGTAAAGCGCGGGTCGGCTCCTGGCGCTTCAATCTAAAAATGATAGATTGTGAAATCATTCAATCATCGTAATTTTATAAATTATTTAGTGGTCACACGTCTCTACAGTATTAAGGGAAGCTGTGATTTAATAGTCTGAGTTTATCTTGTGTCTTCGTGTTCGGAATTAGAATCACTATTTACTGGCTTAGTTACTGAGATATAACGAATTCGATAATGTTCTTTTAGTGTTTTGCACTCGCCACTTGTCGTGGTAAAAATAAGCAGTGTCCGATTGGAAACTATGCTTTACATTAGTCTTAAGACTACAAATTGCAGACTTTTCTGTCCTCCAACTGGAAGTTAAATCATGTTTCTATTTCGCAACCTCACCTTGATGTCATGTCTTGCTGTATCAATTACATCGTACCAAATTCCAGTTTTCACTGCGTACTTTGTGCCCTCTTTGATCAAAAATTCCATGTAATTAAGGCCAAGAAACTTTACAATCCATTTTGCTGTAAAGGTCTTCTCAAAAGGAACCGTAGCCGTATTGGCAACCACAATATGATTATTTTCATGGACCCGGCTGGGATAAGCTTTTACTAAAATCGTCTCATCACTACTGCAATCGAGAGTCAAATTTGCTGTGTTTTCAAATCCCTTCAACGTGAACATGTGTTGGATAGTTGCGCTGTATTTATTCACAATCGGATAACGGTAGAAACCTGAAAGATGATTGAAATTAATAGATTATATATCACAACACTCACTTCAGTACAATTTCATATTCTAGCCATGGTTGCTTTTGAAAACTCTTACGAGGAAACTCGAAGTTCAACCTTGTCGAAGTTGAAGCTTCCGGTACTCAGGATACGAGGTGAAAATTCTTCGCTCTTAACCAGAGGCGTAACGTGATTATCTTTACTAACCTGTCAGTTTGTTATTTGTGGAATACTCGTAAACACCTACAAAATAAACAAACTATGTCAATGTTCTCAAACGGAGCAGTGTTTATTTCTTTTGCAAACCTCAACTTATAGTAAGTTGGGGTGCCTTACCTGGATAATTTGTAACTCCTAATATCTGATGATTTTCAAAACTGTCAACGAAAAAGAGCGCTTTCGGACGAAAGCACCATAATCTGTACGAAGAATTTCCCGAAACGTTTTTTTCGCCCAAATAAATGCAAACATCTCCTTTCCAAAACGTCTCATCGGCTATAAGTGAGCGAAATAACAAGCCAACTTTAACAATGTCAGGTACTTTGGAAGCATATTCGCCTTTTTGATGCTGCCCTTGCTTGCAATGTGAGGCATTATCTAGAAATGGAAAGAAAATAAATATAGAAACATTTTAATAAAATTCTGTATTTTTCATTTCCATTTACTTTCCAGACAGTCCATGCAGTTGATAATGAAATGAATGAATAAGGAGACTAACTGACGCGTAAGCAATAACAAGGTACTATAGTTGAAATTTATGATCTATAACATCTGATATTTTAATCATTATTTTGGCGAATTATTCTTTTACAAACATTCGTTGTTCACATGCAGTTTAGTTGAATGGTTGACCAATGTGTTGGTTGACCAATGGTTGGACCATTTTTTTCCAACCTTATCATTAATCAGTGAATTTCAGTTGCTGTACAGCACCAACTATAAATACTCACACTGCCATTCAGCAACATGTGATCTTGACACGAGGATCAAATTTTCAGGACGCACCCACGAGACGTTATATTTTTTCGCGATCCACGAGACAAGAACAGGAGGATCGTGATATGTTGAATTAACAACTCGTACAACGTAGCCATTGGTGCCGTTTAGTTCAGGATCAAAGTCTTGAGATTGTTCTTTGCCAACGTAGCCGACCATGTCTCCGGGATAGCGAATCTCATCAGCTAGAATTGCATTCAGATGTATACGTCAAATAAAAATTTTGGTGACAACATGAAGTAAGTTTGTCTTTTATATCTTATAATTAACCCTATAATATATATATATGTTAGTGTATTACCGAAATCGTTCATCGTTATACTTACCAAAACACGACTTCGGTGCCTGAACGAAAATATTGACAGCAAAGACAAAGATAAACGCTTTCATTCTATCATTTCGGGCAATCATGATTAGACCCTCGATTCCAACAGTGAAATAGAGAGTTGTTACTCGCGTAAGTTACCACCAAAAGCTGAGAAACTTTATCTATCAATTTTGAGATGTTCACCACCTTTCGCCAGAGCAAGAAAAAGCCTAAACACAATTAAAGAGCACGAAAAATGTCAGGTTTTCATCGGAGGT